CCCAAACCCAAACCCAAACCCAAACCCAAACCCAAACCCAAACCCAAACCCAAACCACGGGGCAGTTATATGATGGGGCAATAATATCACCTACAGCGACGCAGGGGATTCGCAGCCTCAGGTAAGTACAGCCTAGGTTAAGGGCTCCTCTTCGTTGCAGCCTTTTCTATCGTCAGTCCCACTGATTTTTCAAGCTCAAGATACATCAGTTCCTCACGGTCGCATCGATGTTACATGATGATTGCTGAAGGAAATAGGTTAAATTTTGTTTAAGCACTGTACTATAACCGAACAAAGCAACACTGGGTGAAAGACAAAGGTCCGGTCATTGCCAGGGCCGACTTTCACTGTATATCTCGTAATGTACCAAAGGTGGCGTCAATAAGATTAGTACTTCTAAATCCCATGATGAATACCTCTCCAGTGAAGAATTTATTTACATTATTATTATTATTTGTAAATAAAGACAATTTATTCATTTAAAAATTATCCAAAAACTAATATAATGATTTAAAATAATTGATTTAAGTTCTGTAAGTGAATATGGAATGTTTCAGCCATATACAAAAAATTTTGGACATCAAATTAACTATGCACATTCTTAGTTCGATTTAATCTAATGAAATAAATTCTTATTCCAAATTAAAATATTGAAATAAATTGTAATCATTTTGAGTCCTTATTTAAAATAGCTTATTTTATATAAATTTAGTCCATAAGATAACAAAATTTCTCTTATTAGAATAGATTAAAACCATACCTCCTGATAAAACGGCTGATTATAGTTAACTGCGAAATATTTGCACAATCATCTGCTTCATTAATTACTATATTAAGTGGTTATAACATAAGCTCTATAAGAAACCAATAATTTAGATCAAACACTTTCTCTCCAATTAAATCAAGATTTTCATGCATTTTAACAAGAGGCCAAAAGTAAATTCTTAATAAATACATTCATTGACTTTCCTCTAGCCATCCTCAAAGTGATGATCAAATAAATTAAGGGCAAATAAGATCATTGTGATTAGATTTTAGAAAGTCAATAATCTGAGTAATCTGCTCAAATTGAGTAATATAAGAGTTAAGAAATTTAGATCCCTAAAACAATCACCTTGCTTAATCCTTTCTCATTTAACTATCGAAGTTGGATTCACATATACATTTATTGAAAATCTCTGAAAAAGTTTATAATCTAGATTTCATTAATTTTCCGAACCATTAATTTCGCTTTTTATGAATATTATCTTTTCTAGTCTTATATTTTAGGAATAATCGCTATATTAATAATCAGTTTATTATGTTATTACAACTTATATCTCTAAATTTCTATAAAAATTAAAACTACTGAACCCAGACTGCTTTCTCTGAATATCAATAAGCGTTGATACGGTTAAGGACTTTTCCGCTCTAAAATCAATCTCCATCAGCTTCCGATTAAATTCATAAAATCAAATTTGAATCAAAAAAGAATACCATAAACGAAAAACCCATGATTGTTTTGTAAATTTTATTACGCATATTAATTATTTCAAGATGTTAACATAATAAACATAATCGCTAGTTCTATTATCAAGGCTGGATTTAACAGATCATCACTAATAGCATTTATTATCCTTCCAATGATAATAATAATAAGATTAAATTAAGCAAGTCTCAAATGGATCCTATTTTATGCATCCATAATTGCAAAATAAATTCATTTCTGTGCTTACATCCTAAACGTGTTAACTAGCCTCTTATATCTGCCTCATCCACAACCTCATGTAAAGCTCTTCTCTTCCATGCAAATATGAAGATAATTGTTACTCAGTGCATTTTGGAAGCTAAGACGTATCCTAAAATTTCTTAAGTTCAAAGTCCTAATAACAGCCAGGAGGATCCTGCAAAACCTACTTCTTAATAAAATGAACAACTTTTGATTTGACTGCACCTTTTAATTTTCTTGTCCCAGACACATTCTTTTGCAAAGAAGAATTTGATTACAGCTCAAACAAGAAAGTGATGTGCATTTTCATCGTTCTATTAGTTTAGGAAGGTCATTAAATTTTGAGTGGAATCCTTTTTGTTTAGCTCAGGTTTAGTCCATTTAGTATCTCTACTCTCTACTTTGATTAGCTCATCGGTAGCTTTTTAGCATCAAAAGATTGCAGATAATAGCAAAAAAATTATGATAAAAAATATAGAATATGGAAACGGCTTAAAGCTAAAAATTTATATGCATATTGTCTTCCAGTATTTAGGGTTTGTTCTATAACAAATCCTANAAGTGGTTATAACATAAGCTCTATAAGAAACCAATAATTTAGATCAAACACTTTCTCTCCAATTAAATCAAGATTTTCATGCATTTTAACAAGAGGCCAAAAGTAAATTCTTAATAAATACATTCATTGACTTTCCTCTAGCCATCCTCAAAGTGATGATCAAATAAATTAAGGGCAAATAAGATCATTGTGATTAGATTTTAGAAAGTCAATAATCTGAGTAATCTGCTCAAATTGAGTAATATAAGAGTTAAGAAATTTAGATCCCTAAAACAATCACCTTGCTTAATCCTTTCTCATTTAACTATCGAAGTTGGATTCACATATACATTTATTGAAAATCTCTGAAAAAGTTTATAATCTAGATTTCATTAATTTTCCGAACCATTAATTTCGCTTTTTATGAATATTATCTTTTCTAGTCTTATATTTTAGGAATAATCGCTATATTAATAATCAGTTTATTATGTTATTACAACTTATATCTCTAAATTTCTATAAAAATTAAAACTACTGAACCCAGACTGCTTTCTCTGAATATCAATAAGCGTTGATACGGTTAAGGACTTTTCCGCTCTAAAATCAATCTCCATCAGCTTCCGATTAAATTCATAAAATCAAATTTGAATCAAAAAAGAATACCATAAACGAAAAACCCATGATTGTTTTGTAAATTTTATTACGCATATTAATTATTTCAAGATGTTAACATAATAAACATAATCGCTAGTTCTATTATCAAGGCTGGATTTAACAGATCATCACTAATAGCATTTATTATCCTTCCAATGATAATAATAATAAGATTAAATTAAGCAAGTCTCAAATGGATCCTATTTTATGCATCCATAATTGCAAAATAAATTCATTTCTGTGCTTACATCCTAAACGTGTTAACTAGCCTCTTATATCTGCCTCATCCACAACCTCATGTAAAGCTCTTCTCTTCCATGCAAATATGAAGATAATTGTTACTCAGTGCATTTTGGAAGCTAAGACGTATCCTAAAATTTCTTAAGTTCAAAGTCCTAATAACAGCCAGGAGGATCCTGCAAAACCTACTTCTTAATAAAATGAACAACTTTTGATTTGACTGCACCTTTTAATTTTCTTGTCCCAGACACATTCTTTTGCAAAGAAGAATTTGATTACAGCTCAAACAAGAAAGTGATGTGCATTTTCATCGTTCTATTAGTTTAGGAAGGTCATTAAATTTTGAGTGGAATCCTTTTTGTTTAGCTCAGGTTTAGTCCATTTAGTATCTCTACTCTCTACTTTGATTAGCTCATCGGTAGCTTTTTAGCATCAAAAGATTGCAGATAATAGCAAAAAAATTATGATAAAAAATATAGAATATGGAAACGGCTTAAAGCTAAAAATTTATATGCATATTGTCTTCCAGTATTTAGGGTTTGTTCTATAACAAATCCTAAATTCTATTAGGTTTCCTTATTAGGAAAAATTATTCAAAATAAAAGTTTGAAAATGTGTGTAAGTATAGAGGGTACCAATAAAATAAAAAATATTCAAACTTTCAAAATCAACCTCATTTAAGAGATAGATTTGAAATAGTGTTCCTTTTGGCTTTAGCCCTACTGTGTAATGAGATCTAAATTAGAATAATTTGAGGCAATCATTTTTTCCAGTCTCTCCTAAGCAATGATGCAATTTCAATCAAAGAAGAAGCTTATTATCACCCATTATGAGACTTTCAACTATGATAGAAGGATATTGATAAAAATAGCAATGATTAAATGATATTTTGAAGATTGCCCTTGTTACCTCCATCGGTTTAAGTAAATGCCTAATTATTGCTACCTTGAAAAGCAAAACCATAGTTGAAAGTAATGCAAATACTTAGTTATAAAACTTTGTATACGAGTACGAATTCTGGCCTAAAATTAATTATTTAACCCTAAATAAAAAGACATAATAATTTTTAACTACTTTAGAGAAAATTTACAAAGGTAGCTGGATTTTCTTCATAATACTTTAAAAAATATTAATACTACAATTTTTTAGAATCTCTGTCTAAAAAGTGAGTTTATTTTTTTTAATTTTATTGAATTATTATGTTTAATTGAAATAAGTAAAAAAACAGTTATTAAATATAAATATAATACCATTAATATGATAATTATGTTAGTACTTGCAAAGAATGATAATCCATATTAGTTGAACCTTTTATGATTACAATAGTTAATGTATATGAATGAAACAATTTGTAATTTGATTATTAATTTGAAATATAATATAATATCGTATCATATCATATCATATCATTCTGAAAGATAATATTGACTAAAGAAAGTCAGAATTAGATAATCTATTTAACTTACTGCATCCACTTGCAATTTTTAATTGTAAATGTAGGTACTAGTCTTAGTCTAACCTTTACTAGTAGGCATATTTTGACTGTAGAAATTATTTTCCAACTTTCTCTGAACTCAAAGATCTAGGGATTTCTTATTTGTTAAAATATTTATACACCTTATTACTTCAATTTGATAATTAAACATGATATATCGGTGAGTAATAAGTTTAATAATTAATAATAAATTTAAATTTTGCTCATTGGAAATCAATGCCAGGGGTTTCATTCATTAAGATTCTGTTTTTCTATCCAATCCTATTTTATCAAAACTGTATCGATGCTCAAAGTGGTGATTGTTTTAATAACGATTGGTCAAATAGGGTAGACGGTTGCGCAGGCATGTTATTTAAAGGGCGATTTTCTCGTTCGGAACAAATATCTTTAGAATTCAATAATAATATACTAGGGCTTAAGTTTCGTTTTACCTTCACTATTGGTAAATTCGATAGTTGGGATCACGATGATGATTATTTACAAGTCTTAGCTAATGATGTAGTTTTAGATACTTTGAGATACGGTGCTTATTAAGGATCTGGTTTATGTTTCGAACCCAAATATTCAGAATTGTTTGAATAGAAATAATATATTTTTTATTCACCAATAGGAAGAAAGTCACTTAAATTAACTTTACAAGGTCATTTTGATGAGGATGTGGATAATGGTAATATAATTTCTTAAATTAGAGAGTTGGGGGGCGAGGGCATTCACTTTAGAAATTTTAGAGCCTTGTGTAGAATTTTATAGTGATTGTAATTTTTAAGGAGATGTGTGGAGAATTTGTAATGGAAATCAAACAAGCTAAATTAGAGATATTCCTTTTGAAATTAAATCAATCCTAATTGTAAATGGAATATAAGTCAAAATGAGAGATCCAAAGTACCATGGTGGTCAAACTTAAACATACACTTCAAGTTAATATTGTTTATCAAGTTATTAAGTATATCTTTAATGTAAACCCTAGTTCCCCAAATATAATCAAAACGCTTGAAAATGAATTGAATATATATATATTAATTAATATTAAGTATTAATTAAAAGTGACGTTATTGTTAATTTAAATAAAACACATGTAGATAGACAATTTCCATGTAGTTAAATATTGAAGTAATTAATTGTGTTCTAATATATATGAAATTAAGAATGAACAAAAATTGTTTAATGTTTTCTGCAGTGTGGTTATTGCTCTCAATTATGATTTTTGTGTATGCATGAACTTTTAGCCTATAGATAATAATAAATTGTGAAGATTAATTAAGTCTCATACTTGAATTGCATTTGCACTTCAACTTTTTATTAATCTAGATAGATCAAAGTCAATATTATTGAAGCAGATGCCTAACTAGGGTTATATTCTTACATCACTTCATTTAAATAATTCAAATAATCATAGCAATCAAGCAGTAGAAGTTTTGTGTCAGATCTTGCAAGATATTGCAATTGGGGAATGTGAAAAAATATTCATTTTGAAAAACCCATTAATTTAGATAACTCCAGACATTAGGTCTTTGTGTATATTGATGATCACAATTAATCATATTTATTTATTTGATTATTCTAAGTTCCATTTATTAGGTGAATTTATTAACCCTTTCTCTCCGCCTTTGGATTTAATCCCAATCAACAGATTATTATCATCGGATTTAATCTGCTTACACAACAACTAATATTCACAAAAATAGAACCATTTCCCAAAAACTATTTCATCGAATTAGAGTCAAACTCTAATTACAACTACAACCGTTAGATGAGTTATCATCAATAAAACTATTAAATCCAAACCTATTGAAAATGAAGATTCTGATGAAATAATTAAAACTATTCATAATTAAGATCTATTTAGTATTTTATTATTAATTTAGAGTTCAACATAAATGCAATGCAAATTAACATTTAAGAATGGAATAGGTTAATAGATTTATTTAAGACAAGCAATAAGTAAAAATAGTCTATGCAATAAATTAATTAGCAAACCTTGCTTGTGGCTAGTGGTTCAATTAGTATTATTTTAGATGTTGCAAGAAAGGATTCCAGATTTGACTTATTTTCTTTCAAAAAAGTCACCTCCTAAGTCTAAATAAAAATGTAATGGAAAAATATTCAAGGGCTTTCCTGGCAGATTGGCATAGCTTTATTTCAAGGATTGTGAATTTCATTTGGTTTTGGTACTGAGAAAAAAACTTGCAGAAAAAAATTGTTTAACTTCGTTTACGAGGATTCAAATGGCATTGTTGATTATAAAGAACTTATAGTAGGTTTAGAAGTGTTTAAAGATGATACCATAGTGAAAATTGAAGAATAATTGCCTAAACCTTAAAAAAAGCCCTTGTTTTGATTTATGTGATAAAGATGGCTCCGATCAAGTCTTTGAAAAAGAAATCTTCAACAATTGAAGTAAAATATCATTAATAAAAATGATAAATATGAACTAAAACTGGTCATAAGAGAAATGATCAAATAAGTTGATTAAAATGAAAAGAAGAAATCTTATGAGCTACCATCAATATTTTCCATTCTTCTGATATTGCTCTAATGGACAGTTTTTAATGTAAAAATAATAGCTGCTATCATTGATATGATTTAAATAATAGATATCAAAAATTTTATGTGCAGAACATCTTTAATATTTTTATCTAATAGAGGAAACTGATAAAGTAATTGAAGAATAAAAATTATGCAATAGATATATGATTAATTAAAAAAAAAAGTTAAAGCACAATTTATTACAAAAACTTATGAAGGATTAAAGTTCTTAATGGAAACTTAAATCAAGTGGGTAATAGGGATATAGGCCATATTAAAAGAGATGAGTGATATTATTATTATTTTCTATGGCAAAATTATGCAATACAGCAGTTTATGTTACTTGTAATCCTATTGCATGGAAGCAAAAACTGTTAACTTTATATAGCTAAGTAACATATATGGGGAAGAACCTTCAATAGTCACTCTTTCTGCTACATTGTATTTATCTATGCATCCAGTCTTGAAATTGCTGCTAGCTATTTAATTATATAAAGGGATGTAGCCTCTATTTTGACTTACTAGGAGTTTGGTCAAGGTGTTTAGTTAGATAATCGTAAAAATATAGAAATAACGGTTTTCCTTTTTGTCCTATGTAATCACTTATACTGATGGTATTTTTTAAATGTTAGAAGATGCTTAATTGTAAAATAATAAATTTTACTTTTTTGATGCAAATTTCTTTCACCTTGTCTTTCAAGGATCTGGTGTAGCTCTAGTAGTTAACTATCCATATTAATTTTTACCGTATTGATATGCTAAATCTTATATTACAATTCTATGGGTTATTCCTGTGATTGAAGGATTTTTTAGTTCCTAATAAGTAAACCCATTATTCTTATTCTGGATATTTGCACTATTTTAGAATCTACGAGTTCTTTGGGGACGCTATTCAGAAAAATATATGATGCTGCTTGCTATTGCAACTCTGCAAAGGTAATTTATCTTTTCTGTTCAACCTTTATTATTGGAATTGGGTTGTGAATAAACTTACCCATTAAATCAATCTTTCTATCTGGGATTACAATATTGAGGTTCCAATGGAGGTTCCTTTATTGTTTATTGTTCTGATAGTTAGTATGGTTGGTTATTCATGTCAAAAATGCAACAAAGTATTATTTTGTAGTTATAAATTAGATTTGATGGATTTATGGAAATTACCATTATATGTGCTTTATTCTAAGCATTTTATTTCTGAAAGAAGTTAAACATTACTAAATTAGATTTTAGAGTTCAATTAAAATAAGATGATATCTCCTTGTCTTTACTGTGATATTATTAGCTTTGCTAAAATAATCAGATTACAACAATAATAGTGGCTGAATTTTTTTCTGTTACATAAATCAATAATCAAATCTCAATAGAGCTTTTAACTTATCAAAACGGAGACTTTCATATATTGAACCATTTTAACTTGTTGAAATTATAAGTTTCAGAATTATTGTTAGTGATTAATAAAAATGTGAACCCTAATACATTCCAACATAAGATCATAATGGAATTTAATCAAATGACTGAGAATTAAGAGATACTTTTGAAGGATAAAATGAATTATCAACATTTACAAAAAATATGGTGATTTGTTGAATATAAAATTAATTTACTATTTCAGTTAAAATTGTTTATGTTTTTATTAGTATGAAAAGACCAAAGAAAATATATAAAATGGAATTGATAGAGTAATTTTTTTTTCGTTTATGAATTCATTAAAGTTAAAATTTGAAAAGTCAGAGCTAGTTAGCAAATATAATATTTTAGGTTCATCAATCGCCTCTATTGAATAATCTAAAATAATTTAAATTTTACTTAGCCACATATAGTTTATTATGATTCTTAATTTTTTTGGGATAGCTTCTTTATCTAAAAGTGGTAAATTAATTGTTTCACCTATTGTTCAACTACATTGTTTTAATGACTTGCTACTACTTACTTTTTTCTTAATAAGAATATTATTCATCTTTTTTGTCAAAATCAACTATTAACAGATTGTGATGTCAATCTAAAGCTCAGATATCATTGGTACTCACTTACTTCATATCAAAGCATCAAATCCATGGAACATTTATTTGATACTAAAATAATTACTTTCAAAATTTATAATTTAGATAAAAATGTAATAATAATTTATTAATTTTATAGGAGGATATTAATAATTAACTGTTCCAATTCTTAATTCATTAATTTTTTAAATACTTACTCTTTAACAGAATAATCAGCATAAATTAATATGAATTGCTTATATAATGTAATTATTTATAACCCTCACATTGTTTTGCAACTAATGGAATTTTTTAGAAATTAATTAAAAAAAAAATAATAACAATTTATCAATAAAAAAATGCAGAAAGCAGAGTTGTATGAGATTTTAGCTTCATATAAATAAATTTATGCTTACGTTATAAAGAACATGTAACATGTAGTTTATTATCAAAATATTAGAAAATTAAAACAAAGAAATAATTTTGATAAATCTTAATCAAAAAAAAGAATTATTAGGTTGATTGGCATGAGTAGAATTTAATGAAGAAAACCTTTTAAAATACTAGCTTAATATTTCGGAAAGAAACTTCCAAATGACAAGCAATCAACCTCACCCTAATAGGAGAACTCTCTAACTGGGGAATATTAATTAGGGGATTCATTGAAAAAGGGAATATGGAGGACCCTACTTTAATTCTTTAATTGGAGAATCAAAACTTAGGGAGAAGGAAACAGTTGAACACCTTCTTTTTAAAAAGATTGATGTAATATGGAGAGTGAGGATAGATCCTACAGAAACAAAAGAAATCTTAATTGAAAATAGGTAAAAATAGATCCTAATGGGGGCATTGTGATAATCATTCCATAAATATGGATTGCAAAGGGGATTAGGAAAAGGGATTTTTAAAAGATTTCTAAAAGGTATTATTTCTGGATAATCAGATTAAACAGAATTCAACAGGAAAGATATTTAAATTTTTCCGTTTTACCTCTAAGCTAGGGTGGTCATATTTATGGAATAGCTTCCCTGGCAAGAACCCTACAATCATAAGAGCTTAATCAAAACATACTTTTTAATGATCGATGATATGAAAGTAATTCACCATTTTTTATTACATAAAACCAAAATTTCATTTTAGTAGCCTCTTACAACTAACCAGAAAAGATAGTATTCAGGTAATAAATCAAGACTGGTCTAAATTTATAGCAAATGCAAAAGGAAGAAGGGTATTAATCCATAATAACCTATAGAATCAATAAGGAAGCAACAGGAGAGAAATAAATTATTCGAAAAATAAAAATAAAAGAATCTCATAGATCCAATTACTGAAAAAGGAATAGTATCAGACCAAGAGTCAGCAAGAAGCCAGCAATAACCACTCAAAATGATGATCGACTGGTTATCAAAAGAAGAATCTGAGAGTGTTTAAAAAACTTAAAGAGGTTCTGAGGCCCTTCAAACCAAACTCCTGAAAAGAATAAGGAGATTTTCTAATACCCTTAAATATATTTGAAAAAGGATTAACTAATTTGAGATTGATTATGGATGCAACATTTAATTGAAATTATTTCTGAAATTGAATTGGAACTTTATTAAAAAACCAAAAAATATGATGAATATAATTTTGGATTAAAAAAATAGGAATACTGACAGAAACTAAAGAAGTAGTTAAAGAACTTCAATTTGCACATATCCTTGAAGAATGGGAACCAAAATTAATGAAAGAAATTAAAGGCTTACCATTACTGTTAGATATACTTTACCAATAATCGAATATATAAGCATTTTATTATACATTAAAAGTTTAACCATGACGGAAATGATACTTTTTGTTTGTTCTCTCTTATATGAAATTTTCGCAATTTACACGCCTGTATACTTTATTTTTTAATGAAACGATTTTGAGCTTTATCGACTTTAAGATAAAATGATACTAAATATTAATAAAGTAAGGATGTTCTTAAACAAAAGAAACAGTCCGTCTGGTCGAGTATTAATGAGGATAGATTGGATTAAAAAAAAAAGTTAAATAGCATTTGAATAAGCTTTTATATGATCGAGCTGGGTATGTATTCTTCTCCTAACAATAACTTGATTTTCTGTCTATCCATATAACTCTAATTTATTTGTTCAATTATTCTTAATTTGAAAGCATCCTCTTATTTCTGATAGTGTTACATGTGGATCCTTCAAATTTTATTTATTGCTTTGACTCTTTGGTTTGCCTAAGCTAAGTCTTATATCTCAAGTATTGGCTCAAGATATCTTTCATCAAATTTATGACTTCTTTTGCTTGTCAAAAATAAATTACTAGGTTGTCTTAATATAAGGATATATAATTTAAATTTAGCACTAAAAAATAAGGTTATTATAATCAGGGCTCCCGAAGCAGAGAAATCCTAGCTTTGCATAGATTTCTTAAGCTTTATCAAAATAGGGTTTAATTACTTATATTTAAAGGTGATTGTTCATATAAGTGTCGTTATAATTCTAAAGTAGGTATTATTGATCTGATGATTGAAGTTTTTTATTCCTATTACATGGTAAAATTACATTATTTAAATTTTATGTTTCAATTTATTTGAAATTTCTATATTTTTTAATTTTACCTTAAAACCTATGCCTTAATTGATATAAACTTGATTTATTCAAGGATTTCATTAATCTCTTTTAAGTTAATGGTGTGCCCGCTAATGAAAATATAAGGTTCTCACAATTTGTATTTATTATATCTGTCTCGACTAACATATTTTATTATTAAAAATGCTAATCCTAATCTAAGTACCAAAAATTTATTAATTTTTCAGCTCTTAATTTTTTTCCAAACCTACACCTTGTTTAAGTCAAATAATGCTTATTTTCCTAGCATCAAATTCAAATATCTTTTATTCTCTGCTATTGCTAAAATTCTAGAATTCTTTTGCACCTAATATTAAAAATTCGTTTAATTACTTATTATAGTAATGAATATTAATCGCTCCATTTTTATTATAACTTGTTTCTGTAACTGTTGTGAAGTCACATAATCTAAATTTCTGGGTTTACTAGTCTATTCTTTCTTTTTCATAATATTATTAGTGATAAATATGTTATTTAGTGACATGAAAGAGAATTATGTTGAAATGATATTTAAGAACTCGTTAAAGGAAAATCATTCAAATCATTTTTATTTTCCAGATAAATAAATTATGAGAAATTTGGGATTCCTTTCTAAGCAAACCAGGTTTAATTAAAATTAATCAAAAATAAATTATTTTAATTAGAATAAAGATTTGAGAAAAAAATATTCTCTGAATTCATGCAATTATCAAATTGTATTATTTCATACTAAATTAGGATTTTTTTTAACATTATTACATTTAAGTACGAAACTTATTTATGTTATTTAAATAAATTTAGAGGATTTTTCAAATTTTTATAAAAAACATAGAAAGTAATTTTAATTTCGAGTAGGAATTACAAAATTTTCTTAAAAATAATTTTAAAATAAAATAATGTTATTCTTATATTAGAAGCATTTTCAATTTTTTTAAGTAATCTGTTAGTTTTACCTCCATTACTTATTCTGGAAATTATTACTTTGTTCCATTTCTAGAATGCTCAGAAAGCTGTTAATTTAATTTTGTTATAAACTTGAAATTCTGTTTTGAGTGATCAATGGAAAAGTCTAAGAGTTTTCAAATCAGCAAAACGATTATTAGAGAGCCTTACAAAATGAATATGATTGAGCTTTGTAGCAATTTGTAGGGAAGTAGCTTAATCGATTGATTATTGATTTATTATATTTGGCTTGGATCTACATGGTAATACCATTAGACTATATAAACCACTAATTCTGAGTATCATTTCCAATCAAGACTGAATAAAAATGAAAAATACCAAATATTGAGTGTAACAAAAAAAGGGAATATTTAACATTATAAATCTGAATTTTACTTATAAAATACTCGCTGAGATCAAAATTAACAACTGCAATGTAAAATTGTATAAGAAAATTTATATGATCTAAAGTTATTCAGGGATAGTAAATTTTTGTCCCAATTTCAAAGCAAAGTCAATATAAAATAGGTAATTATGTTAAATATCTTTTCTTATATTATTTAAATTCATTATAAATCGTGATTAAAAGCCTAGAAAATCAATAAATAAAAACATATAAATAGAAATATCAGATGACTTTCTTCAAGTACCTCATCAATATGTGGTTAATCTAAGTTTGTTTAGGTTTTCGATCCTTTGCAGCTCAATTTAACAAAGCAATATTTTAGAAGTAATGCCCTCCTTCGTTGTAATACTTTCCAGGCATCTACCCTCATCTCTGTGCAGGTTAATTTATTTATCCTAAGTTAGGTATTGGAAAAGTATGCGTCGGAACAACTGAATTAATTGTAAAGGTTTCTTCCAATGGGCGTGAAACACTGTGTAATCCTTAGGTCTAAAGTTATGAATTTGGGCCGAATACTAATTCACATTTATTTTTTGGAAAATATCCATATACTTTGATTTATTCATATGACCAAGATGGAAACGTCGTTTTTTCAACTGAATCTATACCATCATTGTCTAATCATGGTTGCTTAATTGGATAAAAATATTAGGATATCTATAAATGCTAATATTGCAGTTGGTCAGGATATGGCGAAAATTGTTCATAATCTTTTGCAGTTCCAAGTATAAATTTTATTAATTCTAAAGAATGTGGTTCAAATTGTAAAACATGTGATCCTACTAATTCATTTTGCGATAGTTGCGATGATGGTCAGTCCCCATCAAGTAACACTGACTAGAAATGCANTTATTACATTTAAGTACGAAACTTATTTATGTTATTTAAATAAATTTAGAGGATTTTTCAAATTTTTATAAAAAACATAGAAAGTAATTTTAATTTCGAGTAGGAATTACAAAATTTTCTTAAAAATAATTTTAAAATAAAATAATGTTATTCTTATATTAGAAGCATTTTCAATTTTTTTAAGTAATCTGTTAGTTTTACCTCCATTACTTATTCTGGAAATTATTACTTTGTTCCATTTCTAGAATGCTCAGAAAGCTGTTAATTTAATTTTGTTATAAACTTGAAATTCTGTTTTGAGTGATCAATGGAAAAGTCTAAGAGTTTTCAAATCAGCAAAACGATTATTAGAGAGCCTTACAAAATGAATATGATTGAGCTTTGTAGCAATTTGTAGGGAAGTAGCTTAATCGATTGATTATTGATTTATTATATTTGGCTTGGATCTACATGGTAATACCATTAGACTATATAAACCACTAATTCTGAGTATCATTTCCAATCAAGACTGAATAAAAATGAAAAATACCAAATATTGAGTGTAACAAAAAAAGGGAATATTTAACATTATAAATCTGAATTTTACTTATAAAATACTCGCTGAGATCAAAATTAACAACTGCAATGTAAAATTGTATAAGAAAATTTATATGATCTAAAGTTATTCAGGGATAGTAAATTTTTGTCCCAATTTCAAAGCAAAGTCAATATAAAATAGGTAATTATGTTAAATATCTTTTCTTATATTATTTAAATTCATTATAAATCGTGATTAAAAGCCTAGAAAATCAATAAATAAAAACATATAAATAGAAATATCAGATGACTTTCTTCAAGTACCTCATCAATATGTGGTTAATCTAAGTTTGTTTAGGTTTTCGATCCTTTGCAGCTCAATTTAACAAAGCAATATTTTAGAAGTAATGCCCTCCTTCGTTGTAATACTTTCCAGGCATCTACCCTCATCTCTGTGCAGGTTAATTTATTTATCCTAAGTTAGGTATTGGAAAAGTATGCGTCGGAACAACTGAATTAATTGTAAAGGTTTCTTCCAATGGGCGTGAAACACTGTGTAATCCTTAGGTCTAAAGTTATGAATTTGGGCCGAATACTAATTCACATTTATTTTTTGGAAAATATCCATATACTTTGATTTATTCATATGACCAAGATGGAAACGTCGTTTTTTCAACTGAATCTATACCATCATTGTCTAATCATGGTTGCTTAATTGGATAAAAATATTAGGATATCTATAAATGCTAATATTGCAGTTGGTCAGGATATGGCGAAAATTGTTCATAATCTTTTGCAGTTCCAAGTATAAATTTTATTAATTCTAAAGAATGTGGTTCAAATTGTAAAACATGTGATCCTACTAATTCATTTTGCGATAGTTGCGATGATGGTCAGTCCCCATCAAGTAACACTGACTAGAAATGCACATTAAGTTAGATATATTATCATTATCCAAAGAATGTCAAGCAACTCATAAAGTTTGTTAAAAAGTGGGAGGTGTATATTCATTCAGTGAATGTAAGGATGGTTATGAATTATAGAATGGACAATGTGTTGGTACCATGTATCTTTTTATAGTTAGCTTGTCCAACTAATTGTAAAACTTGTTTTGAAGGAGACTGCTAAATTTGCACATGGCCTTATGTACTAAAAGATTCTTAATGCTTGGGTGACAAGATGTGCATGAAATACGATTATATTTATGATTCGAATGGAATAGCGATAGACACTGACTGCCAATAATGCGACATCGGATTTTTTAAAAAAGGGACTCATTGTGCTTGTTATAATATAATTAATCATATTAGCTTGTCAGTACACAGCGGGAACAGAAAATTGTTTTCTTTGCGATAAAGAAAATGAATGTAGAAGTTGTTTTTCGACACATTATTTGACTCCAGATAAAAAATGTGCACTTATTATTGAAGAATGCAACCCGATTTGTCAAACATGTTATGTTACGCAACCTGATTATTGTACAACCTGCTTCACTTAATAAATGCGGAGTTCTAGAATTGTCCCAGGACAATGCGTGTGTGATTAAACATTAGGATATGCAGAGTTAGATGGTGAATGTATTTTATGTACAACTGGATTTTGTTTGACATGTACTTTAATATTTGGAGAATGTACATCATGTGATCCATTACAAAATAGAAATCTTATTGATAGTAAATGTCCATGCAAGCAAGGATATTATGAGACTGGATAAGATGATAAAATTTGTTAATGTAATTTTCTTTAATTTCCAAATTAGAATGTTATTTTTCTTGTTACAATTGCTCAGGACCGTTTGAGAATAATTGTACAGATTGCGGAGATCCAAACATTTATCATAAAGAATTAGTCAACGGAAAATGTATCTGTGCTCCAAGAACAAAAGATGTTGTTTAAAATGATGGTTCAACTTTATGCAAAAGTATTAATAAATGAAATTAAGACTGTCATCCAAGATGCGAAAAATGTTAATCTCCAGAAGATAATTCATCAAATCAATATTGTTCGATGTGCATAGCTGAATAGAATAGAACAGTCTCTAGTGATTTAAAATGCGTTTGTAAGAAAGGATATGGAGAAGATGGCATTGTAGATATTTGTTTTAGTATGCTTTCATTTTATATTCAAGGATGTGATTATACCTGTCTAAGTTGCAATGGACTCTTGCCAACTAATTGTACAGTATGTTCTAGTGAAACATATAGACATTTGACTGCAGACAACAAGTGCTTATGCAATTCAGGATATTACGACACAGGAAGAAACGATATACTTTGTTAACGTAAAAAATAAAGAATTACCTTTAGTGGCTTGTCATAACTCATGTCTATCGTGCAATTTCTATGGAGAAGATAAGTGCACAGGTTGTCCATCTTCAAGATATCCTGATGGGATTGGATCTACATTTAAATGTTTATGCAAGGATCCACATTATTATAGCGATGATAAATCATTAGAATGTTAAGTATGTCATTCTACTTGTAAAACGTGTAATGGAAAGAGTGAAACAAATTGTTTAAGCTGTGACTTAACCTACAGATAGCTAATCATATCAAAATGTGATTGTCCTTATGGTTATTATGATGTAGGTACATTATAATGCTCAAGTAATATTGATTGNCTAAAAGATTCTTAATGCTTGGGTGACAAGATGTGCATGAAATACGATTATATTTATGATTCGAATGGAATAGCGATAGACACTGACTGCCAATAATGCGACATCGGATTTTTTAAAAAAGGGACTCATTGTGCTTGTTATAATATAATTAATCATATTAGCTTGTCAGTACACAGCGGGAACAGAAAATTGTTTTCTTTGCGATAAAGAAAATGAATGTAGAAGTTGTTTTTCGACACATTATTTGACTCCAGATAAAAAATGTGCACTTATTATTGAAGAATGCAACCCGATTTGTCAAACATGTTATGTTACGCAACCTGATTATTGTACAACCTGCTTCACTTAATAAATGCGGAGTTCTAGAATTGTCCCAGGACAATGCGTGTGTGATTAAACATTAGGATATGCAGAGTTAGATGGTGAATGTATTTTATGTACAACTGGATTTTGTTTGACATGTACTTTAATATTTGGAGAATGTACATCATGTGATCCATTACAAAATAGAAATCTTATTGATAGTAAATGTCCATGCAAGCAAGGATATTATGAGACTGGATAAGATGATAAAATTTGTTAATGTAATTTTCTTTAATTTCCAAATTAGAATGTTATTTTTCTTGTTACAATTGCTCAGGACCGTTTGAGAATAATTGTACAGATTGCGGAGATCCAAACATTTATCATAAAGAATTAGTCAACGGAAAATGTATCTGTGCTCCAAGAACAAAAGATGTTGTTTAAAATGATGGTTCAACTTTATGCAAAAGTATTAATAAATGAAATTAAGACTGTCATCCAAGATGCGAAAAATGTTAATCTCCAGAAGATAATTCATCAAATCAATATTGTTCGATGTGCATAGCTGAATAGAATAGAACAGTCTCTAGTGATTTAAAATGCGTTTGTAAGAAAGGATATGGAGAAGATGGCATTGTAGATATTTGTTTTAGTATGCTTTCATTTTATATTCAAGGATGTGATTATACCTGTCTAAGTTGCAATGGACTCTTGCCAACTAATTGTACAGTATGTTCTAGTGAAACATATAGACATTTGACTGCAGACAACAAGTGCTTATGCAATTCAGGATATTACGACACAGGAAGAAACGATATACTTTGTTAACGTAAAAAATAAAGAATTACCTTTAGTGGCTTGTCATAACTCATGTCTATCGTGCAATTTCTATGGAGAAGATAAGTGCACAGGTTGTCCATCTTCAAGATATCCTGATGGGATTGGATCTACATTTAAATGTTTATGCAAGGATCCACATTATTATAGCGATGATAAATCATTAGAATGTTAAGTATGTCATTCTACTTGTAAAACGTGTAATGGAAAGAGTGAAACAAATTGTTTAAGCTGTGACTTAACCTACAGATAGCTAATCATATCAAAATGTGATTGTCCTTATGGTTATTATGATGTAGGTACATTATAATGCTCAAGTAATATTGATTGTAATTATTAAGAATGTTCCTATACATGTATGACCTGCTATGGTCCTAACATTGATAATTGTATAACCTGTTTCAACGATAGTAATAGAATTGTTAAAGCAAATAAATGTGTTTGTATGGATGCTTACCTCGAATAAAATGTTGGAGATACAAACTGTTAAAGTAATACTTATGTTTAATTTTAGAATGTTCATATCGATGTGCTCTTTGCAGCGGATCTATAGATTATTGTGACAAATGCCCAGATTTTTCAAATAGAGATCTTGGAACCGACCATTCATGTAAATGTCCTCCTAAATCATATGATTAACCTGGTAATCCAAAATGCATTTGTAATCATAATTACTGATATTGAAGTATGTCATTTTACATGCCAAGCATGTAATGGGAGCAAATCAAATTAGTGTACTTCTTGCAATGCCTCAATTGGAAGATACCTTACCACAGGAGGAGAATGTTTATGTACTTCAAAATATTTCGATAACGGCTAAGCTGAATGCTAAAGTATAATTATAATAAAGGTTATAATAGCTTGTAGTAATGCTTGTCTTGAATGTAAGACATCTGCAGATAATTGTACCTCATGCCCACCTGAAAAATATTTAAATGGAAGTGTTTGCGCGTGCAAAACTAAACTTCAAGGCTTATAATTATCTACTTATTAACCTTTAAATAAACTACAATGCTTAAGTATTATTAGTAAATTTAATAATAGATTGTCATTATTCCTGTTTAAACTGCACAGGAAGTAATTCTAATTAATGCTCATCTTGTTAGGATTCAGAAAAAAGAATTAAGTCAGGTTAATCTTGTATTTGCAAGGACAATTACTTTGATATAGGGAAACCTCTATGCTCTTGTATTAACAAACATTTATACTAGTATGTAATTATAGATGCTACACTTGTGTTACAGTAGAAACCTAATGTTTATCTTGTCCTCCTTTAAGTTTAAGAGTACTTAGTAATTCTTTATGTTAATGTCCCCCAGGCTATTATGATGATGGGGTGAATATTAATTGTCAAAGTAATACAATATATATAAGGTTTAGAATGTCATTATTCATGTTTGACTTGCATTTAATTAGCAACAAAATGCGTTGCATGTTCCTCAATATCAATAAGATCATTCAACAGTAGTCTAGACTCTTGTCTTTGCGATGATAATTTTTATGATGCAGGAGTAGAAATTTGTAAAGCATGTCATTATTCTTGTTTAACTTGTGATGGTTAATTATCAAGTTAATGTAGAACATGCACTGACTAAAACATAACTTTCAGGGTTTATAATAATAATAGTGGAAGTTGCTAATGTAAAATTGGTTATTATGACGATGGATATTCATTAATTTGTAAAAAATGTTAAATTTAATGTGCCGCTTGCCAAAATTAAGACTATACTTGTACTTCATGTCCATCAACTAGACATTTGAATGGAAATCAATGCGCTTGTGATAAAGGTTATTATGAGGCTGGACAAGAATAATGTGCAAAGTGTGATTCTACTTGCGTAAATTGTATGTATAATTCAATGACTTGTACTGAATGTGATTCAACATTATCCAAAATTTTAGATACCTAAACCCATAAATGTATATGTGAAACTGGTTCAACTGAAATAAGTGGAATATGTTAAAAGTGCGATATTACTTGTAAAACGTGTGTAAGTTCACTTACATTTTGCACATCATGTGAACTTATGAAAATATTAATAAACAATAAATGCTAATGCATAGATGGAACATATGAGACTGGGACCAATAAATAATGTATGCTTTGTAATCAGACTTGTTTGACATGTGTCACTAAAGACACCTATTGTCTCTCTTGTTCAGCAGATAACTTTAGAATCATTAAAACTGGAAATATTTGTGTTTGCAAGGATGGCTATTTTGAAGATCCTTTATATTAGTGTGTAAAATGTGATTTATCTTGTCTTACTTGTCAAGGGAATTCGAAATTTTGCTTAACATGCGATTCTACACTTAATTTATAACTTACTAATTAGAATAAATGCGTATGTATGCCTAGTTATTATTTTAATACTTCGACATTTAAATGCGAAGGTAACATTAAATAAATATCAATAGCTTGCAATAAAACATGTAAAGAGTGCTTAAGTGCAACTTAATGCACAGAATGTGAACCTATCACTAGATATTTTGATGTGGATACATAGAAATGTCCTTGTAAAGATGGATTCTATGAAACCAATCAAAAAATGTGTTAATGTAAAATTATTTTAAATAAAAGAATGTGATTTCTCTTGTAAAACATGCGCAAATTAATCAACCAAATGTCTAACATGCCAATCTATATATTTTAGAAATCTGAAAAATATTGATTAATGTCTTTGTCAAGATGGTTACTTTGATGTCGGAATTGAAATGTGTCAGAAATGCAATAGTTTATGCAAAACCTGTTAGTCAAATTCAACAAAATGTTTATCTTGTTATGAAACTGAATAACTTAGAATATTAACTGCCAATTAATGTATATGTAAACCTGGATATTTTGATAATGGATCACTCATTTGTGAAAGTAATAGTGTTTTCATAATATTAGAATGTTCGAATACTTGTTTAACATGTTAAGGAAAGAATAATTACTGCACAAGTTGCGACATCAATTAGAATAGGATTGATCAATCTCCAATTCACAAGTGTCCTTGTTTATCCAATTTCTTTTAAGATTAGAATGAATTATGTCAAAGTAAATCCATTATTTAATCATTAGAATGTCATATTAAATGTTCTGGGTGTACTTAGAAAATGGATAAATGTATAAGTTGCAAACCATCTAATACATCAAATCGTTTATCAATCTCATAAAATTGTGATTGTAAAGATGGGTATTATGACGATGGAGTATAACTCTAATGTTAAAAATGTTATTATTAATGTAAGACTTGCACCTAAAAGCCATAAAATTGTTTAATTTGTTTGACTAATTTGAGAGAAAACCCTCCTCTTTGTAATTGCAAAGCTGGGTATTTCGAAAATGATTAATACACTTGTGAACGTAAATATAAAGTTATTAATTTCTTAGCATGTGACAATAAATGTAATACTTGTGAAGTAAAGTCATCAAATTGTACAAGTTGTAAAGGAAGCAGATTTAATAAGGCATGTGATTGTTAAGATGGGTATTTTGAGGCCGGGTAACCTAATTGTCTTTGTAATAATATTAAGATTTACATTGTTAGAATGCGATTTTAAATGTCTCACATGCTAAGGTAGCCAATCTCATTGTTTGACATGTAGAGGAGATCGTATTAATAGTCCAGAGTGTAACTGTAAAGAGGGATTTTATAACGATAATCAAAACAGTAACTGTAAAGTGTGTGACTAAAATTGCAAAACTTGCAACTAAGTAGGATGTTTAGGATGCAACGGAAATAGAATATTGTCAGAGGACAAAACTTGTAATTGCCCTTTGAACACAATTAGCCATGTTGATACTCCATGGTGCTCAAGTATATTAACATGTCATTATATTATAGGTTGCGAAGTTGCTGTTTTAGATATTAGATTTTCTGATGATTTACTCTCAATCAAAGTCTTATTTGATTTCCCTTTAAATTTAAATTATTTTTAGGCTTAATTTAAAGAAAATATTTGCTTTAAATTTTTGGCTGCTGAAACAATTAAGTAATTAGGAAATAACCCTCAATGTGTAATAGATGAAAAAAATAATTAATAATTAATTCTGAAATTAGGTGATAATGCAGCCATACTTCCAGAAGATTTTATACAATTTAAGAATAATTCATTCAGCCATAAAAATTGCCCAAAAAAGTTGAACACATTTATTTTTAATCAAGTCAAATATCCTCTCAATCTATTATAACCTGAAATTTAATATGATCTACCTTAATATTTACTTAATCCATGTGATGATAATACTATTTTGATTAAATCGAAGAGTTAGGATGGCCTTCGAGCTTTTAAGAGCATAACATGGACTTATTTATTGGAAGGGCAAAACGGAAATGGCAATCTGGAAGAATTTATTTTATATCAAACTACTTTTTAATAATTAGACCTAATGATTCCAATATAAACTCTACCGAAGCTTTCAAAAATAACATTTTTTCTTTAATTTTACAACTTTATAGGCCAGAAGGGAAAGTATCAATTTTAAGTTCAAACTCATAATGGGAACTTTCCGACTGTGCTTTGGTTGGGACAGAAAAAATAGTTTACTTTTGAAACAATAAATTTGTAATTTAGTATCTAGAAAAAGAATTGTTCCAGCTAAACAGATTTATAAATTGATAGTTCTGTAGATAACTCCAAATACTCTGTTTAGTTAGTTGAAATATTAAGAAATGACTCTAATTCTAGGTCATCAAATGTAAATCTTTCTTAAATAATTAATGAAAACTATTACAATGTGACAATAGAAAAGTACAAATTAACTCCTTTAACTGCTTATACATTTTAAATGCAAACAAATGAATCGAAAACTAATTTTTCGAATTCTCAAAATATAATATTAGAAATACTTTAAGGAGGAATTTTGTGTTAGTTTAATGGCACTAAAGAGATTCAAAATTATAGGAAAGACTTAAGAGTATATATCTACTGTATTGATCTTGATTATTAATATGATTGGAATGAAGACCCAGATATTGCAATCGAAGTTAGCTGTACAGATTTAACGCTAGGTACTGTTTGCATGGATTTAAATAAAAAAGTTGTCCAAATTAACAAGACAGATTCGACTTAATACATAAAGAAAATGAATGTTTAACCATTTACTATATGGGTTTGGACAGTTATAGCATCAAAATAAGATAGAACATATAAATTCTCTTAAAATATCGTTTTTTTAGAAGATGATTTTTCAATCCTTGATGTTGATTACAGTAAGGGATACATAATGAGACCAGTAAATAATTATGAGACATTGCAGTTTTAATTCAATATCCCTTTCGAGAATAGATATTAATTGTTGTAATATTAGGTTGCTTTAATTTATGATTATGAATTAATAAAGATAATAGAACCTATATATTTTCAATATTAATTTAGATTGTATGATCATTATCAGGATTTTAACAAAGGAAATTAATTTTACTTAAAGTTTTTCGCTCAATTTACAAACAACATAATACCTAGTTAATAATAAATAAAAATGAACTTGAATCAACCGCCTATTTGTTCCATTTATTTAAAATCTTAAAGAGTCTAAGCTCTGCAATTATAAAAACTGGTGGCTAATTGTTAATTTTCTGATGATTACCCATTTACATACTAATTGGGATATTTTTTGAATGAGTAGGACTATTCGGAGTTCTAGAATTAATTATCTGACTATTCTTTGATTCTTAATGGTTTTTAAAGATTTAATTATTTCGAAACTTTGTTACCTTATAGTAAAGGAGTTGCTCTGGTTTAAATAATGGATTCAAGAGGATCAATTACAAACATTGAAGAGCATTTGGATATATAAAAAATTGAACTTAATTGTACTGAATTTATGTAGAGCAATTTCACTTATAAAAAATAAGTCATCATGTTATTAGAGGTGATAATGAATCATTATGATTAAGAAGGTTGCGTTTAATTTTAAGAATAATTAGTCAAAACAATAAAGGCCAAAATAGATTCAGATGATTTATTTGAATAATTATTGGCACTTTAGACAATCAAAGTATACAAACGGTTTAAAGTTAATTTGAGTAATTAAAATTCCTCAGCAAGAGCATTAGCTGAAATAAATTAAGAGAGTTGCTACGACAATTTGAGTTAATTATTTTTAATTAACAACAATAGAACTCAAAAGTATTCCTCTACTGATATACCCAACTTTGTGCTAGAATTTTAACAATTAAAAAATTCTGCTTAAAAAATTCTATCGAAAGGAACAAACTTAGATGATGAGATCAAATAGAATGATATATTTTTCAATGAACAACTATTTCAATCAAAACAATAGATTTCAAATTCATTAGTAGCTATTATTCTATTTGTTGATGATTTGTTTTTGAAAATTTCTTAAGCAACATTTAGTTAAAAGGAAGATAAAGACTAAATAGTTTAGTTATCAAAAGATTTAATTGCACTTATTGAAGAAATGTTGGAGTTTACAAATACTTAAGTTGCAGTCAATGGCCAAGACTTTGTTTTAGATGGTTAAATTTTGAAGTATCAATCAGCAAAGGTCACAAAAGAAGTTTTTAATCAATAGGAAGGTTTAGACAAAGATATCATGGATGGTCTCATTGTCTATGTTCAAAAAGAATAAATGGATATTTAATTTAATTACTTAAATGCTTCTGAAAAACATTTATAAGATATAAAAACAGTTCTGAATTAGTCTTCATTGGAAATAGATCAGAATTTTTTTACAATAACAAAATTACGAAATTATCTTTACAAAAATTAATATAGAGATTACGAAAGATTAAATATTAATTATTTGATTGATATTACTTAATACCCTTATTGTGTTGACGCCTTACTTCCTGCTTATAATTTTCAATGTTTTTAGTATGACAATAGTGAAACATTATAATAATGCTAGCTATAAATAACCGAAATTAATAATAAATCTGTTTAGGTTTCTTGCTAATGTTCTTAGCTGGGAATTATTTTTATGACTAGATATAAAAATTCATCCTCAGATGAATTAGAAATAGTAAAAATATTGAACGGCATTTCGGCAGATGATACTAATTGTAATATAAATAATTAGCTGTTCCTATTGTTTCATGGTATTTATATCGTATTTACTCTTTTCATTTATTATGAGTTAAAAAAATTAGAAACCCCTCAAAATATTGATGCTTAAAATATTGTTACTGAAAGATCTCCTAAATCCTCCGATTAATAAAAAAAAAAATATGATCAGCTTAAGTGCTCTCCTGGAAATTTGGAAATTTTTAAATTTTCTTTTAAAGTAATATTTTATAAATTATACATAGTTTATTCATGAAATACTTTGTTTATTTTACTTTGAAGATCTAATTATCCCAAAAAGCTACAGATTCTTAAAACTCTCTGTATTTTTAACTACTTTAATTCCGTTATCATATTTTGAAACTTTTTTTATCGAAATAGTAACATTCATTCCGCTTTTTATCATTAACTACATTTTACTACTTTTATTAAGAACAATTTTTAAGATATTTGAATCTATATATAGATTTCAAGGAATTTCTAGAACCATTATAATTAGTGTATTCTTTTTAATTCATCTTTTGTCATATGTGTTATCTATCTATTTATCTCTACTAAAGTAAGCAAAATAAATATTTTAGGAGTCAATGCCATCAAAATTTTAACTAAAACATATCAATTGTTCTGGGTTGTTCTATCCTACTGAGTTATGCTATAGTAGATATCCTGGTCATTTATTGCAGAATAGCACTTTTCAGAAATGTAGTAACACTAATGAAAGAAGATGAGTTCAACCCATTAAATAGATTTTTTTACTTCTTTATTTAGCATAACAAATTGTCAGAGATATTTTAAGAATATGCTGTTATATGATTTTAGAATCTTAAAAAGATCATTATGATAATAATTCTATGAATCAAATATCAAAATATATATTCTAAAAATGATTCTTTTTTTTATCATAATTTGGCAATATGAAAGTAATTACACATATTCAGCCATTTTGTAATTTAATTTGATCATTTTCTTTTAAATATAATTAATAAGAATTATATAAAATAATTTTGTTGTTCGATATAGTTAGAAAACACTAAATTATTAAATAATCTATTCAATGTTCCTTGATGAAATATTTGGAATAATTTGACTAGAGAAATAATATTAAGATCCTATTTTAATTTGGTTTGATCGACTATTAAATTCAAAAATGTTGGCAAACGAAAGTTTTAGAATTTTAATTTTCTTAATGATTGAAATCTAACTTCTTATTAATACTGATTTTATCTCAAAATCTGATTGTAATAGTATATATTTCATCTCTAAATTGTCCATAAGGGTCCTAGAAATAATATAAGAAATAAAGTTGGATAACTACTTTAAGTAATTTTTAGTTTTCAAATTTATTTACATGATAATTGATTATTTTTGTTCCATTAATTGATTCCAAGAATGGATTCTCTATTTTGTATAAATTGAACATTTCTATTTTAAGAATAGAATCTAACAAAGATGATTTTAGCTAAATTTAATATTATATATGAAATAAATCATTGAACTGTTTGTCTCATTTGATCCAAATCTGACAATGTGTTTTTACTTAACATTTATTCATGTCTAAGCATTTCGTCAATTATTCCCTTTTTGGCTTAAGACTTTTCTTTCATTTGTTCAAGTAATGTATCTTAATATTCCTTATAGATTTTCTTTTTTTCAATGTCTCTATCTTTTTCAAATTAAAAATAATTAGTAGTGTCTTCCTTCCACAAAGTAGCCTAAGTTTTACAATTTATTTACTTATTCTTGATCCTTTAATTTTTCTCTTTGTTTTTGTACCTCCTTTTCCTCCATTTATTTATTCAAATACTCTCTTGTTTTTAATTTAGTTTCCCACTTCTTTCTTTCGGCTTCTTTTTCTAATTCTTATAGTCTTCTCTCCTTTCTTTGTTCATATTTATCTGCTCTTTTTTCTAATTATCCAATTTTTTCTAACGAAATAGATATCTGTTTTACTTTCCAGTTCTTTTTCTTACATTTCCATAGCCTTCTCTTAATATTGCTTAATTTTTTCATCTCTTTCTTTCATAGCTTTCTGCCTTTCTTCTTCTTATTTATCTAATAATTTGCAATATGCATCCATTAATCTGATATTCTCTTGTCTTTCATCTTCTTTTTCCTTCTCTTACAGTTTTTTCTTTTCTTCGTTTTCAGCCATTAACTTTTACATGACCTAATATTGATGTTCTTTTTTGAATTAGAGGAATTTTTATTCATCATCTAATTCTTCTCTTACTTTTTATATCATATAGCTATCTAAAGCCTTTTCTTATTTCTCTTCATTTCTTCTATTCTTCTTAATTTCCTTGACTTGCTAATCTCTGGCTTATTTCTCAATCATTTTAATTTGTTTGGCCTAATAATTAAGAACAGACATACTCTTTCAATTTTTTCTTATTCTTTTTAATCAAATAATGTGCATTAATACAACTAGTTTTCATAGAATGCATTTTCTTCCTTTTTGCTCACACTTTTTTTAGATTATTTTTCAATAACTTATTTATCCAATTCTTCTTTAATCTTTTTCTTTCTTTCTACTTCCCTTTATTTTTTAATGTCAGTTTCCTTATCATAGAGATATTTATTGTATTTGTATATTGCACCCCACTAATTTTCTTCATTAAGAAATGCCAAATCATTCTCAATTTTCTTGGTATGCAAGCCAGTCATTTTCTAGCTCTTCTTTTCTTCTGTGTTTTTTTCAGTTTTATGTGTGTATTAATCAACCATATCAAAATTGGAAGCTCCTGACATTTTTGAAACAACTGATTTTTAATCATCTTCATCTTTTTACTTGACTTGATTTGAAGATTACTACTATTATAATTGTGGCAATGCCTTTTAGCGACTTATTTCCTATTCTAAATTTTAGATCCTATATATTTAATAAACTCAAATACCCTTCGGCAGTTATAGTTTAATTTTGATTAAGATAGCTATTCACTTTTGCATGTATTTATTCTGTCAAATCCAAACCATACTTCTTTGATAATCTATCAGCTATTTATCTTTTAATTTCTTCCCGTTATTCAGAAGTGTAGTTTTTACGAGACAATGTCGCTTGCCCTGCTGATTATAGTTTATTTTTTGGATAAATCATTAATTATATAAATAAAATATCAATTTTTAATAAGCATTATATATTTGAAAACCCTTGATTGTTCCATTAAGAAAACATATACAAGTAAGTAACATTAATTAGTTACCTTTTGGTACAGAAAGAAAACTAAATAATAAAATTGTAGGTTATTTAATCTTATTAATCAAAATATAGAACATCCACTACTTTTTGATTTTTACATTTATAATCTTTCAGCCCTCATTATTTGAGTTTTTAGATGAATGCCTTTGTAATCTGTAAATTCCCATTCGTTGTACATGATAAAATGAATCAAACACATTATGATAGCTAATTTATCTAATTTTGTGACATTGTTGAAAGTTATTTGATAATTAGGATAATCAGCATATCTACATGAATCACAAGGGCATACATCCTTACATCCACAAGTTTTATAGCATGCTTATTTTGATGTTCTTGTGTTGATGATTTGGCAATCACCTTAACTTAGACCAGAAATTTCAAATTTTCTAATTAATTTTTTGCAATTGCAAACTGAATAACAGCCTGACAATGAATATGGGTGTTCAGGACAAGTATTTTTTTCAGCCTTAAAAGTTATTTTGTTATGCTATTTGTAGTTTGGTTAGTAAACCTGCATTTAAGGCATTGTTGAATCATCAGATGCAAACAGCATATCTTAAATATGTTTCAAACATTATTAAAATTCTAGCACTAAAATTCCTTATATATAGAGTCTACCAAAATTCTTAAATTCAAAATTAATTAATTCATTCTCCAAAAAATAGGCAGTCCTTTTAAAATAGTGAAGATTGTTGCAACAACAACAGTTAGGTTAATCTGATTTTGGAACTCCTGTAAATCCCCTTGATGGGAAAAGGTTAAACAGACTTTTCAGAATTAGGTCTTAATCACCAGCACAACAATATGGAGGCATATTGAAATCGAACTTCCAATTTAACTTACCTAAGCTTGTTATTTCAATGATAGACTCTTCGTAGTATCTCCCTCCACAAAATTTACATAATGGAGATGAACTACACAATGTATGAACAATATCCACGGTATTCTGGATATCAGGTAACAAAGCCAAGGCTTCCAGATAATTTATTGGTTGAGGTTGAACTTACACGTTATCCGAAAGGTTATTCTAGTTCTCAGGATGTAAACTTACATTTTGTTTATTATCCTTAGTCTAATCTTCTTGGTTCATGATTTAGAATTTAAATAAAATTAAAAATATTTATGTATTTTTTATTCTACGCATTCAGGTCTTCTACTATAATTATACAATATTCAAAAATCAAGAAATGAGTAATTAAAATTGAATACCCCTCTGTATGAATACTTTTCCCATCTACTAAATATAGTGTAGCTAATTGTTGAAAAAATTAAGCCTAACTTTTGTATCTTGGATAAATTTGTAAATGTCATTTCAAAGTCAGGGTAATCGATGAAATGACAGCAAAAATCTTAACAACCACATTGAGAAAGACAAGCATTTTTTTATGATCTACGAGCAATAATCTTAGCTTCTGCGTTTTCTCCAACCTTAGCCACTATCGTTCGTTCTAGATCACAAATGCCAGCGAAGGAACATAATGCACAACAATAACAACATGCTCTTGGTCTTACTGGGCATCTGTTGCCTAAAGGTTCAAAATAAATCTTCTCATTTTGTTAATTAAGTGGATTCGTGAAATATATATGAGGGATATTTGATTTACAGCTACCACAAAATACGTCAGAGATATTTGCATATCCCAATTCCAACTCAAGTACCAATGTATCGTAAATATACAGTTTTGCGAAAGTAGGGAAATGTTCAAACCTGATTGTATCATTTTTTAGAATATATGAAGGAATTAGATAAAAATGAACCGCTTCATAACTGGGACAACAATGGCACTACTTAAAGCATCTATCACAACAACATACACAAGGTATTAATGATAAGCATTAAGCACAACTACAAGTGCCTTTACAACTACCAGAACCTTTACAACTACAACAATTTCCACAGTTGTATTTAACGTGACCTCCTAATTTTAATTCTCCTATTGGTTCTATAGTGAAGGTAGACTCTTCCTATTTCTCACAGCAATCATTTTTAAAGGCAAAGTTATGAGTAAAGTTTAATACATCAGGAATGTTACCAAATTTGTTTAGTGCTATTTCAGCTGTTAAATTTTATTCTACATTCTTAAATAACTTGAATTGGATAATACTTCTTAATTTTTGACAAGCTCATAGTCATCATTGACAATGCCAACTTGGGCCAAGTTATTATTTGAATCTGGAGGCCTAATTTACATCTTTTTATTTATGATATTAATAGTTAATAAAATGATATCTACATATAAACTTCATAATATCTAATTCTTAACACAAAATATTAGCTTGAAATTTTAGATAAGTAGCTATCACAATTTAGGACCTGAATTAATTATTTATCAATCCTTTTTCTATTAAAACTTCTACTCATAGTAATTGAAATATATTAAACACATATAATATCTATATATATAGAGAATCTCCACCCCCAATAATATTAGTATACATTTTGGTAATTAGAATAAAATATAAAGATTATATTCAAATGTATCTTATTTTATAACATAATATATTTCAAGAATATGCCTAAGTTATGGTATTAAAGGGGTGCCAAGTATCAATAAGAGGCCTTCTTTTGATAACAAAGACAAATATGCTGTTTAAATTTTATGTTTCAAACATAAAGTCTCAGAATTTTTATTTCACATTATCCTTTTCTATTTACTTCCTAAGTATTTTGTTAACAAGAAATCACACTATTAACAGGAAATCGGTAAGATGAAAAAATTATATTTCATAATTCAATTCTCTATTGTGTAGTTGTAAGAAATTAAGAAAATTAGCATAAATTAAAAATTTAATTGAGTAAATTATATTAATTATATAATATGAATACTTACTAGTGATTAATGAGTAAGACATTATTTGGAAATATAATTATGTTATTTTAAGAATTCATTGATCTCTGAAATTGATCACTAAATTATATTACATATCATAGAATATTTAATAGATATATTCATAACTTATATTTAGTAGCCTCACTAACTGCAATTGGAATTGGGTTTCTTTGTTTCTGATAAACTCCTCCGTACTCATTGGATAACTCTGATTTTCTTACATGTCTGGCTAGATAAGCAGTATTGGCTAAGGGTATGAATAAATACGAATATTGACTTGAAGTTAACATCCCAATCACTTCCTATGAGACTTTTTCGATGTTTAGATTTATAAGAATCACTTTTCTAATATTTAGGAAATAATGTTTGTATGTCAAATTCACCAAGAAGTTGAGCAATATTTAATTTACAGCTTCTTGCTGCAAATCATAAACGACAATAATATGATTGCTGAGTTTGTTTATTTTGGCTATCTCATAAAAGAGATATTCAAAAAAAAATAGGAGGTATTGCTAAATAATTTCAACATTGATTTTCTCTAATTTAATGGACAGTACTAATCCATTTTAGAAATCCACACCTATGATTCTGATTGCTTCTTTTAAGAGTTCATTTTCGATTGGTCTTATGCTCTATCTGAATTCTTGGTTTTGCTTTAAGACTTCACTAATTTTATTTAGATTGAATGATTAACTTACCAGAAGAAATCTGCACAGACTTAATTCCAAGTTTGAATTTAGATTTGAGACTTCAATGATTTGTTTCGTTAATGTTTTGCTGTGCGGGTCGTAATTTGAAATTCCTAATTTTTTTGCATAGATCTGTATTTCTTTTAAAGGAATTGGATAAAGAAATGCATTTCTTATTTTTTCTGACACGTATTATCGTTTTAATTGAGACGGCCTTTCCTTATTGTTAATATTAGTTATTTGCTAAGATCGAGAAAGACAACCATGTTCTAGATTACCCATTGAAATATAAAATAATCAATATTTCTATTTTTTTATTAAAAAATATTAAATAATTTGATTAACAGTTTTTCCATCTATAATCGAATGGTAATTGTGTAGGGTTTAAGTTTGGGAGAGCCTTAAGAAATATCGAGTCTTTGGATAAGGGGTTTACTCCAATTAGAGGCACTCTTCAGATTTCTTAAATTCTCCTTATTGGCCCTTCAATATAGAAAGCAATTCTACAGTATAAGATAGGTTTTACAGAAATATTGCAAAGTTAATTAATCTAAAGCATTTTCGGAGAATCTGATCATCCTCAAGTTCTGCTTAAAATTGTAGAAATTAGTTATGGCCTCAATTTATCGATTCATTTAATATTGTTCCTTTAAGTATGTTAGGTTATTCTATTGAAATTTCGAGTATTTAATTAAAAGGTTTAGAGACTTGGTGATTTGATTCAAGAGGATTAAAAATAGTAAGATAATTCCAACGGCAACAAGGACCAAAATTTGTATATCTTTCTAAAATTCTGAAGCGAATAATAAATATATATTTTGATTGAGTTAATGAACCTATTGATAAACTTCTGTTATATTTTTGAATCTTTAATGATAATTGAATATTGTACATAATCACTATTTGAGGTGGATATGGAGGATATTCAAGTTATTTAGCAATTATAAGGACTTCCTAACCGTACAATGAGTTGTATCTGCAGAGATAGTCGGATACATCTTGGGAGCAATTGCTTAGAGATTCGATATCATATTAATTTGAAGTGTCATTAATTATAATGGATATTGAATCCCAATCGACTTAATTGAAACCGGTAATTGAATCATTAAAAAAGAAAATCGGCTTGGTTGTATTTGGAGGGTATTTGAATTGTCCTATGATAATTTAACCTTTGATGTTAGTTAAAATGTAATCAGCATTGAAATTTTTTTTAAAGACATTAAAATCCATTAAATTAAAAACAACTCCTGCAAATTAATTATTTTTATTCGTTAAATTTTGTGATATGGCAATAGTGTAAGTGCCAAAAATGGTTGTAAATAAATCACTATACTAGTATTAAAGCCCATTTTTCATTTATGCTATGTGGCTTAGATACCAAGATCTTTGATGAGCATTGTAGGATAATGTGGAATTTAAGGCTGGCCAAGTTCCTAATATAGGAATTGAGTCATCTGAGGTGTAAGCTATTCCTGTAGCTATGAATTGGGTTGCGTCAAAAATCTATATGGTTTAATGAAATAGCGAAACAACCTAAAATTATTTTTAGATTGCTGTTGATAACTCCGTATAGTTAGTTTCATCATATTAATAGGCCATTAGGCAAAAGATGGATTTAGATTCTTTCTGCGAAATGTTGGATGGGCAGTAAAATGGGGTTTAGGTGTTGATAATATTTTCATTGACATCAACAAATAAGTAAATATTTTGAAACATCCTTTGCTTTCTGAATACTAAAGCATAATTTTTTATATGTATACTTTAGTTTATGATTGTTTTCAATCTTTAATCGTATTAAGCCAATTGGCCCTTTAATTGGTTGTTGGTTTCTTTGATTAATACATTCATCGAATTAGACAGAAAGGCCTGTTACATGTAGTTGAACAGAGTTATATTGCTAACAACCACGATTGCCAAGACTACGATGACAATAATAATAAACAAAGCAATAATTTGGGTTCGAATTCTAAAGTTTGACAAATCCATTCTTAAATTATTATAATTAAATTAGGAGTAATTGTAATTCAATAATGTAATTGTTTTTTATAATCAATAAAAACAATTTCAAATTAATAATATAAAAAAATTAAACAAATGATAAATATCATTTAAAGTGGTTAAATTCATATGACATCCTGATAATTAAAGATTTTAACTATCCCATCTGCACCTCCTGTAGCTACATACTAATTATTGCTTGTGATTGTGTATATCCCTTCATCATACTTTTATTTATGTGCCTAAAATAATGAACTCTCAAATTACCGGTATTTCATGTAAACATTAGAATTTTCGAATATCCCATGTTCTCATACTTCCATCATGACTCACACTCGCCAGTTGATATACATTCTTTGAGAATAAACATAAATCAGTGACAGCATCTGTATGGCCAATAAGAGTCTTACAGAGTTTGCTTGAATTCAAATCAAAAAATCTAATTTTATGATCATCATGACCCGAAACAATATATTTGAGTTCATTATTAAACAGAATTCTGTTGGGTTAGGCAAAGGTGTTGAATTGGTTGTCAAGATCAAATCTAATTTATTAAATCGCTTTAACAGTAGTCACATCGTAAACAATGAATGTCAGAGTGTCACTGTATCCACAAATAATATTTTCGTTGAATCCCTTACAAATCCATTCAATGGCTGTCGGTATGGATAACCCAGTCATAGATTTCTTGAAGGTGAAATTGGCCAAAGGATTCTACAACATTTCCAAATTCAAGTTCCCTTTCCTTATTAGATCATATTGATAACAAACTCCAAGAGATTTCCACATCTTCACAGATCCATCTGCAGAAGACGACAGCAATCTCTGATCATGTGGATGATGTTTCAATGACCAAATCACATCAGTATGGGCACGCCATGAAAAGTACTGATTCGTAGACACGATATAGGACCTTATAGTGCCATCTACTCCTGCAGAATACAAATGTATTTGAGGAGATTTAAAGTAGGAAGTCATTGTAAATATTGGTCGATCATGTTCTATTTAATATGAAATTTTAGATGTACATCTAATAGTTTGGATGGGTTCTAAATGAGTCTAAGCATTCATTTATTGAACTTCATTGAGATTCCACAATTTTATTGTACAATCCTCAGAAGACGTCACTATATAATTATTTTGAAATATAATTGATCTTACTCCATCCAAATGACTCCTCAATTATCCTTTGGTTGAGAAGATCTCCTTTCCGACTATTATTTCTCTTTCTGTCATACTCATACTATTCACCTCATTCTGACTAGTTTCCAGAGTTTGCTTCTTCCTTTGCAATGCAAAGTTGAGTAATTCTGAAGCTCCATTGCTATTGCTTCGTTGATGATGATGCTTTTATCTTTGTGAACATGTATTGTATGTATTCTGGTTAATTAAAATTTGGTTGATTTTAGCACTTTGAAGTAACTACAAATTAATAGGAGAATGGATTTGGATTTAGTTTTAAACTTATTCTTCTTGGGCATCTTCATTTTTCAACTCTTTAAGAAAGCTAGATTTATTCAATTCATTACTTTTGTAAAAGTGGTTTCTTGTCCTTCTACAATATTTTCTCGATGTTTGGTTGAGTTATTAATTTTTGTTCATTCATTTCGTTTTTCAAAAATGTTCCATTGTCACTCTTAACTCGATGATGGAATTTTTTTTTTGTTTGCAGTTTTAGATTGTCTGCAATTGGTTTGAAAGAAACTTTGAATTGCTCCAATTTCTCAAGTCTTTCTATTAGTTATTTGTTCAGATTTCTCTATTCCTCCAATTATCCCTTCAATTCCATTATTGCAGTCTGTTTCATATCACAATATTCATTACTTAATATTCAAGTCTTTCCTTCTTCCACTCCTCCTCTCTATCCAACACTTCTCCTTTTAGATAATCAATGACATTATTAAAGTTTTACATTTCAGATTTTATGAGGATGCTAGAAATGCTTATATAAATATATAATTAATAAAAATATTCACTAGATATTTTATTTTCAATATATATTATTCCCATTTCTATTCCAATACTAAATCTCTCCTAATATCGACTATTATTATTCAATCTCTCCAACCAATAATATTACATTTCGCTACTACTTCCTTATTAATTCCATTTATTACACAATAAGCAAACAGTAAATATCGAGACTCTCTTGATTCTTAGTAATTAATTTTAGTTATCACATAATAATTTTAAGTAAATATAAAAAATATTCGTTAATGAGCTAATTCACTTTTATGAAGAAGTATTTGTAAAAATAGGCATCCGAAACTAAAATGCACTGCGAACCTCTAATAACCTTGACTATTGAACTTGATGAAAATAAATATAGTCAAATCAACATATATGAAGATTCCAATCCGGATATACTAGCATCTAACTTTGTTACAGATAATTACTTAAGCATGGCTTATGTTGAACCACTCAAATAGAACATCATCTAGCAAATGTTGATGTATGACTAAATGAAGGTAAATGCTTCGATTTATACAATAGAAATAAGAAAAAGACAAATAGCCTCTTTCTCAATGGGAAACTGTTAAGAAACAACAATAAAATAAAGAAAATCAGCAATCAACACCAACTAGGAATCTGAACACCAAAAGACACACTCCAGAAAAGACCCTGCCAACCAATTTAAAATCAGAAAGAAATCTATCTAGAAATAAAAGATTCCAAACTGAAGATATGAACACTCATGATAGACTCTACCAATAGGCCAAATAAACAAACAATATCAAACAATAGAAAAAAGAGCACGAATAAACATCAAAGCAAAAAGACCCAAATCTCGCATTCAAACCTAAAACTAATAACATCTAAACAAATAATAGGAGTAAGAGTCCTCAATCTAATTAAAATTAATTTTATCTTCAGCAGCCAACTCAATAAAAATAAATGTAACTAAAAAGTCCCAGACTCAATTAATTGTATTAAAACAAATCATTTGAATTTCTGCTTCCAAAAAAAGAAGTCAAGATTTCTATTTTGGAAAATGAAGAGAGTGTGACTTAGTTACCTAAAACATAAGATTCTCCAAATGTATCATTTTCTGAAGAGAGTTAGTTTAAAAACGATAGTCCTTATACTTCAGCCTAAGAGGAGAATTCATTATATTAAGCAACCAAGGATTCAGATGAAAGAATAGTAGCAAAATTATTTGCAATGATTGAATCAAACAACGTAGTAGATGCACGCAATATACCATATGAAAAGTTCAATTATCAATTAATAGTTGAGCTTAGATTGCATTTTCAAAAGAACGACTTCAAAATTATGAATTGTGAATAGTTTTGTTAGAGTGTATTGAGAAATGCAAAGCTAATCAAAGTATTTGTATGATAATTTTCTAGTTTGCTACTGATTTTTTCAAGTTTGAGAATGTGCAATACTAAAATACTTGTTATTATCATTGAATGATAATATATTACTATTTTAATATAAGATCAAATGTTTTTGTCTTAAATCTGTTTTAGAACACCTAATAGTTATTAATTTTATTTATTATTACGCATGTCTCGTATCTTCAGCAAATTAGTATAAATAAAATACTACATAGTTCTCTAATTCTTCAGCTTCATAAAAAGATTTACCTCAGGGCTTCGCTGAATAAATCTTGCAATATGACATCAATTTTGTGTTGAGTAATTTTACTAATTTAGATGCCTTGAATCATTTGGTATAATTGTATATGGTAAAGTTGTTATCGATGTTTGTGTAGAAAGGAGTTGAATACTATGAATCTTAGCAAGATCGAAAATAGGAATATTTTAAATACAAGTTGCATTGGTTAATGAGTCATCCGAATTTATTACAGGAAAAATCGAAAAAAGTAGAAATGCATTATCCAACTATTCAAGAGAAGTTAATACAAAAAATAGAGCCAAACGAGAAAAATCATGTTCAATAATTAATTACGAACATCCAACAGGATAAATAAAATCATTTGAAGTTATAAAAAGTATATTGTAATAATTCTATTTCAGCTAATTTCGAATGAGATAAATGATTAACAATAAAGAATCAATTGTAGATTAAGATAGAGATCTACTTCAAAAAATGAAAGAGATATTAAATAATAACAACACTAACTTAATCACAATCAGCAGTATCATAATTAAATTCAGAACCTTCAATAACAGCAAATTAACGAAGCTAGACCTGAAGAAGAGCAATCTTATGTTTATTCGAAGCATATATCACTCCATAAATGAAGTATTCTGTAAAAGAATGTATTATAACTTATACACATATTAATCAGAAAACGACTACAAAAATAAACACGAATATTTCCGAAAATAAAATTATTAATAGTTTCCAAGAACTGGATTAATCTAAAAAATAATTCATCTTATTTTTCAATCTATTCATAGCTTAATTTGCATAATCAGTCTAAAAATCTTTAAAAATTAAAAAATACATCTTCGTGTAATTAATCTATAATTCCATTTTATTCTTTGATTTATTTGCTTAGATTTTGTGATGAATATTTGATATTGAGAACCTTATCATTAATCTTACTCAGATATTCATCCTATCTATCAGTTATTTCACCGTGCATTTTAAGAGCATCCATTTACCCAAAACTTTCATAATTCTTTTTGTTTGCTATCAATAGAACATACCAAAGTACATTTGTTTTATGTCAATTATTGTTATAAATAGTTTAAGTGATTCTATTCAATTCGTTTTTTGATCTCTTATCGTTTTTGAGCTAATTCATTGTATAAATTTCTCCTTTTCTAAATTTCCTTAGCCAACAAATTGCAATTCTAATTGGCTGTATAACCCTTAATCTCTAAATCCAATTAATCCAATTCATTGTCTAAATCAAATTTCCATATTCACCTAAATATTTTAAAGTGGAGTTGATTTCTGCATCGATGAGACCTGTCGATTTACTCTGTTATTTCAGTTTTTCCCTTGTTTATAGATCTGTCTGTATTTAATTGATTCTTTTGGAGGCGTTGTATGCGAGTTCTGTAAACATGGCTGATTAAGAATTTTATATAAATTACAACTATTTAGTTTTATAATAAAATCTTAATAAATTCATAATTTTCGTACACGACGTGATAGTGTTACTATGATAGAACTTTATGCTGAAATTGGATTATGCAATTAAATGCTTTGGAAGGTTTCCAAAAATTATGTATTTTATGGGATTTAATATATATATAAATATAAAAATGTATAATAATTTTGGAGATGAGTAATACAAACTTAATAAATGGTGTCAATTCATCGATCAAAAAATTGCACAGTTTTTCAGCAAACACCTTTAAAAGCACAACTCAATCAAGGACTACTATTATGACTTTATGAATGCTCTATCAATAATAATAATTAGATTCACCTTAAAAACTAATGATAATAGATTACCTACCTTTTGTCTTATTTTAGTGATTATGCATTTGCTATTAACCATTAAACAGAAACTCCGTAAGGTTTAGAATTTACTCAATCATCTTATAGATGTATTTGTTTTGATTTCTATCTTAAACTTTAGTAGAGAAAATGACAATGAATTCATAATAAGACTTGCTCTTCAGATTGGGATTCAGACTTCAAAATCTATGATATTTTAATATGATTAGTTTAGTATGGTTTTTTAGAATATCATCAAAATTTCATCAATAACAATCATTAAATGGTATTTAATCAAAGATTATAAGTATGAATCTAATTGTATTTTAGTACTTTTAAAATAATAGTATTGCTGGCTCTCTTGATATTTTATTAAATAATATAACTCCTAATAGTTACGGCATACTCCTACGCATATAAAAATATCTGGATCAACAATGAGAGAATGAAGAAGAATAATCAAATGATTGAAAAACTGCTTTTTGAATTACCAGTAGGAATCATATTGTTCAATTCAAATGGAGAAGCACAATTTCAAAACTCAATATCATATAAATATCTGCCAAAATCAGTTGATTTAGTGGCCAAACAGTATGCATCCGATGGAGTGTAAACATATAAGGACTTAATTTTGATGGAAGGAGACAAGGAGAAGTTCCAGAAGGTTTTTGTGGAAACATTGGAATCAACAGATCCAATAATAGTGTCCTTCGCATTTTAAGGCCATCCTATGCCCATCAGTTGTCATTTGAGAAAGTAGGTTTTCAACAAGAATTCAGTTGTGGAGGCAATTTTCATAGAGAAATCTGATGATTAATCTCTGATTTATGAAAGGATATCACAGAGCTTATAAATCTTGAAGATCCAATAGATCTCTGAGATTCTGTCTAAATAACCAGAAGGAATCAAGTAGCAATTATTGTAGGCTTTATTTCCGATGCTGAGCAAAACAGATTATCAGAAGTCTGATTTGATTGTATGCAATTTGAAGAATTACTTTAAATTTTTTGCCGATTGTCTGTAGATCATCTACAAAACAAATCCTAATGTGAGAATAGAGAACGATGTTCCTGATTAAGCTTTTATTGACATAGTAAAGATGCATGGCATTTTAACATAATTGATATCTTATATCTATTAGGAGCATCATAGGAAGTAGGCGATGCAAGGAATTTCATCCTAAAGGTAATTAATCCAATAGAGTGATAGATAAATTCAAAGAGACATGAACAATTTCTCGTTAATTTCTTTCACTATTTCAAAAGGGGAAGAATTATAAATAACAATCCAAATCGATTATCACAATTAAATTCAGGAATTAGAAATGTTATTTCAGAGATTCGACTTTGAAGCATTAAAAAGTTATGACTTTAGATTGTAATCTTTATAAGATGAAGATTTATCATACACGTCTTTTGTTCATATTTTGCATTAGATTTATTAAATGGAAGGTCGAATAGAACTGTGTGAAAGATTGGATAATATAAAGATTCAAGTGAATATTCCAATGAGAGTCACAACTGAATATCAATCGGTTCTTTTAGATCATTATATTAGTATGGGTAAGTTGGATACCCAATCCAAAATCTATTCAATAAATAGCGAATTATTCTAGGCCTTCAGAATAAAATCTACAAAAAAGATTACCTCAACTCAAAGAATAGCACCTTAGCCAGCTCCTAGGCTAAATGAGGAAGCAGTAAAGGTTTAAACATCATTAAGTGAATAAAAGCCATTTTAAATTTGTAAATGTTTTGAATTTACTTATCGTCCAAATGTTGTAAGTGAAGAGGAGAAATTGGAATCCAATAAAATTATTAGTCCCAACTTATCCCCCATTAACAAACCGTCTACTTTGAAGTAAGCAGATGTTGCTACATTTGATATCGAGGATAGAATCAATACGCAAATGCATTCAGTAGAAAAGGCAGTTTCTAAGGTGTTGGAGCAAGTGTTATCTGAAATTATGACATTTAAAGGAAAAAGAATCAATGTTCATTTTAGAAATTCTAAACAAAAACAGAAGTCATTTGAAACATCTCCCAGCAGTAACCAATTCATTTCTATATTTTAGATTCCTCAGCTTAACAACAATAGAACTAAAGAAATACTAGTGTGCCAAATTTATAATAGTTTCGGACTACCATTCCTGAACAAAGAGAGAACAATGTTAATCAACAATAAATGCAATAATTATAACAATTCCCCAATTAATCCTTGTTCAAATAAAATGCTATTCAATAAGTACCCCTCTAATCATCACAGAATTTTGGAAGCGCATCCACATCTTCTCATTAATAATAGTAATTGAACTCAGTCCAACAACCTAAAAGGAATTAAGGGACTCAATTATTGAGATCTCTTAGAGAAAACGATTCCAAAGTATAGCATCTAGAATAGAGTGATCAATTTAATCAAATTAAGCCAGATGAGAACAACGATGATCTTAAAAATTCTGTTAAGTTCATTCCTTCTACATAAGAAGACCCTTAAATTTAAAAATCTTAGCATTCTTAGACTTCTCTCGGAGTGATTATTCAACCTATGTAATCGTAGGGATCCGAGAGATCACCTTGCTTCAAAGTCTAAAAACAAGTCACCATCAATGAAATTGAAGGCTAATCAGAGGAAATCAAACAGTAAGAAACTGTAGATCTGAAGTAATTCTATTAGGAAAAGCTAACTTATTTGGTAGTAGATGATTCGACAGATTTCTTAGATTTCAAAATTAAATAGACTCATTAATTCGATCAAAGCATAAGATGCACAGATGCAACCAAAAAGATTAAGTCATTATTTGAGTAAAATAAGATCTATCATTTCATTATTGTAAGGATTAACCTCCCATTAAAGAATGGCATATAGGTATTATTCTATACCAATAATTTAAGTTTATTAAAGAAATTAGATAGCTAGAAAATCAACACAATTTACCCAAATAATACTTTGTTGGTATAGAAACCAATATATCATAAACTCTTAGACAATCTTGTTTAGAAGCTGGCTTTGATGAAGTTTAAGAAAAACCATTAAAGTCATAATACTTAGAATAGTTGATTGAAAATCGCTTGAATCCTTCTCCTGTAGTTATTTGGAAGCCCATTCTGAAAAGCCCAAACAGGGAACAACAAGAGAAAATAAATTAAGTTCACAAAGATCTAGACTAATTTTAATTGCCTCAAAAGATTTCTTCTTTCAAAGCCATACCAGTTCCCTAGAAACAACCATAAGATAGAAAAGCCTTCTATTATCCAATTGTCACTATTTATATATTAGATGATTCCAGTGTGTAAATCAGTGCTTTGTCATCCATGAAATTTAGTTTCAAAACTAAAGTTGATTTTGATAGAAATGTAGATGCTGGAATCAAAAAATTTGATAAAGTATTTGAAGAAAAAAAAATATTTCATGTTGTGTTACTTAAAATGAATTTCTCATAAAAAAAAGGGATAGAGGTATATATTTGAATTCATTAGTTATTATAACAAATAAGGCAAATGGAGGAGAAATATTTAGTTCCCAAATAATATATAGTGGCTATAGATAGTGACTTTACTGAAGATTAAAAGTAGGACCTAATAAAACAGGGATTTGATAATGCTTTATCCAAACTTATTGATAAGAGATTGCTAGAGGAAATACTAAATTAAAGGCTAGAAGATAATTGAATCTTATATATTTTAAGAATTAAAATCATTATTTGTGTTAATAATGATTAACAATCAAACAATTTACATATAAATTCAAATAAAAATTTATTTTATCTTTATAATATGAACTGTTCATAAAAATGTTATTAAAACTAAATTTATTTGATTTTCTGTAGTTGGCTTATAATATATTCTAGATATTCTTCGACTATATATTCTTATTCATGTAATGAGCCTATTATTTTGAACAATACTATCTAAATATGGAAAACATTCAAATAGCATGTGTCCATCTTTTATTAAATCTAGTTGCCTAAAGAGTTAACAAAAACCTTGGATATTCAATTTGGATAAGTGTATGATTTATAATACAATATAAGATGTTATAAATATTCAATAGGCTTGGTAATTAATTCAAATAATAATGAATTATTCAAATTATTTTCCCAAATTAATCAAAAATCAAAAATTCTAATTTAATATTAATTAACCAATAAAATTCAATTTTTTATAAAGATGGATGATGGCTATGTGTAAGAGCTGTTTAAGCTATTTCGAGAATCATAATATGTTCAACCTCCAAAAAAACCTATTGGTGCTTATGAAAGATTTGCAGGGAATTATGAATAGGCATGCAAAGATAAGAGTCTAAATCACAATTCTGAGTAGGCTAAAAGATAATGGGAAAACTTGGAAAAGGAACTTAAAGATGGTACAATTATGTTAGATGTTAGAATATTTTCGATTATCAAAGAAGGATGATGAACTCTATGAAAAATTGCTCCGCCAATATCATTCCATTTCTAGCCTCATTAAGAAAAAGAAGGCTGACGGATCAGTGTTGTTTTTCTAGGAAAAAGGAACAGATAGAGGGTTAACTAATCTTCAATAATTATGGGATGAGCTAAGTATTGAGGAAAAGTAAATCTATGGATAGAGGGCATAATAAAATTGTGAGGACACGATAAAGGTACCTTATATACATATCTACATTCTCTAGGCCTCCATTGAAGATTATATTGCAGACTATGAACATTACTTGACTCAGTAGAATGAAAAACCAAAAGACTTAAAATTTATACAAAAGATAGAGGAGGAGCAAGATGAAATAGATTAGATCGATATCATCATTGGAATTAAGCGTACCAATGGAAAGAAGGAGTATTTGGTCAGGTTTAAGGGTAAGACTGGTAAGGATGCAAAATGGTTCCCAAAAAAAAAATTAAGAAAAGTGAAAGAAATGGTTAAGGAATTCGAAGAAACATATTTCAAATAATCATTCTAAGAAGTTGATTCAAGTAGTGGTTTTGATTCAACTCCTCCTGAATAAATTTTCTAAGAAAACGAAAAAGAAGATAAGTAAGTTAAATAAAATGAATAATAAGATGATGAAAAAAATAATGCTAAAGATACAACCCAAGTATAAAGAAAAAAATTGACATCTCAACCCAAAAAATTATAACCCTCGGAAAACAAGAACTAATCTCACCCTCCAGAATCTAGTAAACAATCAAAAAGTTAAGCTAGACCCAATAAAAACAAAGTGACTACTAAACCCTAAAACTAATAAGTCAAATAAGATAAATCAAAAAACTAAAAATAATAATAAAGTCAATCTTAAGTTGACTTAAAATAAATAAGTAAATAAGCATCATTAGACAAATCTATAACATCTGCTAAAGAGGTTTAAAAGTAAAAGGATAATGCTCTGAGTAATTAATAGGTTTTACAAAAGAGAACTGCCAAAACTCCTAATTAGGATGCTAAATTAGAGAACCCTATAAGTAAAAGAGTTAAGAAATAAGTTGATGAAAAATCAGCAGATAAACCTAAAATAAAGACACCTTAAAAACAGCAATCAAAATAAGATAAGTAAACTAAACAAAAATAAGTAAATCAATCATCTATTTAACTCAATTAAAAAAAATAAGAACTACCTATCACCAAAAGATAGGGTAGAAGTAAAGACACTCTACATTCTGAGGCACAACAAGCATCAACTACAAAGTTAAATCCTAAAACCCAAAAGTAAGAAATCAAGGACAATAAATTGTCTAAGAAATAACAGTAGGTTGTGGTTTAATAAAAAAATTTAAGTCGTTCTAATCAAAGATAAAAACAAGTAAGTTAAATACAATAATCAAAAAATGTAGAAAAAAAATAATAATCTACATAATAATCAGTGGTTTAGGCAAAAACCAGAAGTGTAAGTGTGCAATCTATTAAGTCAAATCCTAATCAAATTTAATAATAAAAAAAATAAATTGTAAATAAAAAAAATCGATCTCGATCAGTCGATGCTCCGATTAGTGCTGCTCTGAAAGGCCCTTAAAATAAAGTTACCATGAGAAGCAGAAATTCAACCAAAACAAATGAGAGCAGTAAGAGTCTGAAGAAGGCTTCAACAAAATCAAATTAGTAAGTGAAAACAAGTTAATAAAAATAATCAACTAAAGAAACACAAGTTCAAAAAGGAAAATAAAAGGCTGTTATATCCAATAAAAATGTGACTAACCAAAATAAGCAACCCACTTCTAGAAGGAGGGAGAGTGGAAATACTGAAATTAAGGAACCTCATAAAATCAACAAAAAAATATCAAAAAAAGGTATAAAAAATCAAAAAGAAAAATTCACGAAGAAAAAGAAAATATCAGCAGAATAAGCAAGTGCCTAAGATAGAAGGTAAAATTAAAAGCCCATTCCTAAGGTTACTGTCAGATAAACGAGGTAATTGAGAAGTAAAAAGTCTTAAGACGTGGGAAGAAGAAAGCACTGAATGTTGACTATCTTTTGAATTATTAAAAATACATAAAAAATATATTTTCATTTAAATGCAGCAAGGTATCAGTCAAAACTTCGTTAAAAATCTTAATTTTAATATTGATGATGAAATGTTTTATGTTTTACCACATAGAGGAGAAATTAATTTTAAAGGATTTGCTCAAACAGAGGTAATCATATTTTTAATATTAGGAATTCTCATAAAATGACAATATCTAATAACCATTAAAAAGTATTGCAAACGAGCTCGTTTAAAAAACAACTCCCATCAGATAAAGTTGGGTTCTTCCGAAACAAGGCCATCAATTTAATTTACCACCCTCATATTTTAGGAAAAAAGTTGTAATCTCAAGAGATAATGATCAACATCAAGTTCGAAGAGAAATTAACCTGTATGATTTTGTTCCCTATGTCCAATTAAATGATAAACAACTAAAATAGATAAGGAAGGAGGCAACCTTCGATGTGTAATTGAATAACAATACAAATACCGATAACAAATGGATTGTTTCAAGATGGTTAGTAAAAGGAACCAAGAATATTCGAAACTCTTTTTATAATGATATGTTAAAAGCTTAAGATTGTTTAACTGGATTAGGAAATTTTATCTACAATGAAAAAAATTTTGATAAATTATGGAACTTTTCAATAGTGCACGGCATTTATATAATTGTTAAAGTAAATAGTATAAATATTCTAGAAATCAATATTGATTCCATCACTTTTTATAGGATACAGAGAAGTGATAGGAGATACTAGCACGAAAGCAGCATAACTTTTAGTTGAAAGGGAAAGGTAACTATCTTTAAGAAATAAGAATTTAAATTTTGCTATTTATTAATTTCTCTTTCATACTCAAGAAACATAATCTGCAACAAAGTTGAAGGTGGATTATATTAAGAATTAGTTCAAAAACTTTGAATAAGATTGTTGGAAAATAGCAGCTTTGTTGAGTGACGCACACATCAATTAAAATCATTAAAATAATTACGAATTTAGAAATTATTAAGAAAAATATCAATTTATTTACGATTCAAATAAAGAGATTGATGAACTTATAAGTGAACAACTCATTAATGTTCAACAAAGATTTGTGAAGAAGAATGCCATAGATTTACCTGAATCTGCAATTAAATAGATAATGGACATCCTAGAATGCTATTAATTACAAAAATATTATGAAGAGTTATTAAAGGTATCATTAGTTAACATATTCCCTAGAGTGAATTGGCAAATTATGAGTATTAATTGGTTTAATAATATGAAAAAGACTTTTTCTTCTTAAATAAATCAGATCATAAGGCAACATATATAAAGGATGCTTTGAAGGTGAAAAGGAAGAACTTAAAAAAGCAGTACTAAAATCAAATGATCTAAGAATTATCCAAAAAAAATATTATGGATAGAAATATATATATAGAATTTTAGGAAAACAAATAGAAGTATAAAAATAGAGTAAAAGATATAAAGGAGATGACAAGAGAGCAATTTTCGAAGCCGAATATAACTTTTAACATGTTTTTATTTGAAATAATTTTAGAATTCGTTTAGTTGTGCCTCCTTATCCAGTATTTTAAGACGGAAACCAATTTTATTTGTGGAAAGTAATCCATTACGAAATAAATTCCACATATTACTTTTGGAAGTTATCTAGTTTATGCATCCTATTTTTTACGTTGATTGTCAATAGTTATTGTGTTTTTTATCAGTTTGGAATATGTGGGCATTATGGACTCAAAGCTTTATTTTCAATAGAAAGCTTTTACAACGACTAAAGAATTAATAGTTAAACTGGAGAGGTTACGGGTGATGAACTGGTGGAGACGATATGTTCAACCTTAAGGTCAATTTACAGAGGGATGGAAAAGTCAAGAAGAGAATTTGAGGAGTCGGAAGATTCAGATATGTTTGGGAAGGGCTGTTTAAGAATCTGTAATTTAATTGAAGTCTACATATTTCGATTCCTATTTGTTGGAGTGTTCTGTACATTAATTTTGAAACCAATGTTAATTCTATTTGTCTCAATTATGTTATTCTTTTTTTTCATAACTTCTTTTATGTGGGCAGGATTTGTAGCATTAATTAAGTAAGACCTAAATTAAATATTATAGATGGATGATATGTTTGATAATTTATGATGTCGATACAGCAGAAAGAATAGAATACAACGAAATAGATTATATTCATTTTTTCATCCCATTATTCAGAGCTTTCATAGATATAATAATAGGAATGGTTGAAATAATTGTTTGTTTGATTTGTTTGTTGATTTTTCCATTATTTGCAATATTGATAATTGTATTTGGAATTTTTAGATACATAGTACGTTATATTTATGATTGCTTCATGATGATAGTAAGAATGAAATCTTTATTTTTAGTTTCTCTATTGTTGCGGAAGAGTCCCTTATCGTTCTGGGTGTTTGGCTTGGAGAGTTGGAGGTGATAAGATTCAGAAAAAGGTGATCTATAATTATCATAAAGTAAAATTAAAAGGTGATATTAGTTAACAAATGAAGAGTTGGTGTTGTTGACTGCTGGAGAACTAGAAAAGTTTATTCTCGAAGAATATCAACACAGAATTGTAATGACTATCCAATAGCCAGAAAAACTAATAAATAGCAGTTTGCAACCTTTTTTCAATCGTTTTAATGCACAATATTAGTGCATAGATTCAAATCAAAAACTACTTTTGGAATAGCTCTCCTTTAAAATTGCAAAATAAAAATCACTTCACCCAGTTTTAGATGCAGAAACAAAATAATACATTAAATTCACAGCAATCGAACTCCAAGAAATTAAATAATTTTTGATAACATTTTTGGTTGAACAAATCAATTTAAAAAACATGCATTCTTATATTTGGAAAAACCTTAATTTATAAATTGGAGATTATTAAAGTTTGGTCAGCATTATTCTTACTAAAATTTTTGGTAATGATATCCTAATACAACCAGAAGAACTAGCTAAAGAAGTCTAAATTGTATATTAATTTATTATTCTCATTAGAAAGTAGAAAAAGAAAAAGGGTTGGGTCAATAAATTGAGAGAGCAATGAATGGAGATGTAAATTTAAACTAACCTGAGAAATTGATTATAGAAGAAAAAAAAGAAATACCAAAACAAATTACAAAGAAGGTTTATAAATAATTTATTCCAATTTCTGAAGTAATTTAATCCTTTTATTATTAGATACTCGATAAAATATGGCTAGCCTAATCGTAAAATTAAGAATGGAGTTCTTTAGAAAACAAAGATTCTAGGTTTTTGTTAAATTACTCTTTGAAAAATCAATGATTTTGTTTAGAATATACTTGTATTAATTGTTAAATAAATACATGAAATCTATTTTTCAATTCTTTCTATAATATTATTATTCTACTTTTTTGTAGTCAATAAGTATTAATAAGTATTGAATTATAAACATTCTTTTCTAAACTTAAATGTTTATATCAGAATCAGGATGATGATGATAAATTCATTTACAAAAAATATATTATAATTAAACAAAGACATTGACATAACAACCATTTGAAATTTTCAAATTATCAGATTAACTACATCTCAGATAATAATGAAGTGAAAATAGCCAAAATTAATTATTCTATTAAACTATTTTGTAAGCATTAAAGTCTGCAAAGATTAAGATGTAAATAAATTGATTGTAATTATGGAACAGAATAAATTAGAATCTAAAAATGGCATGACACTTAAATAATTCAATCAAAAATAAATCTCTTCTTTGCAATTTTGCCTTAACATGAAGGACAAAAATGAAGTACATCTTTGCAATCATCTATAAAGCAAGGTATTAAACAGCAGCTTTAAATTTAATTTTATACATACCCAAACCAAAGACCTACAATTGCCAATAAACCTCCTATTAGGTATGTTCCTGCGCCTGGTTCATACTTTATAACCGTTTGGACTTAGCGTTAACAATAACCGCATGTTATAATGCTTGGGTGATTCGAATCTATTTGTTAGACTACAATCATAATCGAAAAAGTTACTGATTTGATTCAATTAGGGATTATTAACAGGTTTCTCTGGTTTTGGCTGTCGTCGAAAAGGAACATGTTGAACAATTTATTAAGGAGGAGTTACTTTTGAATTGGGTGATCCTACTTACATCGATTAATCACGTGTTGGCGGATAAACCACCTAAGACAGTAAGTCATCGTTGGGAGCCGGAGTCATTTCTGATTGAAAGTGCTAGTTTTGATCAACTTACATTACTATAGTTTTATAATAAAATTAATAACAAGAGTTTCTAGACATAGTTTATAAAGAATGTATAAAATATATAATTCGTTAAATGGATAATGAAAACTTGCTTCAAAAATAGCCAACATTTTCTTAGTCAAAAACCCAAAGATCATCAAGTGTTAATCAAAACTCTTAGAAAAAAGAAATTGCTTAATAACTCAAACCCCAAGCTATATTAAAAAAATTGGAAGAAATCCTTTCATAAAGACAATCTAAATTTAATTAAGAGTAATTAAAAAAGAAAAAGGGTGGTTAATGCAAAGTTGATTACACTGAGAGAATATAAGGAAAAAAGAATGTTTAGAAGTTGTTGGAAGATGAGAAATGCAAAACTGATCTACAAAATTTTGTATGAGAATTTTAAATATTGTTATTTTAGGTTACTGAAAAAAAAGAAAGGAAAAGTGCTCATCCCAACATTAAATCATTATAACCATCAGCCCAAAATTTATTTGATATATTTTCCCATGATTGCAATAGCAGATATCCCACTAGCACAAATAGAAGCAGAAAGTGTGAGATTTCTCCAAAAAAAGGAAGAGCTAATGTATTGATATACTCTTAATCATAAATAGTCAATTATTGAAGGATAAAACGTGAGCGATAGAGATAAGTTAACATTGATCTAATTGAATTAACAATTATAAATGTAGAATAACCATTTAAATGAATAACTAAGATTTGAATAAAGTTAAAGCACTAAATTAAGTTTATAGATAATGAGTATGAATGATTAAATTACAGTATTAACGAAGTATTCTATAATTTTGTTTAGGGTAATTAAAAGAGAGTTAGAAACTACTAGAGTATAGAGATGAAGAAAATGATGATATTATGAGATCCTTGAAATGCTAATTAGATATGATTAGACCTGAATATTATAAATAATAAGAATCAATTGCAAATTTAGAAAGTTAACTAATAGCATATCAAAATATTGAAAAAGAGATGAAGGAGATAGAATAAATGTTACCTCAAATATCTGCTTTCACATCTCTATTTGTTCAACAAAATGCTTAAATATTAGAATTGCAAGACTTGATGATATTATAAAATAACATAATTGATAAAGTTCTAAATCGAAAGGACATCAAAATAAACAACTTAATCTTGGCAAGAGAACCAAAATAATAGAAGCAATACACCAATGATTTACCTTTTGAATCATCCTAACTTCTTGATAATTTGCTTAGGTTAACAAGATAATAAGTGAATGTATTAACTGAAAGATTTATTCATGAATTATTATTATGAATACAACTATTAAATAGAATATTCTAAACTATTTTTTTAATTAAATTCTAAACCTAATGATACTGAATAATTATCTTAATAAATAACACTTTATAATAATATCCTTTTGATAAGTTTCAGAGGGATTACTCTAAAGAGGGATTAATTCTTGATAGAAGAACCTTAAATTTTAGAGACCAGTAAGTAGAATTTTTTAGATTCAATTAAGATATGAGAAAATGTGAGTAGAAATAATGTGTAATTGAGTAACTAAATGACATAAATATTCAATCAATTTAAGATGTTTTTGTTTTTCCTGATGCATTGGTATTCAGTTTCGATTGAATCCGTTTACCTTTAATCCACTTTCCTCTGATTGAAGTACCATTAGGCTTGATAATTTATCCATTACCATGGAATACTCCTTGTTTCCACAATCCTAGATATTTTTAACCGTTTGGCCAGTAGAGAATTCCATATCCTTCTCTTTCATCATTGATATAGTATCCATCATACTTGGACCCATCAGGCCATTTAAATATTCCTTTGCCATGCTTGACTCCATTTTTCCAGTCCCCTGTATAATTTCTGCCATCCTAGAATTTGAGAGTACCAACTCCTTGAGGAACATCTCCCTCAAAAGTTCCTTCGTAGATGGAACCATCAGGAAACCTCAATATTCCTTACCCATACTTAATGCCATTGAGAAAACTTCCTTTCTTAGATATAAAAACGTTGTACCTTCATATTTCCAGCCATTGGAGTAAGTTTGAATTCCAATTCCATTCGGCAAATCATTCTTCCATTCCCCTTCATAATAGGTGCCATCTGCAAAGGTGTATTTACCTTAACCTTCGACCGTGTTCTCAATCCAATGACCTCTGAAAGTTTCTCCGTCCAGTAATTAGAAAGTACCAAAACCATTGGCTTTATTATTAAACCATTCTCCAACATAAGATGAGTTATCGACCATGGTGTATTTACCAAAGCCATTTGCTTTGCCATTATTCCATTGTCCCTCATAGTAGGCTCCGTTAGTCATTAAGATGATTGGCAGTTTGATCTATGATCGAGTAAGTGTCAATAATTGATCGTTCTTACTTTTCGGAATAAAGCAAAGGGCAGACATATCAAATGAGAATTATTTTATCAGACTTGATGGTGGGCTGCCTTCTGAGATCTAACTTTAATTCTCACAGATATCCTTATTACAATTGGATTAACATTATTAAATAGCTTCAACAAATTTTTTATTCAACTCTTCCTCCTCTTGCAAATACTCTTGTATCATGCACTTTCTCATGATCAAGTACTGTGGTTGATTGGGAGAGTCGTCGGAGGCATCATATTCCTAGATGTCGTGATAATGGATCGGCGAACTGTACTTCTATTATGTGGAGAGAATGGAAAATTATCTAATGAATAAATTTTCATTGAAATACTACTTTCTAGCCATATAGCCTTTGAATGCTGCTTGTATTTTAATCAGCCCCTTGATATTTTGGTGTGTAAACTTATTTGTAAAATTGAGTTTATGTTTGGGTTTTGTATACTTTGTTCTGACTTCTGGCGTCTAGTTACTTAGACCAAAATTGGTGCATTGTTGACAGTTTCCCATTATTTGATATGGTTTGATTGAAATAATTCAAATAAATATTAAATTCTAAGACATTATTCATTTCTTAATATTTTTGGTAATTAATTACATAATTATTATATTGATAAATACATTTAATGCATTAATTTGAGAATGAAACAAAGAAATTTTTGGAAGAATTAAAAAATGGATCCAGCAACATTCTAGTAACAACCTTTCTATTTTTCAGGTAGCTGTAAGAGTTAGGCCTCTAAATTTGAAAGAAAGAGGCGTTTCAGAGTTTGAAACCATTCGAATACTCGATGGCAAGATGATAGTGTTGATGGATCCAGAATCAGAAAGAGAAGATGAAGTATTGACATTATATAGAATAGTTATTAAGAAAAAATAGGTTGAAGGAAACTAATTTTGCATTTGATTTTGTTTTTGATCAATGGGCTCCTCAATAAAAGATCTACGAAAACACCACCGAGTTTTTATTGGAGGGAGTATTGGAAGGATTCAATACCACTGTATTTTGCTATGGCGCGACAGGTTCTGGCAAAACATTCACGTATACACTATATTGATGGCAATAGGATGATCGGAACCCAATAGGATGTTGGTTTGATGCCCAGAGCATTGCAATCCCTTTTTAATTACTCTCAATCCGATCGATTCAAAGACACTCAATTCAAGGTCTCTTACGTTGAAATCTATAATGAGAACATACGAGATTTATTGACATCAGAAGATAAAAATTTAGAAATTAGGGAAGACAAAAATAATGGAATATAAATAGCAGGCGTCATTGAAATTGAAGTCAAAACAGTTACTGAAGTCTTATCCCTTTTAAAAGTTGGAAATAGAAATAGATCCAAAGAGGCAACCGATGCAAACAAGGAGTCTTCTAGATCTCATGCTATCTTATAAGTTTAAGTCGAATGCAAAGACAAAGCCTCTGGATTACAGGAACAGATTATTCAAAGCAAATTCAGTTTGGTGGATTTGGCAGGTAGTGAAAGAGCTGCCAACACAAATAATAGAGGTTAAAGAATGATAGAGGGAGCTAATATCAACAAATCATTGTTAGTTTTAGGCAATTGCATTTAATCACTCTCAGAAGCTAATGAAAAAGGAATCAAAAATCCATTCATACCCTTTAGAAATTCTAAATTAACCAGATTGTTAAAAGATTCCTTGGGTGGTAATTGCAGAACCGTAATGATATCTAATGTTACCCCAGCTGTCAGTAGTTTTGAAGAAACCTACAATACTTTGGTATATGCAAATAGAGCCAAGAATATTAAAACTGTTGCCAATAGGAATGTCTTAGTTGCATAAAATCATATCAGTAATTACGCACTGTTAATTTAAAATCTACGACAAGAAAATGAGGAACTCAAGCAATTGATTCAATAATAACAACTGAATTCCATTACTCCTTAAACAAGTAAGCAAGTATATCTATTAATTAGGGTTGCCATCACTTAACCAAAAAACAATTCCAGTTCCCCCCCCCATATTGAGTTTGAAATAACAAGTCAATGAATTGGAATCAATGATCAATCAAAATATATCTGATATTATTGAGGCTAAAAACAATTTATACGAAATGGAACAATAGCAAAATCATTTTCAATAGAATATAGGATTTCTGTAATATCAAAAGGGTCGCTCTCTGGATAAATTTGATTAGATCAAAATAATGGAGAAAATTGATAATGCCAAAACACAAAAAGCTATCCTCAAGTAAAGTGAGGATGACATGAAACAGCAATTACTTGAATATGACATCAAGAAAGTAGATATTTAAAAGCAGATCTAATAAATCCCTGATTTAAATTAAAAGAATTATTTGTAAGGAATCCTCAAATAAGGAGAACTAAAAATAGTAATTAATTTAATTATAATTTAATAGGAAAATGTTGAGTTACAAATTTAGGAAAAAAAAAGAAGATACCAGGAATCTATCTAAGATGAGTAAGTCAGACAATTAAGAACTTAAATTCATTAGCAATAATAAACTAAACATGTTTAAAGTGCAAAATCTAAATCTAGCTAACAAAATGGACCAAAAAAGGGTATCTCTCCAATTTTAGCTTTATAGTTCCAAGTCTGCCTGGAGTAGATTCTCCTTATTATTAGATTACAGGAGGATAAACCTATGCTATACAAAGGTATTCATATTAAATTGTAATTTTAGCAAACACTAAAAAAAGAAGTCTCATCTTAAGCTACCACCTGTCTTATAGATGGCTTAATTACAAAAATCTCCTAAAACATAAAACACAAGTCTGAATAGTAAGAGTATCAATCTAATAGGTAATCCGCTGAAATATCGAATGGCTCAAAGATACACTACTAGATTGAATAGACCTCCATCGTATCGTCCTCCAAGTTCTTCTAGAAAATCTGCGATTGGAAAATATGTGAATAGATCATTGGATTTGGAGAGTGGTAGAGAAAGTGTCAATAAAAGCTCAGGGGATCTGTAGAACTCAGTTAGTCTTAGAAAACTTAAATAATTGCATTAAGAATATCAGTAATAGAGATTTGAAAGAGTCATGAGTGGCAAAAAAAATTAAAAGTCGATGCCGTATTTTGGCAATAAGATTCTTTTGCCAGGTATGGTTCACAAATCCCCCTATGTTAAAAATTTTTAGAACAATCAAGAGCCTATTGAAATTAAAAAGGAGAGACTGAAAATGCTGAATATTAATCTTAAAGCTTAATATGGCGATAAATTTTCGCTGTAAAATTGAATATAAATGATAAGTTAAAGTACTACTTTAAAATAAATTAATTCAAATTTTATTGACCTAAACTTAACTAAATGATTTTGATTTAAATCTCTAATCAACAGCTAATTTTTCTTATTATTCAAATTATCTTTTTACTTTTAAAAGTCTCACCTTTATTTTTTTATGTTGTTTGTACTCTTATAATTTTTATTTGAAATCGATCTGGCTTTGTTAATCCAATATTCTTTTGCATAAATTGATATTTTCATCCAATAGCTTAAATGTGTGTTCTTTAAGTTTTTCTTTTGATTAAGAGGATTTCATATTAACCTAAAAATTTTGAGTTTTTTGAGGTAGCTAAAATGGTCTGGAATGTATTCTGGCTAGGTTTGAAGCCAACAGTTGATTTTTATGGTATATTTCAGCGATTTTCATTTCATCTTTAATATTGGTTGATTTAGGTAACTTGATCGATTTAGTTCTATTGCATCCAATAGCACTTTTGGATCGTTTGATTTCTTCTAATTTTTATTGATGTATGAGAAAGTCTCTAGAATAATAGTTGATGTTCTTTTTACCTGTCTCTTCGGATGAGTTCATTTGAGTCGTTAGTGTAGTATTGATAGTTGGACTTGTTCATTAGCAAATAATATAATAAATAATAATTGTGTTAATAATCAAAATACTAATTAATGATATTACGATGAAAAAATTTGAGTGGCCATCGATTCAACAGAGGATAATACTGAACCATGATAAGAAGAGTCTAGAGATTAAGATATTCTAATAACCAGCTTGATATTTGGTTTTGTAATGGTGTTTTAATAAAGAATATACAAATTAGTGTTTTGTGATATCTTAAGATTAGTAAGTTAAGAAAATTTCGGTTTCATGAAAATTACATTTATTTAGACTTATAATTATCAATTTTTAATAATTAATTATAAAGTTCTTAATGATTAGTCAAACAATTTCAAAAATTCTGAATACGAACAATTTAAATCTTGCTGAAAGTGCAGTTTAATTAGAAAAAGCAGGTCATTCAATTTTTAATATCTTGTAGGCATTCAAAACGTCTTTAATTATTTATCTAAGTCAGATATCACAAAAATAGTGTTCCCTGAGTAAGTAATAAAGCTATTATGTGTATTTCACTTCATGATACAAAAAAATACCCTCGATGTGCAAGTATTTTAGGAATGTAATATCTTTTGGATCACAAATGTCTTGAATAATAGTTTTATAATGGAAAGGTTATCAACAGAAATGAGTTCTTCTAGTACTTTTGCAAGAAGTAGTTAATTCTCCTCCTTGAGATCATCTCAATAACAGACAGATATGAATCATCCTCACTTTCAAACGGAGTCAAAGTAATAAAGACTCCACTCCAAAAGAATGGATTGCTTTTAGAGCTACTCAGAGAAATAATAAACTGAGAGACACATAATAAGAGAACCTCTATCCTATTAATCCATGTTACAATTATACTACACATATTTGAAACGAGTATGTCATTATTAGTAAAGTGGAATTCCCATAATTGAATTGTATGTAATTTAAAACATCTGTTCGATGGGCTTGCGTATAATTGAGGGATAGAAGTGTCCAAAGTTGGATTTCTGCTTTCAACTTATACTGAAAGATCTTGAGCAATTCTAAAGTCAATAGATTGATTATTTGAAAGAATTGATAATTGATTTAAGAAGCCAGAATAATGAATAGATGTTTGACTTATTTGAGATCTACAAATTGTTATGTTTGAATGGTAAGCAAATCAAATTTTTTGGAATGTTGAATAAACTAACTATTAATCAATAAAAACTCAAGAACTTCAAAAAGGAATGTAAAGAATTTGTAATAGAATGTAAATAACATTTAAGAAAAGTAAAACTCCAGTAAAATCAGGATAGATTGAGTGTGTCTGAATTTAAAACAGATAATTTCTTTGAATATGAAAGAAAATAAGTGTACAACAATTATTGATTTATTTAATATATATTTATAAATCTCATCCTTATAAGATTTAAACCTTCTCTCCAACCTTCAAAGTAGCTCTGAATAAGGCTGCCAACACTCTATGAGTAGTCAAACTTCTGTGATGCCATGAATGATCAGTCTTTTTGGATTGGATGATATTAGCAAAGGTATCAATCATTTTTACTGTGTGATTCGAAGCCTCAACCTTAACAACTTCCTCCTTTCCCTAAACATCATCTACAAAGAACCTCTCACTTCCAACAAAGTTCTCAAAATAGGCATTGAAGTTTCCGGTTCTGCCAAATCCTCCAACCAAGTCATCAATTCTAAGTTACCCATTCTCACATATAATATCTACAGAGGATCTATGAGGAGAGGTCACTCCACAATCAAAGTAAGCATATCTTTCATCTGAAAACTCTATGAATCCAGAATATTCGATAATGGTGTCAACTTTGTTTAATTTGTACTAGAGACATTAAACAAATTTTGGTAATTCATAGTCGAATGCAAAAAGGATTGCTCCAACAGGATACCATCCCTAATCACCCAAACAACCTTAGGGTTCTTGATTTTTATTTGTTCTTCCATTACCTCCATGTAACCATTCTTCATTTGGAGCCTTGAATGTAAATGCAGCAGTCACTTTGGTGACTTTTCCTAATTCCTATTTTTTTTATTTCACAACTTATGTTCTTAGGGAATGCAACCACATGGTTCCATCCAAAAATTACACTCCATTGTCCTCACAACTTTTAATTATTTCTTCCAAACATTAAGAGGAGTCAGCTCCAGGCAAAGGCTTTTCCACTAATACATGTTTTTTCTTGTTGGCAGCCTTGATTGCCCATTCTTTTTTCAAAGATGTTGGCAATGGAATATAGACTCCATCCACATTTGGGTCATCCAACAATTCATCATATGAGCCATATGCTGTTTTGATGTTATGAGCATCAGCCCATTATCTTGCTTTTTCTAAGGATCGACTGGCTACACAATATACTTCTGCGTGTTCAGAGCTATTGATCGCCTAACACACTTTGTGAGCTATCTCAGCTGTGGACATTATTCCTATGCGAACCTTAGTATTCATCTTATTGAATTAATATTTTTATAAGATTAAATGAGTAAAAAAGAGGGAGATAGCCTTGACGCTTTGTGTTTCCCCAATGCAGAAGATTATCAAAATGACTTTGATACTGCAAATTAAGTTCTATTGGGATCAGGATCATATGGATAGGTGTATAAAATGACATTTAAATTGAATCCTTCATAATGTTGTGCAGTCAAAATAGTTTAGTGCATCAAGTAATGATCTCTCCTCTACTTCTAGCAAAAAATCATACGATTAAGCCTTAAAAGAAGTTTAAATGAATAGACAAATTAATATTCATCCAAATATTATTTATTTTGACAAAATCTATGCTTGGTCAGAAACGATCCCAGTTTAAAAATATTTCTTAGTCTTTCAAATGAAATTGGCTAAAGGGAGTCTGAAAGATTTAAAAGACGATGAAATTAAAGCAAGTCGTAAGACTTTTAATGGTATTTATGCATCAAAAATTTGTAGAAATAAGTTTCTTGAACATTGTCAATCAATTATTACAGGCTTTTCTCTTTTTGTAACAAAAAGAATTGTACCATCGTGATATTAAACCAGAGAACATCCTATATGATAAAGAGAATGATAAAATTATAGCAAGAATTGCAGATTTTGGGGTTAGCAAAGCTTTAGAGCACTTTAAAACCAATTTTAAGAACACTCTAGTAGGCACTCCACTTTACTTATCGCCCAAACTATGGGAAGCTTACATCAATGGGCAATACAATGATGTTAAGTAAAAATTTACAATATCTCACAAGACATAATCTAGAGAAATCGGATGTATTTTCCTTAGGTGTTACTCTCATACAGACTTATTTGTTGTTACAAGATCAAGACATTGCTGGTTTAAATGACTAAAAATAGAACAAAGTCCCCAATCTATTGCAGCAAATTTATCATGATAAAATCAAGGAATTGTTGACAGGAATGTTAAATTATGATGAGAAATCCAGATTTACCTGGTAATAGGCTATAAACTGTCTTACTGGAATAGATAAAATTAATGGCAGTCTGGAGTAAAATCAAGGAGGAAGTCTCTAAAATAGAGAAAAACACTATGCTTTACACATACCTTATGAAAAGACGATTACGAATAAATCATAATCAATAAAATTGAGAAAAATAAATTAAATCTACTGTCTAGAATTGAATGAGATTACAAAAGGACAAATTGCAGATGATCAGGGGATTATTGTTTTTAGTGAAAATTATTTAATTCAAATCAATTTCGAGGGATAGATTTTACATAAAAAATAAATCTAAAGTAAAATATTAATATTTAATAAATTTAGATTTAAAAAGCATATGTTTGACTGAATAACCAAAAAAAATCATCGGATTATTTGAAAATAACACAATCCAAGTTTTGGATGATGAGATGTGTTAACCATTTAGTCTACCTTCTGCATCATAATAAATTAATGTAATCTGTTAGATGAGAGAGGCCAACATTCTAATTGGTCTCGGAAATGGAGAGGTGTAGGTTTTACAATTCGATAAAACATTTAAAGTATTAAACACATTAAAGGATCATACAGCATAGATTAATCTCATTTATTTTGATAAACTCAATCAGTTATTGATAACATCTGATTGTTCTAGAATACTAAGTGTCAGATTTTTGTTTAACAAAAAATTGTATTTATTTCTTATTTAATTATTAGTTCTTACTTAAAATTAGATTATGTTGCATAGCATGTAGAATTATTAAATGACACTTAAATTGTAGTCAATGGATAAAAATTAAATGAAATTTTAATCTTGAATATCTCTCATTTGTAAAAAGAACCTGGAATGAAACTTGAAATTAAATAAACCTTATCTCTACAAACTGGATGTGTATTATCCCTAATTAATTTAAGTGAAAAATGCTTATTTGTATCAACTGAGAAAGAAATAATAATTTATGATTTATAATCAATTTAATAAGATTCAGGACATCTATTCAATAATGAAATGCAGTAAACATTCTATTATTGTAATTGGATAAGAAGTAATGGATATTTGATAACCAATGATGGATAAAGAATAATGAAATGGGAGATTGACTACGAAAAAAACTAGCTATTTGGAACAAATAGAATTGTAAAGACTTAAACCAAGAAATGCTGTTGTTGTGAAAGTTGCTCCATTATGTGAGAATTATAAATGTATGAAATTTTGATTTTTTCAACTCTATATTTCCATTTAAATTATATACATATATATGTATAAATAAATAGACAAAAAAAAATAGATTATTTATAACCATTTTGATTATCTATTAATGATACATTACCATCAATTAATACTAATAGTTACATTTATATTATCGGACAAGACAAATATGTTCACATTTTAAGAAGAAATTCATAGTGATCTATATTGTTAATTTTTCTAGAATTTCAATCTCCCTAGATTGATTTAAGAATTATTAAGAGTGAGACACGTGATTGATGATGATTTTAATTACGATTTTCTTGAGGAAATATTCGTCATTGCATATAAATTATTTTTTATATATTAAATAATGTAGAATGCTTTGTACATAAAATAATTGAGTCATCAATTAAAAACATAAATGTAATTACAGATTATTCAATAATTAAATTACTTATGACTCATCATAGACCTCCAGTACCTAAATTCAAGGACGAATGCCTAACTCCAAAGATGGAAATGACTTTATTAGAAGAAGTTCAGCATTTAATTTTTAAAATGAACTTGGATTTTGAGATTGAAAAGAAAGCAATCAAAATAATTTAAACAACTCCACTTTAAAACACTGTCACTTCAGCAAAGGCAGTCATATTTTATTGTCTCAAGGAATAGAATAGAAAATTGCCTCCAGTGGAGAAAAAAGTCGAATACGTCATTAAATACATTGAATAAGCATAAAACTTGAATTTTTCCCATGTCTGTTAAAAAATGGGTTTTGGTGATCAAGTTTCAAGAGTATGCGAAACTTTAAAAAACCAACTAGTGTACTTGATTGGCAAGCTGTCGATAAACCTTTAAATTGCAATTACTATAAAAATTGCTGCTGACATTATATTCTATAAGCAAGGAGGCTTAAATACAAAATTTTTGGCATTCCACACCAAAGTTAATGAAGAATAGTTAAAATGCTCCCTCAATAGAATTAAACCATTTTCAGAAAAAATAATGACTGATCTCTTCAATCATTATAATGACAACCCTCTTTGATTAAATTCTTTTTTTGTGTTTAAAATCTTCTGTATTAAAAGTTTAATTATTTTAAATTAATAACAAGTAGTAATTAATATTTAATAAAGCATTTAGTTCAGATACATCACTTGTATTTGCCTAAAATCATATAAACAAATTTGCTTGTATAAATTAAATTTAATTGAATTAAAACTAAAATGGAATCTAGCTTCAAGATGGACTGCTGTAGACATAAGTTATTGGGGAATAAGCTATGTATATTAGAAGTTGCTTCTGATAAAATTATTATCACCAACATTTCAGACTTGCCTCATAAGAGAAATGAATTAGACTTAAATTACAATTTGTTTATTGATTTTAAAGTTAAGAACAAGCAACTTTAAGCTATAGGATTGACAACAAACAAGCATCACTGGTATTATGCAGATAATTAAAATTTAATCAACTTAAAATAAATTTTAGGTGCAAGAGTGGTGTTTAAAGGTGTAAACACATTATATAATCCGTTATAATAAATTGGATAAGGAACTTTCTCAAATGTTTATTTATTGCAAAGCAAAATAAAGAGCCTAGAATATTTTGCTTGTAAATGTTTAGATAAAGCCTAAGTAGATGCTTAGATTGGAAGAGTAAATATTAGTGTTATCTTATTAGTAAGGTTTGTTTGAAGAAATTTAGGCGATGATTTCTTTGAAGCATTAAAATATTGCAGAGCTTTTAGAAGTTTTTGAAGGAGATGTATCTTATTATATGGTCATGCAATATTATGATCTTGAATTTACTGATGTGCTAAAAGAACTGAATCATGAAGACATCCCTATCATATTTAAATAGTTAGTTGCAGCTGTAAATTTTATGCATGAAAAAGGTTACATGCATAGAGATTTAAAACCTGAAAATATTATGTTTAGTGATAGTATATACTAATTGAAACTCATTGACTTTGGTTTGACCACAAAAGATTCAGGCAAATCAAAATGCGGGACTCCTGGGTACATTGCTCCTGAAATTCTGAACCTTGATACTAGGATAAATGAATACAATGAGAAATGCGACATTTTTTCATTAGGAGTTATATTTTATAAGATGTAAAACTAATTATAATTATAAAAAGGTTGACTTAGAATGATTTGTTTTAAGGATCAAATCATGATGAGGTTTTGGAAAATAATGCTAAATGCAATATAAATTTAGATTTACTGACTGCAAACCCTAAGATTCCAAAGTAAGCCTTAAACCTATTGACATTGATGCTGCAAATTGATCCTACACAAAGGATTGATACTAATTAAATTTTGCAGCATAAATATTTTGCAGCCGAAGAAATAACATCTAATAATACTTTGAATAGTGCGAATCAACTCTCTAGAAAACATTCATCTGTTATAAAGATATTGTCTCCATTACAAAAGAAGAACTTCCTGTTTAGCTCTCCTTTTTCCTTCCATGATGATGAATGCATTGAAAAAGAGGCTTCTATGCAACCTATTCCAGTAATGATAATGAAAGGAGGTTCAGTGCAAGATATAGTTAAATCTAAGAATTCAGGCAAAAACAGAAAACTCAATAAAGAAGTTACGAAGAAGTATCAGACAACTGATTTCGAGGATGCTCTCGCAGAAATGAATCAAAATAATTATAGGCCTCCAAAACCTAGTTAATTGTAAGAAATGTATAATGAATGATGATTATAAATATATGGTTCATATAAACATTATTTTGGTTTCAAATGTTTGTGAATATTATAAACTCAAAATGCTTTTTATATAATTGAATTGACGATTCCTATGACGGCAAAGACTCCTCCTACAATGGCCAGTAATTAAACAATAAAATGATAGACAGACTTCTTTTAAATTGAATAGACCATATTGACGGGACTGATTTGATATTTAAAATAGATTGAATCGATTTCTGTAAAGGATCTTGTCATTTGTGCCTCATTGATGGAGTATTTATAGAGAGTTTGATAGTTTCGTTCTTTGTCATCGTAAAATCTCACAGGCAAGGCATTGATATAGTATTCGTAATCTTGTTTTTCTCCTTCAGGAGCTATTTTGGCAATTGAATTCCAGGAGGACTAGAATTTCTGAAGAGATTTAGGGTATTTCTTCATTTTGAAGGAGGAGGAATTGTCTCCAAATCTTAATTCGTAGATTGTGTGATCCAATTTGAGTTTTCTGTAGGTTGATAAATCTCTTTGATGAATTTTCTGTATCAAGTGGTGATGTGCATGATAACTGATATGGAAATTACCTGGGACTTTATTTACTGAGAAGAATCCCTTCAATTAGCATTATTCTCCTTCATTGATAGCCTCAATTGCATCCACTAATTCTTAGTCACTCCCTCTGTAATTAGGTCTTTCGTTATTGTCAATCTTTATAATGAATATTATTGTTTAAATACTGTGGGCAACACATGTCTATCCTTATCAAGAGTAATCTTTTTCAATGTGCCAGAAACATCCATTACGTGTACTCCGACCTCGTCTTATTAATCCAATGACAAAACCATGCAAGGTGCACCAACAATCACATCCAAATAAACCTTGATAAATTATTCAGTGTCATTGTCAATCACAGTTTAATAGTTTAATTCGGTGCTAAAAAATAATCTACATTCATTCATGGTTAAAATAGTAACCAACTATCAAGAAATATGTTAGAAGCTTACTGCAAATGCGATCAGGGTCAAGAATCCTCCCAAAGACGATGAAGTGTCGCCAATATCAGTATTTAATTTTCTAAAAAAGTCCAATTATCTCAAACCCATTTATATTAAATAATTGTATTATTATTTTACTCAATTTCAATTACCCAATCAATAAATTCACATTTAAAGTTAAGTTGTACCGTGATAAATTGGAACACCTATAAGACATCCTTATTGTAAATTTATTTTTAATATTATATTAATTATAATATGAATCTTAGACCACAAGATCATTCAGAAGTATCCTAATATTCATCATCCATTTTAGGGCAATCAAGCATAATACAACAAAAAATATGCTATCTATTATCAAAAGCCTGGAGAGGAAGAGCTCAAACAAATTGTACTCGAATTACCCAGCATTTTCACTGTTGGTGACTGTATAGATTTTTCTATAGAATAAATCAATATCCAAGATCCCTGTATATATATAAAATCTAAATCATTAATAGCTTTTAAATTCTAAGGTTCCGCAGATCGTTTTAAATTGAAAGTGGCAAAAAAGAATGGCAAACCCAAAGATGACTTACCAGGTAATCTCATTCATACTATGTAGCTTTGGACAACGAATAATAACTCATTGACACTGGTGCAATAGTATTTGCATTGGTTTTAAACCAGAATTAATAACAATTAGAAAAATAAATCACATTTGCTCCGACTAACCAATCCAACCAGACTCAACAGTCTCAAGCCAACCTACAAGAATCCTCCATTAAACAAAGAACCTCTTATAGCAATAGTTTAAGTAATAACAAGAAGGTATTCAATCTACCATAAATTTAGAACAAAAATGGAGGAAATGATTAAAAAAATGATGCCAATGGATTTTGTTTCTTTAAGCAATGCGCTTGAAATGAATTCGTACTACCAACTTAATATATCCCATATCATTTTAACATATCTAATTATAATATTCTAAGCTATATTCTCGCTTTTATGAATCAAATCATATAAATAAGAAATTACAATCACTTCAAATCTAATAGATTCTTTGTTAAAAGAAACCAATACCATTTCCGAAACTACATAGCATTCTAATAAGGAGTAACAGTTTCCTATATCCATTCTATTATTCAGAATCCCCCGTATTCCCTAAATTCTGAATATCTATTATATGATTGAGAAACATTTGTATCATTTTGAATTTATTAAATTACCTGAATGTCTATTACGATTGTATTACTCTATACCATATTTAATAAAGCTTATTGAAGGTGTACATTTTAATGAAATAGTACATTTTTTTACCAGAATCGAATAAATTCTAATTATAGTCTTGTAATTATTAAACATAATTCTATATGACACAAACTCGTGCAATACTTAAGAAAAACTGCTACCACTCAATATTTCTACTTTCAAGAATTACCTCCTTTCCTGAAATAAATAATTTGATTTAATTCATTCTAATATCATAATAGTAGATAAGATTTACTATTAATATATTTTGATTTGTTGACTTTTGAAAAAAGTATAACTACTTAAAGTATGAGTTTTTTTAACGCACTTTCATAAACACATTCTTAAGAACCCTTAATTATAATTTAGCTCATTCTGTTAAAAAGGTTAATTTCAAATTTTTTGGTTGGCTATCTTTTTTAATTTTTTAATTTAACTTTTGGATTCTAATCAAAAGAAGCAAACTAATTTCCCTAAAAGATTTAATATCTTTTTCCTAAAAGACAGATTTATTTCCGATATGATTAGATAGTTCACATAGATTGGTCGCTTATATATAATTACATTATATTAGCTCAATTGAACTTTTTATGTATATTAAGTCAAAAATTATAGGAGTTGAGATAAGTAATTGCTTTCAATGCACCTTATTAGAAAAGAAATAAATAAGGAATTTGGGAGAAAATACTGCATAATTGGGATTCACAAATTAACAACGTAAATATTATTATCAAACTAATGGCAATTCCATTTCCTCAACTTTAAGATAATTACTCATAAAAACCTAAGTTTTATTCCAGAAATTCTCCCTTGATTTGATATCCACATTTTTTCAATAGAATTGGATACATAATAGTAATGTACCAAGACTCAATACAAATGACTGGGATGAACTAGATTATATGAAATAGTACTATAAGAAAAGCTGTTAGATACACATTATATGTTTAGATTAATAATAAAGGTAAAGGTAGTAGCATAGGCATAAAGAAGAGTAATCTACATATCTTAAAATTTACAGTTTTTTAGTCCATTTAATTGTAGTACTCCATTGAATTAAAGGTTCCCTAACTAAAAAAGCATCCTAAGATGAATGAAAATATAAATGAGAACAATGTCCCATGTAAGAAACAAGCATTGTAAAGTACATTTGTATGATCTTTAGTATATTAACCTATTTCTGCTTGTTTACATTGAGTGATTTTGAGTAACCATTTGTCAACTTCTTTTTCGTTTTGATTAAACAACTTCAGATTCAACTCAAGTAAGGTGACATCAATCGCAATAATAAGTGTAAAAATGGCACTGACAGTAACTGATATTCTTTAAAATTTAACATCATCATCACATTTTATTTACAATTGATTTTTAATGTAGCTTTATTATAAGGAATTAGTACTGCAATAAGAATTGATGACAATAAATCTGATAGTTAAATACAATATAAACTCCAAACATCCATCCCAAGACTACTTACCCAATAGAATGCACTCCCAGGAATACTCTTGATAGTCCAGTCATAATTATGCATAGAAAGGCAAACACCTTAAGTATGGTTACTAATCTGTTGTTCAATTAAGGCTCTTCTTCAGCATTCCTGTCCTCGCTGTCTACAACTTGGAGATTATTCAATCTGAAAGTGGATGGATAAAAAATGAATAGGTATGAGAAATATATAATGACTGCAGTTTAAGCATGACCAGAGGGTTTACCGAATTCCATATTGCATCCAATACTGAAATATCATAATTATTTTAAATACCCTATGATTTCATCTTCAACCCAATATGGTCGAGGTTAATGGTAAGCATTTTTCAATAGGCCATTACTTGTAAATCCGAATATACATAAAAAGATGTATAAAATAGATTCTACCTTTTTGCTAGATAACATGAACTATAACCCTCCCAATATTATTGGTAGCTGAATAACATAGGAAAAAAACTAAAACATTAACTCTTCTCCTGGGAATGTGTTATTCTGTAGGATTACTGTGAATTCAATGTTTCTAGTCCACAAATAATTGTCAATGATTATATCCAATGTTAGATATGAAATTAATGCAAGAGTTGATATGATAAAAAAATTCATATTAAAATTTTATGGATTACAATCGAAACGACACCATCACGCAAGAGCTAAAGGCCAAGTTCAATCTAAATGTTTAGTATGTTATGCAAACTATCTAATAGAATTAAAGACCCATAGTCGCGTCTCTTTCTCAAAGGATATTTTAAATCAGATTCAGAAATACATTCTTCCCGATTCGATAAAGACGACATTATGTTGGCTCTGGGATGCTCTAATGGATAAGTGTGTGTTTACGATCTTACCAGAAGTACTATCCTATTCAACCTTAGGTGAAAAGACCGCATTTTACACATATCTCAGTTCTAAATCAAATATGAAATTGCCTTGCACTGCCCTTAGGTTGTATATTAAACTATTCCTAGATGGTTTTCAAGTGAAAAATCCACTAAAATGAGGCAAGTCCTAATTTCAGCTAACACAGATGGTATGATCATCCTCTAAATTAGGTACCATAATGTACAAAAATGTGAAAACTGATTCTACTATCTATTAATTTAAAGAAGAAGATGATAATGAAGTTTATTGCATCGATGCTTTAAAAAACTAATTAGCAACTTGCGGGAAGGATTGTAAAGTAATGAAACTCTCCAGTTATTTTAGGTTAGAGTGTATGATATTGAGGCCTAAACCTTGTAAGCCACTTTAGAAGCCATACAATGGGTTTAGCCAGGGCACAATAATAAATTATTCAGTGTTAAAATTGTGCCTTACGAGAAAAACTTAGTTATCAGCGGTGGGTGGGATTAGAATTTAGTTATATGGGTAGTTTTATACATGATATTAAAGGATTTAAGACAAAAATGTCAGGCTGGATGCATTGTGGGTCCAAAAATTGCAGGTGACACCATCGACATTAGAGAAGGTACAATCTTGACAGGGGCAAACAGAATGAGTGAACAATTATAGATATGGGATTTGGGCACTTAGAAACTGATAGAGAATATTAAGTGGGATGAGAAGGTAGATTCAGCTGGGGCATTTATATATGGGTCTTAATTTGGAAAAGGAAAGGGATATTGCGTTGGAGGAGTTGCTCATGGAACAAACGAATTCAAGATGTTTGATAGAATAAAGGGATCTTACAAGGAAGCTATGCAATTGGGCGGATTTAATAAAGGTTCTTGTTTGTTGTTATTGAATTTAGGGTTATACACTATGGATTTCGCAAATACATCTAACAAATGTGTTATTGGAGGAGGGGATGGAATATGCTTAATGTTGGCCATTGTTCCTAATAAAGACCAATGATGAGTGATTTGATTATTTTATAAATCTATATCAACAGAAATTGTCTAAATTCACAACAAATTGCAGGCCAATTTAGTAATAACAATTATGTCAAATTTGATTTAATGTATATATCTTAGGATATATATACAAGTAGATTTAAATGGAAAATCATTATTTTATTCTACTTTATGAACAACTCAAAGATAGAATAAAATTAATTCCCATATTATTAGTGATCATCTCAAGATAGGGTTGTAATTGTAAATGATATAATAATAACTAAAATTATTGCCATTTTCTACACATTTATTCAATACTCATACATTATCATTCAGACAAAAATATTTAGATTATTGAATTAGTTGTTTAATCTTAAATTGGCTCTGCTATAACTTTGACGAGATAAGGTTGATCTATGAACTTCATTTTGTTCTGTCTTTATAATTGTTTTCACATCGTGACTCAATCTGGGTAATTGTCTTGGAGTATGGATAGTAAAATTATTAATCATTGAATGTCTATTTAATGGTCTGGATGTCAATATTGGTGATACTGAGAAATGTTCTTGTTGCTACACACATTTCACATCCAATTTTAATGTTACCTTAGACTTTTGAGTGTCTCGTTTTTGAGCATTAATAAAAAAAGGGTGCTATTTTGCAGAAATTATCGAGATTCTATTTTCTGGTTATGTTTCTAACATCTTTTTCATCAAAGACAATGCTTCTGAACTACAATCAATATCATCATAATTAATATCCCCCGCCTCATTCAATTTAACAGTTTGTTGATTGTTCTTACCCACAAATGGTCTCTTACCAGATAGCAATATGTATAACAGTATGCCGATACTGTAAATGTCGACCTTATAATCATATGGCTAACCACGAAGTATTTCAGGAGCTACGTATCCTGGTGTTCCACATCGTCGATACAAATAGTTCCCATCGAATTTGTAAAAGTCTGCAAGTCCAAAATCTCCTATGACTATGTCATTTAAATTATTCTTCTATCTCAGGATCAAGTTTTCAGGCTTGATATCACGATGGAGTACTCCTTGGGAATGCATATACTGGATCCCATTCAATAAATTATAAATTATCTGGGAAACCTTTAATTCACTCAATTTCTCACTTCTCTCCAAGTAATCGTGCAAGTCTCCTCCTTTTAACAATTCCTATACGAAGTAGATGTAACTTGAATTTTCGAAAACTTCGTATATAGTCAACAATTAGCTATGATTCATTAAACGAAGTATCTACATTTCTTTTGTTAAATTTTTCCTGTCCTTCTCATTCGAAATGTGTCGTTTCTCGAAACATTTCACTGCATATTCATTCTGGGTGAATCTGCACTCCGCCAAATAAATCTAGGAATAAACATAATTTATTACTGTAGCGAATGTCCCCTTAGCAATCATTTTTTTTATTGAATACCTTTGAGTGAAATTAAACTAGATGCATGTCTTTTTCAGTTGATCAAATATAGATTTTATTTTACCAAAAAACTCAAAAGTATAAATTCCCTTCGTAATTCTTACTCCCTAATCGTTATTGAAATCACTTGTTATTAATTCCAATCCTGCATTTTCCACGTTCGTACTATACTATCGCTATGTATTATAAGTGTATATATTACATCATCCTATTCCATTACCAGGTTTTTCTTGACCAGTCTCAAATTGCAAGGCATTGTTTCAAAAGGAGTCTAAATATAGTAAAGATCTTCCATTATGTATTTTTGAGTTTTATCAATTTTAGTGTTGTCCCAAAACTAAGTACATTGTTAAGAGAAATAAGATTTAAAGCAATATTTTTGATTCATAGCTAAATTAAATGATTTGATATTGCGATGACTTTTTTTATATAATAAATATATTTTCAAAATAATTAGTCTGCCTCCTTATCTAGTTCATACTATTAATACAGTATGAAATACATCATTAAATCTAGAATAAAGGTAATATATATTCTAATTGTTCTACATTTTAATCAAATTATTTTATTTGGAAAGATAAATTATAAATATTATCATATCAAACAACCTTATTGTAGAGATTTAAGCATTTAATTTGCTTTTTAATAATCGGATAATATTAAGATTTCATTCGATCAAGATGTTAATAGTATTTTTTATAATTTAGAGCACTACACTGATCCTAGTAAAGTAATTATAATACCCTTAGATTTACTGATAATGAGGAATATTTGATAAAATAAGGAGAATTTAAAACAGGAAAGGAAGGATGGATAAATTGAAAATTTATTGGTTAAATATTTTGAATTTCAATTTTATTGATTGCTTAAAGTGCAACTATTTATTAATGTTATTTTTGAAATCTAAAAGCCTTCTTTTGAAAAATTATTTTTAGCTACCTTGTGTATAGTTTCCTAGCTTCAGCCAGAAGAAAACCAAATCAAGACAGAAAAATTACACTTCAAATTTTATCCACTCAAATGATTAATATTATCATTTTATTTCTAGCAATTGCTTTCAAAAATAGTTTATCATACGAAAGATACGATGTTAGTATCAATTAATATTCTTGATTTCGCATTTTTAGATATTAATTTATATTTTTTCTTACTAAAATTCTTATTTAGATTTAAATGATGGATGATCCATAAATCTTTCACATTTTATACACATATAATTAATAAAGTGCTTATAATATTTTTTAAATGAGAAAGGATAAAAAAGTAGTAAATGTATTTCAATATTGAAATGGAAATACATTACATAAAAACTATATATTATTCAGAATATAAGAAATATTTTAATAGAATATTAGGATATTAAAGAATGAGTTAGGGAAGAAGATAAGAATATTAGATAAAATTAAAATGAAGAAAGTGGTGCTATTGGCAGGTTAAACTGGTTCGGGTCTCACAACTATTTTTAATAAAATCACTATCTCAAATTTAAAAACCAAGTATAGAGGAGAGAGTATTTAGAGAAATGGACATTTGAAATTAATAAAATACAGAAGATTATGTATCAATGCTAATTTCTGTTGTCAATAATACAAATTTCAATTTAACCTCTTTATTGAAATTTAAATTGATAAATTAAATCGGAGTCTATCAATTTCTCTTTATTCTAAATTTATTATGTCTATTAATCGAAGGCTTGAATTAAATATTATTTTCTTAATTAATTGTAAACTTTTTATGTTGTTTAAAATTAATACTACATCGATATTTTACAATTTTATTTGTCAAGCACTTTAATTGAGCCTTCACAATTATATTTGATTAAGTTTATAAAATTGAGTTAAAAAAGACAAATTGCGTTTATAATTCTGTTGATAAATACTTTGATTCTTTTCCATAGCTCTCAAGATTGAAATTTCTTGAGAATAGATATATATATAAATATTATAAATGAATGTAAAATTTTAATGCATATTTTTTAATTTAAATTTACTAAATGCAAACACCTGACTTGAAGAAAAAAAAACCATAGGTTGCAAAGATCAGTCTTTAATCAGAACAAGCTTAACCTGTACTAAATCTGTATTTAGTTTTTAATAAAAATTAGTTCTGAGAATGGATCTCTGATTCTAAAAGAATTTCGTTTAAATGGCTAAGGGCTCAAAGTTACTCATACACATGATTAATGGGATTTTTCCCTCTCTGAATCCACTCATAATTTATCACTCGACAATTTAGTAACAGTTGGCCAATTAGGTCAGGGTGCATCAGGGCAGGTCGAAAAAGTATAAGATTAGGTGACAGGATAATATTTTGCAATGAAAGTATTGGCAACATAGTATATAGAAAATTCCTGTGGCTTCAGATCCACAATATTTGAAGCAACTCTCTGATGAATTGAAACTCGCTTTAGAATGTAGTTCACCATACGTTGTCAAATGCTACGGAGCATTTTATAAATCTGGAACCTTGCACATCATTTTAGAGTATATGGATGTCGGCTCTATAGACTCTTTAATAAAGAAAGTTAAAAATCTGAATGAACCTGTTATGGCCTTGCTTTTATACCAGATTCTGCTAGGAATCGATTACTTGCATAATAAAAAGAAAATCATTCATAGAGACATCAAACCATAAAACATACTGGTAAATAAGAAAGGGGAAATCAAGATCACTGATTTTGGTATTTCAGGCACCATAGAAACAATGCAATAAAGAAAGACTTATGTTGGAACTGCGGTTTATATGTCTGTATGAATTATTTCCTAACATAGCCTGAAAGATTGAATGGAGAAATGTATGGAAGAGATTCTGATATCTGGTCAATTGGTATTTTAACAGCGGAATGCTTGATGGGAAAACATCCTATTTAAAAAACCTAATTTATTGATATGGTTAATGAAATAAGTTCATTTAATATTGAAAACGTTCAAGCAAAGATTTCAGCGGAGATGAAAAACTTCATATCAATGTGGTAATCAAATAATTTTAATTTATAGTGTGAAATTGAGACCTGAAGAGAGAGCTACGGTTGATTAATTATTAAATCATAAAATCATTCTAAGAACAAAAAAAATTGATAAAATGGTATTCTTATAATGGTTGAATTAAGTGACACAATTATGAATCATAATTAATCTTATGTTATATTCATTTTTATATTCAATAAAAGGTTAACAAAAAATATTATAGTTTTGATTAATCCTTTATACAAGAGCATCCGCTTTCATATTTAAAAAAGGAAAATTTGTGTTTTAAACTCCTTTTATTATGATAATATTAATTATTTAAATCATCTAAAACTTCATTTTTTTAGTGAAATTTTTGCTAGCTTATTTGTGATAGAAAAATTAATGAGTTCAAATCCCTTGTAAAAATAATTTTTCAATTAAAAAATATTAAACAATTTATATTTCTATTAATGTACGAAATAAAAAATGGACAATCTTACCCAATGTTAATAAAAGGACTATTAAGAAGGAATTAAGGTTTGTAATTTGAAGTTATCAGTTTAAAAGAAAGAATTTCAATTAGCCCTCTAAATGTTATACATTTAAGCAAGATAATGTTTCATATCACAAATCGTAAAATAATCATTAATTTAGTTTTACGGGAATGCAGTCTCAGAAACCCTGACTTTTTGAAAGGCTTGAGTCTTGATTAGATTTATGTAAATAAAAATATTGAAGACGATGTTAATGTCTTTATATTTGAAGAGGATCAAGAAATTGTGAAAAAGAAACAAAGCCTTGAAGAAATACTATTTTAATTATGTAATGAAGTTTCAATTACCTTTAGTTCATAATTTAGGTTTTGATATTATGAAAGATACTTTTAACAAAGCAACTTGTTTCGATGTAATAATGGAATATCTCTATGGCCAAATCTTTAAAGAATGGAAATTAGACTCTTAAGTTAAAATTACTGAAAAAATCATTTTAGAGAAAATTTTTAATATTAAAATTATTAAGAAACTATATGATTCCAAATTTTCAAGAGTGTATCTCATTGAAACCCCATATTACATTAATTCTTAAAAAAATTAAATTGTTGTGAAATGGATTTAATATGAAACCGAAGATGATATAAAACAATATCTACATAGAGAAATTAGATTATTAGAGAGGGTTCAGAATTTTGAAAATTGTACAAAGCTGTTTTGTTATAATAATATGCTTCCTTAACAATTTCTCTTTATGAAGCATTATGACGTAACTTTAGATGATCTGAATAATTTGATAGGCAAAAATGAGGTAAATACTGTTGACTTGATACACTTAACAAAGCAAATGTTATTTGCTTTAAAGAGACTTCATGCCTTGCAGATAATTCATAGAGATTTAAAACCGTAAAACATTATGTTTGAATATCTTGACGATAATCATAGTATTTAAAATATGAGATGTGTTCTGATTGATTTGGATAGATCTGATAATAATTAAATTGCCAAATCTACGAAAGAATTCCAATCTTGTTATACTGGTACTCCTGATTATCAACCACCTGAAGGAACTTAAACTCATCATTATGAGGAATCATACGACATATGGCAATTAGGATATATCATTTAATGCATATTATTAAGAGATAAAAATAAAAACTACACGCGCTGCTGTCATTAAAGGGATAGCCCAATAGAAGAAAAGGTTTACGAAGATGTATTTAAATCAGACTGGGAGAAGGTTTAACAGAAATATCTAAAATTTTACAAAATAGTCAAGAACATGATGAATTACAATCCCACAAAGAGACCAAGCTTAGATTGGATTGAAGAAGAAATAAATAAAATTAAATGAATAAGATTATAGATTTAATTATAATTTTTATTATTGATATTAAAAATGGAAGGTAAGCTATGTCTCTATTTAGAAATCTTTAAATCCTCCTAAAGCAAATTCTTTACTGTTAAATACAAATCAAAGGCCTAGGCTGACTCAAGCTTAAACAACAAGCTGATTTTCATACAAAGAAAATTTGATAAACTAATTGATCGTGCTATGGAAAAATCCAAGTCAGTAGGAATATTCCTCAATTGTGTGGATGAAAAATCATTCATAGCCTTTGGGATTTTACAATCCTAAATCATTGAATTTGAAATGTTAACTGTATTACTTCATATTAACAAAATTAGGAAGACCAAAAAATTAATCTTAGTAATTTGAAAGGCAATTACGAATCATTTTTTAAGGTTGATTGGACACTCAAAGGAGTACTAAGCTATGAGAAGACCCAAAAAATCAAAAATAATTTGAACGATTTGTTGCCGGTGAATTAATGTAAAGAGGTTTAAGAAATATCAGGATCAAATGCTGAAGAGGTATTAACTTATCGTAATCTTAAGCTTCATTCACTTCTTTAAAAATAAAAACCTTATAAGCCTCAACCTTTACAGGATATTAAATTGCCATTATAATTCAATTAATTAACATAACAAAAATATCCTATTCATAATGATGAGTCAAAATTAAGGAAAAAAGGCAATAGCAGAAGTAGAAGTAGAGATAAAGAGAAATCATATGACAAGAGAAAATCAAGCAAAGATCCAAGTGATGATAGAGGAAAGTAAATAGAAAAAAGAAAACATGAATAAAATGAAAGAAAAGAAACCTATAGAGATAGTTAGGATAGACACAATAAAAGTAGGAAAAGCAGAGATAGAAGCAACAGAGATAGAAGCAAAAGAAGCTAAGATAAAAAAAGTGAGGATCGAAGAAGTAGAGATAGAAAAAATAGAAATGATTAGAATAAATGGCAATAACATAAAGAGTTTGTTGATGACAGTATACAAATACATAATAGATATAGAATAAGTACAGACTGAAGTCGGATTAATAGATAAAGACAGATTGGAAAAAGAAAAATAGTAAAGGGAATAACGTGAGAGAGAAAGAGCGAAAGGTTAAAGAGAATAGAGAGATAGAGAATTACAGAAAATGAAAAATACTATAAATCCTAAATAAACTACAGATTGGGATAGGGATGATAGAATCGAAGATGAATAAGAGCAGATTAAATTAAAAGATAAGAAAGAAAAGATAAAGGATAAAGACAATGAAAAAGATAGGGAAAAAGAAAAATAAAGAGAGAAAGAAAAAGAAAGAGAAAAAGAAAAGGAAAAGGAAAGAGAAAAGGAAAAAGAGAGGGAAAAAGAAAAGGAAAGAGAAAGAGAGAGGGAAAAAGAAAGAGAAAGAGAGAAGGAAAAAGAAAGAGAAAAGGAAAGAGAAAGAGAAAGAGAAAGAGAGAAGGAAAAAGAAAGAGAGAAGGAAAGAGAAAGAGAAAGAGAAAGAGAAAGAGAAAGAGAGAAAGAAAAAGAAAAAGAAAAGGAAAGAGAAAGAGAAAGAGAAAGAGAAAGGGAAAAGGAGAGAGAAAGAGAAAAGGAGAAGATAAAGGAAAGAGAGAGAGAAAAAGAGAGGGAAAAGTTAAAAGAGAAAGAAAAAGAAAGGGAAAAAGAGAGAGAGAAAGAGAAAGAGAAGGAAAGAGAAAGGGAAAGGGAAAGGGAAAAAGAAAAAGAAAAGGAAAGAGAAAGGGAAAAGGAAAAATAAAGAGAAAAGGAAAAAGAATAAGAAAGAGAAAAGGAAAGGTAAAGATAGAAGGAGAAAGATAAATATAGAGAAAAAGATTAGGATAGATAAAATGATAAAGAAAAATATAGAAATAATAGATATGAAAAAAAGGATGAACGATATTAATAAAAGGATAAGAATGTTCACCATTATGAAGATAAGAGGAGAAAAAGATCAAGGGATAGGTCAAGAGAAAAACAGAATTATTCTAATGATAGAAGGGACAGAGAGAAAAGGAATGAGAAAGATAGAAAACATAAGACAATTAATTAAGACTTTAAAACATAGTTTAAAAGAAAAAGTTCTTCTTCATCATTGAGTTAAAAAAATAGATAAGTTGAAATTAAAATAACACAAAATCCTAATTCAAAAAATATTAAGCATTAAGAAGATGTGAAACCTAGAAGATAATATTAGTATGAAAATGAATTTTATAGCTAATCTGTATCCTTGTCTCCCCATAAAGAATAAATTGAAACTTAAGAGCCAGTTAAAATAGTTGAGAACATTTAAATTTTAGAAAGTGTTCCTGTCTAGATTGCTCCACCTTAATAAATTTAAATACCTCCTGTTATCAATTAGCCATAGGTTTAACCAGTAATTTAATAATAAATTGAAAATGTAATTGAAAAGAAAGAAGAAACCCCAAGGATTGTGATATAGGAAAATGCTAAAAGAGTATTAGTATTGAGTTAAGATAAACCTTAACCAAGTTAAGATACTAACTTTTAGGCCTAAACGGGTTCCATGAAAATCATTAAAAGCGCCTCTGGGAATACAAACCAAACAACTATTATTGTTCAAAAGCAAATAATATCCGATACAAAAATAGGATAAATTCATTAAAGTGGTCAAGAAAAAATTAAGGATCGTATCATAATTAAAAATAAATGAGAAATTCATATACAAGTTTAATTAACAATATTAATATCTTTGCAATCTTTGGTCCTTGAAGTAAATTGAACTTAGTGATGAATCGACTTGGGTTGCAGATTTTAGAATTTAGAACTATTAGAAACTATTGGTAAATATATAATTTAAATCATTTTTGAAAAACAACTTTCTCTCTCTTTATATTCTTTCCAAAAATTATCTCTATTCAAAAGATTATTATTTTGTTCCAAAATTTAGCTCTATTTAGGGTTATTTTAGACAGTTTACATTTAGAGATATAATATCTTTAGAATTAGTCTACGTTCATATTTTATGAATATAAAGGTATTCTATATCTAAGATAAGTCAGTCAAAAAAGAGTTGTATTTAAATATGTTGGGGAGGTTATCAAATAATAGGGTAATTTTTTATTTGAAGAATTCCTGCTACTCATATTAGAAATTATTTAAAATAATGGAGGGGATAGTAAGAATGAAAAGAATTATCACTTCAATTTGGCAGAGTATTTGTTTGATTTATTTTAAATAATTTTTTTTGAATTATTTCAGGTACCACTATGTTATTAAAAAATATTAAATTATATATCAAATCAGCAATCAGAAATCTATTAATTATGAGATTATGATGACAAATTTTAAACAGATTTATTTGTAGAACTTTGAGCCGAAAATTCATCTGCAATTTGTTTCCAATATTTAGTTGATCTTATCACTACTCTGTCTACTATTGTTCTTTATTTTTTTTTTAAAAGGATATTTGCTTATGCTTGTGATGAATTGTTGAGTCTTTATTGCCAAAAGTTAAGTGAGTTTTCTATAATATTATTCATTAGATATATGACTTCTAATTTTTATATTATTTTTATTAATGTATAAAAATTATTAAAATAACAATTAATTAATATAATTTTCAAAATAATTAACTTGTTTATCTTTCTTCAATTGTAAATCTACAAAAGCTTGATAAATTTATGTAATTTATTCTCATTAATTTATTATTGAATCAAAATCCTTAATTAGATTATCAAATAATTTCTAAATGATATATTACAAAGAGTAAAGAATAAAATTAAATACTCTATTTAACAAAAACAAATATTATTTATTTTGTATTAATAACTTAAGAACCTCTTAAAAATTAAATTAAAGTGTAAATTCTATTAATCAAATTTTAAGAAAAATTATATCAATGAGTAAACTAGTTATACAGAAAATCAAACCACATAAAATTATGTTCAGCTTACCATGCAAATTATTCATAAATCAAAATAAAATTACAATATAGAATCAGTAACTGTTGTGAAAATTCATTCAACAAATTTAATAGGCTAGGAATAAGATTCACAAATATCACTAGAGTCTGCAACTCAAATGTATTAAAGTGCAACAATGTATTTATATGAATGATTATTCTAATACTCTCTTTTATAGCTAAATATATTATGATAATTCTGGATTTATATTTACAGAGATGAATGAGGAATATTAGTTTTTTTTTTATTGATATGAGCTATGGAGAGTTTAGATTGATTAATATTATTTTAGATTTTACTCTATTATATAATAATTCTATTTCATTCCTGATATTCTGACTTTTTAATATAAATGTGCAGTTTAGAAAAGTAATACGAAATCAAAGTCAATAAAAATGTTTTTCCTTCACTTACAAAATGAATGAACTCAGATAATAAGCAATTATGCATTGTTATCATAGCAATTCCCGTGGCTGGATTAATCTTTGACTAATGATAATTTTTACATCTTTTATGAAGTTCTATTATTCGGTTTCATCTTAGATATATTAATGTATAGGTAGGTAGTCAGAAGCTAATGAATTGATAGGATGGTTTACATTCGCAATCTTATAAAGAGAAATAGAATTAAGGAATATTGATGTAAGTATTGTATATCAATTGGGCCTTGACTTGTATTTACTTTTGATTGTGCTAAGTAGCTGTATTGAGTTCAAGAATAAATCTTTAATCTATGGGGAGCTACATAAAGATGGCAATACGTATTTATGATCAATCAGAAAACACTTGGATTCAAAGTTGACTAAGTTTGGTAGGTTTGTGGCTTGTTCTTAAAATTCTGAAAATGGGATTCCTAATGTTGTTATCATAATAAATAAAATTAATTTTGAACACATAAAAATGCTAACTCATAATTCATTAATCATTTTTCGCACATCTGCATGAGTTAGTTTTCTTGAACTTATTAGAAGTTTTGCAAGTTCCATAACGTTTTGATAATGTGTGAATGAAAAGTCAGGACTTTTATTTTTTACAAATTTATTAGCCCAAGAATCGAATAATGATAAAACATCTTTAATTGAGTTTGCCATCACGAAAGTTTTAGCATACAAGTTTCTATTTTTAGGTTCTCCAGGGAATGCTATAACAAGATGTAACAAAATGATTCCGATTGCATAGAATTCATCTGCCATTTCATAATGAGAATCTTTAGTATAATTTGCAGTTTAATAGCCAATGGTTCCAGTTGTTATTGTATTCTGACTCTTGATAGAATTTAGTTCCTCTTCAGGGAGTCTTTCGTCAGTGATAATAGATAGTTTTTCTTCTCTGACATCTTTTCCTTAATCAAAATCTGCCAATGCAACCTAGCCAGTTAATTTTAAACATCAATTACTTATAAATCTCCCTTGACATTGATTGTGACGAAAATATTCTCAGGTTTCAAATCCCTATGGATAATACCTCTTTAATGAATGTATTCCAATCCATCTAAGATTTGATTAAGGATAGATTTAATCTTATTAATCTTTTCTTAATTCTGCATAACATTTAAGTAATAATAGGAAAATGTGAGCAAATCTGTTGGTTGATATTTATAGCCAGGAAAGGAACAATACTCAAGTTGCATGTATAGATAATATCCATCATTGGTTGATTCTATCCACCAGGCAAACAGCCTATGTGATCAAGATTAAAATACCTTAGAATATTTGGGTGAGTCAATTTTGACAGTATTTTGGCTTCTCTGATCTTTCTAATATCAGGTGTAATGGGGGTATTTGAGGCTGTTGTAGAGAAGACAGAAAAGAAATCCAGATGAGTTGCTTATAATTTGCTCTAAATTATTCATTAAACATACTTTTTTGAGAGCATAGATTTGATCATCTTCTGGACGATAGACAAAAAATATTGATACTCCGCTTCTTAATTCATCTTGATTGGTCTGTGACAGGATCAAGTAATCATTAAAGAACTTATTGTTTCTTATGAAGGCAGTTCTTGGGTCATATTGCTTGTGTACTGGGTTGATTTGTTGTAATGAATCTACGGCAAAAAATGTCAAGGTTATTTTTAAAGGGATCTTTTTAAATTGCAAATTGATTTTCTTTCTATTTATTAGTTCAATGATCGATTTGGATATAAAAGCATAGGCAGTAGATTTGATTTATCCTGTCGATGTTATAAAGCCAATATTAATATCTTAATAAAATATCTTTATTAATTTATCACAGGCATCCTTAAATTACTATTTGCTATCTAATTTCTATAGTTGCAGAAGAATGTTTCTAATTGCCTTCTTAATTGCTTTTTCGACATTTATTAAATGTTTAAGAAATGGATCATCATTTGTAAAGTCCATTCGAATTTATGAAATAATGAGCATTTATGAATACTCTTTGCACTCGCCACTCTAAACAAACTCTTATCTCTTCTACAAACTATCGTCCTAAGTAAAAGAATGTGAATTTATTATACAAGCATCTTTTAAATTAAAGTTTAATCAGGTTATTGAATAACTAGTTCAAATTGTCGCTCTTCTTCTGGTAATTCCTCAATGACTTTTGATCCATAAAATTAATTGATAATCTAGTCGATCTTGTCTTTATCACTTTTCATTATATTTTTGTGATAATAATTAATTATATCCAATGAATTCATACTATAATACAAATCAGATAGTACTTAGAAATGAGACTCTCATAAACTTCAACTTATATAGAATATACATCTGAAGATCTTCTTTCTTGCTAATAGAGAAATTTGTTAGAGCTATGAATGAAAAAATGGTGATGATATATTTGAAACATAATAGCTGATTTGAATAAGCTATTTGATTAACTTGCATAAACTTTATACTTAACAGAATTGCTGAACACTACGAGATAAAAAAAATGAATTCTTTGAGTATTTATTGATTAAAAAATAAATTACATTTTTATAAAAATTATTTCATCCATTTGAACGTTTCCTATCAAAGATATTAAAATCAACAGGTTCATTAAATTGGAAAATGTAGATATTAGAAGTATGAAAAGATTAAGAATATCTAATTATTAAACAATGTTCTAAAATTGAGTTGTTCATTTAATATATGAAATAGAATTTAGACAATATGTGTGTAAATATTAATACATCAAATAGCATGTTTCTATTACTTATCATATGTCAAGGCTTTAGATTCAAAATTTTATAAACCTAAAGAGTTTAATTTTTCTGTTTCATCAGAGTTAATAGGTATTTTCTCTTGTAAGATGAAATCTGATATCAGTTTAGCCATTCTTTCAGGTTCGTCCTCATGCATAGAATGACCTGATTGGTCAAATAGGTGAATTGTGTATCTTTGTTATTTGAATTAAATAGAGCACAATCTATTCATTTCAGCAACAAACAATAATTTTGGATATTGGAAATTATCAAAGCCATCTTGGAGACCTTTAAACCATTCTTACCAATACTTTTTAGTTTAAATTAAATCCACTTTCCATTCCAAATTATCATTTAAGTAATGTGGAACAGTGATTTAAGCTGACTAAGGATTCTTAATAAGATTATTGGACAAATGGTAACTAATAGCACTGGAGTAGGAGTAAAATTGAGAAGGTCTTTTTCTCAATTCTTTTTCCATCAATTGAATGCTTTCCATTGCTCTGCTTTCAATCATATCTATAACAATGAGACCTCGTATAAATGATTTGGGCTGCAATTTACAAGCAATGGCTGCTCCGAGACTATGACCCAATAAAAGAATATTTGTATTTGGATTATTCAATCTTATGTAATCTATAACATCCTCACACTCTTTAATCAGGTTGTCCATTTCTAATGGTTCAGTTTTGAGAGACTATCCATGTTACATCAAGTCATAGGAGATGCAACTACAAAATGTTTTCAACTATTAACACAACAAAGCAAATGTCATTGCGCAATGTCCGGCTCCATGAATTAGCAATACTATAGGTTCATGTTTCATTATCGAATAGACTGGAGTACCCTACATTAAATTGGAATAAATTTACATTGACGATGACCATGGTATCAAAGTATTTATTCCATTCTTATTTCTGGAGTTGCTTCTTCTTGTAGAGAGTTTCAGTAGTTCCGCCTTCCTCCTCTAGGATTGGTTTAAGAACTGAGTTCAAATTCATGAGGAGAATATTTATAAAAATTATTACAATCCGTAAAATAATTTCTTTTATATAAAATATATTCACACACTTATTAAGTAACTATAAATTATATTTATATTTTAATGGGATAGGTCTTAGCATCAGATTATGTTGAATTGTATGCAATCCAAGAGAATCCGAACAACCAATCAATGCGTTCAGCTCATGACAAATCTAAAATAGATCATTCCTAAGTGGTATACATTTTATTCAATTACAGTCTCATGTAGCACCTCCCATATAGCCTAAACCAAAGCCGAATCAAACGAAAAGTGCTAATATAGATCAGATAAAAGGATTAAGAATCTATCTATCTTAAGAGATGTCTTTATGTTATTAATAATTTCTAGTACCAACGAATTCCCTGATTTAGATCCAGTTTCATATCAAAGACATGAGATTGCTGACGGAGAGTATTATGGAAAATTCCAATCTCAAAACAGGGAAGGAGATGGAGTTTTATCCCTCAAAAAGAAGCCAATGTAAAAAGGTATGAATGTATTGAGTGAATTTTCAGGGTAGAATGATCAAGAATAACTCTACAAATTCTTTGGAACGTATCGAAATGGATAAGCCGCTGGCAACGGATATGCCTTCTTCCATTATGATTACTCTCTTTGGGGAGAAGTCTAAAAAAATGAATTTAAAGGAAAGGCAATACTGAAAACCAAAGATAATTAAACCTATTAAGGGATTTGGGATGAACGAAAATTAAAATATGGCATTATCTAAACGTATTATTGATCCGAATCCCAATAGATAACATTATAAATATGTGGGGCAATTTAAGGATGGTCTAAGAGATGGATTGGGAGAATGTCATTACTCTGATGGAACTATAGTCAAAGGCAATTGGAAATAGGATAATTTAGATCAACTATGCCAAATCGAATACCCTGATCATACAGTTTTTAGTGGCCACTTTTTTGAAGGAATGAAACATGGTTTTGGACTATTGAAATAAAAAAATTAGGTATTCTTTGGGGAGTTTGATTGTAATGTTAAACATGGCCTTGGATTATTAAGTTAACCTGAAGATATACAAATGAATCAATCTTAGCATAAACAAAAATATTGTATTCTATTCATCTAATTAACAAATAGCTGAAGCACTTTACGTTTAAGGTGTTCCAAAAGGAATCTATTGTACTTACACAGAAAAAGAAAATAAATTATGGTTCTTAATTAAAGATAATAATGAAATAGAAAAATTAGATCATGTCACTGAGAAAAGAGGTTTAGCTGAACTTTTAAGTCCAATTCAAGAAAATAATTAACCTCCAGTAAAAAGTTTAGAGGCTTAAAAGGTATAATAATTTATAACTTAGGTTGAATTAGAAAAAGCCGTTTAAGAAATGATTGGGAAAGTAAATGAAATCTAAAACAATTCTAATCAATTCATGTCATTAGAAAAGTAAATGGATTCTTAAACTATTAAATTGGGCCAACTTGCAACATACCAAGATTGGATTGACTAGAATAAATAATGAATATTCAATCTATTCATAAAATATATATTGATTAATATCATTCTTTTACTTACTATTACAGTCCTTTTTGAATTCTTCAAAAGTACCCCTTAATTCTTATACCTGAATGAAGAGTTTCTTTTCTATTGTTTAAAATGTTAGACTAATAGATTTGTTTAACAAAAGATATTACTAAAGTTGGAACTAAGTTTTTTTCCAATTACTTTACATAGAATTGTCGCTGCTGAACCTAGGTTCAAATCCTAGAGGGGGCTTTTTTTTAAAGTTTTCTTATTAATAGAATAAAAATTATTGACAAGTTCCATAATAATATAATTATTGCCCTATTGCCCTATGACCAAAACCTAAAGAACCTATAAATTTCTTAATATAATAATCTAATTATCATGGTTTATGAACATTATAACTGAAATTGCTTCATAGTAATCTTATAAATTAATTAAGATTAGAATGGTTAATTTATTTTTATTGGAAATTTGTTGGGAAGTACAAATTAGTAAATTAATTTAGAAATCCTCATTAATATTGCAATATCAATAATATTACTAAAGTTATTCATCTACGGAATTGTTTTTAATAAAAAAGTATGATAATTGGTTCAAATTAATCAGCAGTTAACTATATTAATTGCTCTTATATCCCTTAATATTATTCAAGTAATATAATTTTCCACCTTTTTCCCTTAATATGTAATATCTCAATGAACTCATTGATTATTGTTTTGAGAATACTGTTATGAATATTCAACCGAATAATATAGGTATGAAACTTCATTCAGATTTGAAATAACTTGATATTAAGGTTACTAATAAATGCAGAAATTAGAAGTAAAGATTTTGAATTAGAACTTGTCTTGAATGTCCCAAATCTTCATTAACATAATACATTTGATTACAAGCCACAAGATGACAATAGTTTAAGGATGTTTATAATTAAGAGATGGAAATAAATAACTATTTTTCTTTAATTTTGGATGGTTCCTAATAGTATTGGATTATTTCTGCTTTTTGGAATACCAAATCGTATCAAATGTTGACAATCGAGCAGATATATAATAAAGTTTTTGTGTAATAGTCATGCGCTGGAATTTTAATGTTCTTGTTTTCTGAATTTAATCTAATATTATTATGATATTGAAATTGTAAATACATAAATTATTTTTTCAAACTTTAGGAGGCTAGATATGTTAGACCTTAAGTTTGAGAACTAAGATACTTAGATATGTGTTCCTCCTAAAATCAGGAAAAAAAGGTATTGAATAAAATTAATTAGATTTTTGGCAACACCTTCTCACTAAACAATAATAGCATTAAATTTGAGTGATAATTGTGAAGGTTTAAGTGAAGAAATTGAACATCAGAGAAGAAGAAAAATTAAACCATTCTTAATTATCAGGTTTTTGGAACAGAAAACCGAAGAACCATTCTGAAATTATAATGTGAATAATAAATTAGAAACAATTATTGGTTAGTCAAGTTAGTTTAAGTTTCCATTTAAGGTCCTCCGAAATATCTAATTTCTTATCCTTCTTGATGTAAAATAGCTAAACTCAAAGTGTTTTAATCTAAATACAATAGAGTTCTTTATGATACAAAAAAGTAAATTTTGATTTTCTTATTTCTTTTTAAAAGTTTATCATAACATAATTAGAGTTATGCTTTTGTTCTACTTCAATCTCTCATTCACATACTTTAATTTAAAGTTTTAAATATCTTTTTGATTTCAATAAGAATATTATTCTATATTAAAAGTTGTTTATTCATTATCTATTATTTTTGTGAATTATTTTATTGAGCCAAAATTCAAGGTATTCTCTCTACTTAGGTATTTTTCTTGAGGTTCTTTTTATTTGATTGTGTATTTGATGATTGAGAATAGTGCAATGACTATGCATATTATTTGAATGTAGACATAATTAATTAAATTTCATGAAATATTTGCAATTCATATTAATATTAGGTTTGACACTTGCTTTAACAACTACAGAATAGTCAGGAATTCTGGATCCTAATGACTTGATGTTTTAATAGGAAGACTATTAATCTACTATCAACGTTAGAGAAGAATAAATTGAAACAAATAATCAATAATGGGTTGCCTAAGAATTTATTTAAGATAACGTAAGCTTTTTTAAAAAATTAGAATTCTAATGAGGTAATGACTGAAGCTGAATTAGAACATGCCTTAATTACAAAAGAGGACTTAAATAATATTCCTGACATCTAGATGGAAACCTAAAACGCACTTTTTTTACAAAAAAGAAAAAATTGATAAATAATCATGTTAAAATTATCATATGTCTTATTCAATAATAACTGTCTTAATAGCATTAATTAGGTATAAAAAGAGTAAGAAATGAGAATCATAAGATCGTTATAAAAAACTGAATAAATATATATATAATTAATCATTAATCATAATAAGTTTGATTAATGAGTCAAATAGCTTTATTTGATCCTATGCTAGAGTATACTCTAGTCTTGGTAATTGTTGGGTTAATTTTAAAATTTGTACTTTTTTATTTCCATTACAGTTTAGCGCTGCTTGCTCCGGAATTGCATTAATTTGGAGATGGTAACAACTTTCTCTCTTAGCTTCTGAGTCTCAATGGAAGATTTTAGGAGCCAAGATATTTATGTGAAGGACCTATGGGAAGAGGAGGAGAAGGTTAATTCAATGGGCTTTGATATATTGAAGTACTTCTCGAACTTTAACAAGAAACTGTTGGATCCTGATAAAATCTTTTTCTTTTAATAATGATGGTTTGTCTATTAAATTTCTTGAATATGATATTAGATCTAGCTTATTGTACTGAACATCTCTTATCTGGATCTAACTCTAACATCTGCTTAACGAGGTTCACAACAGGAGGAGATGACCGAACGACTGAGAAATCAATATAACCTTATTCATTTCTTTGAATGGTCTCTTGATAATCTTCAACAAGAAATGGAGATCTCAGTTGTGACAACATTTGGTAAAATATAATCCCAGCACTATAGCAGTCAGCCTTATAATCATAGGATTGATCTTTTAGAATCTCTGGTGCCATATTACCTGCAGTTCCACAGCGATGATATTTATATTGACCTTCATCATTGTGATATTCAGCCAATCCAAAATCTGATATGACCAACTCTTCAAGATTAGGTTTTCTGAATAAAATGTTCTCTGGTTTGATATCTCGATGAATGACTCCTTTGGAATGTATGTATGTTAGAGCATCTATAATTTTGAATATACATTTGATAGCATCATCCTCTGAAAGTACTGTCTTCGATAGAATATCATCTAAGTTTCCACTAACCAATAATTCAGTAACAATGAATACAGATTTCTAAGACTCAAATGTTTCAAGTACTGAAATGACATTTGGATGATCCATTTTTCTCAGTATTTCTAATTCCTTTATGATACAATCAGAATCGAATTTACTCGATTATTTATCGTATATTTTTACAGCAAATTCTTTTTTATCACTTTTCCTTAGCACTCTATAAACCTGTAAAAATATCATTCATTAATCATACATCTGCAAAGTTCCCACTTCCTAGTTTATTGCTTATTATAAATAGGTTTTTTATGTGTCTTTGAATACAGAACTTCTTTAATTCCTTAAACCAACCATCTATGTATCCAAAGAACTCTAAACAATATGAATTTTTAGTTATTCTTAATCCTTGACCAACATGTTGTATCTAAACGATCTCTATCGTTGCATTTGTAACATCACACCATTACTCTAATCCCTTTTATATTCTAAATATACTTACATTCTTCTTCACCTTTTTAATAATAGGACCATGTCTTTTTAGCACTTTATTTTTGTAAGATTTTTTATTATGAGAGTAGAATAGAAAATAGTCCTCTTTAAATTCATAATCTCTAGGTTAAAGTAATTAATCATTCCAAAAGTCAGAAACTTTTTGAGTAAAAATGGTTGCTGAAGGGAATTTAGATTTCATTAATTAAATAAATATGTCTTTTGATGATTTTTTATAAGTTATATACCAAGTAAAGAAATTAGTTATCGTTCAAAATTTATATATCTACTGATATAAATAATTTTAACACAATACTCTTGAATTTCTATGTCCTTAGCTTAAAGATAAGTTATACATCTCATTTAGCGTATTATCAATAACGATTTTTAACTAATAGATATTTTCATTAATGATCAATAATATTATTTATTTTAACTTGTTTCTTAAATAATAATTTTGTTAATATTTAATAAATTATTATCATTTGTAAATTTATTATCAGAAGGAAAGCTCAAAAACAAGAAAGTATAAAGATGAATTTTGAATTATTATATGGTTTCTAACTCAAACAGAATAATTAAAGTGATACCTGACATGAAGGCCTTGGCTGAAAATGTTTCAGGAGCAGACAGATCAAAGTGGGATATCTTGTCAAAGAAGCTTTCACAAAAACAAGAGATGATACATAGATTGGTTATGTGAATGGAGGATTAAGGTAAAAGATCATTAGAGTTGCTCAAGCATATCATAATGAAAGAATCAGAAATGAAGAATTTGAAAAAGCTCTGCTTAAAAGGATATAGCATTTGCAAGATAACTTGAAGTAGAGTAGGACTCATTATAGATAATCCATTAGGAGAATGCCAAAAAAATGTTGGTCATGCTATAAGAAATTCAAAAGGTCGGTGTTTATAAAGAAGCTGTAAAGAAACTGTGATATCATAATTAGAGAAATTAATGGAAACTTCACTAAAAGATGCTTAATAAGCTAGATAAGCGCAGTTAGAGGTTGAATAATTTAAAAATGAAAATCTTAATTTGCAAAAGCAATTGAAAGGAATTATTTATGGAGAGGATGTTGGAGAATTAGAACGTTATAAATAAGAATGCCAGAGATTAGAGATAATAGTTGCTAACATGAAGGAGGAGTTAAGGAACAAGAGACCTGTTAGCAATAGTGGGGCAGATTGGGAACAAGAGAAAATGGAATTGAAAGTAAAATTGCATAAGGCAATGCTAGAATAGAGGCATTACAAGATGAAATGACTTATAAGGCAAAGAATTATGCTAAGGAAATAGCACAATTGAAATTGATAATTGCAGAGAAACAAGCATTATTAGATTCTTTGACGATGGGTGGATCATGATTGGTTTTAAAATATAGTATTTATTTATCAGCAATTTTTATATCTATATGAATTATTTTATGTCTTTATGATATGTTTAAATTGATGTCAATCATTTGAGATTGTTTCTCTTGGTTGTTAAATCAGAATAATAGTATTAAAGCCAATTAGCTTAATCTTAAGCTCCCCATTCATTATAATAGAATGTGATCACGCTGCCTCCCAAGAGAATGGCAAGAGCAATAAGATTGTCCTTCTTCAACTCCTTTTAAATCAAAGGGGAATGCTTGATTCCATAAAATCTATGAATTAAATAACCTCTTTTACCTGCCATACATTTCCTCCATTGTATATCCGTGAATCATAGATTGTCTTTCAATTCCAAATTTGAAGGGTTCATACTCAAATGTTTTGACATCTAATTTTTGGGCCTTGAAAAGTTCAGGTTTTGTAGATGTGAATTATCTTGCAATAATCTGAATGTTTTTTCTCATTTATTAAAATAATTAATATCATAATCTAGCTTTGATTTTTGTGCCCATCAAGTCATTCACAGCTTAAGGTACTCCTTTGATATTAACTGAATTCTCTTTTGTGGCCCATTCATAAATGTATTCATAGGGTTTTCCATCATGGCAACCAATGCAAGTTCTCAAAGCATTATCAGAGAAATTGAAAGCCTCAACTAAACCCAAGGCTTATGGTTTCAGTTTATTGAGTAATTCGATTTTGGTTTCATTGAATTACTTGAATTACTCAACATTGATTCTACCTGATTCAATGAGAGTGTTTGGATTATCCAAAATTACTTATAGTGAATATAAATCACACAATTATTACAACACTTCCTTTACTGATGGATTGGCACTGGAAATATATTCCTAAAATACTAAATATGTGAAATATTCAGCATATCTTTAAGCCACAGATAATAATTAAACTCCAACTACTTCATTCCAAATTTATTGGAAATTCTTGCCTGTACTCATAGTATCCTTAACCTTTTTGGCGACACTTATTAATTAGAGGGTAAGTGTCAATTTGAGTAATTATCCAAAATCTGTACTTTGATTGGCCAATGTTTCTTTGACGTGTAACACAAAGTTGAAATAGAATGGAACCTTCTCTGGATATTTGTCTACGTATTGTAAGACCTTAAGCAAGTATCTGGCCACTTATAGATACATGACTTAATTCTCTCCTTCCAATGTAACGTTAGGAGCAGTGTCAAAATATATGGCTGGAATTCCAGAATAGTGCGCATAACCATGGCCACCACATGATAATCTACACCATTCAGCTGTATCAACAACCCATTATGAGGACCATGCTTTTAGAGCACTATAAGTAAAATATTAATTTCAAATACCTCAAAATAGCATGTGATTATTATAATGTACTGAAATCTTTCTTTAATACTCTATGGAAGTTGTCATCAACCAATTCCATGATTCTTAAGCCTGCAAAGATCATTCCATAACATGTGGCCAATCTGGGTAATAATTTATCTTATTGAGTTTAATATTCAAGGACTGAGTTCTCTTCTCTTTTATCATTTGTGAATTGTTATCGTGTAATTGAATATCTAATAGCCACTGTCAAACTTTAAGCAGCCATTCTGGGATAGATGAAAATTATTAATTATCTTGATACCATCATTGATGCGTAAGATATCTAATTTATATTATTATGAAATACTTTTTCATTTCCATGTCTTGAAAATTGTCCATTCTCAATTCTAACATATCTAGCCAATAAACTATTTAATGGGATTCTGTAATTTTCAAATGCCAAGAAACCGTTGTCTTTTGTAGAATATCCTAATTTTGGTCCTATGTCTCCAACGACAACCCCTTTCAATGGTTTATGTGTGGAGTTATCTCTTATTTAAACCATAAAAGGATGAACTCCTTTATTCTTACCATTGAAAATTAACTTTGCATAGACAAGTGCATAATTGGACAAAAATCCAAGTTCTCCTGGCCAAACTAAATCATATTGATTCATGGTTACATTTGACAGCTGAGACTGATGGTGTATGCAATACAAAATCATTGGTCTAAGAATCATAGGTGGCTGTGGTTTCTAGATTTTGGACATCACTTCCATGTCCGATTTCTGTCTGAGCATAAGCAGCTACAATCTCCATGGTAAGAAACTTGGGACCCCAGAGATTGAATTGCTCATCTGTACCAAGGAATCTCAAAGCAGGAACAGTCATTCCAAATGATACAGCTGAAGGTGTTGTACCTTAGAATAAACTTAAGATTGGTGCCCAATGAGCTGCATTTGCCAGATTGAAGTGCTGATGCATGATCCTCAGTTTCTCATAGGATTTGATGATCTGTTCCTTGCGTCCCCAATTGTGATAATCAGGATGATTCCTAATGCTTGGTTCATTCGCTATGATCTTCTAGGCGTTCATGAAGGTTTCATATATTTCCTCATTTCCATAAATAAGTTTGGTTAGGTCTTGAACTGGGAAGGTTACTCTGTCCCTGGCTTCTTAAAGTAATTATGTTGTAGGATGCATATTTAGTGCGTAATTTAAAATTAAATGAAATTCGATGAGTGTTAAAAATTTATAAATAATACCATACAACTTAATTAAAATAAGGAATGATGAAAAAGATTACGAAATAAAGCGAGAAATTCAACGCCCATCTTAAATCTCAGGAATCAGAATACGATGACATATTTCAAGATTAAAAAACAGAACAATAACACCAACCTGTAATCTAGAAGGAATAACAAAGAAAAACTAATATTCGCATTGTCTTCACTAGAAAACCTGCTCAACAACAAGAACAGTAGATTATACCTCCGTAACGAATATCTGTAGCCAAAAGATCTTGGCATAAAGAATTGGATAATTTAATCAATCCCTCAGAAATGAAGAATGGGAAATTCTCTCAAGAAGAAAAGGAATCCATCATGCAAATAGTACGTAATTACCAAGTTTAAAATAATCTGACAGATCAATAATTGAAAGATTATATTGAATTGAAGACTTTGGGCCATTCCAAAATTTGGCTCGAAATTACAAAATTTATACCTACAAGGACAGTTGATTCAGTGTACAAATTGATTCGACGTAGTTTGGATAGCAAGAATAGACATGGATATTGGAATAAGGAGGAAGAAGCTGAATTGCTAAAATGCATATAATAATATGGTAGGAAATGGAGAGAAATTAGTAAACATCTTAATCGAACACCCGATAATATTCGGAATAAGTATATCCAAATTGGAGAACACAATCATTTGTTTAGAAATAAATCATTTTGGACAATTGAAGAGTTCCTCATTCTCATGAACAGTGTCCATGCTTTAAGTGGTTATCCTATCTTACTTCCCAATTATGATTAAACTCTTCAATAAAAATTGGGAGAAGACTTCCAGAATGTTAAATTTAGACTTAATTATAGAAAAATGAAGGCAGATGATAAAGAAATATTTGAATTACTCAAGTCAATAGTTAATATACCTTCCAAAATCGGTGTGACTATTAAATGGACAGAAATATCCTCTGAAATTAAGACTAAAACAAAGGATGATATAAGACAAATGTGGTATAAATTGAATGGGACGTTGTTATGATTCCTGATTGACTTCACCATGCATATATATATATAAAGAAAACTCACAATCCATCTCTCAAAAGGCATCGATTAATTTAAATGCTCTTTGATCATTTAAGAAGTACTTTCTTACTTCTCTCGGCTGATTGATCATTTTCCTTATCTTTATATTGCGAGGCGAAAGTATTTAAACCTTCGCCTCGCTCAACCTCACCCACGTTTTCCAGTGTTCTTATTTATACCTAGTTACTCGCAGGTTTTCACTTTGGCACCGAATTATAAGTCATTAGCCTTAGAATCCTTCTCCTTCACCAAACTCCTCTCCTGTCTATCGTATTTTATTTATTATTGGATCTTCTCTTTTTCTCTTTGCTCCTTCTCATATTATCTTTAAACTTCTTGCTATTGTCTCACTCTAGAAAATACTAGAAAAGTATATATTACATCTCCTAAGCCTTTTGATACTATTAGGGTCCCTCCACTCTTCCTTATGCTAAAATATGCTACCATTTGATTGTATTGAAATTCTCTAACAAGGTTCCGTATTCTTGATCGGGTAGATAGAATTCTTAATCTTGCTAATTTTAAATAGAGTTGATTGAATACTTAAATGAAACCCAATGATTATAATAACTCTGCCATTTATCTTATATTAAATAATCGTGTGGCTAATGTTTTAACTGTCATCTTTATGTGTTTAAATTTATCTTCATTGGGATTGTTTATAATACTAAATTCATAAATGCTACAAATACTTGGTAATTAGCTTTTCTAACAGACCTAAAGCATCTGCAAATGCTGAAGGATCTTCGTTCTTCTCGATTACATCAAGTAATGACTTCGTCTAGTTGCTAGAAATCATTTTAATTAATAATTATTTTATATGAACAAAATTATTCAAAACTTCCATTTAGAATTATTATTCAACTCTAATATGGTTGGTTCCTTTTAAATGATATTTTACATAATCTTTTGTTATAGTTTTCAAACGAATCTAATTATGCTTTGAGCCCAAATATAAAACTCTCTAGTGAATAATTTTACAATACTCTTTTTAAAGTTGATCTCTAATATATCATAAATAATCAAAAGTTATTGAAGAATTTTTAAATTAATAAAGTATTAATATCATTGAAACATTTTTGAGAGAATCATATCATAGTTTTACTGATTTATATTAATCAAGTAAAGCAAAGAATAATCAAGCTGTTACTTCTAAGTAAAGAGCTTAAGGTATAATTTTGAGGGGGTACAAAATATTGATATTCTTTACGTAACTGATGATGTCAAGGTGTACTGTTTAGGCGTAATCTCTAAAATCATGTCCAACTAAAGTTTCTTGTTGAAGATATTCTTGAAAGATAGTTCTATTATTGGTTCATTAATAAACCATTTATAATCCTATAACAAATAATAATCGATTAAAATATTAATAAAAATGGCCAATAAATATAATGTGCAGAGATTTCTGGAGTAGAAGTATGCACACTGTCAGTCCTACTATTATGCCAAAACTCTGAATGATTTTGTGAGTTCTGCCAGAACATCAGATGTGATTGAGTTCTATTAAGTTATGGCCTTTAGGGATGATTCTGAATATCTAAAGCGATTCTATTGCTTAAGTAAGTAAGCATCATCAATAATCCTCATTAGGCGAGGTGTTCGAAAAGCTTCGCCTCTTTGCAGAATACTACAAATATCATAATGAGATTCCGAGATTCTTCATGCCCTATATATGCAGGATAATGAGCAAGTATTTTATTCAGAGACATAGGCCAGCTATCATGATAAGAGGAGAAGGATTGAATACTACAGGATCAAAAGAATCATCGAAGAGGAAAATAGAAATAATCCCAATAAACCCAAAAAGGCTATAGTTGGAGACTCCCCTCAAGAAGATAATCCCACATCTCCCAAGCCCTAATAAGTTTATAGCAAGATCCTTTCTGGAATTTAGGATGCTTCAACAACTATCGAAACAATCAATAATAAATTGAATGCATTATAAATAAATGTAGGCGAGCTAAATCTTTAGCCATCCAACCGAGAACAAGAATAGTTACAGAACTTCATTTAGTTTATGTTAGATAAATAAAAATTGAAGACCATCGCTCAACACACGTAACTAAACTCGCCTAAAACATATAATAAACTTCCGATTGGAGTAAGTTAGCAGACAATCAAACAAATTATTTCGAGAACCACGAAAAACTAATAGACTTTTCACTTGTCGCCAAAGACTGGACAAGAGGCCTAATCTTAAGTTGGAGCTTATACATAGAGAATCTTAAAAGATCCTTTAAAAAAGATGCTCACTCCTGCACAAATCTACACTATAAATTCCCCTTTAAATCACAATAATACGGCATTCCAATTGAAATCGAAGTAAACATTAATTTAAGTATAGAATAACTTCATCGAAAAGTAAATAATAGAGTCTCTCTACATCCAAGTAATTCAAAATAGGTGATGCTTTACATTTACCTTTACGGATGCACTAACATACTAGATCAGATGTTCGATTTTATAGAAAATGAAAGTTGTATGATGTATTATTACTCAAATTTCAGAGAATTGGATGTTGTAAGTTTTCTTATCCCAAGGATTCCTTTTTGGATCATGATATTCACCTGGACCTGGAGATTAGTTTTTAGAATTCTCATACTAAAATCGCTTTTCCTATTGTAAATTTCATAAACAAATATAAAACTTGTATGTTGAAAGGAGGTGCATGCTTCTTGACTTAAAAGGGCAATTTATATGATTCCTTCTATGGACTCTTTCTAATGCTTTCTTCTTCTTCCTCAAGCTCCTCAATTTTCTTTTCTTCCTTATTCTAAAATCTTGGCATGGATGACATAAAGGGAGGTTTTTAGATCTTTAGAGCAGGGTCTTCCTCCTCCTCGATCTTAGTCTTATATTCAATCGTATAATTTTTTGGATCATATTGTCCAGGAGCAGGAATCTCAGATTTACTCTATGATCCAGGTCCTGCCCTCTTGGTTGAAGATTTAAAGACTGATTATGCTCCTTTTTCTGGGCTCTTTCTATTAAAATCATATGATCCAGGTCCTGGTTATGGCACTTAAAATTAGTTATCATCAAATCTAGGTTAGTTGTATCCAAATTTCCCAACTGGGGCCCTTTCTAATTTCTTAACCAAATTATATTCCAACTGAAAAACTTATAATGTAAACAATTTACAGTTTATTTGGGATTATATGTTTAAGGTCCTGGTCTTTTTTCTTGTAATTTAGCTTCAAAGCGACTATTGGAAGACATAAATGGTGGCTGTTTATAAGATAGACTCTTATTGGCAAGTTGTGCATCGACTTTATAATCTCCTGGTCCAATGGAGGTGGACACTTATTCGTCTCCAAATCTTTTTTATTTTGAACCGAAACATTATGTTTCTATTTTGGTGGCTGATTTAGAATAGGTCGAAGCAGTTGTGGAATCTTTATAATAATATCCAGGACCTGGAGTGGCATCCTAGATGAATTTAATAATGAATAACTTCTATGTATTCGATTTCCTCGTCTTGAAGATCAGCAAATTGTGGACTGGACAACAGTTGATTTCTCTTTTTTTCAAATTGATATCGCATAAAACTACGAGCTTTCTATCCTCTTTCCATATCGAACAATCTTTGGGTTTTTGATTGGAATGAGCCTGAAGGCATCAACTTGTAAAGAGGTTGATTATCTTCTTGAATATCGTAATTGCCTGGACCAACCAGTAATTATTTCTCCTTTGATACCACAGGAGCTAATTTGGGTTATTTTGATTTATGCCAATTAAACCCTTTATTTTTGTTTTATTCAAACAAGTCCTTCAAGTCATACTGTCCTGGACCAACTGAATCATTCTGTAATCCTGATAGGATTTCTTATGGACTTTTATTCAGTTCCAGAGCTTTGTGTTTAATTTTAGATCAATACTTCCATTATCAGTGTACCCATGAATTTGGGAATTGCTTGGAATGGAGGGAATTGACTTGTATTTATTTAACTTCATTAACTATTCTACTAAATTCTCTTGAGTGGCCATCTAGTACCGTTATTGTTGAATAACTTCAGGCTCGTATGACCCAGGACTGAATTACAATTTATATATATATGCTTTACCCTGGATTCTCATTTTTAGAGCCCTCTTAAAACCTCCGACATTTTGAAGCAAACACCGAATGCTGCTTTGGCATCTCCAATATTTGCACATCCGATTGGGTTGATTGAAGCACGACCTTCTATCTATAAGGTGCTATAGAATACATACCCTGCATTCACAAAATTGACATTATAACTCCCTGGTCCTGGAAGTGAGTTCTATTTAATAGGTTTGCTACGAAGTGTCTGGCTATTGAAAGGTGCAACTGATTATCTGAGAGGTTGACTTTTCAACAAGGTATATGTCCCTGGGCCAACCTATTCTCTCATGATTCATAAGTACATTAGCTGGAACCTAAGTTGCCGATTGATTAAGATCTCTTTCAGCCTAATAAACAAAGGCCATTATAATTATTTATAAACAAATTAAAAATCAATCCTTTTTTATTTTAACATTTCATATTCAGAATCCATATCAAGATGTGATTCCGAAAAATGGTGAAATATCATGCATATATTGTAGTGTAGATAGGAAAAAGGGATTCGAAATTAGGAATATTGTGTAATATCCTTAATTATTTGAACAAAACCTTGGAACTACATTTTAAATACAATCTTAACGATTCTCAAAAGATAGAGAGACTTGGGTTCTAATTAAACTACCAGTCTAAACAACTTTTATTAATAATCATTCATTTTTATCTTATTAGTTCCTTATTAAATTCAATCCAATTATATTTATATATCTTTCTATTAATTTATTTTATAGAATTTGAAATGATAACAAAATTTACTCTATAAAATAGAAGAAATAATGAAAATAATTATGTAATATAAATTTATAAATAATAATCATAATAGTTGTCTTAGTGATTTGCTTTTATTAGTTTGCAATTCTGGGATGTATTGTGAAACAGCCTCCGATTCATCCATTTCTGATGTTGATCTTTGGACTCTCTGGAAATTTTGGAATCTTTACTTTTTTTCTTAAGAATTTAAATTCTTTGAAAAGTAGGGGTGTTCCAAAGATTGGTAAACAGTGAACTGCTAATCAAATAGCATTCTCAAGATGAGATCCTAAGCTTGATTTGGGGTTGTGTTAGCCTAAAGCATATTAGCTACTGTATTAAAATCGTAATTGTTATAAAGTTTTGATGTATATCTACAATTTACTATTACATATTATATGATACAGTTAAAATAAAATTGATCCGCAGTTTTTGATATCTTGAGTATCGACTTTATAGGATTGGATTGAATTGGAAAAATCTATAATTTTGATCAAATCTGATTTATATAAAAGAAATTTAGCTTATATGGTCGCATGAATTATGTGGTGGTCATGTAAGTATTTGAGTGCCTTCAGGAGTTGCTTGGGTCAGACTTTAAGACTTACTGTAATTATTGATTGGCATTGTAGGTGACTAAGTGTCGGATTTTTGGCAATATAATTCTCCAAGCTTATTCCACCAAGGAATTCAGTGACAGCGTAATGTTGATTGTTATGTTGGAAGCACTCTCTAATTGAAAGAATGTTTGGATGATTCAACGACCTGAGCAGTGACACTTGACCTTGTAACTAGACAGAGTTTAAGCATTTCAATGTATAAGTTTGATGAGAAAATTAATCCAATACTTTGGAAGAATCCTCCACATCAATTTGCTTATACAATTCTCCAAGATTATCGAAGCAGATGAGGTTTCTACAGAAAATTCTCAACTATTCTAGATCTTTGTGATTGGCTCTAAAAAACTTGATAGCATTATTGTGCTAGATACCGAAGGCCTGGAGTTTGAGTCCATCTACATACCAATGTAAAACATTTTATAATGTAAATTAGTACTCATACTTTGGAGGGTCCTTATAAATGTATAGGAATTAACTCATACATTCTTGCCAATTGTTAGTTTATCTTTATACACATTGACAACATAATGAGTGTTAAGAAGATAATGCAATCTTTCACATTTGAATTATAGTATCATATTTTGATTATAATAATTAATTTTCAGTCTTCTTCAAATGTCTCGTATTTCATTTTAAAATCATTTTAGAATTCTGCATCATCACTCTGAGGTAATTTGCTGGAAGCAATAATTTTGGCTCCCTGTTCCAATTAATAATCCAACTTACATTTTGTGTTCCTGTATCTAAGAATACATAAATAATCTTATTTACCGTTTTATATAATAGCATAACCAAAGAGTCAGTAATGCTATTAAAAAAATCAAACCAATAATTAAGAAGGTTAAAAAAGTTCTATTATGGTTTAAAAATTTGGCAAAATAATTTGGAACAGGTACTTAGATGGTTCGATAAAATACTTTAATTTAGGAAGTAGAACTAAAGGTATAAAAATAAGTAAGTACTTCATGAAATTATCCACTGTTGCAAACACTCCGATTGATGCTTATTCATATGTGACTAAATTAGGAAATTCAATTTCATAAACGATACTTCCATTATGATCAGCTAAGCGATAGGATTGTATACTTTTTTTGAAGATTTTTTCATCATTTGCCTTATGACTTTCAAATTATTCATTGCCACAGTAACCTAACATTTAGAGTTTCTTTTCATCTTGAGCAATAAATATGTGATAATTAATTTGTACTCCCTCCAAATTGCATTTATTACAAGTCGCATGTTCAAACTCTATTTGTATTGAATCAGCTTTTTATTTATCTAATTTCCACTTAATGTGACCATCATTGCCAGCCAATATCCTACCAAAAGGTATATCTTTTCTGTTTTAATAGAAATGATTTGTAATATGATAATACGAGGATGTGGTGGAGGTTCCAGTGATGGCAATCCACAAAGTCCCTTTCTCAACTGATATCATTTCAACATGATAATCTTTTTCTGGAATATCAATTGATTCATCATAATCTTCATCAATGAAAGATTAAATGTCTGATTTGGAGAAGCTAAAATTGATATCAGATGAGCATGAGTATATTTCAACTGCTAAATACCCTTCTGATGGAGCATAAGTTTCATAATAGTCGAAATCATCTGGTCGGATATACCCACTGTGATGTCTTTAGATTGGTAAGATTCTAATATCATTGGTGGATGCACTTATCTCAATAAATTAGGTAGGATTAGTTGCTTCTCCATTTTCAATATAATTCTTATTGTTTAAAATAATCTCATAAATTCCTTTATCTTTAGGCAATTCATAACTACTCGAGAGAGGATGTATCAATCTAGTTTTGATGGGAATTTCTTCTAAAAACTCAAAGTGATAATCATCAAATGACTACTTTTTGATATAAAAAACCTTTATTTCAACATCCTATAGCGATGTTTGATTCAAAGGAGCTAGATTGAGTACAGATATCTATTCGTCGTAATTTTCATACAAAAATGTGATATTATGTTCGATAATGGCTAAATGTATTCTGCCATCTTGCAATTTTCCATTAACGAAATCACTAGTATAGTAAATAGTGTAATTGCAGGGAGTATTGGATTTTGTGGAAACCTTGACGAATAACTCATCATGAACGAAGTGGGATGGCAATAGACCTATTTCATCTTCTTACTTTTTGTTATTCTTTTTATTTAATGAACCTTAATCTGTATCTTCTTGGTAATTCAATAACATTTAACTTGGAACAGTTATATGGATATATTGATTATTTGGGTAAGCCTTGATAATTTAACTGGAATTCAAATTATTTTAATTAAATGAATATTAGACAATGGGATCTCCTGTGAATATTTATATAAATATTTCAATTTTGCTGTCTTAAGTAAAGAAAATGGAAAATTAGGAGGAACTTTATTTTTCAACATAATCACTGTATTAAACTCCAGCTGGCAATTTAACAAAGTCATTTTCCAACACCACAGTTAATTGACCTTGCAATTCTTATTCCTATGATTCTATTTTGATGATGTATGTGCAATAAATGCAGAATTTATTTTTATCGTTAGCTTAAATCAAGATTTAGGAATTCTCATTTCCAGCAGCCAAAACGGTGGCAAGATACTTGAATTCTGCATCATTACTTTCCTTCACACATTCAGCAATGTTACTCTACTGATTACAAATGAAAACCGACATTGATCCATATCCCAAAAATCGATGTAATTTAATGAAGATATCTTGATTAAGATAATTATAAAATTAGACAATTGTAGGATGTTGATATTTTGCATGAATCGCATTAGGTTGACTATGCATAATTTGAATGTAATCCATATTCATATACGAAATTGTGAACTCCAATTTAATTGATTGCTCTATGGGATTGTAATAACTTTGCAATCCTGAAATTGAGATGATCAAATAAGCATCCTAAATTGATATGTTTTTCTCCTTTAGTTTCTCATTCAACTTATCTTTAGATAATTGGTAGTAGGATCCATCTGAATGGAAGTCAAAAGATCCAAAAATATTGGGTAATTCGAAATATTCCCCACCGTTCACACTTATTGTAAAATAGACATTCCCTATTATTTACAACACAGAGAATGTAAGATAAGTATCATCTCTGAACTTTTACAAATTCTTAAATGTGAAATAAACAGACTCTTTGCTTTTAATTGAAACTTCATACTTTTAGCCTTCTATCACATCCTACATTCCTTAATTAATCATAATATGGAATTAATCATTGAAGTTTTACACTATTTTTTAGGGATCTTCAACCTTTTAAACTGATATCAATAGTATACAGTCCGGCCAACATTAATCTAATGCTACTGATTTGAGAGTTCTGTGTATTTGATTTGTTGAGCCACTGGAAATATCTGAATCATCTTCTTTATCAATAAATGGCCAATCAGATTTGTGAGAAGCCTTATTCTATTTCCAAATGTTTAAATGCAAAATGAATTTACCAAAAAAAGTAGATGCAAATAAATTCACATCAGCAGTCTTCGAATTAGGTTAATAATAGAAATGCATAAACTCTTCAATATTCTACAAATTGTAAGATTGCTGTAATCCATCAGTCAATTGGATGGCCAAATCTTATTTATGAATTGTTAAAGTGTATCTGACTGGAGTTTTGGATATACTTTTAACAACAATAAATATTTCACATAGATGAGTGATTCTGTCATGATTAAAAGTGACTTAGTCATTGTTATCTATGTCACATAATTTCTTCATTTTCTCACTTGAAAGTGAAAAAGTACTGACTTCATTATCAAAAAACTTATATTCATATTGATCCAGATCCTCATATAACATATTTCCAACATACACTTATAAGTCTTTATTGACATCTCCACTTGATAGAATGTTCTTAGTGATATAAACAACATCTTCGTCGAAGTAACTCAAAAATGAGAATCTTTACTATTCTGTAAATGCTACTTATCCATAATAGGCTGAATTGAATTCTAAATTAATGACTGATTAAGCATCGTATAAAACGAGTGAAAATTTGATGTCATTATAATAAGTCTCATTTTTAACATCTTTATTATTCTAAACCTACATTTCGACACATGCAATAAATCTATCACTAACTAATTGCAATGCAGAATTTCCTGTAATCACATCATAATCTCCTTTGGTTGGAATTTCATCATCTGTGTCAATATTAGCATAACTCACAAGTTTCTGATTAGGTCCATGGATTAACAGTGTTAGAACTCCTTTAATAGTCTATTAATATTTAAAACATTATTTCTTTTAATTAGAATTGATTGATGATTTATAAATCTACCCTTTGCTGATACTTATAATATTGATCTTATCCTTTGGATGAGTTTCTATGATCAACCCATACTTTGCCAATTCCATTCCTTTAATTGTAATGGAATATTAACCATCTTTTAATTGAGAATCACTCAAACTAATTGGTTATTCACTGGTTCCACTATATTCATAACACTTCCAATTAACCAATTAACACTTAGATGATCTACTTACTAGAATTTAAACATTTTCAGAGGTGACTCTAAAAATGACTGAACTATAATTTTAGGAATTTGCTAAATTGAATTTGAAATAATGTTTCTCCTCTTCATCAATCTCAGAATTCATCATTTGATTCTCTTATAACATTTTGGCTTCATTATTGTCATCAATATTCAGACTATATATGCCTTAACTATCCACAGCAATTATAAACCAACAGTAATTATCCTTATCTGGACTTTCACAATTTTATTCTACAGACTGATACGATTCTCCATTTTTAATTTTATCAATAGATTCACATTTGCTACCTTTACAAGGCTTCACTTAAACCGAAATATCTTCTGAACTATCTGCTGACACTGTAAAATGATTGTCTTTGATATCAAGTAGTTTCAATTTATAGTTCACAATCCCATGTTTTTGTCCCATTGCTAAATCATTACCTTCAATAGAAATTAAATCAGTTTGTTCTATTACATCTATTTAATAACTAAGCTTATTATTAGAACTTAATTCTAAACTTGCGAATTATTCATTCCATAATAAATTATAATTTCGATGCTTGTATGTATTAATAACTTGATCTATTATGAGTTCTCCCTTTTGATTCCTTACTTTAATCTTCAAGATTTCATGTGTATGAGATTTGAGTTTTACCACTTTTTAACCTTCAATTAGATATTCATTCTTTTTTGATTTCTCTACTGCATCAATCATTATTTAATTAACATTCAACTTCTGTTATTTCACATATTCAAATCTTTCAATTTCAAATTCCTATTCCCCAATCAAAATCAAAGTTGTTTCACTCTCTATCCCATCATAATACACTGCTACGAATCTAGTGTCACTTTACATAATAGTTGGCTCCTCCCCAAAATACCATAGATCCGCATTAGTAATGACGTGATTATTACATTTTATAGAATAAACTACTCTATAATTGGAATTCTAAGCGATTTTCAATAATTTCAATTTCTACTTTGATTGCTTACCAATTTGCAATTGTTTCACCTCCTCCTGCAAAACAATTACATTGAATTTACATGGTCCTTTTGTACACTATAAATCAACTTCTAATCTATCTTTCCCTTTTTCAAAATAACATACTCTCTGTCCTTGCTTTAATTTACACTAACCTACTGCTACTTCCTCTATATTGTATTATAAACAATAGTTACCATAAATTAATATATTTTCATCATCCTCTTCTTCTTCTTTGCTGCCCTTCTTCTTTTTTTTCTTGGAACCTTCATCCACATATCTCACTAATTAAACTATCGTTGGTAAATTTGTATTCACTTTAAAACATAATTCTTATTTCTTTCCATTCTCCAAATTTATAGATTCAGATTCACTCAACGAACTAAGGTATTCCGAATCATTACTTGCATGCAATTGCTATTGAAATAAGAAATGAAAATATGATCATTTTTATTAAATTTAAATTTATCACAAAACCTAATTCCTTAAGCTTTTTTTTTATATTATTTTAATAACTTTATTTACACTAAATAGAGATTTTCTTAAAATTTTTCACAACTAATTGATGTTCTCTGCTAATGCATTTAGAAAGTAGCAATTCATTCTAGCCTTTATCTATCTGCTTTATGCATGGCTTGAACCTTAGGATTACTATTCTCAACATATTGTAAAATTGGCATTAATTTAATTAAAAATATTATTTTTGATCTTACAAAAATTTGGGTTGATTTAAATTGTATCTGAATATCACTCTGTAGTATTATGAATAAATCCTTTAAAACTTTATTCTCAATTAGAGTAAATAAACAATGAATAAAGGATTCTGTAAGAAAATCTTTCATTAAAATTGAATCTATGTAAAATTATAGTTAATTACATACAATAAGGGGTCAAATTAAGAATAGTTTAATCATTAAAGTTTACAGAAGATTATTAATAATACTGTATAAATTTAGCAAGGGATTCTCATTAAATTTTGAATTTAAATTTTATAAATTAAGGAAAGAAGTGTTAAGTCAATAAAGATATCAAAAAAATTTTAATTAGAAACAAAGGAAAGTGAAGATTATAATTATTATAGCAATTTTTAATTAATAACGTTAAAGTGTAAAACACAATCCTGCAGTTACCTAAAATATTATTATTGATTTATTATACAAAACTACTTTTATATGCTGCTAGCTAATATTATTAAAGCTTTTTTCATGAAAATAATAATTAAATTAATTCACAATAGATAATCACAGTGAAATAGAAATGAAAATCGATGGATGTCGACATAGAGTGTCTTTAAAAAATTAGATACGATTAGTAAATTGTTGAAGAAGTAAAATTATAATGAAATTATGATTTCCTACAAGAAAACTAATTTAGTGATTTTAAGAAATTAAAATTAATATCTATAAGTTATAAAAGAACAACGTATCCAATTGCATTCATTCTTTTAAGAGCATTCTTTGATGGAAATTATAACATTTATTAAGTCATATAAATATTTATCAATTTTATACTATACAATGAATTACTTCAATTCTTTAAGGTAAAAATGCAAGACAAGTTCACAGGCAGAAGAAGAACCTTCATAATTACTCATTCCCTGCATGAATTGTTAAGAATATATTAGATTTAATTTAATCAATCAGCATTCCTTCACTTGCACTCAAGTGTCATAGGATATAGATCATATTGATAAAACCTACTCTTTGTTGGAGGAAAATCATTATAAATTACAAAAAATCAGGATGAGCTTAATGGAAAAATAGAATAATATATTAGCACTTAGACTCATTAGGATAATTGAACTTATAGTTCAGATTTCTACTATAGGTAAGGTGGAAATAGCTTGTTGTTAAACCTATTTAGAAGAAATCATTCAATTAAAATACCTTCCTAAATCATCATTAAATCTAAGTTTGTATATTGAAAGAATACAAGTACTTATAGAACAAAAGATATAAATACTGAAAGATGATTTGGAAATCAAACAAGAACATGAATATAAGCAGAGTTCGCAGAATAAGTTCAAATAGTTAATGACATAAGAGAGCCAATCGAATTAGTACAGTAATAAAATGTACTGTTTGAGCGCTGATTAAAAGGATAATTATGGTGAATCAAAAGAGCACTTGCTTGAAAAATTAAACAATAAAATTTAGGAATGCAATAATTTATAAATGGAATCGTAGCATTATAACTATGGTCTAATTAATAAAAATTTATAAAAAAGGAAAAGTCCTAAATGGATGAATGCTGAATAAATAGAGGTACTATTTCCTCGTTAGCAGCATAAAAATTTGCTTAGCTAATAGGTTCCTATGAAATTGAATGGTAAGAGTGAAATTCTAACTAATATGTCAACTAGTGATATTGGATTTTTAGAAGAGTAATCAAGGAAATGCGAATCTTAAAGTCAACGATTGTTTTATTCGAAATTGTTAAAGTTAAAGCTACAGATTTCTAAATAATCTTAAGCATAAAAATTATCGGCTGTAATTTTGTGGGATGAAGCATAGAAATTAAAGTTAAGTTGTGAGGAATTCGATAAATTTTTGAAAGCAGCCATTAGAAATCCAGAAAAATATTTGAACAACGAATTTTGACTAAGTCTATTGAAATTTATATTATTAGAATAAAATAATAAAAATTATACAACCATGAATCAAAGTACAACGGGAACTACTCCCCACGGATTAACGTTCTCAGGAGCGTTTACATTTGGTGAATCACAAAGATTACCATGGGTTAAAAAAGATGATGTGATTGCTAGCAAATTGGAAGTTGAAGGATGCAAAAAATTCGATGATTAACTTAGAAGAACTGAATCTAGACTTTCTAGTAAAATATCAAGGAGGAAATCTAATCTCCCATAAGATGAAAAATTGAAACCTGTGAAAGCACCTAATCCACCTGTTGGAGCTTACAACATCCATAATGTTTAAGTTATCGATGAAGAATAACTTAAAGTTCTTTTAGAGAAAAATTAAACTAAAGAATAACAAGAGAAAATCAAGTAAATGTATACTATTTAAACATCAATGGGTAAAAGAGTATCTGGAGGTGACTTGGATCTTCATTAAACATGGGCAATTCATAAACCAGAAGTTGTGAAGGAGCATCCAATAGGGTATAAAATACATCATTAAACATTCTAGTCCTGGTTCATATAATCCATCTTTGTCGAATCAACATTCATAGCCTGTTTTTGGATTTGGATACAAGTAAGAAACCAAATGGGCAAAAGAAGGGCCTTCACCAGACTAATACTTTAATTCTGAAACATTCAGCTAATTCAAAACAGCCACAAGTTGGGCTACTAGTAAAGGAAAGAAGACTGGATTTGGAACAGCCAAAAAATTATAAATGCCAAAATCAATTGATGTTGGACCTGGAGATTATAGAGAAGTATCTCAAGAGTTAGCCCCCAAATATTCTATACCTAAGGCAGAAAGAGAATTGCCTTCACATAAGGTTGTCCCTAGTCCTGATACATATTCCCCAGCTATGAATTAATTTAAAAAAGCTTTTAGTTTTGGTCATAAATATATTCCCATTTTGACTACTGATTATTTTGATCCTGGCCCAGGAGGTAATTACATTTCTCTATAATAGCTCACGATCCAAAACTTCCACATCCTTCCACTGCCAAAGAAATCAAAATGCTCAAATAAAATAGATCCTAACTTGTTTCAAAAGAATCATAATTGAAACCAGGACCTGGAACACATGATCCTTAAATGCCTGCCACTCGAATTTCACATAGCAAATCCTAATTATCTATGGGAACTGGTGATAGGTACAATCCAAATACAGAATTTCGACTCTCAAGAGATAGAGTACCTTCTCCAGGAAAATATGATATCAACTCAAGTTTGCAAGGTCCCAATTATTCAATTCGGCTTAAATATGAGCAAAGAAATCATAATGTCACTCCTGGGCCAGGTCAATATGACCCAGATTCTCAACTTGTTTCAGATTCATTTACTAAGCCTCTTGAACATTATACTAAGGCTTAAACAGCACATGCAAGTCTAACAAAAGGCAATAGATCTGATCCAGTACTTTCGAAATTCAAAAATATTGGACCTGGTAGCTACTCATTGCCATTTAATACAGGTCCAAGATCAAGGTTTATTTTTGTATTAAGCTTAGTCTCGGAAAGGCATCTAGATTCCCTCCAAAGGAAAAAGAAGAAATAGGTCCAGGATCCTACTATATTACAGGAACTATTGGAATCATACCGAAATATCATTTTGATAGAAATAGAGATAAAATGCAGTCCTCATTTTCTTAATTTGATAAATTTAGTAGATGATTAATATTTTTATACCCAAATTATTAGTAAATCAATCATATCATGGTTCTACTCATATCATTTATTGCTATTCTTTAAGCCTAAGTAAAGTAATCAGCTACTAATTGAATCAATGTTTCAATCTTCTACTGCACATCTGTTAAGGATCCAATTTAAATCTATTGTATTTTTGATGTCATATCATGCAAATCAATGAAAAGCAACTATTGTTGGTGATCCTATTTCACGTGATCTTCAAGGGAACTTGGTAGCAGCAGATCTAGTTATGGTGAACTTTGCATTTGGATATGAGTTATGATTTTTGTATATTTTTGAATCAAGTTAATTAATGTATTTAGAGAGTTTGATAATTGAACGAATTTAATATTTATATTAATTGAGAAATCGTACTATTAATGTAAAAGTTTAGCATAATTAGCATTTTCTTCTTTCATCTATTTCAATTGACTACTCAAAACACATTGTTGATCCGATTTATCCTATGATGATAGACTTTGACTCTATTTACGAACACTGTCATTAACAAATTAAATTAATGATTGCTGTAACTCAATTGAATATTTTTTTTAATCTAATTTTGTTTTTTCAATCTCTTAAATCAATAACTTAATTGTTTATTCTTCTTTTTTTTATATAATGTCTTTCTCTATCTACAAAATACCAATTTGTTTCTAATTCTCCAAAATTTATGCCTTTAATTCATTGATTATTAATTGTTGTTTCTAGCAGTTTTAACAATTATGAGAATCACTATAATCAGTTCTTATATGAATGTGATCTTCACCAACTTTGCTATCATTCTCATTTTCCATAAATTTAATTGCTGTTTTTTGCCTTATTTTTGATAAGCGAGCATCAAGCATATAATTTAAATAGCTAGTTTATGACTTTTTATGTGGTTAAATGTTCTTAGGTTTCATATACAATTTAATGAAAATAAAATTACTGTTTATGTTAACAATAAAAATGAAAAATATAATATATTAATAAAAAAGAATTAATTTTTATTAATTACATTCACCAATGACCTCAAAACACATTAATATGCAATTTCAATCAATTTAGTTTAAATACTTATGTAATTCTATTTTAAATGATGCTCTTTCTCTCTTCATAAACTACACCTTCCTATAAAGTTATTTCTATTTCTCGATGATATCACATAAACAATCCACTGTCATTTTTTGCATATTAGCAATGTAAATATAAATGACTGAATCTCTAAAATAAATGAGATTTTTTAGAATTCTATTTAAAATCTAATTAAGATAGATTCCCTTATTTTGCATGTTAATATTATTATTCTTTAAATATAAATTATTGGAAATGATAACAAATACAAATGGAGTAGCATACAATATATATCATTTTTTGTGGTTTAAGGATGAGTCATTATTAAAAGAGTCATTTTAAATAAGAATACCAGACACATTAATTTATAAAAATGGAGTTCCTCAAGTAATAATGAAGTAAAATTAGGTTTGGTACTTTACAAGTAAAGAAGGGGAGATAATGACAAAGAAGTCGGAAGCTAGAAAGTCTGAAAATCTTATAAGGCATTTTTGTTAAGGCGATAAACCAAATGGATAAGTTATAGCTTACTACATCTATCCTCAAAAATATAATCATTCTGATCCCACAGAGGAGAAAACTTTTCCAAGTTAGTCAAAAAAGGCAAAACCTCTCTTAGACTGTGAGGAAAAGATCTGCATTTACTATCTTACAAAATAAATGTTTCCTGATTTTGTCAATTCTCAAAATAAACCACCTTCTGGGATTTTATAGAAATTTATAGAACCACTAGGAAATCACGAATCTTTGATTCAAGCAATTTGGAGCCCATCTGTGTGTATACTTTCAAAGAAACAGAACAATCGAGATTTATATGATATGTCATATGATCCCTATGGTAAACATTTAGACTATCATAGAAAGATGCACAACTTTTGATGGAGGTGAAGCATATTCCAGAGTGATTCCATTAAGGGGCAAGGAGATATCATAGGAAATTAGAAAGCAATGTTAGATGATAGTACAGAAGATAACAAATTTGAGTTATGGACAAACAAACCTATCTAGAATAGTATTTTATTTTAAAGCAGACTAAGTAATTAATTATGGCCATATGGTTTATAGAATAACAAGGTTTGGTTTTTGTATTCGTCTTCAATAAGATTGTAAGGTGAAGCCTAATCATAGATAAAGTTATATAAACCATTATGGGGCAATATTAATGTGAAAAAGAATAACACTCCAATTCCATTTAATACTAATTTCTAGAAACCATATTCAATAAAGAACATGTTGACTGTAAATACTATGCATCCAGTAGCCCTGATTAAAGATATAGAATGTTTTGAGTGCGGAGTTTTATGCCAATAAAAAGGTGAATATTTCCAAATTACATTTAGACCTTTACCATTTGACTTATGAATATATTATCAAGCATTTTGATTAAGACGTAAACCAGCATCCTCTTGTGAATAATATTGAGATAATTAAGCCTAAATCCTTTTTATAATGTGAGGGTCATCTCAGAGACATACATTCACACATCCCTCCGTTAATTTTGAAGCTTTATCCACATTTGACAGTGCAACTCTTTGAATAATTAAAAGTGAATGATGCTTTTTTAATAAAATCAGTTCTCATTTGCGAGAGTTGTTTTTTGAAATATAGTGAGTCCGACCCAGGAATATCTGGGGCCAAATTAAGAGTTAGTAAATAATTAAAGAGAATTGTTAAATAATAACCTTCAAAAAGTATTCTAAATAGAAGACCAGATTTGAAAGAATTTTTAATTGAAACAAATTTAGAACTTTTGAAATTCAAGCATGCTCATTCAATCAGTCAAACCAAAGAAATTTAATCCAGTAGTCATGTCACAACTTCATTTTTACACTCGTTCCAGAATGTCACCTAGAGTACGAATATGGGGAAAACTCCTTCTTTGAAACAATTCAGAAACCCAACAGAACCAGGATATATAAGGTTGCATACAGCAAAATGATATGTTATATAGTTTATATACTAAAATTTATTATCATAAGAAGAGGTAAATTATTACTCCGATTACAAGAGCCCCGAATATCCCAATTGCAACATAAGCAGCCCAATTTTATTTGTTGTTTACGGCTGTTGCTCCTTTTTGAAATTGATTTGCCATTTATGATATGTCTTCACTCTTGTGATGAATGACATGAAGTTATTCCTAATTCATCTAGAACTTCCTTAAGTTTTCCTCCATTAATCCTTGGATAGAATCAACAGACTTACAAGTTATTTCAATTTTATCATCAGCAAAAGGATCTCTATCATATTGTGTTAATAGCTAATTGCAATGAAAAATATACATTTCTGACATTGGGTTCTAAGGGTTGGAATTCATACTTGCCACTTTGGATTTATCTCTTTAATAATTCTTCAATTTATCTTAATAATCGCATAGCACTTGGCATTGGATAAGAGGATGTGACTAATAGAGCAATTACTATATTGTTCTTTAATGAGCAATACCAAGCTCCTGATTATGAGTAGATCTTTTAAACAGGCAAGGAAGGAACCTATTGGGAGTCCTATTAATTTTAGATTTGCTAAAATAGCAATTGAGCTTCTTGTTGTAAGTCATTTATGAACACTGGGTTTTCAGCTACCAATGATAAGATCCCATGTTTGCTTAATGTGCTCAGATTTATCACACAAGCACACTTCACTCTGCAATTGAAATCCATTGATGAAGTATAAATTATTTATTAATGAAAAAATATTTTTTTATACATATAATATTCTAAAAAATAACAAAGTCGAATGAATTAACAATGCGAAAAGGATGAATAGTTTGATCTCATCATTGATGAGAAACTCTCCAGTTAAGAGTAATCAACATCTACACAATCTAAACAAAGCAATGCTAATCTGGCTATGTTATAAGATAATTCTAAAAATTTTAAATTAAAAAGAACTCAAAGTACCTATTAACTATAATTTAAAGGAAGCTTGCTTCAACTCAATCACATTCCTCCTTAAAGAAGAGGATCTCAATCATGCATAGAACCAATCCAAGTAATTTAGGAAGAGGTAATCGTTCAATTCATATGACTATACAATAGTGCTATCAAATTGGGAAGCCAAATCTCTTTAATGTGTTTTGGTACGATGACAATATTGATAATAAATATGAAATCATTGTCTAAGCAACACAAGACACCCTTATCTCTGATTTTATCGCTTTAGTTATAAAAGAATTCAACTTGCAACATGATTATATTCATTCCCCATTTACTGAAGATGGATCCCTGCTTTATGAATTGTATGTTCCAAAAAAAAAGAGTGGAAAACCCAATGAAGATTACCCAGGTATATATTATTTAAATATTCTCGAAAGCCTTTTCTGATAAAATTTAATTAAGTAAAACAAATCTTACTTAATTTGCACTCAAAGTATCAAAACTTCAATCTCATTATATCAGTTCATTCGCAACATAAGGTTAAAATGTTCAGCTATCAATGACAAAGAATAATGATTAAAATGCAGGGGATGAAAAATCCATCTGGCAGAAATTTTTCTTTTGTTGTAATTTTGATATCTGATTATATTCTTTAGTGATAATTATATATTATCTTAATCTTCAACTAAATTTATATTTTGCTTAAAAGCATTTCAATATACACTTTGTTTAATTTCTGTTAGAAATTACTCAGAATCCATCAGTTTAAAGATTAAGTTATCTTAGTTTCTAATATTATTTTTTTTTATTAATATCAAATGATTAAATAAGTACCTAAAGTAATTGGTCAGCATTAACAACATCCTTAAAATTAGTCCAATTCTCAATCTAAGAACAAACAAGGTCTAAAGTAATTTAAAAACGCCAATTAATAACAACAATAAACTTTGCCCAAATAATAAGCCCTGAGATATTTCAATTAATAAACATTTTTTAGCATAATAGTGTTTTTGAAAGCAGATGAGATTATGGAATTAAGATTGGTTTGCAGACTATTTAACAAATTATTTATGCATAGTGCTCCTGAATTATTGGAATATTTAGATTAGAGAGATTTGAATCAATAGAAAAATTAAAACCAAAATCAATAACGTTTAGTATTACCAAGATTAAAAGATGTGAACATAAATACAATACGAGAGAATTTACAGAATAAAACTATGTATGCTTATGTTGAAAAATTACTCAAGGACAATCTTTTCAGTATAGAGTTAATTTTTGATGTTATTACTTGGGATTTACCACCTTGGAGAAAAGCCAAGTTCACATTTCCTTTAAAAGTCAAAACCATAATTGAGAAGTATGATTTCAATCTTTATAATCTGAATGATCAGCAGATACAATTGATTAATTAAAGGTAGAATCACAAATTTACACCTTTTATATTATATAATGAGGATTTTGAAGATATTTTGCAATATGCAAAGAATTTAATGCAGGTGGCTGCCTTCGAAGATTATAAGTATTTCTGTGACTGGTATGAGATTGAAAAAGAAAACGAATAATTGTAAAAACTAAGAGACTTACTGAGAAGTAATAGTTTACAGTAAAAATGATAGTTATACTTTATTACATATGATCTTAGATAAGTAGCATTAAATATATAATAATTATATTTTATCGATGATTTAGATGCAAGACGTACAGGAATCTATGATTCTGAATTAAATCTCGAGTGATGATGAAGAAGACTAAGAGAGTCCTTTAGAATTTTAATAGACTTAAAACAAATAACATCGGGAGCAATCTATTGTTCAGACACTCAATGAACTATCATTTAATCGTAATATAGACAAGAGGATGAATGAAACGATGGTTCTACAAAGTCAGGCTGATGAAATCACTTAGAAATCAATGAAGAATGCAAAGGAAGCTTATTAAAGAGAAATAATAAAAGAGTTGGTTTCGAAATAGAAGAAGAGATTCAAGGTAGATGGATTCAATTTGGACTTAACTTGTAAGATTAGTACTAATCTTAGATATCACTGATAACATAATTGCTATGGGATTCCCGGCTGAAAGTTTTGAAGCTATTTATAGAAACCCAATGCCAGAGGTGTAAAAATTTTTAAATAGTCGTCATCCCAACAATTATATGGTTATTAACTTGTAAGCTTACTACTCCTAACTAGATGTTCAGAGCGTAAGTACAAACACGAGTCTTTCTATAAAGTGGCCGAGTTCCCTTTTGATGATCATTAGGCGCCTCCATTCAACATGATGCTGGAGTTTTGTTAAAAGGTTCATGAGTGGTTAACTGCAAATTCCAATCATGTTGTGGCAATACATTGTAAGGCTGGGAAGGGAAGAACCGGCGTTATGGTGTGTTGCTATTTGTTATTCAGTGGGAAATACACCTCAAGCCAGGATGCTTTGGCTTATTATGGATTGGTTAGGACATAGAATAAAAAGGGAGTAACAATTCCTAGTTAAATTCGATATGTCCATTATTTCAGTTATGGCTTAAAAAATGAGTTGATTAAGATGCCACCCAGAAAGGTTGAGATGGTATCTGTTAGATTGGTTGGTGTGTCTCATGGAACAATGATCAGAGTATAAAACAATGATAGACAATTAATAGAAAAGGCTTAGATTATCACAGACAAGGAGATCCTTTTTGCATTCAACGATATTTTTTTATAAGGAGATGTTCTCATTTAAATATTTCATAAGTCTATTGTTACTGAATCCAAGCTCTTGTAAGCTTGGTTTAACACTAATTTTGTATCCCTTTCACCTAAAGAATAAGTGTTTAAGGCGGAGGAGTTGGATATGTCGAAAAAATCAATGAAACATTCTACTTAGATTTATATGGAATTACTATTTGATCAAGTAATCCTCACTAGAGAAAGATCCAATTGCTTATCAAAAGGCAAATGATATATAATTAACTATCAAAAATCTAAATATTAAACTGCTGCCCCTATATCAATCAGGTCGAATGGCTTGGTGATGAAATAATCTGCACCATTCTTGAAACACTCCAATTTTGAGTTCAGATCTACGAATGTGGCTATTATTATCACGTATCCCTTGTCTATCAGACTATTTCTCATTTACTCTTTAAGAGATCTCACTAAATCTATCCCTGATAAAATCTAGATATATCTACACATTTTGATACTGGCAAATAAAACTCAATAAAATATAGCAGATAAGATCTGTTTCCACAATGGCAAGGCGTGCTCTACTTATTCTATATTAATTTTTAAGCCTCGATCCCATTAAAGGCCTTATCACATTTGATGTTGTATTTCTCCAAAACCTTCTGCAATGAGAAAACACTATAATGATCATTATCCACTATTAGCACTTTAGCACAACAAGTCAATCTTAGTCTGTATTTAATCACAGATGATAATAATTTTGGTGTTAATTCTGGAGGATGAATGGAAGGGTTGCTCAACTCTGCTCCAAAATCAAAATTAGAATGTGTTTTCATTGAATCATGTTATGAGTCACTTTTTTCATTTCTAGTCTTTTTGTAAGGCTGTTATATTGTATCAGGAAACCCTTATTTCCAAGTTCCTGAAAAGCTATTACTCTATTCTTTGGATTGTTTTGGAACCGATCCAGAATTTTATACTTATTTAGAATTAGAAGAATCCTATTTTATTCTTGAAATCTATGAAAAATAAGCACTCTGAACATCAAATGGATCTCCAGGTTTCATTGAGAATTGCTTTGATAACTGAGTCAATGAAAAATATCTAGGATGAAAAGATGAAATACTTAGATTCTTCTCTATAGCCACTGCTATCTTAAGCCAATAATAACGATAATGAAGTTTCATAATATTTTCTTTGACCTAATATTTTAATTGGGCCTGTATCCTAACGAGATTACATTCTTTATTGATTAGTTTATGATTCAATTACAAAGGTGAAGGTGCCATATCCCTAACTATCATACAAGAATTCGAGACCTCTTTTGAAAGTGCCAGACAATTACCAACATAAAATAACACAGATCTATAATTCCAATGGGTTGTTAAGATCAACATCATAAAACGAAGCCATTTTAAGAGTAGAATTGAGAAGTCTAACTAAATTGGTTATTGATTTTCTCATATTGTCATCTTTAGCTATCATGCTATCTTTAAAAGATACCATAATGCCACTCACAGTATAACTTTTGATATCTAATTTTAATTATGATGCAGATGTGTATTTCAAACAATATGAAAATAGACATGCTAGAATTTATTTTAACTAATTAATCATAATTATGTTACTCTATCTAAATCACTGAATATGACTTGGTTATTGTCACTCAAATCTATGGATGTTGTTAAATTCACTTCTCTAATTTTTAAGTTATCTTCATAGACAATTAATAATTCTTCTATCAAGTCATTCACCTTGAAAGCTGAAATTCTTAAGAATAACTAATTTTATATGTAGAATATGTAATCTCTCATGCTGTTAACAAATAGGATGTATCTCAAACTCATCATCCTTATTGGCATGTAATAATGCTGCTTTAATGAGATTTTGTGAGTGTTCTCATGTTCATGTTGAGTGAGCAAAATTAAAGTTAATATACAGTTGATATAACTTACAGATTCGTGCACAAAGGTTGAAAATACGTTGATGATTGGTTAGGCGGTGTCTTCCTTCTTTCTTTGAGGAGGCTACTGCTCAAAAAGGAAGATTAGATAGGAGGATTCATTGACCTTATTCACAAAAGCCTTGATTTGGATATTCTCAAAATCGAACACCTCGCTTCTCAATTTAAACAATGTCACCATGCTCGGTCGCCATCTCTTTTTAATTCCAACTAAACTACTTATCGATCTCGTTTTGCATCATTAGACTCAAATCTCTGATGGTCAGATTTGACTTCATCCGGCATTTGTGATAATCGTTCATTCTATTAAGCAAAAATGAGCCACTTTTTAATTATCGATATAATTAATTACTCGCTATTCACAGACTAATCGTTATTATTGCTATTGATTTCCATCAATTCTTTGCTCCCAACCAAAATCTAGCAATCAAGGAACAACTCCTCATAATCTGGCTTTGATTACTATTGGGTTTATTATTCATCCAAATTCGATTGCTTAAGTAATTTCCCTAAAAATATATTCTAATAAACTATGTTAAGCTTTTTGTTATAGACCAAAGCAGATTGATTTTGAATCCAAGCCACATTCTATAACACGATTTCGTCCTCATTGCATTCCATTTTTATAGCATTGATTTCCTAACTAACTGATTATTATTGATTGGATTTGCTTACCAAATCTCTATTGTTTATTGATTCTTTCACTATGATAGTAGTGGTCATAAATATACATTCTAATGACTTCTACTTGAAGGTTTGCTCCAGGTAGGCCTCGTTGGATTTAAGTGACTTCCATTTCATAAAGAGCAAGCCCATCAAAAATATTACATTAAAGAAAAATAGCAAATTGAATGGTATTTCAGTCACATAATTATTTTCTTGTTCCTAGATCAGGCTGATAAGAAACACTGTGCTCAAGATAAAAGTTTAAATCGTATCCTCCTCAATCAAATGCACAATTATTAAACAGAATTGACACATCTCAATATTCATTGAAATTTGAATCAGAATGAAGATGATCTTTATTCTCCAAACAATTTTAATATGATCACTATTCTTATATTTAAGAAATAAGTAACCAATTTCAATGATTGAATTCAAAATTATCGGTATAATTGAATCAATACCTTGAGATTGATACAGTCCTACATTAGCAACAATCACTACCCAAAAGGAGAGCCAAAAATATCTACAACTCTTTGAGAAGATACTCAACTACGTTCTTTTGAAACATAAATATAATTAATTTTATAGATTATCTGCTGCTGAGTAAATCAACAATTCAAATATAATAATTCAAAAATACATAATTTGCATTTTATAAGCGCATCCTAAAATATATTTAACTAAATTTCATCAACATCTCAAAATATAAATAAATTCCCCTTTTTACGACTAATACTCTTTTATTTTTAACTCTTAAATCAATAAGCATTCTACTCAATTTAAAGTTGAAAATAGCTTTCTCATATCCTAATTTTTCATTTAAAAATGACATTTATATTTAAGTATTATTCTTTTTTTAGGATCTACTTGTTAGTTAACTCCTCTTAACAATTATTAGAAATGGAATGAATGGAGGCAAACAAAGTTTCAGTAGCTATCTGTGTGATTTTTTGTGTATTTATAATTCTATTGATCTTCTTTGTGTTTTTGGATAATTCCAAATGATTCTTTTAGTTCATCATTATTATATTAAAAATAATTAAGGTATATATTAATTATATAATCATTCATTATTTTATAACTCTCTGCATCTGGCTTCTACTACTTCAATTCCCTTTCTAAAAGAAGTGTTGAATTGGGATATTAATTTTGTTATGAATGTTTATTGAAAATTTGATAATAGTTTCTAAATTAATCACAATAGAATACAGAATAATGAGTTCTTTAATCGTCTATTGCCTTATAGATGATTGATTCATCGCCTGTTAGATTAGGATAGAGTTTGCATGATTTAAGTAATTTCGTTTACATTTCCATGCTCCTATTTTCGAGATCGACAGTGATCTACTCCAATGTCAAACACCAAATAGTGAATTTACGTGCATACACCTAATAATTGAGTTTGTTCTTACTATTCTTTTAATCTACATTTTATTATTGTCATCGAGGATCATATCTACAACCTAGTTAAACTTGATAAAATCGAATTCTTTGCAAGGGTATTTTCTCCAGAATCCTTTAACTACAGTTTCCCAATCAAAGTTGAATGTGTACTCAGAGTGAATTTGCATGATATAAAATTAGAATAGAATTGGAATTTAATTCTTAAATATTTATAGCTCACATCTGAATAAAGTGGGTTAAATAATTTTGATAAATTTTTTATACAATAACATACATTACATACATAAATCTTAGGAGCATTCTTATCTGTGAGTATAATGGTTGCTGAAGTTGATTTATTAATAAATTCGTAACCAATATATTTGTGCAAATAATTAATCATAATTTAAACTGATCAAGATCTGGATGTTGTCCTTTTGGTTCAGTCTATGGAGTTTCAAGTGGAGTTTTTACAAAAGTGTATGATTCAGCTCCTTTCATAGTTGATTTATCCTAATTCATAATTTGATATTATACATTCAAGCTCTTGCTGTGTTCTTTGAAGAAGAAGGTAAGATTATTTGGATCCATTTCCAAAGCCACTCTTAATTTCTCTCCAATCCTCAACTTTTCACTCTCTTTTCTGTCTTTCAACCATATTTCCAATAAATTTCTTCTCTCTCTGATGGACAAAACTACACCAATTACATTGTCATCATCAAATTCCTCGCCAATGCATGCTTTAAATTACTTAATATATTATACCTAACAACAAGGCTTCCCATTTCTTATTCAATAATTCATTCTCTCTTTTTTTAAAATGAATAATCCATGTGCCTCCTTCCAAACACTCTTCCCACATTGGTCTATGACCCTTCCTAAACAACATTATTTTGTTGTCAATATCAATCTATCCTATCGTTTAAATACTTACTTCGCTAGGTCTGCCTAAAAAACAATAATATGTGTAAAACTCTTCGACTGTATTGAATTCCCCAATTTCTTTCAAATTTACATCGTAATGATCTGAACCTGCAATAGCTTTTCTGCCTCTTGGAGCATACCAAAATACCCAATTTTATGATAGTTTATGAGCCATTAAAATAATAATAAAATTTGATAAAATGAATCAATAACACTCTTCATGACCTTCAATTCTAAAACTACTTATGGAACAAACTGTCAAAAAGATTGTTAGGATCTCTAAAATATGATAACCTTATTGCATAGATGAATTAAGTCAGCTTATTATGAGTTATTATCCACTTTAACAATACTACAGATTGTGTAACCTCAATGAATACTTATTCAGAAATGAATAAAACATATAACCAAGATGTTCAATTACTAAAGTTCCCTCTATAAACACATTGTTTTCCATATCTTTAAATCATTAATTTATAATTCTAGTATCCACTATTAAAAATAGGATTATTCATATAATCTATTTCTATCTATGATATAATTGAGAAATCAAAAAAGAGGGAAGACACTAGAATAATTTCAAAACTATAGATGTGAATGAATATTAATATTTAAAATATTCATATGCTCTGAACGCTGTTTCCCTCAAATTCATCTTCCAAATCATCATCATTAAACTAATTGTCACCATCATCTATATGCATAACAATACAATTATACTTCCTTCACCATCTTAAATGAAACCCATGTCTTCTCTTCTTTGATTCTGCTATTATGCATTATCTTCATTCAGTTTGTAAGCTTCTTTCAAAAATTGTGGCACATCTTCAATTTCATATAAATCAACCACAATGCAATCCTATGATTAAGCAAGTCAAATACTTTCTTTTAATGAATCATCTCTGAACACACTCTACAACATGTCACTTTATGTTTCATACAAAAGAAATGTTTCACTCTGTCATTATGAAACTCACAAAATTCTAATCCTGAATCTGGATCCACTTAAGGATATTAATTTTATTGTTATTGACGTGCCTTTTGCGATTACAATGCTGATTATTGGAATTGTGTAAACAAATATTGCTGTGGATCTATGACTTCTGTACCTCCATGTTATTTGCTTTTATTATTTATGTCATCTGCCATTCTGGTGAAAATAGTATGATTAATCTATCATTTAATATTATTATATACTGGTAATCTATCAACTGAATCTAGATGCTTGATTAATTTTAAACAGAGTGGACATCTTACTCTTCTGTTTCTAAATACATTATAAGAAATGTTTGTTACCTATAAAAATTGGTGAGACAAGCTGTGCAAATAGTGTGTCCGCAATGAATCAGTATTCTGGGCAACCTGTCTTTCATATTGTAATCATTTTTGCATAAAATGCATTATTTTTGATTAAGCAATTTGCTGACAAATTCATTGATTTTTGGTAAATATTCTGTAGGTGGATTATTTGATTGTTCAAAGAAATATTGTGTAGGATTTTGAACCACTTTCATTAAATAAAATAATTTAATTTATCAAGAATGACCTAAATAAAATTTGAACTCATTTATATATATTTATATCTTTATTCATATATATTAAAACTAGTAATTAGTAATTAGATAATGATTACTATGAGAATAGTTCAATATCTCTTATATATAAAATAATAGAAAAATATGAAAAATAACAATATTAATGTTATTCAAAAATAATATCAATTTATTTGTTTATTAAGAATTTAAATATGAATCTAATGTTTCTGATTAAATTTATTACATCCAAAAGCACCATAAAATGACATAAACAATTATTTTAATTAAGTTTATTATCTTCTAGAAACAATGAACAGTCATCGCAAATTGACTCTTTATGAATATCAAACAAAATAGAGATAAATCCACGAACACAAAAGTCCCAAATCCAATAAATTTCTTACTCCTTAAAAAAAGATGAATATACTTATTCCCAAGATACATTTGACTTGCAAACAGCTCTAACCAAAACTATTTTCAGATAGATCCACTTATTCCTATCAAAATTTGAATCTTCCTTTCACTTAAAATATGACCAAGCTGACTAAACTGCAATCTTTGGAAGAAGAGTCTAAACATTTCGAAACCAAGAACTATCATCTGACAATTGAATAAAAAAGTCCAAAACAAGAGGGAATAGAAAAACTTAGGACTTAATTGAACGAACAATTTTTAAAGGAAAGCTCATTTAATAGAGCAGGAGCTTGTCTCTAATTTCTTGAACCTTCACTGGTTCATAATATGTGTAATTATATCATATTGAATTTAGTAAACCTTTCACCTAAAGCAAAGGTAAATTCGAACCTTCGTGCTTCGGTTTCTTCGCGAGATTAAAATGGTAACACAGCTCTTCATTACGCTGCCAGAAATGGAAATACCCATCTTGTACAAGCTCTCCTGTACAAAGATATACAAATAGATTCATAGAATGAAGATAAAATGACACCACTTTTATTGAGTGCTTATTAGTACTAGTTTATATATATTATCTTAGTGGAAAAATTGAAACCTTATAAATATTGGTCAATTTGGGAGCTAACATCAACCATCAAGATATTCATGGCAACTCCTCTCTGCATTATGCATGCAAATTTAATTTTAAGTAGATTGTTGAATTTTTACTTTAAAAACCGCATCTTATCCTATTGCAAAATCAAGAGTCAAAATATCCAGATTACTACATTGAGGATCCAGAGATCGCCTAGATATTTGCAGACCATTTGGAATAGACAAATGGTAAAACTATAAAAATACGTTTAGAAAAACGAATGAAAGAAGTTATAATTTAAACTACTTAAACCGAAACAATATTAAAAATGTTTTAAAGAAAAAATATTAAATAGATAAAAAATTTAATTTAAAAATGCAAGTCTTCAAACAACCTAGAGATAATATAGGACTCAACCCCAAGAATAAAATAATTATAAACAACCTTATAATAACTGGAATAATTTAAAAATTAAAAGCGGATATTCAACAAACAACAAACTATCTCAACCAATTACTCTGAATCTTGTAAAAACTTAAAGGAGGATGAAGTATCACTATCATAGTTTTAAATCTTGGGTTTAATTGGAAAAGGGAGTTTCGGTCAAGTCTATCTAGTGAAGAGATTCAATTAATTATATGCAATGAAAGTATTAGACAAGATCATGGTATTAAGTAAATCTATGTAATAAACCTATTATAGAACACAATTTATTTCCCTATGCTTAAACTGAAAGAAATGTCTTATCCATGACTTCGCATCCCTTTATAGTAAAGTTAAGATACGCCTTTCAAACACCAGATAAATTGATTATGATGCTGGATTATTGTCCAGGTGGAGACTTGGGATAGCTTTTGGAAGAAGAATAAAGACTTCCAGAAGAATAAGTCAAAAATTACATCTGCGAGATAATCCTTGCTTTGGAAGATTTACACTAAAGAGACATTATTTATAGAGATCTTAAACCAGAAAATATAGTTATTGATGCTGATGGACATGCTATTCTTACTGATTTTGGACTTTCAAAGGAGGGCATATTTCATGCTAATCAAGGAGCAAGATCATTTTGCGGATCGGTTGCTTACTTAGCCCCTGAAATGCTTAAACGAAAAGGCCATGGAAAAGCAGTAGATTGGTATTTACTTGGAGTGGTCATGTATGAAATGTTAGTGGGAGTACCTCCTTATTATGATAATGAAAAAGATCAGCTCTTTAACAATATTGAGAATGCTACCCTTAAAATTCCTTCGTTCATTTCACCTTAAGGCAGAAACTTAATAAAATAAGTAAATATTATTTTGCTAAATAGCTTCTCTAAAGAAATCCTCTCAAAAGATTGGGCTCAGGAGTTGGTGATTCTTTGGAAATCAAACAACATCCATACTTTCAAGATGTTGATTGGGAAAAAGTCAAAAACAAAGAATTGGAACTTCCTAAACCAACCAGAAAAATAAAGATTGATACATAAATTGGCTAGAATCTTTTTGAAAATGAACATCAGGAGCTGTCCTCTCATATTCATGGATGGTCCTATGTTCATGCAGACTTTTGAAAAAATTGTTTATCTTGTTTAAAAATGTAATTTTTTCATTAATAAATAATAACTTTAACCAATTCTATTAACAAATTTAAAGAGTAGAATTTAATATAATTACTTTTAATTTATTATATTAAAGATTTAAGGATTCATAAGTAATAAATTAATCCTATAAATGAAATCTTTTTAGGTTAAATCTATAGATATGATAATTAAAATATTAAATTATTTTAATATTGATCATAAAGTTTCAGAATTTTAACTAGAAAGATGCATTTATTAGCCATTTGACAACGATTGAACAATAAGAACGCAGGAGTTTAACACTTAGTACAAAATATAAGTTAGATTGTTAAAGAGAAGGAAAATAGGAGATATTGTTTTTGTATTAAAAAGAATCTTCACATTGATTGATATTTTTAATTTGATGGACTTATAGATGAGAGAAACTGAATAAAAAAAAATATTGATAAAATGTAATAATAAATTAGTTAACAGTTTAGCCTAATCTTCTATTTAATTAAAAATATCGAGAATACAAAAATAATCCTATTAATAAGTTGCTAAACAGCTATGTTTAAGTTTTTAATAATTTGTAGATTATCTTAATTAAGGTCTAGGGATTTCTTACTGTAATTTCTTGATCCTTTTTTAGAATCATTATTTGAAAATTGGCAATTTTCATTCAAATAGAACTCTATCTTCATGAAATTTGTCTGAATTGGGATATATCAACCTGAAATCTCGTAAATTATAATATTGTAGATATATTATATAGGGTTTTAGAGATTAAAAATACCAATTATCTCGGAATAAGTTGAGATATTATGGTTAGCAAATTTTACTATATGGAAATGCCTGAAGGTCAAGGATTGCTTAACTGTGATTCAAAAAATAGAACTAAAATCTTTTGAAGATACTTTATTGAGAATATGAGTTTTTGTTATCTTTTTGTGCAATAAAAATATGAAGTGTTTCCCTTTTTTGTTTATATTCATAAATTTAAATAATTAAAAATGAACTCTTAAAATAAGTAAGTGATTTTAGTTTATTTTCAGTTAACCAGGAATTTTTGGGAATCCATAGAGCAATCTGTTTGGCTAAGCATCAAGCACATCAGCGCCCATTTTTAATTCAAATGGACAGACATAGAATTAAGGGGCTATCTTTAATTAATAGAGTAATATGGGGGGAGCTTAGTAAGCAGCAGCAGGAGCTCCACCATCATCCCTTAATATATTTGGGAGTGCATAGCCTAGTGGAAATTTGTTTGGAAACAATGCTCCAAATAATAACAATATTTTCTCATCAACATCAGCAGCAGCCTAACCTCCTTAATAGTAACAACCACTATTTGGAGGCGCAGCTCCTTAACCAAATCAAACAGGATTGACTGGTTTAGACTCTCTTTCATAATAACCATTGGGTGGTCAACCACCATAAGCAAGTAACAATTCTACGGGTTTGTTTCCAACTCTAAATCCTAACCCATTAGCTTAACCCACTCAACCAACTACAGCCCAACCAAATGCAACTAATCCCACAGGGTTAGGAGCATTTAATAATGTCACTTCAACTGGATTAGGAGGGGCAGGGACTACTCAGAGTATTGGATAAGGAGCCACAAGTGGAGGATTGTTTGGATTATAAACAAACAACACTTAGCCATCCTTAAATAACAATAATTTTATAGCTTCGTAAAATCCAGCATCAGCTCCTTTAAACCTCCAAAACCCAGCATCAGCACCTCCCACTTCAAATCCCTTAGGCACAACAACATTAAGCACAAATCAAGCATAACCTAGTCAACCTTAAGCAAGTCCACTGGGCACTTCAAATAATTTATTTGCTAATCCAACTAGCAGCCTTTAAAATTTGACACAACCTTAATAATAGTAAACAACAGGATCAAGTTGGCTTACTTAACCACCAAAACCAGCAGCATAACAACCAACATAACTAACAGCATAACCATCAACATAACCATCAGCATAACCACCTGCTTAACCATCAGCTCAACCACCAACTCAATAACCAACTACATAACAACCAACCACCTAATAGCCAACAGCAACTTAAACCACACCAAGCATCATCTAAATTGGAACTTAACCAAATTAATAATCTACAATTTAATAACCACAATAATAAACCTCATCGTTATTATAAACTACATAATAATAACCATTACTTCCATAGACAACGTAATTATCTCAACAACCAGCAGCACCTCAATAGTAGCCAGCAAGTTAACCCCAACCTTAATAAAAATTATAATTACCCCTTTCTAAGAATAGAGATTTTTATAAAATTATGGAAGTTTTGAATTGTAGAGACGAAATTAAAATTTAGAGTCTATTTAAAGAAGATGATAATTTATATAAAATTATGATCTAAGGATCAAATTGGTTTTCATTTTCAGAAAACAAAGTATAACTTCAATCTGATACCCCTTTCGATTAGGAAATTAGAACCAAATGTTTTGATAACAAAATCAAAAGTGAAGTCTACTATGTTTTAAAGGACAGCTTGTAAGCATCAAGAGTTAAGATATTGAATGATCAATTCTAAAGAAAATAGAAAGCACCAGAAAAAAGTAAGTTTTTTGAGAATGAAATTAAAAAGTTTTAGCATATATTTTTTAATCATTATGCTGAACAAAGATCATAATTGGTTGCTGGATTAAAATTAATGCTTGTTAACTTAATCATAAACGATCATATTGGAAGCCCTACAAAATAATTAAATGATATGTTTAAGAGAGGACTTATTGAAGGATTGGCCAATTCATTTTTGAGTGTGCCTGCTGCCTTAAATTTCTACTTAAAACAAGAATACTTTTCAGAAGAATACACCTTTTAGACTTTACAACATTTTGTATCAGAATAAACATAAATCCTTGAGATATTCACAATTTTATAGCGCTATTTTAACATCGATAGATTTGAAGAATTATATATCAAACCCGTTTAGAAACTTATAGAAAACATGAAAACCACTCAATTCCTAGGATTATTCCATAAAAATGAACATCTAGTATTTTAAGAGTATAGTCCTTTAGCATCAAAACTATAGGAGGAATACAAAAAGATAGCATTCGTTTTCGTTCTATCTTTATGCATAAGACCATTATATTAAGAAAGAAATGCTGATTCAGAGGAATACCATCTACATCCCTTATGGATTAACAAGGTTGAAGCAATAAAGCAAATGCAGCCAGATTATATTCAAAAGATCTTTTCAATTGCAATAATCTTGTAGGAGGGTAAAGATGTCCAAAATTAAAATGATTACGAGATTAGTTTGAGATATTTCGAAGAAGTACTTAGAGTATTGGAAAATGCATCGATAAATAGTCACTTTTGGAGTTGTGTGTGCACTTGTATATATCAATGGATTCGATATTACAAGAATAAATATTAAGAAGATGAGTATGATGATGAAGTTGAACTCTTATCAAAGATATTCTCAATTCTTTTACAACTACCTTCCTTATGGGAGTTGTTTTATGAAAATGTTAGAAAAGTTGATACAACTGAACTAATCATCTTTGATAGATTGAATAAATTGAAAGTCTTCCGTAAAATTAATTACCATGAGACACTCGATTTATTGGCAGACGATCACAATCAATTCCAAAGCTTACACAATATGATAAGGGATTTCTCTGAAGGCAAATTAACAAATAATCTTTATAAATCCTCTGATTTCTTAGGTAAAAGTAATAGAGCATCTATGGATTATTACAATGAGTAAAATAAATTGAAAAACAAGACATTGTCAATGGGTATAGACAATTTAGGAGTGAGTGTTTACAAATTTAAGCATGCCATTAAATTCATTAAGGGAGAAGTAAAAAAATCAGCTGCTTCCATTAAAAGGATTGCTGTATTGTGCAGTTCAAATAACATCAATAGACAGATCCTCAAAGTTACATCAGAATGTTCAAGATTGATAGATTTAATTATCGACACTCATAAAGAGGAGGAGAAAGCTATTTAATTAATCAATAACCTATTAACAATAGGATCAGAAGCCATTCAGATTATCAATTGTATAATAGAGGATTCTATGCTTTAAAGAGAGATGGCTGAGGAAATAAATAAATTGTCTACCAATGAATAATAAATACAGAGATAATAAGGATTCTCTTATCATCCATTATTTGAGCTGTTTCATATAGCAAGGAAGTGTTAAGCTTCTTATTAATTCAAGGTTAAATAAGTTATTAGAATCCATTTGAATTATGCTCAATTATGCAGTGCAATATTTGGGTAAGACAATCCTTTGCAATTATTTGAATAATAGAACACCAGTCATTATTATCAATAAACATAGCATACTTTTGTGAAGAACACTCTTGAAACCTTTCTAAGATTTTAATTATAGGAGTGGAAAATATTCGAGGAGGATAAGATGGAAGTCACTATTGAATATTAGGCAAGTATGTATCTAGCATTGTAAAAGATCTTGAAGAAGTTTTTGTTTTATCACACCAAAGAATACAAAGAAACCTAATTGCATAGTCTTATCAAATAATATATGAATGAAATCAATAGTTAATTGATACTTGAATTTTTATTAACAAATTTAGATGTTACTTTAACAGATTCCTTTTTTGAAGATATCGGATAAAAACAATTATCAAATAATATTAACATGATTGGAATTAAAAATAAGTTGTATGAACAAGTGAGAAATTTTGACAATCTCAAATTTCATGTGACTTCATTATTAATCAATTTACTAGATTGTTGGAATACTCTTATTGATTTATATTCCATCTATGATGAAACCTTTAGCAACAATTTACAAATAATTAAGCAATTGCATCAGTTTTTCCAAGAAGAACAATATTTCTTATATCAAATAGTCAGCACATACCATCAAGATATTAATGGTTATGTTAATAACAGAGTGAAATTGAATTTTATCCATTCCATTTTGGGATTATTGAATACAATTAGTGATCCTTAGAGTAATTGTTAAGATCCTCCTGAAATTGAAGACATGGAACAGCAAGATTTCAAAAAATTATATGATGAGTTTAAATTCAAAAATTATCATCAAATTTTAGACAGAAACCTACCATTTTATAGTACAATATTCACTAGTGCATTGCGTTTGTTATCAAAACCACTATTGAATTATAATTTGGAATAGAGTATAACAACAATAGAAACAGAGGAGAATTAATTATTAAATAAGAGAATACACTACCATCATTTAATTTTTTAGAGTCTTCACACTATACTAAATAGATTAGATAAGAGATGTTATTAAATTGAAAAATAGGAAATATTGGAGTTTTTAATTATCAGTCTTGAAAATAATTAATCATTTATGCAATATATTCTCAAATCTTAAAATCCAAGTCTAAGTTCAGGAATCAAGTACATATTAGAATTATTCCAAAATATATTTGGTTATGATGATGATTAAGAAAAAGATTATAGAATTCCGATGTTGGTTTTAGTATTTTTACATTAAGTTCTGTGTGTAAATTAATCCAGATATTAATCATTTGCAAAAGAATGTAGAACAACTTATGCCTCGTTATTGCTTAAACTATGCAGAGAGGTCTAAATTTGCTTAAATAGAAAATGTCAAAAATTCACTAGATTTTTATCAAATGACAACACTAAGATAGGTATGACAAGAGAAACAGGAACAGCACTGGAGTAATGTGTCTTTGAGAATTGTGTTTTAGATTCAATTGAAGAATTAGTAATGTTAGAGTATTTCTTAAAATTACTTATAAATGAAATGAAACAGGAAGCAAAGGAGACAACAAAGGCATTTTCAGAATTAATCAAATTGATCTTTTAAAAGCACTTCATCAGAGAATGGTATTTGTTGCTGATACAATTCAGTGATCATATTGAATTTGCTAAATTCTTAAAACGTACTCCTATAATTAAAAGTAATACAGTTTTCAATTATTTATCAAATTACATTTACAGTTATGGCCGAGACTTTTAAATTGATAGCAATACTATCAATTACATTGGTGGAAATGCAGTTGCAGTATAAAAATCTAATATAATGGCATCATGGTTTACTTAACTCTTGGCAACATTTAATCAATTATCTTAATTTGTGTAATTCTTCTTTTCAATTGGTTTGACAGGATCCGCTTTTAGTGACAATTATTAAAAAGATTTATATGAAGAAATTGAACTTGGAGATTCAATCTTCTCTCCTAATCATGGAAAGGATATTATAGAAGGAGGAGTAGTAAAACTATTAGGTTAGGAAGACAATTCGTATAGTGAAACTGAATATGCATTCAATGCTGGATTATATTTCCTACAAAAAGGAAGCTAAAGCATTTATGTACTTGACACTATCAAAATTCATGAAGAGTTGATGATACCAGCCTTAGAAGTATTAAACCAAATCTGTTGGTATACTCAATAAGTAGTTTGCAAATATAAAAGTATACTTTCAAATAAAGATTCATCCTTGATGACATATGAAAAGCTAAACACTATGAGTAAACATTAATTTGTCTTCTTCAAACGAGTTTTGGAATTGAAATCGGTTTGCAATAATGAATACAAAGGAAAATATAGGTAAGTATTGTTCACTTGTTTCCATTCCATGTTATTGATATTACAAAGTGTGAAAGAAAATGAATTGCAAGAGCCTTAAGAATTGGTGCAAGTGTTCCATTATTTCATATTGTAAATCGATTTCAATGATCCAAATTGCAAAGAACTCATTGGATAATTATCATCAATCCTATCAGTCATATTAAATGTGTACCCAGCAAATCCAGAATTACTAAATAAACCAAATGAAGGCTTTTATGACATTATCAATTTACAACTAGAAGCATTAAAGAACCAAAATAATTCTAAGATTTTCTAATCGATAATCCAATGTTGGATAGACATAATCACCTTCAATATATCGAATAAGATAGATGTAAGATATTTGAAACAACTCACATTTATTGCAGATGAATAAATCTACAATTCTAATGAGAATGGACAATACAATCACAAACACTCAATGTGGTGTCATGTACTTGTATTGGTTAGAGAACTATTAGCCTATGATCAAACTCAGTGTCGATCAATTTTGGAATTCCTGTCTTCTCATGAATAAAGAATGCATTCTGCAATCATTTAAATTGATCAAACTTAATAATATTAGTCTCTTCGCCAATTTACAGATGTCACTGGATTAACACTTAAACATATTCAAACTTATTAGTAGAGTTACATGCTCTTTTTTGAATTGTCTCAAATCACTTAATTCATGCTTGAATTGATCTTATGCAAAAACATGAGATTGCAATTCAAAAGACAATTAGATAAGATTATCTACACATTTATGGGCTAATACAGTCAGCAATTAGGATATCACAAAAAACTGAAGTAATTTTTCCAGAGCTTCAAACCCTACACTTTACTTGAAACCAAACTTAACCAATTGTTTGCCAAAGCCGAATCAATTAAAAGTTCCGACTATTTTTCAATTGTACAATCTGCTTAGATTATGAGATAAAACTAAACCTTCTCTCCTCACAGAACAGTTCAAAGAGATTAAACTTCCAATTTTGATGGGAAATCAACATAAGGTGGTGGCTAAAGGTTTAATCTCAAGAGAGACGTAGATAATATATCTTTGTTTTAATACATCTGTTTGATTGAATATTTAAGATTCTGTCGTTTCAGCATTCAAGGTATTGCAGCTTCTATGAACATTTTTGAAGTGGATCGCAATTTCTAATTAGAAGATAATGTGTGGAATAGCTTTGGTAACAACATCCAGAATTTCATACAATTCAATTTTGATGCATTTGCTAATCTTTCCTAGTCTGAATACATTAATAATTTGATCAAAATGCATCAATGGCTGTTAAGCAATTATGATTTCCAAATTTAATACAATGGACTCTAATAATTATGTGTTTATCCAAGTAATTATCCATATTATTTTAATAGCCAATAGAGATGAATTATTATAAATGTTTATTCAAAATATAATTTATGGTTTCTGTGCAGAGTTACAATATCTACAATTGAGAGAAGTCCATAGAAAGATCAATTTTATCAAGGATTCCTATAATATTGAAATCAATTTGACTAAGGAATTAAGTATTATCATTCTAATATGCAAGGTAAATATGCTGAGACCCTGAAAGCCATTCAATTTGTCAAATAGATGGAAGCATAGGACTTACTGAATGAAGTACTGTCTTTTGGGGAATATCCAATCAATGAAGCAAATGATAGCTACTTTAACAGATGGAAAACTAAATTTGATGAGAAAAATGCAGAATATAAAAAAATATGATATACACGTTTAATTATTATTTTATAAATAAGTTCTAAAATTGAATTGCCTTAGTTAAATAAAAACAAAAAATTTATATTAATTAAATAAAATCTTATATGCAAAAATAATAAATATAAAAGGGTTTTTCATTTCTTGTCATCAGTTTCATTAGTATTTTAAATAGCTTTGACAATGATTTCTTTGAATTCTTTAAATTCGATCTAATTAAAACACAATTTACTTATCCATCTCCATTTTAATCAACTTCTTGAATAAGATCCTTCCAGACTTTTTCTGAGACCTAAGAATTTTGTCCAAATATTTGTTTGATTTCATCAATAGATATGGTACCACTTCCATCCTTATCAAACAATTTAAAAGCTTATTCCAATCTTTTATCCTCTATCAATTTTACCTTATTAAAAGTAGCCAAAACAAATTCTAAATACATAGAAACAATCATGAATTACCAGAATAATCAATGCTACCATTGCCGTCTTGATCAATTTGCTTCATTAATTTATCAACTTCAATTTCAGCATCAGTATAACTCATAACTTTGGAATAACCTATTGGAATATATGATGCAAGATGTACCTATAACGAGTTCTTCCCTACTTAGTCTGCCATCTCCATTTAAATCTAATGCTTAAAATTATGTCAATAATTCCTACTTTTCTTAACTAGTTGCTAAATAATTGACCATAAATGTAAGAGCAGCTTCTTAGAACTTCTTCTCAACATTAAAATTTTTCATGTTATTTAACACCCTAGTCAATTAGGGTAGATCTATTTCTGGTTTCTTCACGTAAGTTGTAATCCAATCATCTTATAAGGCCTATTCAGCAGATATCCTTTTTTTGGGATCTCGCTCAAGCATTTTTGATATCAATCTTTTGGCCTCAACTGAGATGAGTCTCCATTCTTCTGTGTCGAATGAGTAGAACCCTCTTTTCACAGCCTCCATTATTAAATTGTCATCGTCACCATTAAAAGGAGCTGTTCCAGAGAGAAGAATATAAAGAATAACTCCGCAAGACCAAATGTCACATTTTTCATCATATTTCCTTTCCAATACTTCAGGGGCAATGTAGTATGGCTAGATTAGGTATAGAATTACAGTTCCAAGTTTTTAATCCATTTTTACTTCCGGATCATAAAAGCGAGATGTCCCAAAATCGACTATTTTGAGTAAGGCGTTTGGCTTTGAAGATTCATAGAGGATATTTTCTGGTTTTATATCACTTTTAGAAATAATTGCAACCAAATACGTACCGATGAACTATTTTGCTTTTATGCAAGTAATTGACAGCGCTCAAGATCTGTTTCATAGTTTCTGCAGCTTTTCGTTCTGAAAATGAACTGGATTCTTAGATCTTATCAAAGAGCTCTCCTCCAGTGCATAGTTCTGTAACTATATACATGTTTTTATTATCTTGATAAAATTCATAGATCTTTATAATATTAGGATGGTCCTTATATGAGACAACTAAACATACCAATCTTTTGAGGATATCAACTTCTTCCTTTAGACGTTCTATGTCAGCCTTTTTGGCCTTTTCTTTTGAGATAATTTTCACAGCTCTCGTTTGATTGGTCAATTTGTGAATGCCCTTTCGAACTTCTCCGTAAGCACCTAGATAGGATGGACCAAGATAATTACCTTTTCCCAAAGAAGGTTTCAGAAGATGATAATCCTACGAAATCTGTCCAATCTTTTCAGTTACCAAATTGAGAGAAGTCACACGCAATTGAGATTTGTCATTGACTCATATATGGATTTAAGATATTACTTTATTGAGGATTATTTACATCCCCTGGCTTTGTTGAACCGCATCCCATTTTTTAATTAATTTTATAATCAAAGTAAAACTTCTCTGTAGAAATTAGACAAAAATAGAAATTAATTTAGAGGGAAATCCATCAAGTAATGGATATTGGTTATTGTTGTTTAAAAAATATACATATAAATATATATATTAAAAATATGAGTCAGAATGCAATATTTTGAATTATATTAATAAGTTAACAGTAAATTTAGAAGTAATATAATAATAATATCACTAGATAGAATGAAAAATGTAAGAGACAGTAATTCATTTAGTAGATTCAAGACTCGACAAAAGTCAAGGGAAAATGATCAAAATTCTCAGATTCTTAAATTGCAAAGTTAATAGAATGTCAAAAGTAAAACAATTCAGTCTATCATCTAGAGTTGCCTCCCAAAGCATAGCAAGTGAGTTTCCATCTCTTGCCCGAGAGTTATTAGAGACCTAAGTCAAAACCTATGGTTTAGCCAATCCTACAAGTATAATAACTCCCAATCATTAATAGAAACATTCTAAGAGAGTGTTAGATGAGTCTCATAATTACTTAACAACCAAGTATTAGGCCAACAAACTTATCAAGCAAAATAGTTTTGTAAAGAATCGCTCTAGAAAAATGCATTCTGTTAGTTATTATCATTGTAATTGAAACATACAAATAATTATATAGATGACAGTATATAAAAAGAGAATGATGAGTTTTGTATGCATTTTAACAACATGTCCAACGTATCCTTCAAAGATTACATAGATGTAGAATGTATAAATTCCAATTATAAACATTAGCACGTGCCAACAAAATGCCATCCGACAAATCCTAAGAAATAATTGAAGGCAAAAAGCTTCTGAGCTTGGGTTAAACAGAGGAAGCACAAAAGTTATTCGAGGAAATTCTCCAAGTCAGCAACAACCCAGAAGCCAGATATTTAAATGGCCTATGTCATTTGAGCAAATCTGAATTCTCTGAAGCCATAGCAGATCTTAGTCTCTTAATTTAACAACAACCCCACTATAAAAGAAATGCCTACATTCTCTTAGCCATAGCCTATAAAAAATCTAACTGTCCAAACGATGCTTTAAACACTGTATTTTTATTCATTTAAATTTATAGTTAACTCTGGCAATCAAACAATTTAACAAATATTTTGATGCTTATATTTATAGAGGCAAACTTTTGTTGAAAATGAAATAATTTGATCGCGCACTGAAGGATTTTACTTCTGCAGTTGAAATCTAGCCAAAAAAGGCCATTTCTTATATTGGATAGGCAGATTGCTACAGATATATGAATCAACCAAAACAAAGTGTCTAAGCTTGTACTCAAGCTATTGAATGTCAAGATTCCTCCTTCAGACAAGCCCTTATTAAAAGAACTCTTTTGTATATTGATTTAAAAGAATATGACTTTGCTCTTTCAGACATTCAAGCTGTGTTGGAAGAAGATTACTGTGATTCCGAGGCCCTTTACATCAAAGGTTTCATTTGTACTAAAAAATGTAAATAATTGTGCTATTTCATTCTAGATCAAATTCAAGAAGCCTTCCTTGCTTACGAGTAATCAATCAAACATAACAATTCAAAAAAGGCAGTGTCTAAATCTCTCTATGAAATTGCTAAAATTAAAATCGAGCAAAGAGACTTTTATGAGGCATTTTATTAATTGAGTCGTGCTGATTATCTAGATGTAGATGAGAAGATTTTAGAGAAATTCAAGATCTTTACAGACGGAGTCACATTCCTAATGAAACGTAAATTTGATGAAGGCGTAGAGGCTCTTACAACACTTATAACCAAACACTAAGTTACTGACTTTTTGAAACCCCTTATCTATTAATATAGAGCCTATGGATACTTCTGTCAATCATAGTATTAAAAAGCACTTAATGATCTCAATCAATTGACTTCCCTTGAAAAACCCTCGATTTATAATAAACTTATCGCTGAAGGCATCCTTGCTGCTGTTGCTAATTAATTTGAACAATCTTAGGGATACTTTTTAAAAGCCTAAAAATTAGTGCCCAATAAAATGGAACCCTACTTTTATAAAGCCACCACGTTGGTTAAATTCTATAGTTATCTCATTCCAAAAGATGACATAGAAAAAAAGAATAAATTTTTGAATGATGCCATTAAATACATGGACTTGGCGGTCAAAATCAATGAACAATCCAATCTCTTATTCTATAGGGGAATTGTTCTTTTTGCTTAAGGGAGATTAGATGATTCCCTAATCGATCTAGATAAAGCAATTGAAAAATCAGAAGATCATGTAGCTAAACATTTCTATGTGAGAGGGTTGATACAGGCATGCAGAGAAGCATTTGAACCAGCTGTTAACGATTTAACAATAGCATTAAATCTAGATGAGAAACTTTTGGATGCTTATTTAAATAGAGCCAAAGTGTTTCTATCATTGGGAGATAGGAAAAGTGCTTATTATGATGCTCAAAAATACAAAGAATGTAAATAAACTGATCCACAAACTGACATTCTCTTAGGAAATTTGTTTTTTTAGATAGGAGCATATGAAGATGCTATTCAATCCTATTCTGACAGCATCAGTTCAGAAAAAAGCTTATAAGTGTTATATTTTAGAGCAAAAACATACCTCGTAATAAAGGAGTTGAATAGTTCAATGCTTGATTTATAGAAGATAGTAGAATAATCCAATGATATTCATGCTATTGTAGATCTAAATCTCCTATAGTAATTAAAAAATACCTCAACTGCAAATAATGATTAGAATCTATTTTAGGAGGGTCTGCAGTGTGTAAATCAAATCTTAAAAAAAGGAGCAGAAGGGAGGATATTCAAGAAATCAGATATTCTATTTTATAGAGGCCTATTTTAGTTCTATTTAAAATAATATGATAGTGCTCAATAGGCAATGAGAGAGTCATATAAAATTAAGGAGGAGCAATAGAAAAAGGAATAAGGGTCTATGAATGATTCTGATTAATATATTTTAGATCAATTGAATCAAACACAAAAGAAACTGGAATACAAAAGCAAACCATTGGAAGAATTTGAATTCAGTGATAGAACCTACAATTTATTTGAGTATTATTTTAATAGATCTGCAATCCATTTACTATTAGGATAGATTGACTCTGCACTTCATTATTTAGAACAATTACAGGAGAACATTTAATAGCTAGAAATCTAAGAACACCTCTCCTTATTCATTCAATTATTGAAAGAAGATTAGAATCCTAAAAGTGAAATCAATCCTGAGCTTTCTAAGTTGACTGAATTCATCATTTTTCCTTAACACAATAGATTATGCTCGATCTACCCTATAGTTAAGCTACCTTTGAAGAAATATAAGCAAAATCTATAATTAAGATTATCTTTTTGTTTGCCCACAGTAGAGATTCCAGAAATGAGTATCAAATTCGATGATAAATTACTTGAGACAATTAGTGTATAAATCCATTTATATACAATATTAGCCAACCGTAGTTGAAAACAAACCAGAAGCACCATGGATTAAACGATCAGCTGAAGGTGTTATTTTTACAGATAATGTCCAGATAGTTGAAGATTTAGACCTACAATCAACTACAAGACCTTCAAAGAAGTAGACTGAAATCGAAGATCCAGAATTCTAGCAATTTGAAGATTAGTTAAACCATGCAATTGAGAAATATGATTATAGTGAAATAGACCAGCAAGATGACATTATAGAATAACCAAATTAAGCCATAGATTTGTAACAGCTTAAACAAAACTTAATGCTCGATTCAAAAATTGCAGACAAATTAAATTCCATTCTATAAAAAAAAGCTTAAAATTGACTCATATATCTATCTATTTATTCATTTACATAAAGGAGATTAATTTCAAATTAAAAATACAAATCTAATAATCAGTATGTTTTAAAAACATTTTAGCGTTTCTCCATTATAAATTTTTAGTATAAATTTTATTTATATTTCTCCCAAGTTTTTATTTGTTTCCTAATGTGATCTATCTCATAATCATCAAATTCCTTCATCGATCTTAATCCTGCTAAAATTTGGTTTTGTAAACTTTCTGGTAGATTTTAATATCTTTTCTCATCCAAAAAAAATACTTAACCTTAAACACTCTTTACAACAACTGTCAATCTAATTATAGATGTATTTATTCATTACTTTGCATTACTTGACTGTTCCTAATCATACTCATTATCATATAAAATTAGTAATGATCTACCACAAATCACATCGCATTTCTTCAATGTTTTCAATACATGTAAATGAGTATATGCGATTTCATTTTTGCCTTTAATTTACTTATTACAATATTGATAGCATTTTGAATTTCTTATAACTTATTATTTTGGATTGTTATTTAGGGATAAATCAAAGGATTAATCAGCAAAATCTCTAGGTATCATAGGTTTAGTATTCCTATCTATGATTTTTTTATGCACCAAAGGTCTTAATTTGTTCTCCAAATAATAATTTCTAGTTTCCCTTTTAAGTTGAATCTCCTCCACAATTTCAAACTCACCTTAAGCTATTATAATCACTCTGTTTAATTAATCTCCCTTTCTTACTACACAATCTCCTTAAAAATATTTTTGAATTCCCAACTCTGCTACCAAATGCAATAATTGAGAAGCAGAAGTATGTTAAAAAAATCTGATTTGCGATAAGATGCTCAATTTGAATTCCTTGTCTTTTTCAATAGATTATTTCAAAATCTTTTAGAATTGATCATTATCCATTCTCAATAAATATGTTTTTTCTGCACAAGATATATGGCTGGTTATCAATTTCGTTCTTTCATTTTTTAACAGATCTCTATTAATTTAATATGATACCTTTCAATTTCGGATGCTCTTTAATTTCCTCAACCATATCTATGAATTTATTTGCAGAATACCCCCTGCTATTGTTTAATTGCAATAAATTAATCTCTGATAAATCTTAACCATCAAAATAAGATTAGACTGTCAAACACTGATATTCTTCCAATTGAATGTCCATTGTCAATGTCTATTAACAAGATCCTCTAAGAATAACATAAAGATTATTGCTATTAGCCCCCAATTGAAGAATGACTTCTCCGACATTATGAATTTCCATTGAAGCTTTTTCCATTATTCCAATCCTGATTCCCTAGCCAAATCTCTCAAAAAATTTATTTTTCAATAGAATTTTATCCATAGTCAAATAGTTTCTTTCATATTCTTCCTTTTCAAATTCTTACATTAAATATCTCAATTCATCCAAACTAAATACTTTAAGTTCTAATTTCTCATAGTCTACCTAATAATCCCATTAATCTACTTCCATATTGTCAGGCTCCAAATTCTTATACATAGAATTAACCTGTTCCTTTATTTTAGTTAATTCCTCATTTGAATTAATTAATGGTTTAGAAGGCTCTTAGATCAACCCCTATTATAAAATGGTTATATTTCTAATTATAAAACACTTATACTCTTATGTTTGTTCTTCATCATTCTCGACTTCTTTTTTTCCATAAATGACAGATTTACTATGAGATATAAGCTTTTATGGATATGGTCCTTAAGAGGTGTGCTTAAAATGAAATCAATAAATTACCACTTTTCTACTGTGTCTTCCACTCTCCCTATAACCTGTTCTTAATTTATTCCCAAAATCACCATCCATAGTTTTTTATAACTCTATTGTATAAGATTACATCTTGTCCCTTCTCGGACCAATATAGAACGAGTTAATTGTTCTATTTATTGTATTCATAGTAGTTGAGTTATTTGTTTTACTTTTGGTCACACTCAACGAATAATTGCTTTCAAATTTCAATCATCAATTTTACCTTTAATCATATACACTCTAACTAGGTTGCCTCTGATTTACAGATTCTTATGGTGTTTTATTTCTATTTTACTTGAAGGCATTTTTTGCTCTAAGTATATTATACATCAATATTTCCTTTTATTTATTTTATATATTTGCAATATTAAATCAATCAATCCATCTCGCAGTATATCTTGCATCTCCATGACTAAGAGCCTTTTGAATGTCTGATGGTAACTTGGGATAATTTGTTGTCCAATAAGAGATTTCATTGTCATTCATGATATCCATTCCAATTTTATTAAAAACTGTGAGTCCTACAACTGCGAAAATGCCCTTCATGTAGATGGAACTTTAAGCGCAATAAATATCCCCAATAAACCTGCCTAACTTTAAAAGCATTAACAAAATCATTTACAAACAAACCAACAACAGGTACTCCCCATCTAATTCCCTTTATTTATTAATCTGTAAACTTTCTGGGTAAGGCTTGTCCCTCTATTTATTAATATTAAATAATCACCTTCAGATTATTAAAATCTACTCAAAGCCTTTCTCAGTCTTGATTGATTCTCCCAATCTGTATGATCTCTGCCAGCATTGAGATGATAAAAAGGATTTCCATAAACTGTAAATCTTGTAAGGAAATACTCCATTGATTATTATAATTATTATTTTATATATTCATAAAAATGATTAAAAACCTTATTCCCAACACAAGGATTCAATTTTTAGTATAAAAAGAAAAGTTAATTTTTCTTCCAATATCCATTTTATTCTATTTTTAATATCAGATTTTAAATATCTTTGATAATTATATTGGACAATATTTACTTACATGTTTTATGTAGGTAGTTTAATAAATATTTTATGATGATTAAATTTAAAATAATATTTGAAACTTAAAAATAGGAGAAATTTGAATCTTAGAGTTTTTTGACTTCGAATCCACAACTCAAAGAAGGAGATTGGCAATACTGAATAAAGCGTTCATCTAAAATTTGCTTAAATTTCAAACTATCTTTATAAATATTTTTAATAATAAGAGTCAACCACTTCCATAAAACAATTACTAAATATAATATGAATTATAACTTGGAATGAATTCAATATTTATGAATCAATTTTAATTCTTACCCATTACAATTAAAATCATACATTTTCATCTCTATTGTTCTCATGACCACTCTCCTAATTTATCGATTTTTTATCGGTTTCAAATTCATATGATAAACAATCAAAATTAATTTAAATTATAATAGTATAAACAATATAAATAGAATTCATTTGAGTGATGTCCATTTCTCTGAAAGCAAATTAAATAAGCTGATATTGTATTTGAACACATAACAATTTGCTTTAAATTAAAATACAAGTAAATTTGAAATAATCGGTTATTTAATTAAAATTAGAATGGAACTGGACGTGTATATTATTTGTATGTCTTGGTACATATTATTAAAACATAAATTTATCCAACATTACATTATTTGATTATATATTATTTTTATGAGTTTCTAATAATAATAATAACAATAAGCTTTTTTCGAATAATAAATCTCTGGGCATTCTATATTTATTAAACTTAATGACGGTGAGTTTGTAGCGAAGTCCCACTCAATTGAAAATAATAATGAATAAAAGTATTTCTATAAAGCTAATTAGTTTTTATGAATGGATTCAGCACATAGATGGATATTAAGAGTTCTTCTCTCAATACAATGGTGTTGTAATTCTAGAAAAAAATCAAGAAATATCAAAATAAGAAACAATCAACTCTCAATAAAAATGGTTAGATACTCTTATTTCAAAGAGGTATAATCCAAATAATAAGAGTAAATATTTTAACAATTTCTTAGAATATTTAATACTTGAAAACTTGACTTAAAACTCTTCCAATTTGAGAATTCTAGATCTGAAATTAGGCTATTCAGTTGAAAAATAATCGCATATTTAGCGTTATCAGGATTCAACTTCCTCTAAAGTAGGCCTCAGAATTTGTGGAATGAAAATACAAGAAAATAATGAATTGGTTTTGTTTAAGGATAAGCATTGGGGTAGAACCATATCTGTGTAGGAATTAATTGAGTCACTTAAGATTTTTTTTAGTTTAAAAAATAGAAATTGTAAGTTAAGTTTATTAAATTTAGAAATTTTAAAAGAGGCCATCGAGAAACTAGAATCACTAAAGCAATTCATTATTAGTCATTGTAAGCAAGTGACCTCATGGTAAGGCACAAGTCTGTTATTGATTTATCGTGATGATAATGATTTTAAAATTAAGTTGATTGACTTCTCTAATACCAAGGTGGACCTAGAATCTACTCAAATTAATACTGAGATAATCAAAGCTTTAAATAGCCTTTAAGATATAATAAAGCAAATTTGATATATTATTTGATATTATAAATTTTCAGTTTTCTAGAGGAATTGATAAATATAAAAGAAAATAATCAAATCCATTAAAAGTTTTTATATTTAAAAATATATGTAAGGAGCTCCAGTGATTGTGGTGAATGCTAACACAAAAAGAGAATAGGGTAGAAAAGCTCAATTAGGAAATATCTAGGCAGCCAAAGCTGTATCAGATATCGTATTGACTACTCTTGGACCCAGATCAATGTTAAAAATGTTACTCGATCCAATGGGCGGCATTGTAATGACAAATGATGGAAATGCAATTTTGAGAGAGATTGATGTTTAGCATCCAGCAGCAAAGAGTATGATCGAATTAGCAAGAGTATATTTTAATAACTAAGAATTTAAAGGCTCAAGATGAAGAAGTCGGAGATGGAACAACATCAGTCATCATATTAGCAGGTGAAATGATGGTAGCAGCACGACCATTCATTGAAAAGAATATTCATCCAACAGAAATAGTAAATGGGTATTTCAGAGCCTTGGAAGATTCTGTAAAGATCTTGGATGAGATTTCATAATAAATAGACACCGAAAAAAAAGAAGAAGTTATGAAAGCATTACAATCTTGCATTGGTACTAAATTTGCATTCAGATGGGGAACATTAATTAGTGATCTCTCTTTATAAGCAACCAGAATAGTTCTTAGAGGAGGAAATGTTAATAAATTGAATTTAGAAATTAAGAGGTATGCAAAGGTAGAAAAAATACCAGGAGGAACTCTAGAAGAGAGTTGTGTACTTGAAGGAGTCATGATTAATAAAGATGTTACTCATCCAAGAATGAGAAGAGAAATCAAGAACCCAAGAATTATATTATTGGATTGTACATTAGAATACAAGAAAGGTGAATCTATGACTAATATGGAAATGACAAAGGAATCAGATATGACTGATGCACTCTAACAAGAAATTAATGAGGTTGCCCTTATGTGTAATGACATATTGAAACACAAGCCTGATATTGTTATTACAGAAAAAGGAGTTTCAGATTTGGCTTAACACTTTTTATTAAAAGGAAATGTCTCTGTCATTAGAAGAGTAAGAAAAACAGACAACACAAGAATTGCTAGAGTTTCAGGTGCCACTATTGTCAATAGGCCAGAAGAATTATAAGAAACTGACGTTGGTACATTATGTGGAACATTCGAAGTCAAAAAAATTGGAGATGATTATTTCGCATTCTTTGTAGATTGCTAAAATCCAACTGCATGTTCTATCATATTGAGAGGTGCATCAAAAGATGTTTTGAATGAAATGGTATTTATATTAAAATAATAATAATTAGGAAAGAAATTTACATGATTGTTTGGCAGTTGCAAAAAATATTTACTAAGATCCAAAACTATTGCCAGGAGGAGGAGCTGTTGAAATGGAAGTTAGTGCTAGATTATTGGAAAAAGCAAATAAAGTTGAAGGACTGGGCCAATTACCATATAAAGCTGGTATAAATATGAAAAATATATTAAATAGTTGCCTATGCTTTGGAAATTATTCCAAGAACTCTCTCTGCCAATTGTGGAGCTGACACTGTCAGAGTTTTGACTGAATTAAGAGCCAAACATAGTGAAACTGGAGGATTATTTTTTGGAGTTGATGGAAATACTGGAAAGATTGCAAAGATGAATGAAATTAATGTTTGGGAACCCTTGTCTGTAAAAAAGTATATGAATTATTTAATCATTTAGATAAGTTTTTAAAACCGCCATCGAGTCAGCCTGTATGCTATTGAGAATTGATGATGTTGTATCAGGAATCAAAAAGAAGCAATAATAATCTGGTCGTCAAGGAGAAGAGGAACCATAAGAAACTTTTGGAGATCAAAGAGACGGTTGATAAATAAATCAATAACAATATAGGATAAATATAGTAATAGTTTACATTATATAATTTTTTGAAATTAAGGAATTGATTTAGCTTACAAGATCAAAGAGATCAAATTTTCTAGCAAATTCTAAAAAAGTGTTAATATTTATGCACTTAAAAATTTAATTCTGATAATTATTTATTTAAGTTCAATTTGGAGATTCATAATGGCATCTTAATTCAAGAAATTGGCACCTCTCCTCAACAGAGTCTTAATCTAAAAGTATGAACCTGTCACAAAGACAGCTTCAGGAATCCTCTTATAAACCTCAGATGAAAAATAAGCAGTAGGAAAAGTTGTCGAAGTATGAATTTTATTCTAGAAATTTCCAGGCTGGTCCAGGATAAATAGATTCAAAAGGAAATGTTATACCAACTTTAGTCAAACCTGGAGATGTTGTTTTACTTCCAGATTATGGAGGATAGAAAATCAAGTTGGCAGATTAAGAGTATTTCCTTTTTAGAGATTCAGACATTATTGGAATTTTACATTAATGATTTTTATTATAATGTATAATAACACATATTCATTAACATTTCACTTAGTTTCTTGATGATAATCTAGTTCAGTTTTAATACGAATATTAATTATTTATATGTCTATATTTTATTTATTATATAAATCTTGACTTTTGATGAGTACCTCTCTTGTAAAACCTAAGAAACTCAAGTTGACAGATTATGAAGTATTTCAAACTCTTGGCACAGGTACTTCATCCCTCTATCATAATTTTAGGTTCCTTTGGGCGAGTAAAATTGGCAAGGAACAAATAAACAAATAAATATGTTGCATTAAAAAGTTTAAAGAAAGCTGAAATCATACGTTTAAAGCAAGTTGATCACGTAATTAATGAGAATACCATTTTGGGCAACTTGCAGCATCCTTTTATCGTATTCCTTACTTTCATTAATTCTTAGGTCAATTTTGAAGGATTTTGCCAAGATCCAAGATACCTATATCTAGTATTAGAATTTGTTTCTGGAGGTGAATTATTTACTTATTTGAGAAGCATAGGAAGACTTGATACATAGCATGCAGGGTAAATATTATATTTAATTATTCAGTTTCTATGCTTCTTAAGTTGCTTCAATTTTTGAATACCTACACTCAAAAAATATAATATATAGAGATTTGAAACCAGAAAACTTATTAATAGCAGATGATGGGTACTTAAAACTGACAGATTTTGGATTTGCCAAAGTAGTTGAAGGAAGAACCTACACTCTTTGTGGAACACCAGAGTATTTGGCACCAGAGATTTTATTGAATAAAGGACATGGTAAAGCAGTTGATTGGTGGACATTGGGAATTTTGATATATGAAATGAATGCAGGAATTGATCCCTTTTCCGATGAAGATCCTATGGCAATTTACCAAAAAATTCTTAAAGGAAAGGTTAAATTTCCTAAATCTTTTGATAAGTATTGAGTTAAAAATTACATAGAAATGCTAAATCATTAGTCAAGCATTTATTAGTTGCAGATCTATCTAAAAGATATGGAAATTTAAAGAATGGTAATTCATTTTTGATTATATGTAACTAGGGGCTGCTGATATAAAAAATCATAGATGGTTTGGAAATCTAGACTGGAATTTGCTCACATAAAAGAAATTGCCTGTTCCTTATAAACCTGTTGTTAAGTAATTCTTTAAAACAATCTCTTAAGAGCTCCCAATGACACTTCAAATTTCTCATCATACCCAGAATCAGATACTTAAAGTCCAGCCCTTAAACCTGCAGACGATCCCTTCCTTGAATGGTGATATATTCATTATATTGAATAAATATATAATAAAGAAAAATGAATTTCAATATTAATTTTAACTTTCAGCAAGTAGATGAGAAGAATAATCTTCAAAAGCATTTTTATAAAATTTAAATTAGTCCAACCTGGGGAGGAATAGTTATTTTTATTTTTAAATCTTTATGAACATCATATGTCATTTAATGGATTGTTTAAAAATTAAGTATTTCAATATCGAAATAAGTACTAAGCTTATGTTGAAAAGGAAAGGTAGTTGAGCAGCACAATCCAAAATTTATTATAAAGAAATTAAAAATTCAGTACAATAATAGTTAGAGGTATAAAGGAAATTTAATTAATTAATTTCATATTATAAATAAATATCTTTTTATGGGTTGCTCATCTTCAAATGTAAAACTGTCAATTTATAAAGTAGAGTGCCGATGTTAATAATCCTGGAAATGCCCCTAAGGCTGAGGTGATTTTCATTTTGGTAATGTTTTTTTTTTAACTTTTATAGGGAGGTCCTGGATCAGGTAAGGGCACACAATGTGAAAAAATGGTTAAGGATTATTGTTTTTTGCATATTAGTACTGGAGATTTGCTCAGAGCTGAGAGATAGAAAGGTAATATTATTTAATAAAATTAGGCGGACCTGATGCAGAAGAATTAGAAAATATTATGAGAGAAGGCAAATTAGTTCCATCAGACACATTGGTAAAGTTGATCAAAAAAGTATGAAGTTTAATATGATTTTGAGGAAATTGAATCTTTTGGAAACACAGGCAGATATATATTAGATGGATTTCCAAGATCATAAGATAATTGGGAGAGTTGGACAAGAATTATCGGAAATTCAGTAAATGCAAGATTTTTGTTAATGTTTGAATGTTCGGAAGCAGTAATGGAATAAAGGCTTTTGAAGAGAGGAGAGACATCAGGAAGAGCAGACGATAATGCAGAAACAATAAAGAAAAGATTTGCCACCTTTATGAACGAAACTTAACCAGTTGTAGCAGCTTTCGAGAAGAAGAATATGGTTGTGAAAGTAAGTGCTGAAGCAACACCTGATGAAGTTTATGAAAATGTTAAAAAATAATTAACCAATAAAGGTGTTTAACCTTAAAAACGACCTGAAGTTTTATTTGTTTTAGTAATACATATTTTAATTTCAAGGGTGGACCAGGATCAGGAAAAGGTACTCAATGTGCTCGTATTGCTAAAGACTTTTAATATGTTCATCTATCAACCGGAGATCTATTGAGAGAAGAATAGAAAAAGGAAGGTCCAATGTAAGCAGAACTAAAAGCAATTATGGAAGCAGGTAAACTTGTTCCATCTGATCTTGTTGTCAAATTAATGAAAAAGGTATTTTAATTTGTAATAATAGGAATTATTAAGAAGATAATTTAGAGGAAAATATCTATTAGATGGGTTCCCTCGTAACCAAGAAAATATTGATTCTTGGAATAAAATTTTAGCTCCTTTGGTAGATGTAAACTGTTTGCTCTACTTTGAATGTTCTGATGCAGAAATGACAAAAAGACTTTTGGAGAGAGCTAAAACATCCGGAAGAGCAGATGACAACGAAGAAACAATTAAAAAGAGGTTAAATACTTTCCATTCTGAAACAAAGCCTGTTCTTGGAGTTTTTAAGGATTAAAGTATAAAATTATTTAATATATTTAGATAAGTTGAAAGTCATTAATTCTGAATAGTTGGTTGATGTTGTTTATTCAAATGTCAAAAAATAATTTAAAAGCAGTGGATTAGCAGTTACACAAAATGGTTAAAAACCTGCCAAAGGAAAATATGTGATTGGTTTGATTGGAGCTCCTGGTACTGGAAAATAAGTTCAAGCTTCAAGAATATCAAAGAGATTTGGATTTCAACATTTCTCAACAAAACTAATTATTAGAGATGAAATTAAAAAGAACACTCCAGATTCATAAACAATAAAAGAATGCTAAAAAAATAACCAACCTATTCCAGGCAAGATAGTTGTAAAATTAATAATTGCTGCTGTCAATTAATCAAAAGCTGTAATATATTTAAATATATTGTAGAGAAAATTCATTATTGATGGATTCCCAAGAAATTAAGATAATCTAAATGCATGGTATGCTTAAACAAGTAACCCTATTCGTCTGAAATATATTATGTGTTTTACTTGTTCATAAGAGGTACTTGACAAAAGGATTGCTGCTGACGTTGGTAATTATAAAGATTATATGAATCTAGCAAAGAAAGATTAGGCTAGCGTTTAAAGGAAAGTTGAAATATTAAATAATCAAACAAATTAAATCATTTAGATGTTTAAGAAAGATGAAAGACTTATTGAGATAAACACGGAACCTTCAGCTGACGAAGTATTTACTGAAATTGAAAAAGTCTTCCAAGCCAAAAAGCTAGATAGATGAGATAATAATAAAATATAATATAGAAAAATAAATCTATTAGTTATGTTTCCAATTAATTAGAATTATAATTATATAAATCAATTATTGTTTATTGCTGCATCAATGAATAAATTCCATTCTATAGCGTTGTGCCTCTAGAGTTCAATGGAAAGAAATTTAATTTTCTGCATAATCTTCTCGATTTAATTTGATTCTTCCTCAGAAAATTACTATTAAGGAATTCCTAAAAGCAGTTTTTCAATAATATTATAGTATTCATATGATTTTGAATGCTGTCTTCTCCATCCCTGGAATTCCTGTTTTAAAATCATAAATGATTGATAGAGTTTAGAAGATGTATCATTTAACATAGGTAAGAAGTAAAGACAAATATTACGATCTTCATCTTCAAGGTGTTTTAATATGATCAAGCATGGAATCGCCACAAAAATGTCACTATCTCTGCATTCTAATTGTTCTTAAAATTGTGAATATTTCTCCGCCGATGTTTCTATTATATGAGAAAACAACATTAATTGTGTGTATCTCTTTGGATCCAATAAATAATTTAAGCCTTTTTCCCATTGTGTTTCATATTCAACCAATAAATCAACTAATTCCTAATTGTTTTTCAATTGAGGATCGACCATTTCAATATTACCTTCATATCTTCTCATTTGTTCTCTGAACTTTTGGAAACTTAACTATTATAACAAGTCTACTTCATTTTGATGCTATCAGCAAGATTTCTTACAGCTTAAGATTACTCTCGAGTAACTCTTCTGGTTATGCCTTCAGCTTCAAGTAGGATTTTTACGCCGAGATCATCTCTTCCTTTACCTTCAACATTAGCGACCGAATTAATCTGTGCTATCACTTTGCATAACTAGCTTCAGTATGTGAGTTACTTCAGCTTTTTATTGCAGATAATTCTCACAAGTCACAAGGATTCTCCCCTTCAGTTTTTCTCGCACTTCAATTGAGATCATTTCCTTATCAATTTCTATTGCTTTTAGTATAAATCGTCGAGCTTCTGCCTCTATCTACATTAATTCCTTAACGTAATACTAAATTATCAATTTACAGTACTTTCTCAAAGTTAACCCAAATGATATCGAAATTCTCCAACAATAATTGAATTTCATCTTTCAATTTTGAAGAAGAAAAGTCGGGACTCTCCTATAGAGTGCCAGAATATGTGTATCTGATTACATGTTATACTTTATAAAAAGCCTCCACTAACCGCACTCCAGCATCCAAAACATCAGCTGAAAACGAATATTTTTCAGAATTAACCCACAAATAAGGAAAGCCTACAGTTTCAATGTTCAATTTTACCTTCCTATGCACTGTCAAGAATTTCAGTCAAGTAACACAACTCACCATCTGTGTACAGAATTTTGTAAGCTTTTGAAAATGTGTCTCGATATTCCCTTGATACTGCACTCACTTTATACACCTGTGGGTTATTTGATCAAATACTTTACACATATTTTCAAGATGGTACAGAAATTTCTTACAACTGTGCTATCCTTCAGGATTGTCTAAATCATATTTCTAATAATCTCTCTATATTAATTAGCTTTAGCTTCTATATGCTTTTTCAAGGGCCTCATATTCCTCTGATCTTCATATGTCTTTACAACTTTACCTCTTAAATTCCTCTAAATCGGTTAATGGTCTTGGAGGAGCTGTCATACATCTCTTTTAAATAGACTCTTCAAAGGATGTTGCATCAGAGACTATATATTACATCAAAGAGCTTACTGTCATCGTCAATCTCGCAAAAATGCTAATTCAGCATTTATATTTATTTATGTAATTAAACTAATTTATAAAAAATAACTACTATAACAAATATTATAAAACCAATTAGATTAGACATGTAAATTTCTTGATAACTTACTAAATCCCATTTAGAAAGAAATTAAACACTTTCCTTGTTTTAAAATCTTTTGAAATCTGTTAAATTATTTAGTGAAAATTAATTAATAATTATCCATTATATTTTATTTGTAATATCATTTCCTCTATTTATAAGACTGATGGTCTTTATAACTATACTAATAATTCATTCAAAATCATTATCTTGCTTTTATAAAGTTAACACCTTTTATTTTTATGTATTTAGTAATATAGATATATATAAATTTAGGAAGATTATAATGAATTAAAATTACCTTTCAAATAGGATGTAATTTAATTTTAAACATATAAATATTAATGACGATTTTTAAATTGTATCAAAAATTCATCATCCAGAATAATTACTAATGGAGTATGTAGGGTAAAATTCTCTTGTTTATTAGAAGAATTAAAAGGTCACCATTTGGATTATTAGAATAGAGTTAAGAATCGTTTTAATATTAACAGGAAAAAATCTATATTTTAAAACTATTTCAAATAAAACTGAAAATTAAAATTAAAAAAATCAGGCATAATATCATTAGGATTTATTTATTAAATAATTAAACGAAAAGAATTATCAGCAAAAAAGCACTAAATTGAAGGATTTGATACAAATATATAGATAATACACACTTTGTAAATCAATAAAAGATAAATAAATGATAATTATGTTGAATAAATTTATAATAAGAAATAAAAAAAGAAAAATAAAAATCATCCTAAAAGTTTAACAGATAAATTGAATAAGTAAATAATTAGAATATAATATTTATTGAAGTAATTATATAAAATGAAAAGTATATTATCAGACTATTTGGAGTTTATTTGGAAATTATAAAAAACCAAAATTCATAAGAGTAGAGTTCATAGATTAAAAGTGCTTTGATCAAAAAATCATTAAAAATTGTAATCATAAAAGATATTACCTTCAAGCTTCGATTCAATATTTAACAAAAGACATAAAAAGACGATATCAAATTTCTACTATAATTTTTAATATAAATTATTATGAGACTTAAAATAATTATCCATTACCAGAATAATTCAACTGAAAACATTTTGCTATACACCAAGCCTCTTTAAACTATAGAAGATTTATGCAACTATATATCCAAAACTTGCCATATTCAGAGTCCTTAAATTTGGATTGAAGGGTTTAGAGTATTGAATGATTAAATTGTTGAGAATATCGTTACAAACGGTGAAATTATACAGTATTTTTGTTAAATTATTTAAGGATTGTCGAAGGAATTGGATCATCAAATAAAGCGGCATAAAAAGAGACAAAAGTAAGATAGAAGCAAATAAATCAAGTAATTAACTTATATTACTTATCTATTCTAGATTTAAGACAGCAGCAGTCAAGAAGATGATAAGCAAGTTTAAAAAAAGTAGCCTGTAATTCAAGATCAAAACTAAAAGTCGTAGCATATAAAATCTAATCTAATTGTTCAACCTGGTTAGTTTTCCTCAAAATCTTCATTAAAAATGAAACCAAAAATACAGAAAATAATTTCTTAATCAGAGTCTTCCTCTGAAGATGTTCCTATAAAAAAACCATAAACACAAAACAAAATGTCAATTGCAATATCAACCCCGGGGGATGAATTAAAAAAAAGTTAAGAAGAATGGAGAAAAACTTTTATTAAAGGCGCCTAGAAAACAACAGAGCAATAGACATCTCAATAAAATAAATTTAATGTTAAATTTAACCCTATTTAATCTAATGCCTTATAAAATCCTGTAAATTAAACTCAAGAAAGAAAATAGTAATAAATTGGTTAAGCCACATAAAATACAAAGTTAAACGAATATATTAAATTACCTATATCCCATATAAAGGATGACCCGACTTTAATTGAAAAAAATGACGAAGTACTTTTTAAGTACAATTATCTAGATATTGAACTATGTTAACCTACTGTGAGTAACTTATTATAAGGAAAGGTTTAGGACAACTTGCAAAAAGATAAAAAATTAATAATTTAAACAAAATAAGGCGATATATTATCAATATATTATAGTGAAATCTAAGAATTGCAGGTTAATCTAGCAACAATTTAATCATAAACGAGAAAATTGGCAATAAAAGTTTTAACATAGGATGAAGGTAGTAAATAGTAATAATAATAATAATAATAATAATAATAATAATAATAATAATAATAATAATAATAATAATAATCTGCTAATAATAATTTCTCACAATAAAAAAAAGAAGTTATAGATCCGTTTGGAATTGGCTAATAAATTAATTATTATTATAGTGATAAGAACTATTCAAAAGATGATTTTATTTTATAACACTCAGCTTAAAATTCTGAAAAATGTAATTATTATTTTAATTTATAGTTATGCTATTTAAATTATTATTGAATTTTCCAAAAGTTAAGTCAAAAATTAAAAATGAAGATGATTTGTTTGACATTGTTGAATTATTCCTAAGAAAAACTTAGTAAGATTTGGTGAATTTTGAAATAAAGAAAAATGATGAGGGATAATATATGATCAGAAAGAAGTAAATTTAATGAGAATTTGTGTTTTTATCATACATTGAATAATGAAAAAAATTATATTAAACAGCATCTTCTTTAAGCAAAAACCCTAATAATATTACTGTTATTTTTTTAATATAATTCTTAATGGATTTTACTCTGAAAGAATGATAATTTAATAAATACATAGAAATATTTATACGTTTGATGATCCAAAATATGCGATGAAATATATTAATTAATATTGTTGTTATAAATTAATTCAATATAATTAATTTATAAAATCTACTTAAATTCTTTTTAAACAATCCTAAATTCCAATGTTAAAAACGTCTCTAATTGACTTATCTCCTATTAAGTTATTGTATCAGAGAATAAATTTGTTTATTCTTTTTCAGAAATATAGGATATTTAGATGTAAATTCATAATTACTAATTAATGATAAATTATTAAATACACTGAGGGAATTCTTATTATAAATTTTCTTTATTTAATTTTAAATGAAAATCAAAATGGAAAGATGTTTAGTCCTTATACGAAATTCCAATTAATAGGTTTATAAAGATAGAAATAAATTGCTAAGAACTTTATAGTTTTCTAATAAATTTATAATTATTTAATTTAATGATAAGAGATGCAAGCTCTTTTTTTAATCGAATAGATTAATCTTTAGATTATATCATATCTCTACTTTCAATTGGACTAGAAATTTATTTACAATAACATTTGGACATATTATAATATTTTAGTTTGTTTTTATTAGGCATAGCAGGAATATCTAAAATTATACAAAAAAAGAAAGTGTTTGGAATTTAGTAAGGTATTAATTTTGATTTATCATTTAGATTATTCACCAATTTTCTTTTGGTCTCTTGCGTTGGTTAGGATTGTATTTATAAAAAATATCAATAGAGATCAGACAGCTTTTTGTTTGTATATTCTGGGTTTTAGCAATGGATTATATATGAGTATGACTCCTCGCAGGTTTATAAACTAGGTAGCAGAAGTAGTAAAAGCCTTTGTATAAATTGGATTTCTAATTGGTGTTTTAATTTATTATTTTTCGGAGTAATTGGTTTCTAGTATTTTACTAATAGTCATAATGCTCTTTATCCAATACCAAAATTATCGTTAAAACATTAAAATATTGGAGCTTAACAAAGATGAATTTTTTCTTTAGAGTAACGCCCACTTAAATGGATCTTTGAACAAGTTTTCTTGTAAAGTTTAAGAGCATTCAAGATCAAACATAAAACTCCAAGAAGTTGGATCGTTAAGTAGGCAGGAAGCATCAATACATCTAATACAGAATTAAGTTGATCTACAAGCTCCTACTTAGAATATTATCTGGCAAAATTTTATAGAATAGAGCGAAGATTACATCAGTAAATTCTATTTCAACGCGGATGATTTAGAAAGTAATATAAACCAAGCATAAAATAATTACTCCATGCATAAATTTCTACAGGATAACAAAAGTCAATTGATCAATCTATTTAAAGACGTGAAAGTGAGTAACGATTTAAATGTTAAATTATATGAATCAAATTTTTTGGATAAAAAACAGGAGAGTCTTTTGGAATGGATTAAGGCTAATGCTAATTCTTTAAAGTTTTAAGATGTAAATTAACAAAGGAGATTGGAGGAAAACTTAGTTGTTAGTTCACCAATTGGTTAATAATCTGTTGTGATGTTGGATGCTTTTATTGAGAAATCCATATCTGGGTTGTCTGCAATATAATTAATTTAGGGTTCTCTTGAGGTATCAAACTTGAGGAATAGAAGAATTTTATATGGAAAATATTATGGGAAGAAATATAATTACAATTTTTACATTTAAATAAGTTTTTTTCTCGAAGTATTTTTTATATTAATTAAAGGAAGTAGATGGTGTTTAACGTCAAGTGATAGCTATTCTCATTAGGGACTTGGAAAAGTAAGTAAAACAGATCAAATCTAACTTGAAGAATATTTAAAAAATAAACTCAACAATTAAGTTTTTGTAATAGCAAGCAGACTTAATCTAGAGATTACATAGAAAGATAGTTTTGTAACAGAATGCTATAAACGAAATTTAGAGGAGCAATTAAAACACTCAGTTGATTAAAAGAACAAATAGCGTATGTTCATATAAAGATAGTGGGGATGACGCTTTGTCAGACTTTTCTGAGAAAGGATAAAAGAAATGTTAAATTACTTAATTCATCAATTAATTGTAATTTCAATTTTTGAAGATAATTCAGAACAATTTTAATTATTTTGAAGTGTTCTCTTTGAATGATGTTATTGAGTTTGAAAAGAAGAAAGTCGATATAACTTAAACCATTTCCCTGTTAATTAATTAGTTTCAATATGATGAGATAGTTATTACAAAGAAAATAAATATTTCCTTAAAAGAGGATTTATAAAATAGATATATAGTATCAGACTTAAGGTATATTTATATATATATACTTTAATTAGACGATTGAAATAATTATTGTTTAATATTATTTACAACTCAATAAAATCTTATGAATTCGATTATAAAAATTCAAAAACTTAAAAATCAGTTTAAATAATCCTTATAAATTACGAAGACAATATTCGTTTTGAGGTTATAGATTATGGATGTGGTTTGAATGAGGATAACATCAACCCAAGAAGACTTGATGATTGTAAGCTAGGTTTAGCAGCATCATAAAAGTTGATTAAATTATTGGGAGGTAATGATAAATAAATTACAATTCTTCGTTCTTAATCACTACACTAAACAAGAGTTTAATTTGAATTGCCAAATATTTTATATGTTGATAAGGCGGATATAATGGGAGATGATTTTGATTTTGACACTGTCTAGCTAGTCTTCACTTCTTGAATTTTAAATATTAATATTTATATTTCTGTAATAATAATAATAAAATATTCCATTCCCATATTATTTGAATAGAATTTATTTTCAATTAAATAATTAAAAACTAAAGACAACAATTTTCTTAATTCTTTTAATAATGGGAGAACTCTTTTCAATATTTGCATTTAAATAGATTTATTTTGATATGAGGCAATCATTTTAATGTTTGAGGTTTCTTAATAAAGCTTAAATTTATAAACTCTGCTGATAACTAAGAATCTATTCATAAAGTAAATATTGATGATTAGAAGAACACTAGAAATGTGATAACGAAATTTTATCAATTCTATAAATTGTTCAATAAGCAAATAATTAATTATTCATTCGATCTTGAGAATTAAAATTTTTTATTTCTTTATTCTAAAAATCTTATTATAATTATTTAATTTTATGAATAATTAAAAGCAATAGATAATTGTTTAGCTTTTTGGAAAATGGTATGATTTAACAGAATTCTCAGAATTACATCCAGGAGGAAAAGAAATATTAGAAAAATTAAATGGGAAAGACGGCACAGATAGTTTTTATGAAGCTGGACATCTCTCAAATCATGCTGTGTTGCAACATTTATCAAGACTTCCAATAATAGAGAAACCGAAACTCTGAATAAACATATATTATCATTAATTATTTCAATTAAATATTGGCTTGCGAATAAATTGGATGCTGTTCCCTACTTCCTAACTCATCCTTTATTGTAAGATTTTCGACTATTATCCAGCAAATTTTTAAGGATATTCTTAATAGTATAGTTTTTTAGTTTGGATGACATATTGATTATTGTATTTGAGTACTGAGGTAGATTGATTTTGGCAATGATTAACATGTTATCTGTTTTATTCATATTTGCTTATAATATCCGAAGGAGTGCGTACTAAACTGCTTCTTCCTGCTAGGTGCTAATATTTTTTTCGAATTTCTCCGGGTGATGATTCATTACAGGATTATTAACAATTAATTTGAAATCTCTCTTTACACCAACAACAGATTTAGTTAATCAATTAAAGGGATCTAGAATCATTGTGCTCTCCTTATATCTTTATAAGGTCTCGTAAACCATTATGTTACTAGTATAAGCCAATCGTATTTTTGGGTTTGATTAATGTATCTTAATCACTACATATGTAGAGAGTTGGGACACTAGAGTCAGCCCTTTGAATTTTGATGTCTTCGAATTTGAAATTGCCTTGTGATTCAATTTTTCCTGGATTATTGAAATTTACATGTACCTTTAAGTAGATATAATGCACTTTTAATAATCAACTTTGGTAAAGAGGTGGATTTCTAAATCATACTCACACATGCCTTATTCAGGTCAGTAAAACATGAATCCAGCACGTAACCACTGACATAAGGTTGTTTCTTTAACTAGATAGTAGTAGCTCCCAATGATCTCCCCCATAAAATAAATTAGTTTTATTAGAATCTTTTTTTGATATCTAAAATAATGCATGTAATATCATTCTATTCTAAATAACTATTTAAATAAGTTATGTTACCCAAAAGTAATCAAATCCCCTTGACTTTGACCACACCCTTGAAAATCAAAAGTGCAAAAATTGAGATTATATTGGGCAGCAACATGAGCATATTTCACTCCTTCTACTTGGCAGCCGTTAAAACCATGGCAATAAATTATACAGCAATCGCTTTAAGGGTTTATCTCAAAAAATGAGCACTTCAATTGGTGACCCTAACAATTTATTACACTAATTTCATGTTTGAGCAAGGTTCCATTTGCAAGAGAGAGTCTTTCAGGACCTTAAATATTCTTGATTCCTACCCATGTCAAACATTTGATATTCTAATCTAAGAGGTCTTAAAAATTTTCTACATTCTTATTCAAAATACATTGATATTAAATTAACTTATTTATTTTCATGTGATTTCTAATCCATATATAAGATATCAAACACAAAAAAGAATCATATACTAAGTATTCAAATCCAATTTAATTTTATTTCTTTTTAAGATCCACTAACTCACTTATAAATCTTTGACCGTTAATACATTTTTCTAATCTCCTTCTATATTCAACTGATTTTCATAGTTTAATTGATATATTAAGCTTAGATATTTTTATAAAATTACAAACATGCAATTCTTAAGATAACCATAAAGATATTATTAAGTCTCTGTTGATGTGGATAAATATTTATAATATGCATACTTATTTTACTTTATTTTTACTCAATATATATGAGTTTTTACATATTTTTAATCAAATTTATATTTTAGAATTGTTTCCGATTTAGCAGTTGAGAGTTATTACTAAATATGACAAGGAGAGCAAAAATATTTTAATAACCAGTATATTGCATTCAAGATATGGATGGCTCTTCGTTTGTTGATAGCAATTTCTAGGCCTTTTATGAAAATTATCAGTATCCCATCAAAGGGTATTTGTTAGTTTCCTTAATTGATTCAGATATTTTCAAAGGAATTACCAAAAGAAGTTAAGGATCATCAACTTTAGAATATTTCTGTATTGAGTAAATTATAAGGATTTGCAATCTGGAAATAGAAATTTCTTATTAAAAATAGGAATAATATATCAAAGTGGGTGTGATAATGATGATATTCATGGGAATATTTTAAAAGTATTCATCGAAATATAAAAAATTAATAATTAATGCACAATTACAACGTCGATCATAAATATAAGTTCCAGACCCGCATTGGTAATTGGTTTGAAGAATGGGAATTGGATGAAACAAAGTGATAATATGTGCATAAATTATATAGGAAGAAGGACTACTTAAAAAACAGATAAAATGGATAACTGGCAAGCATAGTGAAAGACACAAAGACAAATTTCAGTTTAAGATTAGCATCTCTATCATTTCCTTAAGACGATTATATCCATTTTGGGTTTCATTTGATGCTTTAAAATTTGAAGACTCTTGGGTTTTTGTCAATAGACATCTAAGAGAGATTGAAAATAGGAGAAGAGGCATACAATATTACCACTGCATAAAGCACACAACCTACAGTGAGATCAGTGTTTGTTATAATTCCCTATACTAAAGAACCAAATTACTATGGAGATGATGTATTACACTATGGATAACAATTCAGAATTGTGGCTAATCCTAGAATATCTAATAATAAAACATTCTATCTTCATTCACTTCCCTAAACGCCAACCAGATGTGCTAAGATATCTAGAAAGCAGGAAGTTTGTGCGATTGAGAGTGATGTATTCAATGCAGTTTGGAAATTGGAACATGCAGATCCAAAAATAAGATTTGAGATGGAAGGACAACCTGTTAGATCAGATGACACTGTGTTAATTAAACATTCTTTTACTTAGCATTGGTTAGCCAGTGATGACATAGTTTATTAAAATGATTTTGGAAGAGAGAGAGAAGTCTTTGTGCATTCTTATTAATGCTTAAACAAAACTTAAAACTTAATCGCTGAGAAGGAAGGGAGAACCACCATTGATATTCCATTGAGAAATCAGGAGTAAAAGAAAATGTTATTTTAATAGGCCATAAAACTTATGGAAATTTTAGGTTGCTAGAAATTAGAATGAGCAATTTGATGAATCTGTGATGGATGACAATAGAAATGTGAAGAATTTAATGATAAGAGTCAAATAACAAATTACAGGCAAAGGAGCTTATGGATTGAGAGGATTGGCTAAAATATTTTTGGAGATGGATTAGAATAATAGTTATATAATACGTTATATTTTTTTAGATGGAGTCGTAGAGTACAATGATTTCAAGTGGGGATTGAGGAATTTTGGATTGACTCTATCAGAGGATGAGACTAAAATGATCTTCCAAACATTTGATAAAAATGGCAATGGGAAAATTGAATTCAATGAGTTCTTGGATGCCTTTAGAGTATATCTAAAATCTAATTAGTTATAAATGAGTGATAAAAGACTGTATTATGTATAAAGAGCCTATGCATCGATTGAATAAAAGGCAGGCAAAGTCACATTAGAGACTATGGGTCGATTGATTAATGTAAAGGAACACCCAGATGTCTTGAAAGGATATAAGACTGAAAGACAAGTGTTCTAGGACTTTGTATCCCACTGGAATAAAACAAATCCTGATAGAGTGATTCCATTTTAAGAGTTTGGAGAGTTTTATTAAGTATGTCTCTTGCGTCTATTGTTTAGGATGTGTCATCTTCTGTGCAACAGGATGAAACTTTTGAGGCTATATTAAAGAAATCATGGAATTTATGATAATTATTAATTATACATAATGAGCATTCGATTATAAGACATGAGGTTATTTCTGCTGAAGGACAACTCATCAGTCAAAGTAGAATTGAAACAACAAGATGACATCCTCTTCAACCTTGTCACTAAAGCAGGTTTTAATACCAGAATAGCTTTTAGATAGATCACCGATTAACATTTTGGTTCCAGTAATCGAAGGCAATTAACCAATAACAATCAAAGTAAATGATTACACTGCTGAAATACTTCCAGACAATCTTGAAATGTAATCAACATATAAATTGCTACTTTAAAATGGGTAACTTACTTAAGAACCTATTCAACCGGGAGATGTCTTTGCATTGTCATTCAAAGTTCGAAATGGCAATGCAAACACTCAAGGAGTCACTGGCAATTCAGCTATGAATGGATCTACCCTATCTACTATATAGCTATCCCAATTGAGACACAAATTAGTTGAATAAGGTAAAGGAACTTCGATGTATTAATCTGCTTCTTCACTCAGACACAGCATACCTGAAGTCTCCTTTTCCAAAGCTCAGAGGTCAGTATTGTCATTATTTTAGATTTGATAAAAACTTAACTCTCAGAACTGAGTTCAATTACAGCATTCCTGATACCGTTGGATCTACAGGCAGATAAACAGGCTTCGGTTATGGCAACAAATTCATTTCTCCTTTATATGTCCAAAGGAATGCTGAATAAAATCCACCTCCTGATGCATATTTCAAAGAAGAAACAAAATAGCCCTCTAAATATAGAAAAACTAATTGGTCCTAAAGTGACAGATTCAAAATGTCACAGACTGTCCAAGTGCCTAGTCCTAATGCCTATGAAGTTACCTAGATGATTGGTTCAAATAAAGTAAATTTGAAAATGGATTATTAATTATAGCCCTCCTGTACCATCGGTGCTAGAATTAAGCCATTAGCAACCTTTTAAGAAAAAGTTCCTGCCTCTAACACCTACGAGGTCAAAACTTCGATCATTGAACCCTCTAGATTTAATAAGATTACACTTGGATACGGAAATAAGTCTGATTTCACCAAAAATGACAAAACTCCTGGACCTGGTACATATGAATAACCCTCAGTGTTTAAAAATATGTCTTCTTCTATTTTAAATAATGGAACTTTAAGAACAAATGTAATGAGGAAATGATATTAATTCTAATTTAACATTTCATTTATCAATTATTACAGACATCTACTTTAAATTTATTATTGATTTCTCAAATTTTTTCTGTGAGGGGCTAGAAAACTTAATTTTCACAAATTGACTTCATAATCTATTCTTTTATTATCANCTTGCGTCTATTGTTTAGGATGTGTCATCTTCTGTGCAACAGGATGAAACTTTTGAGGCTATATTAAAGAAATCATGGAATTTATGATAATTATTAATTATACATAATGAGCATTCGATTATAAGACATGAGGTTATTTCTGCTGAAGGACAACTCATCAGTCAAAGTAGAATTGAAACAACAAGATGACATCCTCTTCAACCTTGTCACTAAAGCAGGTTTTAATACCAGAATAGCTTTTAGATAGATCACCGATTAACATTTTGGTTCCAGTAATCGAAGGCAATTAACCAATAACAATCAAAGTAAATGATTACACTGCTGAAATACTTCCAGACAATCTTGAAATGTAATCAACATATAAATTGCTACTTTAAAATGGGTAACTTACTTAAGAACCTATTCAACCGGGAGATGTCTTTGCATTGTCATTCAAAGTTCGAAATGGCAATGCAAACACTCAAGGAGTCACTGGCAATTCAGCTATGAATGGATCTACCCTATCTACTATATAGCTATCCCAATTGAGACACAAATTAGTTGAATAAGGTAAAGGAACTTCGATGTATTAATCTGCTTCTTCACTCAGACACAGCATACCTGAAGTCTCCTTTTCCAAAGCTCAGAGGTCAGTATTGTCATTATTTTAGATTTGATAAAAACTTAACTCTCAGAACTGAGTTCAATTACAGCATTCCTGATACCGTTGGATCTACAGGCAGATAAACAGGCTTCGGTTATGGCAACAAATTCATTTCTCCTTTATATGTCCAAAGGAATGCTGAATAAAATCCACCTCCTGATGCATATTTCAAAGAAGAAACAAAATAGCCCTCTAAATATAGAAAAACTAATTGGTCCTAAAGTGACAGATTCAAAATGTCACAGACTGTCCAAGTGCCTAGTCCTAATGCCTATGAAGTTACCTAGATGATTGGTTCAAATAAAGTAAATTTGAAAATGGATTATTAATTATAGCCCTCCTGTACCATCGGTGCTAGAATTAAGCCATTAGCAACCTTTTAAGAAAAAGTTCCTGCCTCTAACACCTACGAGGTCAAAACTTCGATCATTGAACCCTCTAGATTTAATAAGATTACACTTGGATACGGAAATAAGTCTGATTTCACCAAAAATGACAAAACTCCTGGACCTGGTACATATGAATAACCCTCAGTGTTTAAAAATATGTCTTCTTCTATTTTAAATAATGGAACTTTAAGAACAAATGTAATGAGGAAATGATATTAATTCTAATTTAACATTTCATTTATCAATTATTACAGACATCTACTTTAAATTTATTATTGATTTCTCAAATTTTTTCTGTGAGGGGCTAGAAAACTTAATTTTCACAAATTGACTTCATAATCTATTCTTTTATTATCAAAATATTTGGAAGTACATAATTTGATTAAATATTATTCTATTGCATCTTTTACAACAATTTTATGTTTCAATATAATGATATTCTCCAATATTATAGTGGAATGGTTATTATAAATTTTTGATAGCTTAGAAATTTGATTGCACAAAATAAGCCATAGTTATTAATGAATTATATATCAAATACATATTTTATATCAAAGGATTTCATTGAGAGAGTGACTTTCGGATTTGTTTTAATTAAAGGATGTTTGAACTTGACAAAGGTATTTCCTTAACTTAATTAGATCACTTTTAAGACTGTATCATAATAATATAGGAATCCATGATAAAGTTATGCATGATTTTAAAGCATCCCTTCCTATTCAAAATATCATAGCAGATAGTGTATATATGATCGCTGGAAATACATCATTCTCTTGGTTGCATAGAACTTAATTGCCTATGTTTTTAAAATTTCATAAAAATCTCTTAGATTCTAAAATACTTCCTTAAGTCTTGCTGAATATATTAGTATCCTTTACAATTTTTACTTGCATTCATAGAATTTGGCCTGGGGCACTGATTCTTGAGTGTTAATATCCAGCCTATTAAAATGAATTTCTTGTGAATTGCTAGAGTTTTGAAAGCATCAATGAAGATTATACGAATTTATTCATCTGGGCTCCTTATAAATTATCACATTTCTCAAGTTCATCAGAAAATCATTGTTATGATCATTCACTTAAAAGTGATAATATAATCTAATTTCTTCATTTTTTGGTTCATTAACTTAGGAAAAGAGTTATGTAATATAAACTTTATTTATTTTTAGAAGATGTAAATAATTTTAATTTGATGAATTTGCCATAAACTTAATAGAAATCCAAAGGTTCTTGATAATTATCAAAAATAACATGATAGAAAAAAATTCATTTTAATAAAAAAATTATTATCATACATCTTCTTGTTCCTATTCTACCTCAAATTCATACGATTGGAAATAGAAGTACAAATCCTTCTTTCGAAATCTTTAACTTAGAAATATAGTGTAAATTTTAATAGAATTACTATTAATTGTAATATATAATAGTTTTAAGGCAAAAATGTTTTAGTATAATTAAAAATCTAATAGAAATTGTAAAGACTTTGTATGGAGGGGAGATAAGGAAAGATTTTCGAATAAAAATGTTTTTTGTTGCAGGATTTAATAGAATTTATGAATAAATTATTGAATTATAAAACTATTTTCAAAATTTACTAATGCAATTTTGATAAAGGGAAGCATAAACTAAATTTGTAATAAATTAATGATTTTATATCATTATTTAAAAGTAATTATAATCGAATTGCCAAAAATTAAAAGCCTTATAAATTTATTAGAATCCTTAACTAAAAGCAAGTCTAATATTGCAAAGAGATAGAATTCGTTAATCTATTACAAAGTACATAGATATTTTGTTGAAATTTGGAAGGTATATTAAATAAATTACAAAAAACATATTGATGGCATTCAATTATATTTCAAATGTATTGGAAGAGGAAGAATACCAGCATTAGGTATATTTAGGAGATTGATTACCATTACTTGAGTCAAATTTGAGTATATTTTTAAGCAGTATTGTTCATGATGGTCAAATAGTAATAACCAGCAATAATCCTTTTTCACAATAGAGATTTTGAGACAATCAGATTGTTAATTACTTATTATTGGAAGGGAGGATTGTTTAAAATGATAGAATTTATGAGGTACTAAGCTGCAAAAAATAAAATGATTGAATTTTAATTAAATCCAAATAAATGTCAATAAACTAATCTGAATAATATAAAAAATAGCCTTAATAGGACGAGAAAGCCAAAAAATTGTTTATGAAAATTACTCTTAATAGCCTACGCAAGTTTTTTAACATGAATCAACTTCCGTATCATCCTTTGATAACTTGTGTAAGTATTAAACCTGGATGTATCAATCGCTGTGCCTCCCTTTAATCATATCCTAATTAATCTGTATGGAAATCACTTGTAGAGTTGCCTAAAGAAATGCAACAAGAGGTTGTTGAGTTTCTAATCCAAGAGTTGAATGCAAAATAAATAAAATTCTCATCGAAATTTTTAATAGAAGGCTAGGAAAGGATAAGGAATAACTTTAACTTTTAGAGCTTCTACAAAGAGCCAGCTAAGTCTGAGATCCCATCAAATGATTAGTAATCAGATTTTTAGAAAGACGAAGACAATGAAATTAAGGATGATGGAACAAAGATAAAATAAAAGAAATGGTTCAAAGGTGAGGACTTTGTTAGTGAATCTAAGTAAATTGCCACATAGATGAAATTATGTAACCAACATCCTCCGTTAGTAGAGGTGAGTTCATTTCATTTTCATAAAATGAGAAGTCTTCTAGAAAAAATCAAAGAGTAATAATTCAAACAGTCAGAAGAAATGAAAATCTTTGTAGATGAACTTGAGAAGTTTATTTAGAATGACCCAAGAGCAGAGGAACACAAAAAAAAGAAGAAGATTAAAAAATCTAATGATAAAAAGGATCATCTACATGATGATGAAGAATTGATTTAAAGATAAAAAACACTTTAAAGTGAAGTTAAAGTCGAAGACAATGCAGCTTAGGTCTTCCTTGATCAATTCAAAGTCAGAGTTAAGTAAATTGAACCTGGTGTTGTTCTGTACCTTCCAATATACTCAACCATTAACCCTATATATCATGAATATTTCAAAAATCGAGAAGATAGCTATTACAAAAATTTATATTACTTGGTAAAAGTGGAGGAATTAACACTAAATTCTTCAAATATCATAAAACTCGCCAACCAATTCTTTCCAAATATGAATTCTTGGACTCCATGCAAGCAGGAATGCGACATTCCATAAAAATGAATATACAGATTTACAAAATATGAACTTATTTCTACAAAAAATATTTAATAGTTTTTAAAAGAATACTATTTTTAATTATTATTTATAATTTAATTATACTATCTTAATCGTAATTATCCTTAAATGACTATTACAGTAAATTATTATTACAAGTTTATTAATAGAAATTCTATAATTTTGCATATAAGGATAATTCTTACTATTCAGATACTATTAAGTAACTAAGAGCAAAAATTAATATGGTATATTAATTTAGATTTGAAACACACTAAATATGACAAGATCAATAATCTAAATCCCAATCTCAATCAAATTTTGAGTTAAGAAATATAAGCTAATTTGAATGCTAATAGAATTTTTAAAATTCGAAAATGATATTTTTAGTTACCTTTAATAAAATTAGAATTTTCTTCAGTTGTTATTAATTTAAATACTAATCTAAAATTTTGTAAATTATAGATGTTATAATGTAACATATTTGCATCAATTAGAGAGAATTATAATTCAAAAATCTTATAGCATTTTATAATTGATACTTCTAATAACCTATTTAAAGTTCAAAAATATTTATTCATTTAATTCAAAAAGTTTACTTGTCAGAATAAATATTTTTATTTAATTTCATCAAATTAATATAAGGACTATAAAAATATATATTCAGATTCAGTATTAAATTATATTTGATATCCTCATCACAATAAAAAGTGCTATAAAGATTATTGAATAGGTGGACTCATCAATTTTTGATTTTAAGAATTTAATTATGATTTAAATCACCAATAAATTTTGAGACTTCCATTTAATAAGTTTAAATGATGAATAAAATCACTGTAGATTAAAAACTATAAAGAGAGAGTAAAACTAATTTATCTTGAAATTTTAATTTATTATACAATTATAATCAAATTTGGAGCTACCTTAGATTAAAAATAATCATTTCTTTAATTAGAACTAGAAAGTATTATGGAGTAAATTTTGATTGATATTCATAATTACTGGATATTATTTTTAAGGTGGTTAATAATTAAAAAAATTATAGCCAAATTATAATTGTATATATATTTTAGGCGCACATATTATAACTAAAATAGTGCGGTTAATAAGAGAGGAAGAAATAATAAAATTATATGACTGATTTCTCATATATTTGTGATAGCATCTAACCCACAATCAAGAAGGTTAAACTTGACCTTTTTAACTCATTTGAAGATGAAACTATGTCTGCCATCATTAAAAAGGATGAGCCTTCTTTTATACCCTTTTTAAGTCTAAGATAAAAATTCGGTATACATCAAAAAGGTGGGTTTTATCCACTTCCAAAAAAATATGCATATCTTTTAGATTTATGCAAGAAAATAGAAATGAATTTTTTAAGAAATTAATGCTAAATTTAATTTTCTGTGTAGAACAATTTTACAGAAATTATCTAAGTCCTCCAGCTATTAAATTTGGATCCTAATTTATATAAAATGAAAGTGATTTCAGAAGGAATTGTAATTTAGCACCCCTTTTTAAATATTTCTAACAAGAATGATAACAAAAATATCATAAAATCTTAGTAAGAGTAAAAATAAATGTCTGAATCTATTGAGAAAAGAATAACATCCCTGAGAGGGATACTCGATTCGTAAGTTTAAATAAAACATAAAGAGCATTTGTCAATGATTAATTGTGAAGATTTTGAATAATTCGGATCTTAATTCAAAATCTATCATAATGACTTTGATTTGAATGATTCACCTGATATAAAGCCAATAAAATTGAAGTGGTAAATCTTCCCCAAAGAATTAATATAGTTTCATCTTGACTTCTTAAATTTCTTAATTGAACACTATGATAAACGAGGAGTTAGTTTCATGTATTATGAAAATATCGTTACAATACTTAGTGTTCATTTTAATAAAGTTAAAAGTGAAATAGAAAAGACACTTAAAAATATAATAACTTTGCTACCAGATAAGATGAATATTCTAATGGATCACATAAATAAACAAAGATGGTTGCTTTAGTTAGATCGAGCGTCTTTGTTGTAATTAAATAAGTAAATTATATTGAATTAATTTTTGTGTTATTGATATGTATATTAAAACACAGTGTATTATATCAAGGTCTCTTAATTATATAGTGAATAATCTGAAATTTAATAATTTGAATGCTAATTTAATAATGATCTTATGTAGATAAATAATATTATTATTTTAGATTCTGAATGGTATCATTTTCAATAATCTCTTATTATTGATTCATTCTCCATTCTCATTTAGCAAATAAAAATAGATAAAATTCTATTTTTGATTATACAGCAATTTTAGATAATAACAATATAAAACGGATTAATAATATAAAAAAATGAAATACGTAGCTATTCTTCTTTTGGTATTGGTATTGGCAAATGGAGCCAACGTAAGGAAACACAAGTAACATAAAGGAACTAAGCATACCTAAGATTTGGTTCAAATTGAGTAACAAATTGTTTTATTGCATTATAGATCTGAAAATGTTGGAGCGTCTTATGACTTAAGCAATAATGTTGGAGTTATATCTTCATCCGAAACTGTTGCCAATGCTTTAACAAATTAAGACAGAATTGAAAAGGCTGAGCAGAAAGAAAGAAATGCTATTCATAATGCTGTGAAAAAATCTCAAAAGTCTTTTGTTTAAGTGACAGACAATGAAAACTAAGTGTATGTGGAAGAAACCTTAGATTAAACTCCTTAGAAGGAAATTAATTTTGCAGACTTATTCACAAACGATGGTTCATCGCCTGATATGGGAAAACAATCTCTTATTGAAGATTCCCCATCTCCTCCTATGGCTCATATTCCTTAGGATGATAATTTTGATTATGTCAGAGCAATTGATAAACTGGATTTGTTAGATGAGAATGGTTAACCACTTTAATTGCTTCCAGAAGAATTATCACTTTTGGAAATGTCTCAATTCGAAAGCAGATTCTAATAGACTGAAACTCCACAGATGGAATAAGCACCCAGTTGGAACTTAGAAGCTGCTTATGAAAAGACTCCAGGTTAAAGTGAGCTGTCACCAGAAGAGTTACAAAGACAAACTGATCAAATGGTTGATAGCTTAAGAGGAGAGCTTGAAAATGAAGATATTTGAACAAGCAAATATAATAAATAAATATATATATAATGAAGAAGCATTTTAACTATGAAATTTCTTTTGAGTAGCTAAATGGTAGAATGCCTCCTACAAATACTCCGTGTGATAAATAACCCATCATTCATTTCGATTCTAATGTACATGTGTTTTGGCCGAGCGATCAAAAATTTTATACGGCATTAGAATTGAAAAATTTCGTCAAATAAGACTTCTTTAATCATCCATTGGTGTAGCATTTAAAACCACTGATACATCGGAAACCAATTCAAAAATAATACATGAAAAGACAGTATGAGGATCCATTAGTAGTAATGAATTTATTTTTACAATCTTAAGATGGAAAAGAAAAAAGAAATCCTTAAAAATCTGTCTTGGTTTGCTGGTCTCAAAAATAACTCTAATGAATTTGCTAAGACTCTTAAATTTAGACTAAATCAATTATCACAATAAAATTACAATTAGATCAGCAAAATTATTATTGAACTACTCACTCAAAAATAGTAAATAAGTCATTATACATATTTAGAAAGGATGATGTTATCACATTCATTGAAGAATTAATCAATATTGCTGCAAATTAAAATAAATTTCGTCATTTGTATAGTTAATTGATGAAAGAAATAATTAAACATACAAATTCCTATTAATTTTTGGATAGCTATTTAAATAGCTTCATTTATTATTAAGAAAATTACGAGGAATTTCAAAATTCATATAACAAAGATGATGAAATTGTTGTATTGACTAAAAGGAAATAACATTTTATTGGAAGTAAAGTGTTCTATAATTTTAGAATATAAATTTATTGTTCATCTTTATAAAGATAGAGTCATCAAAATATAGTACATCAATAATTCCATTCTCTAATTACAAAATAGACTCATCTATCTATTAGAGAATAAAAATTTATAAGCATTCTTTACAGATGAAATTGTTGAGTCTCTTCTTGATATTATTTCAGCAAGTATCCATAATTAAAATTCTAGTGAAGAATGATCTTTTTATTAAACAATATAGAGAGGATACTTAATTAGAGCAGGATTTCATTTCCTTTTTAAAATAAAAGGAATGTACTCAATGGAATAAAGATTAATTTTGTTTTTCTCCCAAAGGAATTAGAATGCTGTAAATTAATTCAAAATATTCTAGTTTATGTTGGATTGAGAAGCGAGTTGCATCATAAAGGTTAAAGCTATTGATCGCTAATCTTTTGGAGAAACTAGATAATAATTGGAAAAATAAAAAACAAAATTCTAAAAAGAAATTAGATACATCCGAATCCAGTGATTCTGATATTGAGGAATTGCCATTAAAATAAAAACCATCAATTAAATTGAATGTTCAAAATTTAGATTTAATACATGAAGAAGAAAATGACTTTTCAGTTTAAAAATAACCTACAATCAAATAGATCCATTCGAATTTAGAAAGAATATTTCTAATCAAATAGACTCAAGATTACTATGCGGAGATATTAAAGCTATACTCCTAAATAAAATAATCAGAATTAATAGTATCATTTTGGAATTGCTTATTAAAATTAATAACTAGGATAACGGCTGATAATTCTTAAAAAGTTGAGTTTGCCTTCAAAATATATTCAATAACCAACGAGGATTTCATTAAGGAACTAATCTTAGAGCAAATTTAAATTAGATTATCTGAAGTGATCTACGATGTAATTGACTCTAAATTTGGAGTCAATTTTATGACTAACCTGCTTAAACCATTTATTGAATAAGACATCAAATAACTTCAACTCTTTTCGCAAATAGAAATTAATGAAGAAACTCAAAGCTTTTTTGTTATAATAGTGCCAAAGTTAGTTTGTGCTCAAAATGTATTAAATAATTAATTATACTAGATACAAACTGTTGAAAATATAGAATACTTGTAGAATTTTCTCATTGCTAATTTATTACTTAATAAAGACCAATATGGTAAGGTTATGGATAACATAAAATGATAGATATTTTGATAATTAATATTTCTGAGACATTAAAAATTTCTATAAATCATTCTGAATTTATTTAATCATCTATTTGTGATTTATTCTACGTTTAAGCAATCAATTGATTTGTTTCATTTAAAATGAATCCCCAATATGAAGACTCTATTTTGATACTATCTAATTCCATCTATTATAAAATCTCCATAATTTCTTTAAATTAAGTATTCTTTTCATTTTCATATCTGGCTCTTTCTTTCAGTGCAAGGATTTTGTTTATCAGAATAATCAAATCTTATAATAATTTGATTTCTTTAACATTTTCACTTATTTCCTATTCAACCTATTTTTTAGCATCCTCAGGCGACTTCTATTTAATCATATTTTTGAATGAGACTTTGCCCTAGTTCAATTTATCTAATTCCTTCTCCAATTCAATAATTTTAATCTCTAACCCCTTAACTTTATTTTCCAAATTAATTCTGTCACTAATTTACCTTAATACAATCTTCATATTAAATTAGATAATTACTTTGCAATCCTTAGATTCTAATCTTATCAGATCTAACAATATTTCAATATTATTGAGTTTGAAAACCTAATTCTCTTGGTAAGTTTCAGTTAATTCTTACTTAATTCTGTTGAAGATTAGCAAGGAGGCATCTTTATTGACAAATTGAGTAACAAATGAGTTTTCAAAATTAATTAGTCTTGTTTTTATTATTTCTTCTAAACAGCTGTTGTATTTCTTGCCTGATTCTACACTATCCTTAATCATCTTTTTTATGCTTTTTAATTTTATACTATAATTTCTGACTTAATCTGCAAAATTGTCAATCTCTTTAAGAGTGCTTGCATCGATGGCTGTCTTTGTATTAAATGAGATTAATATACATCTAGAATATCAGCAAATGTTGTTTAATATTTTTAAAGAAGATCCTGGGTAGATTAGGATTTGATTGATTCTAATTTAGTATAGATCTTTTCATCTTTGGATCTTAAAAACATTTGGGAGACTGCTTCTGTTTGGAACAGATGAGGCAATAGACTTAGCTTTTGACAGAAAGCATTCAAGAATTTTTTTCTATCATGAATGGTCTTTGGATCGTTTCCATTAAAAAGCTTTTTGCCAGGTAAACTTGGGACGTAGCATCCAGGCCATTGTTGAGCTAGAAGATTTCTTAGAGCCACGAAATCTTTGAATCTACGATGGACTTCGAAGTTTCCATCTTTGTCAGAGCCTTTGATGGTATAATGAGTCTGCTTTGAGAATAGTGATTGGGATGTAGTTTGAGACTCGACTACGTCAATCACATTTTAAATCATTTATTATATAAATTATATATTTAACTAACAAATATGAAATAGAAGGTTTCATAGATATCTCCAGATAAATTATATGCTAGTTTATTGAAAAGGAAGAACGAGTAAGAATAATAGGCTCGTTTGAAATCTCCAATAGTGACTGCCAATAAGTATGGATGTGATTGTCATACAAATTAGATATTTAGTTTCCAGTAACAGAAACAGTGGGGGAACTTCAAAAATAGAAGCAAAGAAGGCAAGACCTGCGAGTGGAAAGGATTTGAAGGATGTGAGCAAGGTTTTGTTGAAGAAGACACATGCACGTTAAAATAGCAAATTAGTTGAAACGAAGGAGAATTCTTAGAATCTATCAACAAGTGCTCTTTCATTGTTACTCAAAATCAAATAAGACAAGCATGAAAACAAACAATCTCAAATCTAATAGCCAAAAGATCTGTATAACCAAGAAACAATTCAAAAAAAGTATTAAAAATTAATGGAAATGACTAAATAATAACAATAGTTGATACTCAAGCCTAAATTATTTAAGGGGCCACGCTCCATAAGTAATCCTGATATTTCCACTATGCAATTATAAATAGTGAAAGCAAACGGTTAAAGTGCTGCAGGTATGCTCTACAATGGGTAAACCAAAACCAATTAAGACATCTACAAATTAATTTAAAAGTTTTGTCGTAGAGAGAATGATTGGTATATCCAAGTTTCTGATGGACATGGCACAAATGGACATTAAGTGGCCTAATTTTTATAGGAAGTACTTCCTCAATTTGTAGAACAAGGAGTAGTTCATATGACATCCTGTTATGAGAGAGACAAGTACATATTTGTAGTGAATTTAGATAAATCAATTAAGTGCTCAAGAATTGCTTTTTGTAGACAAGTGACGAATTGATGGATAGTGGAATTGATATAACATACTCTGGGGCAACAACTGTTGTAGTGTTGTCTTTTGATAATGTGCTGTATTGTGCAAATATTGGCGATAGTCGAGCAATCATAGGGAGATTCGATAATAAATTATCTGTTATAGAGTTATCGAAAGATCATAAGCCAGATTGCTTTTTGGAATAGGCTCGAATTCTTTAAAGGGGAGGGAGAGTTCAGGCTTATAGCGATGAGGATGGGAATCCAATTGGACCAGCAAGAGTGTGGAAATTGGATGAGGATGTGCCTGGATTGGCAATGTCAAGGAGTTTTGGGGATTATATAGCGAGTTAAGTTGGAGTAATATGCGAGCCTGAGATTATTAAGCATTCTCTGTTGCCATGCGACAAATTTATTGTTGTTGCTTCAGATGGAATTTGGGAGTATCATATTATGGTTATGACTTAGATTTTTATCAAATGAATAGGTTGTTGAGATTGTTTATGAATATTACAAAAGAGATGACAGTTAAGGGGCTTGCTAGAAGTTGGTTTAGTTAGCAAGGGAAGCTTGGCAAAGAGAGGACGAAGTCATAGACGATATCACAATAGTGATTGCCTTCATTAAATGATCTTTATTTTCTCATTAATAAACTGAATTAGCACGGGAATATTAATATTTTATAAATGGATTATGATTCTCTTTATTTACTATTGCCAAAGGAACCTAAGAAATGGCAAGTGTCTGATGTTGTTATTTGGCTCTAATTCATTGGACTGGGTTAGATGGAGGACAAGTTTGGTATTTAGTTTCCTTAATACTAATTGTAGTGAATTGTTCAATTGATGGCTCGATTCTGGAAGAGATAACAGAGAATGACTTGGATGAAGAATTGGGAATCAACTCTAAATTGATCAAAAAAAAGTTAATGAATTGTAATCATAATCTAATCCATAGGGATCACAACAGGATTGAAGGAATTTAGCATATACATCTGTTAAATGAAACTCAATACCATCAAGAAATCACCCAATGAGGATTTCACTCTCCAAAAGAATGTTAATGCTTGTTAAGACAAATAATGCTAATCAATTATCAATCAATACGACGAGTTACATGGTTCTTAGAACAAAATGAACAATTAGGTTGAAAATTAACTCATCCTATAACCTTTAGAAAGTTAACAAAACAACTTTTATTGTATCAAATAGGCTGGAGCCAATATTGGAAGACATTCCAGCAATCACATCCTCATATTAGAAGAAAATATTAGTAGATTTCATGCTGAAGTTACATATTAGGATTCTAAGGTATCACTCCATTCTATCATTCACAGTTTTACATCAAAGATATAGGAAGCACGACAGGAACATACATTAAAATTTAAAAAAGAATGAACCTCTTCCAAGATATGCTAATCGAACTAGGCAGTAATCTGTTCTAAGTTACTCAATTGCAGGAAGTCTCTAATGGCATTCAACTTGAACTCCTTGTTATGGAAGGACCAAATTGTGATGAGCAAATTAGTTTTCATCTCAATCAAGAGAAAAACTCTGTCACTTTCGGCAGGAAGACCAATGCAGATATAGCATTTCCTGAAGATCATCATCTATCTAATTTACATGCTAAATTTTATTTAGTAGACAAGGATGTAACTATTGAAGATCATTCCTCAACCAATGGGTATAGTATATGTTATTAATTGTATCTAGCACTTGGTTAAGATTATCTGCAGATGGACAACCAAGTTCTATTTATCCACTTACCTCAGAAGATGAAATGACTATCATCAGGATTGGCACAGTTAATTAATACCTATGTCAATTAGATAAATTCAGTATAAACTATAATGAATACAATTTTTGTACATTGTGTCATGAAAATGAACGAGATGCATTGTGTCTTCCTTGTAAGCACAATTCTACTTGCTTCAAATGTAGTAAAAATTTGTAACTATGTCCAATTTGCAAAATGAAGATCTCATAGCAAATTAGAATTTACAAAAATTGATTAAATATATAATTGTTAATATTCATAGTTTAGCTTCTTTTTAAATCCCCACTCTTCTAGGATTTACAGATGAGCAGTTTTATTAAAATTCATATAGTTCTATATCCTCCTTTTTTTGAATAATTATCGAAAATAAGCATAAGATACACTAAATTTCATCTATCTTTAAATCATCTTGTTTTGATTAAAGTTGTATGGTCCATTCGAATTAATTATCCTTTCATATCTAAAATTGCCTCAGAGGTATTCTGTAGGAGTAAGAATCTTATTTGAGAAATAATAAAGTCTATAACATCTAATCCTTACTTGATATTCCGATTGATCATTATAATTATCATTATTATTATTATCATGATTAAATAAATATAATTAATCTTCATCATAGAGATATTATAAAAGTCAATTCAAATAATAAAGATTTAATATAAAGTATTTAGAATCACAAAATATTATTATAATTTTATGATTAAAAATGAAATTATTCTAAATTTTCATTAAGTTTAGTTAGAAAATAATTGTATTTTTAAAATAGAATAATAGAATTGTACAACATTAATAACATAATATATCAATTTTATTTATTATTATTTTCTCCTCCTTCTTAGTTTTATTATTATTGTTAGTCTCCAGTTTATTCATGAGATTGCTATTATTATTATTCACTAGCTCCTCCAGTATTACGATACCTATAATGTTAATTAAAATATAATACATGGCTTATCCGATCTTCATGGCTGCATTTTTAACACCCTCAACTGCATCCTTAAGTCTTTGGACATCATTTGAAGTAAGATTTTCAGTTAATAGAACTCTTAAATTTTAGACTGCACTTTCAATTTCTTAAACCTCATTTGGTTATAATTTGCTCTTGTGTTCATTGAGTGATTTTTCAGTATTGAAAATAGCACCATCAGCTTCATTCTTTAGATCAACAAGTTCTCTTCTCTTTTTATCTTCATCCTTATATTTTTCAGCTTTATTAATCATATCTTGGATTTCTGATTCGCTTAAACCACCTGATGATTAAATAGTGATTGAGTGATCTTTTCCAGTAGCCTTATCTTTGGCAGACACATGTACAATACCATTGGCATCAATGTCAAAAGTAACATCAATTTAAGGAACTCCCCTTGGAGCAGGTGGGATACCAGACAAATCGAATTATCCCAATAATTTGTTATCAGCAGCCATTTCTCTTTCACCTTAGAACACTCTGATAGATACAACAGTTTGGTTGTCACTTGCAGTTGAATAAGTTTGGCTCTTTTTAGTAGGAATAGTAGTGTTTCTGGGGATCATTTTGGTGAATACTCCTCCGAGAGTTTCAATACCTAAAGAGAGTGGAGTGACATCCAATAATAATAATTCTTTGACATCACCTTTCAAGACACCACCTTGAATGGCAGCTCCAATAGAGACTGCTTCATCTGGATTGACTGATTTATTGGGTGTTTTATTAAAGAGATCTTAAACTAGTTTTTAAACTTTTGGCATTCTAGACATACCTCCAACTAAAATAACTTCATCAATTTTGCTTTTATCCAAACCTGAATCTTTGATACAATTTTCAGTTGGTTTAATAGTTTTTTTGAGAAAATCTTCAGTCAGAGATTCAAGTTTGGCTCTGGTGAGTTTGAGATTGCAATGCTTGGGACCTGAAGCATCAGCAGTTAAATAAGGTAAGTTGATATCAGTTTGAGTGGTGGAGGACAATTCAATTTTAGCTTTTTCAGCAGCTTCTCTGACTCTTTGAACTGCCATTTTGTCTTTGGAAATGTCAACACCAGCTTGTGCTTTGAATTCTGAACTAATCCAATTAGAAAGTATTGAATCAACATCTTCACCTCCACAACTTGTATCACCATTGGTAGCTTTGACTTCAAAAACACCTGCATTGATTTCCAATATTGAAATATCGAATGTACCACCTCCCAAATCATAAACTGCAATAATCTTATTGTCCTTCTTTTCTAAACCAAATGCCAAAGCTGCAGCTGTTGGTTCATTGATGATTCTGAGCACATCTAAGCCAGCGATTTTACCAGCATCTTTAGTTGCTTGTCTTTGTGAATCATTGAAATAGGCTGGCACTGTTACGACTGCCTTTGATTAAGGTTTTCCAATGTAAGCATCTGCAGTTTCCTTCATTTTCATTAAGACAAATGCTCCAATTTATGAAGGAGAATAGGTTTGACCACCTTGAGAAATATATTTAGATATTACTCTTCAAACTAACCCAAGCATCTCCATTTTAGGCTCTGACAACAGAGTAACTCAAATGTTTAATATCTTTTTGAACATTCGGATCATCAAATCTTCTACCAATCAATCTTTTTGTGGCATATACTGTATTTTCTGGATTGGTCACAGCTTGTCTTTTTGCTGGTGCTCCAACTATTCTTTGTCCATCAGCAGTAAAGGCAACCACTGAGGGAGTAGTACGCATACCTTCTGCATTTTCAATGACTTTTGGTGTTCCAGCTAATTAAGAATTAGAATCATAGATACCTTCCATTATGGATACACATGAGTTAGTTGTTCCCAAATCTATACCAATGACATATTCTCCCTTCATTACCTTGCTACTGAATGCATTCACAGTGTGTTAGTTCACTTTTAATGATGATTTGAATAACTTGCTGAGCATTTAATTACCTCAAATTAATTTTTATTTCTAAATCAAACACATAACTATGTCTTTTATACTACAATTAAAAATTATTTCTAGAAATATCTCAATGAATTATTATTAATATTGTTTATATATTCAATCAGACTTTAATTTTGCTGAAGTCAACGCTCTTGACTAAACTGAATGCTTCCTCAGTCACTTGAATATCTCTGATTAATTTGTTCTTTAAGTCAGTGTAAATTTATGTGTCATCGGCATATTGTTCGTTCTCCAAATCAAGTAAGGCCTAAGCAGTGTTTCTGTCAGATTGTCTTTGGGCTTGGAATGATAAAAATTGTTCAATCTTTTCTATTTTCATTTTATTGACAATTACCTTAAGTAGCATTCAAATCAATGGTAATTTTAGTAATTTATCTTTGGAATTCAGCATATTCAGCATCCAATTATTCAATTCTGTCTTCATAGTCTTGAACGTCTTAAGCTTCTTAAGCAGTAGCAGCATTGATGGCATCAACAACTGCATTTCTGAATTCATTCAATTTGTCAACGATTTATTTGATGATTCCTTAGTCTGAGAAGTTTTATTCTGAAGCCAATGTGATCAAAGCTTTGATTAAAGTTTGGTGTTATGAATGTGGTTGGATTCTGGCTTCGATCTTTCTCAAATTGCTTTAGAACTTTTGAATCTAAACCAAAGATGGGTTGGTCAATGTGCTCAACAAGTTCAAGGCATCATCAGTGGCACCAACTGCATCGTTGAATTCAGCGATTTAAGCTTCGAATGCTTCATGTTCTTATTCTCTGATCAATGTTTCTTCATCGACATTCTTTCTGTTGAATTCTTAGTAATCAATCAATTATTAGATCTTGCTCTTGAGTTATTCTCTTCTTGGATAAAGTAAATTCTCCAATGTATCAGCACTTCTTTAGATGTCTTAATTTAATTTTAAATCACATACCAATATCAGCATCTTAAACTTCTTAAGTATATTACAATGATAATGAGTTGTGTTCATTAGTTCTAACTCCATAATTGTATTCGACTTCATCCAATTCATCTTACATTTATTAAATCATTTCTTCAATTGCTCCTACTAAGTCTTATAAAACTCCTCCTGTGTGAGCATGTAATTCAGCCAATTGTAAAATGGTTTGTCCCCAATTAGTTTTCATCAAGGCATCAACGTGCTTTTAGGCCTATCTATTCAGGTCTGTTGAGACTGCATTGAGTGAAACAGCTAAAATAAGCAATATGGCAATCTTCATTAATTTAATTATTGCTACACACATCCATCAATCAATCAACTTAATCACTTTAAATCAACTATCCGTTTTCATTTAGAAACGATTATTTATTATATACCTTATGTATATTATTAATATTCAATTCAATCTTCTCTCAATAATAATTGATAGTAACTAACCATTCTCTGCATCTCTATGAAATGTGAACTTACTCTTGACTTGTTTTCCTATGCATTTTTAATAATTTTGTAACTTTCATTAATTAATCCTCATAAACACCTAATAATTAACCTTGCAGTTAAAGGTAATCTGTCAATGTTAAAGTAACTTATAGTAGATTAGTATCTGGACATAAATCTATGGAAGAAGTATTTGAAAAAAGTTAGAAAATATAAAGATATGTATATTAAAATCACAATTAGAGATATAAATATCTAAACATTGACATTATCTTTTACGGATGTTTTCATAATTAAGTGAATAAGATAAATGTTTATATTTTATCCTTATGTAAATTACCTTTTGTTAACGCTTTATAATAAGCAGACTTTGATTATTGTAAACTGATCACAGATTTAAGTAAATAAATGCTTTTTCAGAAAGAATAAAATATCTTAATTTATATTAAATTAATGTGATTACTGGAGAGTATGGTGGTTAATAAATAATATTTAATTCATGATATCTTCTGCTTCAGGGAATTTAATATGATTACTATAAATTTAAGGGATGAGTTTCATCTCCATTGCGTTCATATTGTTCATTTGAAGGATGGGAACTGAACTCTGAATAAATTGCTAGTTATTTTTTTTCATTTTGTAATAAATCTTTTCTTATATTTTTATAATTAAACTTCTTTCTATCGCTTAATTTATCAAAATCATCTTATACTAAAATTGTTGGTCTGATGGACATAAATCTAATATACTCTTGATTATTATTTACCTTATAAATGAGGTTATAACTGTTAATAATGAGATGGCTATTCTTAGATATGTTAGGAATTCCAAATCACCTTCTTGTTTCCAAGCTTGATTCACAGTAAAATATGTCTGTATCACTATTTGAGGCAAATCTTCAAAAATAAACTAAAAGAAGTAACCCTAAGTTATTATTAATGTAGAAATTGTACTTTAACTAGGTTGCTCATTGATTTTCCTGCTTAATTTGGTAGGATAGCTCTTGTTAATTTATTATTGGGAATAACTGACACATTGTAAGGAGCAATGGAATCTAATAAATTAGATAGAGCGGAGTTTCTTCCTAGGAATCCTATTGAGTAAAACTCGTTAATGAATTGGGATGATAATTATTGGATTTATTTATTAGATTAGAAAAGTCCTTTAGTGATTAAGTAGAGAAAATAAATAAAATTAATTCCTTATGTAAATCCAGTGATGATGCAAGTCAAATAAAATAATTCATTGTAGTTGCAATTCTATAGTACTAAAATGAAGGTTACATCACCAAAGAGATCAAACTTAAATAATTATGACATTGAAAATTGAATGATTCTATTAATTTAAGTAACAAATTTGGATTTACCCACCCTATTGATTTTTGATAAAAACGATTTATAAGACTTTTCTATCTTTTGTCTGTATCTGTATTTGAATTATGAGTTACCCAACTTGTCATCCGTCAGATTGGCTCTATTGCTTTCAAGAGTAATATTGGATTGTTTGTATTGGGTGATTTTGATTTCTGACTCATTAAATTGTAGAGCATGTTCCATCTGCGTTATGTATTCAGGTATGATTTCACAGATAGAAAAATAAAGATACCCTTCTATCAAAGCTGAGATAACGGCAAATGCTGCATAATAATAATATTGCTGGTAACTTGTAGTTACTTGGCATTGCTATTCGTTTTCTTTGGTTGCGAATTCAATCAGGAAAAAAGGAGCTACAATGGCTGCACCAAAGAAGAGAAAGTTAGTAAATACTAAAAGCAATAAATTTAATTTCTGTTTTGACAGATATTGATTTAATGCAACCACTTAATCATCAAATACATATTTTTGAGTCGGCTTTACGAATATATCATAGAAGTTATATTGAATCATTCTATAAAGGTTTGACCAAGAACTGCCTTCAACTTTTCTATAAGCTGTTTCTCTTAATCCATATCCTATGCCAATATTTAAGAAATTATCGAATTTGTAATCAATAACTGAATATTGAAAGTAATACGTATCATACAAGATCGAATATAACCCTTTTATAGCTTAAATGCTTAATGTGCCTTGTATTCTAACATTAGATGGTGGGATCAATCTACAGAGTGATATCACATCTCTCTCAGTGTAACCTTTTTAGAGCATCTTCTCAACCAAATCATCATTCAAAGTGTATTCCATTAAAATCTAATCTACATTGCATTTGTAGTATTTAACATTCTCCCAAATCTATAATACATCAAATTGATTTAATTCCTCTAAGGATTATGACTCTGCTTTAATTAAATTGATGTTCTTTATTTTATTTATGGATTTGCTTAAAAAGATGTAAGCCTCTCTTTAAAACAGCATAAAATAAGGAAATGGTTTGGCTGGTTTCTCGGTTGTGTATCTAAATAAATTAGAGAAGCTATTCAGTGTTGCTAAATTTAAAGTGAGTTCGATTGAATTTTAGTCTGCACCTAAGAGATGATTTATTATTTTTAAGTAATGCTCTATAAAATTCAAATGAAATTTTGAGAATTTGAAACATTCACAAAAGTCTAAGCGATTTGGGATTATCAATTCATTCCTATTATAAATTAATTAATTCAAAATTTCCACTTGATCTCCCAAGTGAATTGGGATCTCATCAAAAATACCTAATCTGCATCCCTTATAATCAATTTTTATAGGTAAATCATCAGGAGGTTTATATTAACTAGGCATTGGTGAAATGTATTCAGCTATTTAATCCTTTAATGTTACATTATAACATAAGAATGTATGCAAAGGCAGTTTCTTATTTTTTTATAATTAGGCTCTTCTTTATGCTGCCAATAAAATTTTATTTAATTTTTCATCTGTATCTAATTAGGTACTAGTCAAATTCAATTCGATTAGATTGACCTTTGGATGGAAGATAAAATTATTAAATATATTCTCCCATCCAATCTCTGTTAAAAAGTTATTTTTTGAGAAGTTCAATCTTTTCAAGGGAAAACGATATTGTTGTGCTTTTGAATTCAAAAATTTCTATGCATTATGTCCAATATGAGTGGCTATTGAATCATTCAATGCCATCATATGTAGATTCAATATTTCTAAATAAGGTGTTTTATCAGTGAAAACAAAGGTTCTTAGAAACTTCTACCATACTGCCTTATCTTAGAATAGTTCATTTTTTCCTATATCCAAATATCGAATCGGGAATATCTTACCAAATTGTCTTTGGTTCCTCTTCTAAAAATGCAACCAATCTGTCGCATGTTTAATCATATCAATTACGATTTTATCATCCAACTCTATTGCTTGTAATTCGATTCTTTCAATATTGACATATTCGAAATATATGAGATTATTGAACAGTATGTCCATCCCTTCTTGGCCTATGTGAAAGGAAAACAAAAGACATATTCTTTTGATGCTCATATAGAAAGATTTTTATCTACTAGAGTAACTGATTCTGTCCCTTAACTTTTCGGCAGGACTGACTATTGCTTTTACTGCAGGGACTCTCAAATCACAGTTCATTAAAACCAGTTCTTCCAATATGCTATCTTCACTGTATATCATCTTTGATGAAATTAAAGTTAGAGCATCATTATCCAATTGAATATTTGAATTGTAGTTGATTCCCATGTCTAACTTTAAGTACCTGATTTTAAATATGGAATAACTTAATTGCAAATTGGCAAAACTTTGAGGATCTCTTAAAACTAAATTAGTGAATCCAAACATCTCATTAAAAATTAAATTGTAATATAAAAAGTAGGTGTCTTCATGTTCAATTATGTTGAGATCAATCACACTCCCTTAAATAGGCTACTTGTAGATTTATTGCAATAAGTTATTGGTGTCATTTTATTTTAAATAAATCACCTTTTATATTTTCAAGAGAGTCAAGGTTTCTACAGATTTAAAAATAAAATGAAAAAAGTCCATGTCAACACTTAATTATCCATTGATAATAAGACTTTCAAGTTTTAACTTCTCAGCCTTGCATACCTCGTAGATATGCTGAAATATGCTGTCTGCTATTTAAGTTGTGATTTCTAACTTCTTTAAATTTGACAATTAACAAAATAACAAGGAGAAAATCTTATGAATAGTTGACATATGGTTTCTACCCTTATCCTCAATTGACAGTTTTATTTTTTCAATTTTACAATCGTTTGCTTAATTCAGATCGAATTGCTTTATTTGGTCAAATATTACTCCTTTGGGAATGGTTATCTTCTTAATTGGAAATACCTTCCCAACAATCAGTTATTCAATGAACTTTTGAGTTTATGATTCGTTTAATTTATCTTCGCAATTCTCAAAGGACACCTACTCTAGAACATAATTGGTTCTGCATTCACTTAAATTAAGAAAAATCTATAAAAATTATTCTCTAAAACCATGAATAGATAGTTTCTTCAAATTAACTTAATGATTAAATAGAAACAGCTTAAAGAATTATTCAATACTTATTCTACTTTACGTTGTTACTTAGTGTATATGTATTTACTCGATATTGATAAATTGCTACTTCTATGTACTGGTCAAAGATAATTCCAAATATTTCTAAGAGAACTCGATGCTATTGTTACAACATAGCATAAATAGATCTAGATCTACATTGGAGAGTTTTAGTTTTTTCAATTAACTTTCAGGATAGATGATAAATCCAGTAATGATCCTTTAATATATGCTTCTTTTGAATTCTAATTATTGGAAATTGGACTCATTATTCTAATTCTTAAATTGGTTAATCAATCCTAAATCAATCTCTAATTTCTTGAGTTATTTTGGGAAGTTGGGTTTAAAAATTTTATGATTGTAGTACAATTTTTATTTTAAATTCAGAAGTGTTTAATCAACAAACAATAAATTTTCATTGATTAAGACATTGACTTCATCTTTTCGAAGTGAATCTTGGGCTACTAATTCATATTGCATAGTCTAATTCTGATTCAAAATAGTATTAAATAACTATAAAAGATAATAATAAAAATACATTTATCCATTACAATTCTTTGATTTTATCATTTTGAGAAAAATTAATATGTCTCAAGGAAAAAATTCTTTTATATTAGAATATTTTGCTTGTGATTTGTTGTAATTATTTGCAAATAATAATAATCATATCATCATTTAAATTACAATTGATCAAATTTAAAGTGTCAAGTTATTATCTTTCAATATTCAAAATTAAATAATTGACCATCCATTCAAATAAATTCATATCTGTTAATTCACAATTCTTCAATGTGAACTGCTTTAAAGCAAACTAATTTATTTCATCAATATAATTTTCTTTAACTTTGAGCATAGCTGTTTAAACATTTTTGCATTTATAAATCTCTAATTTTTCTATTTTGGCAATGGGAAAGAAATAGGATAAAAAATCACTGTTTAAATTACATTCAATAAATTTTAATTCTGTAATTGGTAAAAGGAAATCATCCTTCTACTATGAGGATTTAGCTTATGAAATATATTAAGCGGCTGATTAAGTCATACCTAAATTGAAATTTAGATCAACATTAATTGAGTTATATGTTAGTGAAACCAACTTTTTGTTTTGAAATATAAATATTTTAGAAAGCTAATTCCACAATTCTTTCTATTATACATAGATATCCTCGAATTCTAAAATTTGCAGTTCTTCTAAGGGATTCATGTTCTTTGGTATTATTGATGCTTGTAGACTTTGAATCAATTGATTAAAGTCGATATTCTTTAAAATCAATTCTTTCAACCTAATGAGCTTACTGAAGACTATGTATTTAAAGAACTCTTCTTCTCCTGCTTCTTAGAAATCGCCAAATTTCAAACTTCTTAATCCGATGATTCTATTTGGATCAACAGAATTTTGGAGGTGTAACTCCAATTCTCTGGCTGATAAACTGGATTTGGTGAGTTTGATCTTATAAAAATAAAATTCTTTGATTTAGAGTTTAGGACAATAAATTAGGAGCTTTATCAATTTACTTACGTCGAAAGATATTCCAGTTATAGTATCTAATTTTAAGATTTATAAACTATGGACAAAGGATTCGGGCTAAGAATAAAGAAATCCTCCAAGTTCATTTAAATATATATTGCCATCACCCTATATGAATGTTTTTAAAGTAATACTTTCATGGAGTCTTTAAAATATTTAAAAACCCTCAATTTTATATTTGGAATTAGTAACAAACATTTAAATGTTTACAAATCTAATTCCAATTAAGCCGAAAAAAACTTCAATTTATTTATCGAAAATTATAAATTTGGATTCTTATGGACAGCTTCCAATATATAAGCTGCAGCTAACTTGAAGGCTTCTTTCCGATTTTTCTTAGTAAAACTTTTAATAAATTTAAAACTCTCAATTTAAAGAAGTGACTTCTCTTTTGTGAAAAGGTAATCCAAAAAGAATTGTTTCAAAACATCGATCTTCATAGTGTATTCTTGTTCTGTGTCTATTAAAACTAGATGTTTTAAATTCAATTTGAAATCTTTATATTTAGGAATTTTGGATTTTCTCACAACGAAGTCAGATTTAAATTAATTCAAAGCTTTACAATAAATTTCAGTTCTTCCAACATCCAAATTTTATATTGCTAAATAAAATGAATTTTTTACTGTGTGTCCTAACATTACTGTATTCAGAAAAAACCACTGTTTTCAATAATGCCTCAATTTAATCATACCTATTGAAATTTTCAACCTTAGACAAATCTAAAGATTGTAATTTACTTTTATATTTATATTTTCCTTTGATAATGAATCATAACATACCTAAACTAGACTTCTATGACTTTTCCTAAGCCTCAAATAAATTATTCTACCTTTCAAAGGCTTGGATCAAAATGGACAATTTATAGAGCGTGCTATTATTCTCAGTCAATGAGTTATTCAGATTGAAAGTCTTGCATTCCAAAAATATGTCATCAGCCAATAGTTAAAAAGCCTTTTCAAAAATATCTGAATTATCTGATATATCTAAATGATTGATTCTTAGTCTATCATATCTGTCTCCAATCAATTATTGAATGGCTGTAGTGTTGTGAAAAAGTGGTTGGTTTTTGAGCTTCAATGTTACCAGTCCTTTAGCTGTAGCTAAACTCTGACATGCATTATTGAAACTGCTTTAAGTACCTAAATAATTGTCAGATATATCTAAAGATGATATTTACTCTAAATTGTCAAAGCTATAAGTGCATCTTATAAGATGTTCAAAGCCTTTCCAATTAATTTGAGTAAAACATTTGGATAAATTAAAACTAAAATAATAAGTTTGATCTATTTTCTTCAATGCTAGTTCTCTTTCTTCTCTTATTTTTTGAACTTGCCAATTTCGATATATTTTTATTATCGCAAATGATAATTTGAATTTGTTTTTTAATAGCAAATAATAGTAGTCCATATTGTTCTCGTACTTTTTGACCAAATAATGTTTTAATTTTCTAAGTAGAAATCCCTTATAAACACCAGGATTACTTATTAAAAACATCTAATCATTAGTAAATCTATGTTTTACTTTTTATAAGTTGATATTTCTTTCGAAAATTTAAAAAATGAATTCTTCAACACATTAATCATCTAATTCATTATGTTAAAATTCAATAACTAGATTCTGAGGCTTCACCCAACTAAACCACAAAGGTAGTATCATTAAATTTTCTTTTTCCAGCTTCGTATCTATGAATCTTATTTATTATATTGAAGAGTTGCCTCTTTAACGTAATTCAATCATTTTCCAATGTTCCAATTTGAAAGTTCCCTTATATCCTTTAATTGTGATTTTCTTATCATAAAGACCCATTAAGCATTATTGCTATGATAAATTGTGAGACTACCTATAATTCTTCGAGTTAATCTTCAATTGTCTTCGGTGGTTTAAATTCGAATTCTCCATTGGGCAATTTATTTTATTCTTTTTTTTGAAGAATCTCTTATCTTTAATTTGCCAGCCACTCCTTTTCCTTCCTGATTTCATTCATATAAACATTAGGTTACATGTAAAGAAAACAAAAATAATAATAATCTAAATTATTAAATAATCAAGAGAAAGTAAGAAAATAAGAAATAAAAATAAGAAATAAGTTAAATAATTGCATCCTTTACTGAAGACGGTCCAAGAAAGCACCAGTTCAGATTCAAAAATGTAATTTATAGATTTCTCTCATCATCAAATAAAACATATTATTTTCTAAACTATTTTGAATATTTAAAATGTAGACAATATTTTTGGGAATGAAAATTAAAATAGTATTCTATTGTTAAACTCTCAATTAAATAATATCAAACATTTATGAGTTGGATTCCAATCCTAATTCAAGTTTCCATCTGGATTTATTAAACCTATTTTTTTGAAAATAATCACATTATTTTAATCGACCTATTTAATATTATTGTTTATCAGATGAAACAGAGAAACCAATTGTTTTGTAGTTACCACCAGTGTGTAATTCTCCTTATATGTGACCTCAGCATATCCATAAGCAGATAATTGATATCTTTTATTCTTCTCGTTCGGCAAGTATGACACTAATTAATGTGGAATATCAGAGATTAGTTCAGCAGTCTGCGATATAAATTAAGGCTAAGGTAAATATAATGGTTTAAGGGATGTTTAAGCTATTCTTAAATATTTCTCCAATTCTTTTAGTTTAAATTTATCCACTTATTTATGGTGATACTAGGACATCTTAGAAATCTTAGCAATTTACTAGGTTAAATTAAAATGGGATTTATATGGGGAAACTAATTTAAACAGTTTTTCCATCATTAAAAACACAAAATGATCAATGGATTGAATCATACATTAAGAAAAATAGCCAATATCTTCATCATAAGATTCAATCAATTTCTATAAACATCCATTGTTTTTTACTAAATATTCTTCAATTATTTCATTTAATACAATCAGCATATGCTTTTAGTTTTGATAAAAGGTTTATATATTATTTAAATGCTTTTTGAAGACTTCAAAAAATTGATCAAAATCTAAATTAAGATATTGTGAAAGAAATGTTTTGTATTTGATGGCCAATTAATAGAAGGGATTTATTAAATTATCTTTGCTTTCTATATTGGAGAGCTTTTGTTTGATGCTGTATTTGTATTTATCTTCAATACGAAGAAAAGTAAATAAATCAAATAACTCTTGGGAATTTAAATTGAAATCTACAGTTTTGAGTTATTGTTGGATAATGAATAATTTTAATTCATAGATTATGTAATCCTCTGATTAAGGATGAAGTAATTTGATACTTTATTATTCATCCCTAATGAATTATATAATATTATCTTTTGGTATTCTTTAGGTTATTGAATTAAGATAGGGTGTAAGGAATCGGGATTTGAAATATGTGTTATTGATATCTATGTTGAAAAACTGATGACCTGGTTTCAAACAGATATTTTAAGAGCCACAAGCCTAAAGGATATGCAAATATAATGAATTCTAAATGATTGGTTGATTGTCAATTAAATTTTCTTTGATAATTTGGAAGGCCTTAGTAAATAGTGACTGCTAGTTAATGAAAACACCAAGATAGTACACTACATTAACTAATATTTCCAATTGTTCAGGTGAAATCGAATGATGATTCTCGATGTGCTTTCTAAGAATATCATAATAAAACTCTTCCAATTCTAAATTTTTCTCCATGTTCTACAAGAAGATCTATGTATGTAGTCTTGTGAGCAAGGAGGGCTCAAGAGATTCCTTATTTACGAGTTTGTTGTAAATAAGTTAATACAAATCCTAAACTTAAGAAATCATATTTATATAAAATCAATTTTGCTTAATATTAATTTTCCAAACATCTCTAATAATTCCTGATCAAATGAACAGACTTTTTAAGATCTGATTCCCTTATTATTAATAACCTATAAAATGAGGCAATGGGTTTTCCCTTAGATCTCAATGCAATAAATTGGCATCGTAGTTTGTATATCAACTAAACATATCAATCATCTAATTACAAACTGAGACTGTTGAACGATTGGTGGTTATAGGCATTCTAAATGCATAAGAATTCTTTAGTAATATGAGCTTCTCCAATTATACCTACTCCCAATTGAGAAATCTCAAGTAGCTTCTTTTCGTTCACTCTAAGTAACCTATTATTATTCACAACATAAATCAGTCCTTTCTAAGTATGAAACAGATTCTTCAACAAGTTTTCGGACTCAAAAAGTATGTGTTCCAGATCATTCATATAAATAAGTTATAATTATGCCTAACATAGAATGATCAATACATAAATCACGTTTCTAAGTGCATTCTAAATACTGATTGATTCATTGGATTGTTGATGATTTCTCAATAAAATAGATGTCAATTCTGAAGTCTTTGTTATATAGAGTTGGTCATCATTATTAAAGTGTCCATTTATTTTATTAACAGCCATAATAACTCCAATAGAATTCTATTACTTGTCTAAAATTGGACATAATAAAATAGTGTTTGTTTTGTATCCTTTTTCATTATCTTTTTTGAACCTGGGATCATTGTAGGCGTTATGTACATTAATAATCCCTTTCTCCTAAAAACATGCTCCTATTATATCCTCACCTACTATGATTCTTTACACTCTATCCTTCAACTTAGTCCACAATTCCTATTATTCATTGTCCAATACATAAACTTAAACTCGGTCACAATTCAGACAATCTTTTAATAAGTCTTACAAATTTTCTAATTGATCATTTAATGGAATTTGCTAGTTTATTATATACAATTACTTCATGCATTTCTAGACAAGCTTCAAATAGTTTATTTTACTTAATAACATTTTTAAATAGCAATTTGTGTTCATGCAATACTAACTAAATTGCATCAAAAATATTCACAATATTACTTAGTTCCATTTTTTATATATTTGCAAGAAATTACTCCTCATTTGAAACTAGAGTCTTTATTTAACTCAAGTGACTGAGATCTTCGTAACATTTCACGTATTAGCTTAGCAAAGCTTTAAATCTAGAGAATACAACGTACCATAATCCGAATCTAAAATAGCAGTGAGATTTTCATCAAAATTGGTGTCCTTGGTTCTGGTTCTTAATGATTTTTTGCCTCTAAAACTCTACTATCTTGAAGAATCATCTGATTTAACAACATTTTTGAGAGGATTCACTACTTCAACAATTTACTATTTTTCAACTCTTAATGCACTGATTATGCAATCTCGTTTGTCTATTGCTATCTAAAGTGACTTAATCATGAATTCATATTGCAAAATCTATTTCTCCTTTAATGCTAATGCCGAATTCTGTTGTTGAACCTTTTTCACTAAATTTGTTATAAGCTCCTATAAATCCTTCTCGCTCTGTTATTTCAATTTGAGACTCATAACCTCACTTAAATTGGGCAGTTTTTCATTATTTGGTTTTTCCAACTTATCAGTCGATCTATAATTTTAAGAGGTTACAGGTCTTCTTAAACTTTGAATTGTATTATTCATTTATATAATAAAAATAATATCAAGCATCATAAAATTCTTCTTTATTTTCATCATACACCTATTAGGATTTCGAAAATCTCTTAAGAACATATGAAATGAATGCCAGGAACAAAATTGCAAAAATGATACCGTTAACCTAATAAAATTCCAAAAACAAAATACAAGCAAAAATGTTTCTAAGAAGAAAAATAATGCTGGAGCTTCAGTTTAACAATCATTTGGTGACTAATACATTCTTCCTCCATAAATCAATAGTAAAATGATATAAATGCCAAAACAAATATCCAAGAAATTAAAAAAAAGATTAATCGCAGCATTTTTATATCTAGGTTCGTCTAAATATTTTACCTTGGAATTAAGGTAATAAGTATATAAGTTCCCCAGATGATTAATCCATAGAAAACTAAATGTACAAATAACTGAAGATTCTAATTGCATTTTTATTCTATAAACTAAGTCTCAACAATTCCTGAAGCTGATAGGAATATAAGAGTGTAAAAAAAATGTGCCCCTTCACTTGCTTTTAATTGCTTTTTTGCTTCTATTTCTTACATTTGTAATATTTATTTATAATTTACACATTTAACGATGAAATAAATATATAATAGACTATTTTTAATATTATTATTAAATTTAGATTGGAAGTATGTATGTCATATTGCTTATACTGCATATCAACTAGTTTTTGTGACTTCCACTATTTTAAAGATATCCATAATCTCGGTTATTAAAATACATATAAAAATATATTCAATCTATCTTAAACTATTTGTTAAGTTTGCTTCTGAAATAATAAATTTCTGACAGTTAATCGCTTGTAAAATGAGATTTGTTCACCTTTGATATGTTATATTTCAATTACAATTTGTAACTAATTTTAGAGCATTTTTTTTTTCCTTTATAAATTTAGTATGTGTTAACATCTATTTGAACTAAAAACATTAGTAAAAATGTTTTCTTGTTTCAGATTCATTTCATGTTTCTTCAAGCTAACAGAGCGAGCCTCTATGATCAAGGGTGGCAAAATCATCTAATCTGATACTTATGTTTTTTAAGTTAACTATATTTTTTTTTTCATTATTTGGAAAATTATTAAAATGCAATCGCTGGTTGAGAATGATGACATCTACTTGGAACCTATCAAAAAGAAACCGAAAATCCAAGAAGTGATTAAAACTAAATAGCCTGAAAGCAATTCAATCGTTAAAAAAAAACCTGCTGCCATTCCCATTAGGTACGTTCCCGATTTGAGAGCCCAAGCATCATTATTAGAATCATTGAAGATTATTGAGAATATCTAGCCAGATACCATGTAATCAAGTCTCAAAAGTGATTATACAGAATGGACTCATTAGGATTTCATGTTTTAACTCAGTCTGTAATCCAATTAAATACATCCTGATTGCGTTGAAAGATTAAACTAGTATTTTCGAGACTTCAATCAGAAGTGTAAAATCTATCCATACATGCATTATGTTGATTTGAAGCCAGATAAAGATCACATTGTAAACATGCATCCTCCTTTTCAATATTAAAAAGATGAGTTTATTGAAAATTGCATTAGACCAAGAGTAATTCCTCTAGTAAAGCCACCCCCAAAACCAAATATCAAAATAAAAATAGAGTCGAAATGATTATGTTTATATAAATAAATGCTTATCATTTATTTTTTCTTAATTTATTAGGTCCAGCCCTTTTATTTTTAGTTTAATTTTATTATTTCTAAATAAAAGCCAAATAAATACTTCAAGTTTTTCGAGAGCTTTCTTCTTGAATTCCTCAACCGACAATATCTTATCACCCTCTATGTCATCATCCTCATGTTCATCTAAAATCACATAATTCCATTACCAAATTGTGGCAATTCAGCCCTATTCTTATTTTAAAGGTTCTTCTCATTCAGTTAAGCTAGCTGTTGCAATGAATTGATTTGATTTTCTGATATTTTCTAATGAATTTATTAATAGTATTGCAATAATTTATTCGTTTTATTCTCTATCAACCCTAAATAAATCATCATGTTGGTATCAGTAACCCCATGAGATCCAGCTATTTCTGTTGCCATTTATTTATCGCATTCGACTGTATTGAATAGTGTTTCAATCCAATTCTAAGAAATATTAAAGCATGATTTACTGTTAGACTATTAATGAGTTTTATAGATTCATTATATTTGAATTCGTATGATTCAGATTTCTATTCTGATCTTGATAATTTCTCCTCTAAATCTTTGAGATGTCTTTTTCTTTAAACATCCACATTAGAACCTTGACCTTCATATAAGCAGGCCTCATCCTTCAGTTCTCCTATTTGTTTTTCTAGATCTTCAATTTCATTGCTTAACTCATTAACATATTTAAACATCTGGAAATTCTATGATGGATGTCAAATATATATTTACTTTTTCTTCATTCTATATAAAGATTTTGATGAGTTCATCAAATACTTTAATTTATGTGGCTGCCTAGATCTTAGCAAAGTCTTCCTCATATTTCATAATTTATTCAACAATAGTTTAATTGACTGTCTTATCTCTAGTTAATTTGTTGGTTTTAGGTTTAGTGAATTTATCAGGATCGACTACTTCCTATGCATCCATTTCTCTGTTCTTCTCTGTTAATTTCATATAATCGAGTGTTTTCTTATTTTTTTCCATGATCTAACTCAATTCTCTGAGATCTTTTTCAAAATCAGCAGATTCTCTCTTTGCCTATTATTTTAAACTTTAAATTAAATCATTTGCCTTGTCTCTCTCCTCATAAGCAGTATTAGCAGTTTCAATAATATCAGCCATTTCCTATAATAATGTATTTGATATACTTTTCTTTTTTCATGCAATTCCTTCTCCAATTTTTTGTAAAGATTATCAAAAATAACTCTTTCTCTGCGTAGACTATCGATTTATTATCTTAATTATTTATTGATGGCAATGGCTTCATTAAATTTTTGATTTGTTTTGTCTAATCTATTTTCCAAAATTTTAATTTGTTTTTGCAAAGCACTTTCATTTTCAGCTCCTGCATTGTACCCACCCAACGCATGTCTTTTTTCTATAATCTTCTTCTGAAAATCAGCCACATGTGTATCAATTTCTTCTTACACTTTCTTCTCTTCATTAATAGCGACTTTCAAATCATCAATTATTGTGTCAATATTAGGTCCTTTAGAATATGTAGTCTGATTCAGTTATAATTTTTAGGAGTTCATCTTGGCTATCAAGTCCTTCAGAATGTAATTTTCGTTCTTTAGTTTATCAATAATTCCTCTTTGTTTTTTAATGTTCGCAACAGTTTCTTCTGCATATGCTTTTCTGTCTGATTCTAAGTTTCTAAATTTCTTCTATTGCTCTAATAACTATTCCTAAGCAGTCATTTCCTTATCAGCCACCTGATGATCCATTCCTTGGTTCTGGTCCTGTTACATTAATTAAAAATACTATAATTTAAATTATATATGTAAAATAAGATGAGTAAATATAAATCGCCTCAAATGTATTCAAAAAGTAATAGGATTATAAGTAACATATGAAGTATCAACTTGATAAAGATAAATATTTTATAAAGAACTAAGAGTTTAACTATATATCCACCTTAATTAGTTATAATATTATAGAAATTAAGGAGAATTTGTATTAGAAATATTACAGAATTAGCAAAAGGGTTTTTTTTAAAAGCCATATTAGAGGATTTGGTAAAGGAACTTTTAAAATTTAAAATTAGAATTAGAAACACAAAAATGAGTAGAAATTTAAGGAAATGTTCAGAAAGAAAATAAGAATTGAGAAGATATGAAATTATTATTATTGAAATGGAAGGAAACATTATTCGGAATGTTGTAGAAGATGAAATTTTAAAATGGAGCAAATTAAGAATTTTATAATTTAAACAAATTAGTAGTTTGTTTAAAATAATTAGAAAATTTAATTCAAATCGCTTTTGAGCATTATGAATTTGAAAGAAAATTTAATAAGTAATTAAAGTTTAAGTGAAGCATAATAACAGAACGAGAGTGAATAATCATAAATTTATCAAATGAAATGATTAGATCAAAGTAAGAAAATCAAGATTCTATATTTAGGTATCAAGAAAAACAAATTTAATGAAAATCAAATGAGTGGGTTATTTCATTAATAGTTTATATTTTAGTTAATGTGTAGAATTCACCAAAGAGATGAATCAGTTTTAAAATAATTATGAGTTTGTAGAATATTTAACTAAATTATACTAATCTGAATATTAATTATTTTAATGATTAATCTCTTCTAAATGTGGCAGCACCAAAGCCCATTTTTTTAGGAATTATCTATTTATGATGATGGAAGAAGAGTAATTTTAATTTTTAGAAAGTAGATGTTAGAAAAGTCCCTTAAAGAAAAAGGAGGGACGGAGTACTACTTGATATCTAAGAAATTCATAAAATAATGGAAATATTATGTAGATTATGATGAAGAAATGGAAGAAATAGAATTAGACACTCGATAGAAAGTTTTGAATTTAAATATGAATAGCCTGATAAAATTAATTCTGATTTAATAAACAATGAGAAATTGTTTAGGTACTTCCCTGAGAATCATGTTTATAATTCTAGCATTCGATATTTGGAAAATGAATGGGATTACGAAATTGTAATTTATGTAATAGAAATTCTAGGTTTTGAAAGAAGTGTATGAATATTTTAATGAAATTTATTAATCGATTGAACCACAAATCAGAGTGGGATTTTATAATGAAAGTCTTAAACGAAAGCAGATATTCCCTAACTTAGCAAGAGTATTAATAAAATATATTTAAGTTTACTCTGATATATTAGTCTCCTATCGACAATAAATTATATACAGCAAAGGCTTAAGTAGATTATAATTCAGAGATCAAGGCTTGGACAAATTTATTGAGAGATACATTTTAGGAGTATTTCAAAACAAGAAAGATAAATAATGTTCGAGTGTGGTGTCCAAGACATAAGACATTTAAAGCAGACTTGTTAATTTAATAGATTTAGAAAACTAAACAAGTAGATGGAGATATCTTGAATGACAATATGATAATATTTCAATTGTAACATTAAAGGGATAATTGTATAATCATAGATCTTGAATTGAATGATTGGTAATTCAAAAAATTCGAATAAACAATTGAGTATGATAATGCACTTTTGTTGGAAAAAGCTTTGAAAGGGTGTGCTAAAATAGTGTGTGAATTTCCCTAATGCAAATTGAATAATGGATATTTAGATTTAGGATTTGCAGAAGAAGACATTTAAGGAATTTGTTAAGTTTTAATTGAAAATGAGGAAGTAAAATGGGAATTAATGTGTTCAAATTAAAAAAACTACATTGACAACTTACTTCCATTTTCGCTGCAAATAAAAGCAGATCCTATCTAATACTTATTGAAGATTTCGTAATCTTTAGAGTTATTTGGGTTATCCTTTGTAGAGAATTACAATAAGAATTAAGGCAAATATCAGATTAATCTGGAGAACCCAGAAATAAATTCTTAATTAATTTCCCATGTAGCTTAAAGTTTAAATTAGTAGAAAGATAATTTGATGCAAATAATTAAAAATTTATTTTAAAGAAAAGTGGAAGACATTGAACCACTTACAAATTTATATTAACTGAGAGCTCTTTATTTGATCCTCTCATTTAGAAAATGTCTTTCGATGATTTTGGACGAAAAACCTTTAATATTATTAACAGTTATAAGAAGATTGAGTCAATAGTAAGCAAATTAATTATCTAAATGGCTTACTAAACTTGATAAATCTGAACTTCTGCACTTTTAATCGATTACAAAAAAAATAATTGAACAATAAATTAATATTTAAAAAAATGCACCCATTAGGCCCCTTTTAGATATTGATGATATCTAAAGGTTAAAAGGACTCTTTGATTTATACAGCGTCATTTACAACTCGAATCTACAAAACCCTAGAATCCAAGCTGCTGAATTTATTATCAATTCCATACAACAGTTTTATAAAGTTGATGCAGATAGATAGGAATTCACATAATTCTAAATGTTCAATGCAAAGGTTTGGAGAGGTTACTCATTTACTTTCTGCCAATATCCTTGGGCTATGCCAATCGAATTTAAATCTAGACTTCTCTATATTGAATGTAAGGTTAAGTAGTATGATTCCAGAAGGAGAGCATACGGTCTTTTACCTTAATTTGTATCCTTAACAATAGAAAGAGACAATATCATCGAGTCCGCTATCAAATAGTTATAATAAACTTAGGTTTCACTTAAGAACCCTCTAAAGATTCAGTTTGTAAATGAACAAGGAGTTGATGAGGGAGGACCAAAAAGAGAGTTTTTCAGATTGATTATGGAAAAGTTGGTCACACCAGATTATGGTATGTTCATTCCAAAAAACAATGACACAGTATTTTGGTTCAATCCTCAATCTTTTGAAATGCCAATCTATTATTCTTTGATTGGGAAGCTCTTAGGGTTATCTCTTTATAACTCAGTCTTGTTGGATGTTCGATTTCCAACAGTTTTATTTAAGAAATTACAAAGAGAATAGTTAAAAGAAGAAGATCTAAAGGAATTAGACATGGAGACCTATACTGGTTTCCAATTTCTAAGAGAATAGACGGACCCATAGATAGTCGAAAGTCTAGGTCTTACCTTTAATGGCACATACAAGGTTTGGGGAGAAAACTATTTTGAGGATCTGAAGGTATTATCATCAATTATATAATTTAGCCCAATGGATTCTAAATTAATGTTACTATTGAGAATAGAGAAGAATATATATAATTGTATATAGATTGGTATTTGAACAAATTAGTTTAGAAATAATTTGACCTGTTGAAAGATGGGTTTAAAACAGTTGTTGATGGGGATGGTATAAAAGTATGTATTAGTTTATTAACTAACATTAGTTGTTTTCAGGCGAGGAATTGCAGTAATTGATTATAGGTTTGCCAACCTTCGATATGAGAGATTTGGAGGCATCAACCAAATATGATGGATATGAAAGTGATTCAGAATATATTAGGTATTTTAAACATCAATATCAAGATATTTTTGGAATTGCATCCATTAATTGAATGTTGAAATGCAGAAAAGATTTTTATTCTTTTGCACAGGTTCAGATAGGATCCCTGTTGGAGGACTCAAATCTATCAAGTTTGTTATTTAAAAACATGGACAAGGTATTTCTGTATCACAATATAATTAGATACTGAATAATTACCATCAGCTCATACTTGTTTTAATGTACTATTGTTACCATATTACAAAAATAAGGAAACTTTAAAAGAAAAGTTGAAAATCTCTCTAGATAATGCGGAAGGATTCGGTTTGATGTGATTTATGATGTTTGATCATTTAATTATTATCTAAATAGTTTGTATTTCATAATGAAAATGATTATTTCATCGCTTTGTGATGAGAATTTTACAAAAAATTAAATATTATAAAATGAATGCTGATGTAAGTTCTATTTAATTGACTGACGTAAGTCCTCCACTCACTGCCTAAAAACCTAGGAAGGACGCTTTCAATAATCCTATTTTAAAGGGCAACAATTCGCATAAAGTTATTTTTAGAGACCAAGCAAATAATGGCCCATTATTCGAAATTCACATTGTTGAAAATTTCAAAGAATATAATTTAGAAGAACCCCAAATGAATAAAAAAACTTAAATTTGTGACTGTGCAATAATTTGAACACTGATTTGATTGTTTAATGTGATAATAGCTAAAAAATTATCGATATAAAATATTAAGCCTTCCTGACATTTGTGATACCTCATACTATATCATAATTATATAGTGTGAGATGAAATACTTTATTTCTTATATATCTTAGATTTATTAAAGTCTTAACTATATACTTTAATCAATTTTTCTAATTATGGAATAATGTGATTTTGAATATCATTCTAATGGATTGTGTGTTATATTTAGATTTTTATTTTGTCTAATATATTTACATAGCTTAGAACCATATCTTTCTGAAGAATCCTTAATTTTCGAATTAAGCCTACAAAATCAATTGAGAGAGTAAACATTTATAATTTTTGGGATTTTTTTTATTTTTTTTAAAACACTTTAACTTTAATATAATTCCATTCTTTAAATTTATTAAATTATTTAAATTCTTTATCCTGCAGCAGTATATTTCTCTAATGCGATTAACTAATATTAATTTTAGTTTGATAGAGATATTTTCATTTTCAAACTATTGTTTTTATTGATCTTTCTTAGGTTGATATATTTACAAGTGTATTGATACTAATTTTTCTTATGGAATGTTTATATTATTTAGACAACATCTAAATAGCATTAAAACATAAACAGAAAGCAGAAAATTATCTAATAAGAGAATTTCTAAAAACTGATAATTTTCATAGTTTTTATTAATTAATTAAAAGTGATTATTATTTTTTTAGTTTCAAATTGAATATAGGAAACTTAATCAAAATTTCAATTGGAATTAATTTTTATGGGGATATAGAGTTAATGGTTTTTAATGGCAATTTAGTAGAACTATTTAAAATGATTGACTCATAAAGAAACAATTATGTCATATTATTTAATATTGGTTTTAATTTTCTTAATTTCATATATAAGAGTGTAATGATAGGGAGTCATGTTAGCATCACCATGCTATAAAATCAAAAATTAACACACTATATAAATTAATTCTAATCAAACTTTCTATCAAAAACATATGACCTTATTAAACTATAAATAAGTCTTAGATTTCACATAATTTTGTTTTTACCTATACTTGACATTAAATTGGTATTATTTACAAAAATTTATAATTATGAAATTGCGATTTCATCTATAGAATTTGCTAATCACCACTTTAAGGTATAATTAATTTTCATCTTAATACTTTATAATTAACTGCTTCTATCTTTGTTTCTAATGCAATAAATCCGTTATTTAGAATTCTAAAGATGATGATGCATACTATGAGATCATTGTTTAATTTTTGTCTAGAAATCAAAGAACTAATTTAACGCTCCTAAACGTGAACTGTTAGTTTTTTTCGACACATTCGTACTTTCAAGGAGAAGACAATGAGTAAATTCAATAATAGTAATTCCTTCTATAAAATATTTTATAATTAGATTCTGATGGAATATAATTTTAATATTTATATTTAAATTGATTTATGGGGTATGTCAAATCACATAATAAAAATTTATATTATGAAAAAAATTTTGAATAGATACTCCTATTCTGAGAACGATGAATTAGGAAGAGGAGCTTTCGGAAGAGTATATAAAGGGTTTGATTCAAAGACTAACAAACCTGTTGCCATAAAATGTACTTACAAATATGATCCTAGTTATGAGCTTAGATGGTTTATTTGATTAATAGTTGATTGAAAATTTCAAATAAGAGATGAGCATAATGAAGGAATTTAATCATCCTAACATTGTTAAGCTCTTAGACTATAAGATGGACCCATAATAAAATGTAAATATAGGAAATTCGGTTAGATTGTTGTGTTTGATTATTGTGAAGGTGGAGATTTGTCCAAATATTTGGATAAAAATGGTTCTATGCTTGATGAGTATACGGCCACTTAAATATTAATTCAAATAGTTAACGGATTTAGAGAAGTCATAGCCAAAGGATATATCCATCGTGATGTTAAGCCTGCCAACATTTTAATTCAGAATGGACTCTTTAAATTGGCTGATTTTGGATTTGCCACAAAAGTAGCAACAAATGAATTGCTCGATTAATAAGTCGGAACACCATTATATATGGCTCCACAATTATTAGAAAACACTGCTTATTCTTCCAAATGTGACATATGGTCATTAGGGATTATAGCATATGAGATGATATATGGAAGATAGCCATGGCCATGTCGAGACATGAAATCTTATTTAAAAAATATTAAATGTTATCCTCTTAGGTTTCCAATAGACAAGGCAGTGTCGGACTAATATAAAAGTAAAATATTAGTTCTATTTAGATTTTGTCAGACAATGCTTGAAAGTAGATGAAATTTAACGAATAGGATGGAAGGATCTCTTTGATCATCCATTACTTGATACAAGATAACTAGCATAAAAAACTTTTGTATATTTATATTCATAATGTTTTTAGAAAATAATAGAAATCGATGAAGAGACTAAATAAATACTTAGAAACATACAATATATTGCATAAGCAAGATAATTAAAGATTTAAGAACAGTTTACTAAATATGATCTAGATAAAGAAGGGAATTTGGATTTCAATGAGTTCCATCAGTTTATTCAAAAGATTGATCCCTCGCTCACTTCTAATGAAACATCTAAATTATTTAACTTCTTGGATCAACAAAGAAAATAAAAAATCAATTTAAATGAGTTTTAGGTTTTGTTTAGTGGGAATGATTTTTCAGATCTTAAAAACTTTGCATAAAGAATAATATCGGACTTGAAAGAGATCATAGCTAATAATAAACTAAATGTGGATTAAATATTTCATTTTTATGATGAAGATAAAGAAGAAGATCTAAAACTTGATGAGTTTAGTAATCTTATTTTAAGAATTGCACCTGCTCTAAAACCAAAAGAAATCCTGATAGTAAAGCTCTATATATTAAATTCCTAGGTATTTACTGAATTTGACAAGAACAATGACGATTCCATAAGTTTAGAAGAATTCAAAAAGATTATTTGTCCTTAAGGTTAAAATTACGAAAGGCTTAAGCTTTAGGTAAAATATATCTGTATAACTAAAATAGAAATTACAATAACAATTAGTAGCAGAGATTAAAAGAAGAAAATTAACAAATGAAAACATCTTCAAAACATTTAATGTAAGCAAGACTAATAAAATGAATTATGAAGAATTTGCAACTTTATGCAGAGATCTAGTGATAGTTATTACAGAAGATGAAATACAATAAGTATTTAAAACAGCAGACAAAAATTAAGATTAATTTATTAGATACGAAGAATTTATGAATTTTTTTAAATGAGTTTGATTGATATTTATTTGATGTAAACATTATAGAATACATACTAATACTTTGTTTAATATTTGTTCTGCTTTGGTTCTTTTGCAAGACTTAACTCGATAAGTCATGGCAATTTAAAGAAATTCAGAGTGAGGATGCATCAGGAAGTTTTCTAATTTTAATGAGAATGAAAAAAAGAAGGTTGGAATGAGGTTTTGAACAATATGTACTAAAGATAATTCAGAAAGATAGGAAATATTTAAAAATAAATATAATTATTAAGTAGATTTCTGACTAATATTAGCAAATATGTGGAATAAAAATTCGAAATCTATTATTACAATAAAGGAGGCTATTTGAATTTTAAAGAATTTAAGAATTTGTTCAAACTGAAGATCCAGTAATGACGAATAAAGACACTCATCATTCATGTTTATTAATTGATTTAGTACTGTTGCCATAATTTTGAAAACTAATAGATAAAAATTTTCTTCTTTTTAAATTCATAGAAGAATGACCTCAAATAAGCTTTGACGAATTCAATAGAACTCTATCTTTCTCTGATTAGGACTCAGAGTCAATAAAGCCAAAGAAAACCCAATATAATTATACAAATATTGCTAATAAATAGTGAAAATTCTAATAGACTTAAATGATAGATAGACATAGTTTCGAAATCTTCAAAAACTAAAAGCTAAAGCTTTCTCAAACTGATCTAAGGTGATGGGCAATACGCCAACCCTTGAGAACACATGCTTGTGTTTAAGTTAGCCAATAAAACAAGGATTGATTGATAGAATTAAAAATTTTTTTGTGAATCACAGAAGTAAAATATATACAAATATGAAGAAATGATTCAATTGAATTAGTATTGGATGTAGAACTCATTGTTTCCAAGTTGAAAAATTTATGAGTTTTGAAGTTCTACTTCTTCATTCTACTGTATTTAACAATACGATTGCATTGAGTTTGCTTGATAATGCACTTCTCCATCTGAACCTTAATGCACGACACCTAGGCAAATTCCATTCATCATCAAGGTTTGTTTACTTTAAGTCAGTTAGATTGGTTCACTTTTTTTTAAACCATTCGAAAGTTGTATAATTTATCTTTCCTTATCAAAATTCACAGAGTATTAGTTAATTCTTATTACTTTTTCAATTTAGATCATTTATCCTTGCATTAACTGATATATAAGAGGCAATTAATCTTTGTTTTTCAAGAATATTTTATTATCCTACACAATTAGTTCTGCTTTTTATTATTTTCCCCTTATTGGCAAATCAATGTCCTATTTTTAAGTGCCAAATTCGAATTTTTATTGAAAAGAGAAATGATTTAAGTATTCGAATTGTTTTTGCCATAAAATTAAATTTGCAGAATTCTTTATTAATATGCTACAGGTTTTCCAATTCTATTCGTAATCTATTATCTCAAAATCATCATCATCACTGATACTCTTTAAGCATAACACACTCATTTTCTATTTTATTAAATAAATTTCATTTTCTATAAAATATTTATGCTCAAAATTTTATGATAGAATTTAAAAGAATATTTCAATTAATTTTAATCGCATAAAATTGTCCATCTCTCTTTAGAAATAGAAAAACATATGTGAAACATTTGAAGGAATTATTTGATAATATAAAGTTTCTAACATAAGAAAATATAATTAAGAGAAATGCGTAAATACAATTTATTAAAATCCTTGTTCACTAAACCAATTAGGTCATTTGCATCAGAGAAATTTGTGCCATTCAATTTTAAGGACCCCTTAAATTTAGAAAGTTAGCTCACAAGCGAGGAGAAGCTGGTAAATCATATTATCATACTTTAGATTCGAGATTAAGCAGCAAATTATGCACAATCAGAGTTGCAGCCAAGAATCTAAGAAGCTTTTCGTAAAGAACATTTTGACCCTCAAATATATAAGGAGATGGGGAAATTGGGATTCTTGGGGTGCACAATTTCAGAATATGATCTTTCTGGGGTTTCATATACTGCATATGGTTTAATAAACAAGGAGATTGAGCGAGTAGATTCTGGTTATAGGTCTGCTCTTTCAGTGTAAAGTTCTTTAGTGATACATCCAATATATCAGTTTGGATCGAAGGAAATTAAAGATAAATACATTCCAAAATTAGCAAGTGGAGAATATGTGGGTGCTTTTGGTTTAACTGAACCAGATCATGGTATGTTAATATAGTAATTCATTTTATAGGTTCTGATCCTGGATCTATGAAATCTCATGCAAAGAAGAAGGATAATTATTATATATTGAATGGTACGAAGAGTTGGATAACAAATTCGCCAATAGCTGATGTATTTGTGGTTTGGGCAAAGGATGAAAAGGGAGACATAAGAGGATTTGTATTAGAGAAGGGAATGAAAGGTTTGTCTACACCAAAGATTGAAGGAAAGTTATCATTAAGATCTTCAATAACTGGGTAGATTATTATGGACAATGTGAAAGTCCCTTAAGAAAATATGTTTACTACTGTAAAGGGATTGAAAGGTCCATTTTCCTGTTTGAATAATGCCAGATTCGGAATTGCATGGGGAACTTTGGGAGCAGCTGAATTCTGTTTTCATCATACTCGTCAGTATGCTTTGGATAGAAAGTAATTTGATGCAAATTTGGCTTCGTTCCAATTGATTTAGAAGAAGTTTGCTGAAATGACGACTGATATTGCCTTGGCCTAATAAGCAGTTTTATAAGTGAGCAGATTGAAGGAGAATGATTAATTAGCAACAGAATAGGTGTCATTAATTAAGAGAAATTCATGTGGTAATATAGGATAAATATAATTGATTAGCAATTGCCTTAAAGATAGCCAGAGAATGCAGAGATATTATGGGAGGAAATGGCATTAGTGATGAATATTAAGTGATTAGACATATGGTCAATTTAGAGACTGTGAATACTTATGAAGGAGCATCAGATATTCATGCTTTAATTTTGGGTAGAGGAATAACAGGAATCTAAGCTTTTAGTAGGGCATTGTGAGTAGTCATAAATATATATATATATAAATTCTTTGTTTCACAATTACAATAAATTTATATGGGAAATTCCAAATCTAAAGAGATCACTAAACATGCAAAGGTTGCTTTCACACCTGAATAGCTGTAATAATTAGAAAAGTTGTTTGCAGGACTAAATGGAGGCAAAGATCTTGTGGAAAGATCTTTTCTACCTCACTTCCCTGAAAATCCAGACTTTTCGATCAAGTTGTTCAATTGGATGGTCGAAAGAAGTCCGAATCACTCAGTTGATTATGCTAACTTTGTTGCATTATGTAAGTTCTAGTTAACATTTTAGTGGAGTTGCTACTTAAGGAATTGAAGGATTACTATCTAAGTGACTATAAGTTTAGAAATTTAGAAAAGTTTGAATTGTTTGCCTTGATCAGTTTGGAGTGTTTGGAAAATGATAAGGATTCCATTAACAGGTAGTTAATTAATGGTAGTTATTTTAGATTTGCTGTATCATACTCTTAAGGGAGCATTGTTATAAGGGAATTATTGAATATCTATTCTGGAGGTTAAATAACTAATTCATAGAGAAATGATTTGGCTGCCAGATCAGTTACAAATACTATATTTGATCAAAAAGATGAAATGCCATTCAATCAATTTGTAAGTATGGCCAAAGCTTAGTTGATCTATGCTAACAGACTGTGCAAATATTATTTTAATATGAAATTTCTGGGAGAACAAACTCAAATTCAAATACCAAGATTGAACACTTCCAGTTTTATCTTGAATGATTAAGTGTTAGCCTTACTTTAATTGAGTTCTCCTGATTTCAGTAAAATCAAATAATTATAATTACAATTTTCATCTTCAGTAAGTGAGGATGATTTGGATCACATTGCAGATATTGTAATAAATGCTTAGAAACCATTGTTGTTCATATTTAGAAATAGAGAAGATGAATGTAAATTATTATTATTATCAATCTTATTAAGCATAAAATGACACTTTTCAACAACAAGTCTTTGGAGCTTATATTTCAATTGATCCAACACTTGAAACTCATCATATTAGGAGAAAGTTGAAGGATCCCATGAATATCCTCTATAGTGATAGTGATCCCAAGAGCTTGTATTTCGGTGATGAAAAGAGCTTCCTCTTCTCACTACTTCCAAAATATCAGCTATTTATGAGTACCTTTGATCAGAGGTCAAAATAATGTTTTGCTTATATAAACAATAAATCATTTAGGAATGATCAACCATTGGGATTAGCATTTGGTGGAGATGGGAAAGGAAACCATAGAATTTGGCTTGATGAAAACCTTAAAGGAAATGCCACTTGCAGAATTAATAACTAATGTGATCTCACTTATGAGATGGGCTATCTATTAGAACCACATATTGAATTCTTAAATGTATGCCAATTCTATTTAATCTATTAGTTAACTTGCATTGAAGTTTGGAGTGTTGAAGAGAAAGAAACCAATCCAATTTTATAGAGTAAGATCATTGAAGCAGGAAAGGAAGATATACAATAAAAGGATGTTGAACAACAGAAATAAAGTGTTATTGAGTAAAAATGATAGAGGAGATTCACTCTAATATATATAGTAATCCCATTTGATCATCTAAACAAGTAAATTGTATTCTTTATCATCTCCACCTTTAATGCATCAATTGATGTAATCTTCTTTTTGGTTAAATATTTTAAGATTATTGACAAAACTAGATTGATTGTTTTTATTGCCTTCAGTTCATCGTATTCTATGTTCCTACTTTCTTAATAAATATACCCTAAGAAATAATTAATTACAATTTGGTTTCTTTTTGAATTCTATTTATAATTTCTAAATGATATTATCTTTTTTTGAGGATCATTAAAAAACTGTCGTAAGTTTTATTAAAATGACACATTACTCTTTACAGATACTTATGTGATTAAATGAAATTAATTTGACTTTTAGTTTTAATATTTAGATAATAAATTAGATCTAGGTAAATTATTAAATTCTAAATTTCAATTCTAAGCTTTTTATTTATAATAAATTTATTGTTTATTAACAATTAGAATTGTTGCATGATTTAAAATAATAATAATATAAATATATCATGTATTATGATCCTTAGACTGATTTGTTGAACATAGAGCTCACAAAAAGGGAATCTTAATAGATGCCTTTAAAAAACTAATATTTTAAAAAATTTGAAACTGAGTTTATTGCAGAACCTTGGGATGTGCCCATTGTCCCTGTATAGAAAAAGAATCAAAATACCAGATTGATATATTCTAAATAATCAAAATCTCATATACAACCCAGGCAGTTAAGCAATGAAACGCCCCATACTCCTTAAAGACCTAAGAGTTGTCAACAAAAAAATTAATTTATAGATCTGGGAATACCTGCTGCTACTCCTACTTATGCTAAAATTATACAAAGGATGATTATAACTGCACCACGAAAATCCTCTAAGAAAAACTCAAACAATTAAAATCGACAAAAATGTATATAGAGTATGCTGGTAGCTTAAAAATAAAATAGTTAAATATAAAATTTGGTACTCTCATCAAGTGATTAAAGCAACCATATATCTTAAATCAATCCTTTAATTCAAAAAATTAAACCCAATCAAGAACAATAGTTTAACAAGTGTAAATTTAAACTTAAAAAATTATTAAACTGATTCATATTGATATTTATATTTGTCATTTTTTTACTTGAATTCGTTTATTGTTGAGAACTTGAGAGCTTTAAAGCAACAACTAGCTATAAAAATTCTTATCCACTATTGTATTGCCTCGCAGTTAAATACTATTAACGAAGCATGAAGAACATGCAAATTTTTGATACTCATTAAATATCCAATAGCCATAACGTTTGTTATTGAATGAGCATCCTAAATTATATTCAGCAATCTAACTTACCTAACACCATAACATCACTGACTATGGAGATGCAATTATAATTTACACTACACTTCTTATATTTATCGTTTAATTTCCTTCTATTTAAATTGGTTAATTTATACTTCAAGTTAACTTTTAGAATGGGAATTCTTACTGTTGCCCAAAAATATTTTGTTTTTTATTAGTTATCACGGGAACTAAAAGTAATAAGGTATCTTAAATATTTGATTGATTTTAGACTTTAAATACAAAAAAAGAATATTATTATAAAATTCTTCAACTGTTTCTTGTAAGTAAAAAATCTTGAGATTTTTAAGCTAATTGTTTTATATTAGATTATCAATTTGTTTGATTTGTTGTAATAAAACTTAAATATCATCATCAACAATAACTATTCTTTCCATATTGTTTATTGAATTAAATCTATTTATAGCACTTAAGATTTCATCGATGTATCTTAAATATGAGAGATGTACATTCTTATTCTATTGTAGACAAAGACTTCCTCGCATTGATAATTGACCTAATTTATTAGAATTTCTCAAGTCTAATACTACGAGATGTCTATTATCCTAAAATATAAGATATAGTGATTACATTCCTCAAATTATATAATTAGATCATTTAAATTTTTTTTCATTCCTAATTTTTAATTATATAATAATAAATAATAATTTAGATTACATAGACCTCATGTAGTGATTCAAATTCTTCAAGAAGACAATTGAAATGATAATTAAAATCTACACCTGACTGAAAAGTATTATTATTGGATTTATAATTTATCCATAATTCCAAAAATTAAAAAACAATAACATAAGAGATAGTTAATGGTTGTATAAATTTCAATATGATTAAATTAATTTAAACATTTTTCAGATAGATATCATAATTATTATATATATTATAATGATCATTGATTATATCAAATTTATTAAGAAATGAAGTAAGGGGAAGTTTAAAAGATTCCAAGTAAAATAAATGAAATACAAATAGAATGAAAAACTGTGTCATTTTTTCTTTGTTAATATTTTTTCTGCTTCTTATAATAATTAGGAACCATCTAATCTTGTGTTCCAATTCAATTTATATTATCCTAGCAACTTCTCAATTTATTCTTCATCCTTTTCATTGATCTTCTTGACTTCTTGTTCAGGTTAGACTTCATCTTCTAGATGTACTTCTACATCTTTGAAATTGAATTCGTCTTCTTCTTAGATGGAGTCTTTGTCTTCTTCTTTTTCAACTTGGACTGGATTCTCCCCTTTTAGTCTACTAAATATATTGACTTCTTGATATGTGGTCATTCTTAATTCATATAAGGAATAATATCTAAATATCGATAGGTAGATCACCTGTAAAAATAACTTGTCATGAATTTATTGAATTCCATGATGTGTTCTTATGTAAAAATGGGTAAGTGATGTGTATTTGTCAATAGTATCTTAGGTCTGAGTAACTTTTTGAATATTTCGTAGGAATCAATTTATGTGATTTTGCGTTCCAGACTCTCCACAAAGATGTAGAATCCCAATGACATGAAGGTTGATTTCTATTCGAATGTGTAATTTTTGAGGTAATTGTACATCTACAACAAGTATTCTGAGAAGACAGCCAATTTACACTATTATTGAGATTCTTCTGTGGCCTAGCAATAAAATTGCAAATTTACTTTTGATATGGTTTAAGTCTGATAATACTGAAAGGAGATGAGCTCATAAGCAGGGAAGTTGAATACGCCTCCCTTTTTGTGTCCTGCTTCAAATCGTATGATGACAGTTTTAAGAAATTCCTTTTATTGGTTTTGGGTTTCCAAGGAGGCCAATTTGATGATGTCCTTTCTGGTTACAAAGGAATCATAGAATGAGTAGGATTTATTGGAGTCAAGCTTAGTCCTCTTTTTGGTTTGATGACGATTGGAATTGGTGTCTGGAGAACTCATTTATTTAATTAATTTAATGTCAGACACAGAGAATATTGATATAACAAATCTTGGTGAGGGCAAGATTGATAAGTACATTCAACAATTGGAGAACTCAATTCTAAAAAGAACAACAATGTACGGTTTGGATGATTTAACAGTAAGTGATTCAAATTAACACAACATTAGATGATGAGATAGAATCAGATCTTGTGTAAATTATTGAATCAGCAGGGTCTCATAGCTCTGCAAAAATAAAATTATGAACAATGTATCGAATATTTACGAAAGGCTGAATTGGCAACCATTTACGTTCCGGAATTAAAGGTTCGATTTAACGATAACATAGGTTTAAACTTTCAATAATTTGGCTTGCTATTATAGAAAGATGGGTAAAACTAGAACTGCACTTCAATATTTACAATAGGCTTTGGCAATTGAATTACAGTATTGATAATCTTACATTAGATAAAAACAATCCACTTCACTCCCTGACATCTACCTAAATCTCTGTGCAGTTCTATCCTAATTAGAAAGACATGAAGAAGCCATTCAACACATCTATTTGTCAATCATCATGTTACAACATGAATTACTCATTTCATCCTTTTAAAAGCACGAACAAAGATAAGATCAGCCAAATGAGCAATGTACTCTTTGATCTACTATAATAAGCTTTCCCATCGAGATAATCAAGTGTCTAATATGTGAATAGTGTCAAATCTCATTGCAATGAAAGTAAGAAGCTACAAGAGAGAATGTCTATTTTGGTGGTTGCATATCATAATTTGGGAGTTGAAATGGAGCATCTAAAATTATAATTTGAATCCAAGAAAATATTTCAATCTGCCTTACAATTATCAGAGTAGTGTCTACCTTAAGAACATCAATTAAGACATGCTCTCGAGGAAATCATTAAAAAATACAATTCTGAGTAATAACAATAGGGGAATGAGTAACTTACACTCAAACCGCTTCTTCCTAAAGTTCATCAAAAAAATACAGAACTTAAATAAATATATAAGAGTGTCTCTCCCAAACAAATCCTCAAAAGGAATACCTAACTATAATAATAGAAAAACAATCATTTTAATAATTTCAAATTTACTAAAAAGAATTCATATAGTGAAACATATCGACTTGAAAGAGAAAGAATTATGAGTATCAACGCAACCACTGATGTTATTATCAAGAATTTAGAAAACAAAGACATCAGTAACCTTCCATATTTAAGAACAGCCCTAGATACCGTTAATTAAACAACTATATTTTGAAATATATATACTTATTTTATTATTATTATATATTGTAAGATATTCATTATAAGATATATTACTATTTCAAATCCTTTAAATTCATAGATATATACATTATTATCAACAATAATCATAATATATGATATATATTAATACGAATTTTATTTATGGATTTGCCATTTTAATTAAAATAGTGTATAATTAGATGCTTACCGAACCAAATATCGATAGAAGTTTCGTTGAAGATTAAATTAAATTACTCTAAAGAGATATTAATTGTATCATCGATTAGGTGAGTGATTCTTCTATCATTTAGGATAGAAATCTTAGGAAGTAAGGATTGGCAAAACTTTAAGATTTCTTTAAAGTCAAATCAAATCCTTCAGAGCGCATATATATTTTCGATGCTTATGCACTTAAGAATCTCTTAAGAGTGTTTGAAGATCAAGTAGAGAGAAACAGAGAAACTGCTATAAATATTGTGTTAAATTATCTTGATCTCCACAATTAACATTTTAATGCAGAGACTCTCAGGTTAATCGTTGACACAATCATTAATCGACTCAATCAATTGCCATTTGCAGAAACTAGCGAAGAAATACGATTAGCATTAATTAAATTGTTACATCAAATTCAAGTGAAACATGTTAAAGCCTATTCCAATAATTTATAGAGACTAGCACATATGATCGGAAAAGCTCTTCAAGACAATTTCCCAGAAGTCAAAAAAGTACTTAATATATATAACTTTTTAGGATGCAGCCATATTTGCAGCTGAAATATCAAAAAAACTACCCATTGGGGAGTATATGGGAGAAGCAGTCAAATCTCTAAATTCAAATATGCAGCATGCACATACTAAGATTAGAAAGGCAACTGTTGATGTAAGATTTCATTGAATATTTTTAAAGAGTATAGCTCCTATTCTTCTGAGCAGAACCAATGGAACATTCCTAGAGATTGTATTGAATAATTTAAGGAATCTCTCTTTAGATAAATCCTCTGATGTAAGAAAAGGCACTCTAATTGCAGTTGCTGAATTATTGATGCACTTTTCCATTCAAAATTTGAACACCTTTGAGAACAACTTAATCCTCATTTTAATGAACAGTTTGAGTGATGATAGCAAAGAAATATAAAATTTGTCTATGCAACTTTTAGATTAGATTGGAATGAAGAGGCAAAAATTGGATTAAGAAGCCAATTTGTGATATATTTTAAAGTGTGAATACTAATGTGCATATGTAGATTTATAATTAAAAACTAACTCATAATAGAATAAACATTAGAGTCATGCACTGCTAATTAATTATTTAATTGAAAAAATAAATAAAAATTAAACTTTTTCACAAAAAGTATGTTGTTAGTGTATTGCACAAATTATTAAAATCTAATAAGGAAGCTCTTAAGGTTTCCAAAGTATTATTAGTCACTGTTTATTCAGTCTTACTTTTTTCAACTAACATTTACGCCATCACTTTAATGACTTCTTATAATTCTTCATTGCCAATCCTATCATCAATACTAAATTTACCTTGAATTTAATTTCGCTTTCTTCTCACTTAAACTGTCTAAGTACTAAGGACTATGGGCTTATTATATTGAACCTACAGATAAGTCATTATTTTGAATTAGAGACACTTGTTTTTACTTTATTTAAGACATGAATTTATCTACTGCATTGGCATCATTAAAATCAATTTAAAATTGAATCTCATCTAATTGTGATCTTGGGCTTTGTACATCAAACTATTAGTTGATTTCACTTAAATCATCATAAAGAGACACAGCATCTTTCTTTTATTACTTTTCACTAAAGGAGAATACAGAATCCTGTCTACTTTTTGACATCCTCAATTTTTACTAGATCTTCTTACCAGATTGGCTAAATTTAGGTAATTAATAATCTATTTCTGATGAATTATCCTCTTCTTCATCACATTCCACTATTGCATTGTGTTAGCTTTATCTAGAATTTATAAATAGACTCTCAACTAATTAAGCATTTTCTTATTTAGAAAATGATTTCATCTGAAGCTTCAAATCACTATCAGGAGCACGACTACTTATATCATCTGATTCAAAAGAATTCAGTTCTACTTAAAATATCATCTTTTCTAAAACACTTCTAACTACTTCTTAACACATAGTTTCTTCCATTCTTTACAAAGATTACTAAGATCTCCTGGAGAATGATTCCATTTAAAATTTTAGTTAATCTGCTTCCTTCTACTACTAAGAACACCTTATCTATAACTCTTCTGTGATGTTCTCTTTTAGTTTTAACTAAGATTATAATGAATCGATGTAATCTTCTAATTATTGAATTCGCATTTGCAATTCAAAAACGATTTGCCCCTCGTTGACACCAGAAACAGTAATTGATTTTTTCAATTCGATATCGAAATTTTGTTCATTTACATAGGATTAGTTAGTTTAGTACTCAACTTTAGAATTATTTAAACCTTGATTGTAGTTGTGATATTGCGAGCTTTTACTTTATTAAACTTACATTAAAAGTTCATTATTTTTTTCAATCAATTATTAGACTTATAATTAATAGTCAGCATTTTTGTTGATAAGCAGTTGATTTTCATTAGTCAGTTACTTAACTTTTTGTTAATTAATAGTTTGAATCGTAGAGTATTATTCCTTAATCAGAGTAATCTATTTTTAAATTTCAAAATATTCTCCTTAAATTTTGTTGAGATGTTCATTCTTAGTCTCTAATTCTTGTTGATAGGCAAATTCATTCTATTATTATTGATCTTTTTATTTTTTTAATTTGATTTCATATTATTCTAACCTTCTTGTAATTTCACTATTGGCAGATTCAAGATCTTTAATTTAAGTTAATAGTTTAGATTACTCCATTTAGAAATGTTCCTTTTATTGTTGCAAACATTCATCAAGTTGTAGATTGCTCTATATTAATTATTACTCTTATTCTTTCCATTAAGATAATTCATATTTGTATTATTTAACCTATAAGCAAAGTTCTTCGTTTCGTTATCTATATTCTGCTATATTATTGTTCTCTTTTTCTTATTATTAAAACTCCAATCTTTTTACTTCTTCTAATTTATTGGCATATTGGGAAGTTATCTATTATAATTCGGATCTCCACATCTAATTTTACTTTTCCTTAGATATTTTAATGATATCATTATTTTTGGTGGATAAAACAGTAGTCTATTTTAATTCTTAAATTTCTCTCTCCTTCATTTCTAACTTCTATTGTAACTGATTGATAGTATCTGCAAATTCATTTTTCTATTACATTAATAACAGTAAATTACATTTGTTAAAACCTCCTCTAATTCGTTCTCTAATTGCTATTGGACATTCTTAAACTCCTCAATTTCTTATTCTAAAGATTGTTCCCTGTTTTTAGACTCTTCCAATTCCTACATGACATGTGCCAATTGTTTTTTGAGCTCTTCATTCTCTTATTCTTATTCGACCATCATGTTATCAATTTCCTCTAGAAATGCTTTATGTTCTTCTTCTGCTTTTTCTAATTTAACTTTGTATTGATGTTCCGAACTACTGAGGTTGCTGTTACTTGATTCCATTCTGACTTATTAGAGCAACTTCACTTATTGTGATTCCAGTTTCTGAATGATCTCATCCTTCATTTCAATTTCCATTTTGAGTTAAAGACTTAATTACTATGGTCATAGGTATGAATTTTTACTTCATAATCAACATTCTGATTAATCTATGGAGTATTTGTAACCTTCATAGCTCTCATTCCAAAGGTTAGACTAGAGAGAGTTTCTTCTACATGTCGACCAGCTGGACCAATGTTCACAATCAATGCGGTTTTACAATTGCCACCAAGAGCATCTTATAGAATACGAGTTAATTTGGAATCTCTAAATGGAACAAATGTGGATTTAGGACCGGTGAGAGCATGGATACACTTTCCCAAGGCTGTAAGTGAATAGTTGATGGATCTGGCTTCACTCAGTCGATCCCCTGTGGCTCTTGATTTCTTGATTCTTTCACTGCCAGCCAAATCAACAAGATAGAGGGTTCCAACGCAATTGCCAGATGGTAATATACTTTCATCAGTTTCTGTGATCATATCTTGAGAATAGTTTTGTAATTTAGAACTCGGCTTTTTTGAAATAGTCATGGATCTTGAATGTTATTTAGATTATCTCTTCTCTACTTTGATTACAAGCATCGAATGAGACCTGGAGGAATGGGCATTTAAATTAGTGAATGCAACCACTTTGTTTTTTTCTGCAAAATTCATAATGCTTAGACATTCCTAAGGGGATTCAACTTCCATCCATTCCAATCCTGAGACAAATACTCCATTATCAGGACATTCTCTGATTTTCACATCTTAATTGTCAGGTCTTATCAGATCCAGCAACTAAGTTATCATCTAATCAATACCATCTCCATGTAGATTTACAAATAACCCAATTACACAGTGTAAATGTTATTGGTGTCTGCTTGAATTTCATTAAATATTTATTCAAAAGTGCGTGGAGTGATTCCCTTCTCATCGGAGTCTAATTTGCCCATCATGGTGTACGTTTTACCTGTTCCGGTTTGACCATAACAAAATATGGTACCATTAAAGCCTTTGATTACACTCTAAATTGATTATAGATTATAAGTTTACTCCGACAACTCCTCTTGCTATATCATTGTAAACCTAACTTTAAGTAGCCTTTGGATCAAAAACTGAATCAAATTGAAATTGTCTTTTCTCGAAATCCTTCTTGACTATCAATAAATGGAAATATTTACTGATGATCAATTTTTTATTGGGATCAATAGTTTCAACGCAAATGGTTTTGTCCTTGCAAATCAATTCCTCTTCAATTAAAGGGCGAAGTCGAACTGCTACTTTAACTCTTTCAGACATTTGAGTTTAAATTTAAAATAATTGAACGGTATAAATTATATATTATGAGATAACGATTAATAAATCAAGGTTTCTTTTTGGTTGCTTGAGAGTCATCTAAGATCTAATTGATGGTTTTGCTAAGTTTAATAACAACATACACATTACTTCTTCAGTTGTTGCAATTGTTTATCCTACTAATTTTTAATGATGAGTTTCTGGATGTTGTACATCTTCAACAAAGAACTGCTATTTTGAGATTTCAGAATCGTCGAACTCTTATCACTTACCTTCTCCTGTGAAGCATTCATATTCACTTTCTCACGACTACTCCCATACATTATGTTCTTACATGTTCTTCATCATCATGTACGAGTGCTACGTCCCAGAACTTCGTCTCTCTCTTGTTTATTGACTATCGCAATTCTGAACCACGGATACAAAACCCTCCTGCTGATTGGCCTGTTATCTGTTATATACTTGATTCCCCAAAATGTACGATTTTTTAAACAAACTGGGACTTGACTCCCTAGTTTGGTTTTGAGAAGAGATCTTTCGTTCCTGACCTGTTGTCAAAATTTTGTTCTTTGAATTGATAACTTAATTGATACCTTCTCCAATAATTCTAACTTCTCCTTCTCCAATTAATCGATCTTCTCCTACAAACTATCCGAATATAACTTCATTTGTTATTCTAACTGGCAAATTATCCTACAATATTACTCTCACATGATTCCGAATCTCAGCCTCTGCCTTTTAAACTGCTTTCTCCAGTTGGTCATAGTCTACGCCTCTTTATTGTTGAACTAATTCGAGCAAAATTGCCACCTGCTACTTAAGAATCTTGAGAATGTCATCCAAATTGGGCTTGAATTCGAAGTCACTCTTGATAACCACTTAAATCTGTAAAGTTGCATCTTAAATTATTTACATCTTGCACCATCTTAAGTAATTAGTTATTTATGCTCATATTTATTAATATCAATTTATTTCACAATGAAACAAAGAAATAATCTAGACAATCAAAATTATTAATTTTAATTAGTATGATCAACACTCTCGAACTAGACAATCCTAGGCAACATCTATGAGTGAGCTCTCAGACTCCCACTTCTGTATGAATTCTTGATGAATCCCACTCCTGTTGATCTAAAGAACCTAAACACGTTAATCCTAAAATCTACCTATATTTCTGCTCCTCCAACACTATGGCTTTGATATTATTGGTTTGTCGAGATTACAACTTATCAAATAGTTCCGATTTCACAGTCTGCCTCATCTAAGGTTGATCATTTATTTTTGTCAATCCAAACACAGACTTAGCCGAATAATATTCCTTTGTATTTTCATCATGGAATAATTACTACACCACGTCTGTAAATCTTTGTCTCTACGGAGGCTCTTTCTTGCTAGGCAGAGTGGGCTTAAAGAATTTGGTAGTATTCATATTGGTTTGCTTTTTAACATTCTGAGTCTGAGCTAAGTTTTGAGCATCCTGATTTTAGATTTGCACATCTTCTTTGTAGAGTAATGCGATATCTAACACATTGTCAAACATTTGATAGTATTTTAGATCGATCTAATTTAGGATGTTATATCCTAATCGTTGATCGAAGATAATCAACAGTTTTGTTACTAATTGATGTGTATTATTCAGTCTTTGTAAGTCATACTAAGATAATTATTGATATTTGTTGAATTGCTTGCCAAACTGTATCATCTCCTTTCTTAACTTAATCAATTGCTGATTCTTCAAAAATAAATCATTAAGGAGTTCTATTGCCAAAGTTTAACAGGTCGATTCAACTGTTTACACTTACTCAATGGCATACAATTGAATTTTGGCCAAATAGAATTCCTTACAATCCTCTGTATTGATTATGTTATTGTATTTGGAACAATGAAAACTTATGACTTGAGAATATAAACAATTCAATTTGTACTTAATTTCACTCGCTTAATCGAATAATTTCAACATTGCTTTATAGAGATTTGCCATTCCAATCAAAATGCTAAATATGATCTTGCCTCTCTCCTTTTTACTCTCATTATATTGACAAAACTCTTTGTGGAACAAATTCAATGATTCATATTAATTGCTCATAATATCCTTTAATTGCGCATTCTGCTAATAAATGGAGAACGTCAAGAATTGAGACTTATTCATTATCTATCCAATAAGCGATCCAAATTTAACACTCTCCACACTATCACTATTAATGCATACAAAAACAGTTTATTTTTGATTTAACAAATAATCTCTAAAGTAATCTAATAATTCTACACTTTTGAATGGCACATCTACATGTTTTCGTCTTTTTGTAGTTAGATCAGCCATTGTCTTATAAATTTATCCGAACTCAAAAGTACCGCTAAACTTAACTATCTTGAGTTTAGATATAATCACCTATTCTTTAATATCATCATTAGGACTGATCTCAGCTTTTAACTCAATAATTAAATTTGTTCTTTTGTGTCTGTCCACAAATTTTTGACTCAGGATGTTTTATTCTTTGTTAATTAGATTGACCATAGCAATTCTTAATATTTTCATCCCCAGAAGGTAATTGTCTATGATGACTTCTGGAATCCCAAGCAATTAATTTTGCCCATTCTAAAATACAGGCATGAAGGGTTGTGAATCCAAGACTAACAAATCTTTGAAACCAGTTTCATCATACTCAAATACACTCATTTTTATTGTGATGTTATTCTCTAGGAATTTCTCCTCAATAAAATTAAAGATCTCTTGCATAATTAGTAGTACTAGTCCCGGATTTCTCATGTTTCCAATACCTAGAGTAGCCTTGCCAGAATGTCGTTCCCCCAAGATCTAAATCATGTGAGATTCTCCAGCCAAGAAATGTGAAATCAAATCCCTAAACACCGCCTTGTAAATGTCTTCATTCGAGTTCTTGTTTGCGAAGACTCCACTGAATTAATACTATTAGTCCTTTGCCTAGACAGTGGATTCGTTAAGCTAATGAACAAGTTGAGCCTTTTCGGGTTCATCTAATTGAGGTTGTTTAAGCACCAAATAGGCTTTGTAAGGGTTGTCCCCTATTTTGAAAGGTTCATTTGAGAGTAAAGATTGACGGTCTTTTTTCATTATTATTATAAATATTATAATTGAGCTGTGGAAAGTATTGTATTATCATTATACTAATGTGAAGGAATATAACTATATAAAGCAATACGAGTTTATATATATTATAACAAAAATAATCAACTGAGCAAAAGCATGATTTAATTTAATTAACAGTAACAATAACAAATGTCTCAACTACCTCAATACACAAGTCAGACTGTTGAGTCCCAATATATCCAGCAACCAAGTTAAATGAGCATCAAAGCTCAACCAATCACCTTCTATCCACCCACATTCTCCTAGTTCTAAAATCCATTAATGGCAACTCAAAATTATTAAATGTAATAACAACAACAACAATAACAATAACAATAACAATAACAATAACAATAACAATAACAATAACAATTTCTATAACAACAAGCTCTAGGCTCTCCACAATAATAGCAATTACAGCTACAATAATAATAAGATGGTTAGTAGATCAGATCAAGATAACTATAATAGAATCTGTAATAATAGGTGATGTAACAATAATGGAATGAATAATTTTAATAAATGCTTTAGATGCATCACCACAATTACTTACTCCAAAATCAATTACAGAATCTTATGATAAATTAAACAGCTTAATCTGAATAGGCTAGGTAGGACTTAGCAATTCAACAACAGCAATCTTTGGCTGACTTTTCAAACTTGTAACCTGAAACCATTACAGAATACATCCCAGTTGAAAAGAAAATTATCGAATATGAAACTAGAATCAAAAAAATTCAAGTTCCTGTAACACACGAAATAACAGAATATGTACCAGTCACCACAGAAACTATTTCACCAGAAAAAACAGTAAGACTGTCACCTCCAAAAGAAGTACACATGGTTCCTACTGTTGTTTAATAACCTCCTATTTTACAATAAACCGTAATCCCAAGACCTCCTCAGTTATAAATGATTCCTACATCTGCTTAAATAGCCAGAATGCCTACTGTCCCTGCTTATTAACAAGTCCCATTGACTTCAGTGAGGTCTTAACTCTAATCGTCACCACCTAAAATTCTAAACAAGCCTACAGAAATCCCTATACCACCTCCACCTCCTCATCTTCCACTACAACCCTTTAATTATACACCCAAAGACTTTCCAACTATGACAATGCCCCCTCCTCCTCCATAATTCCAAGGATAAATCTCCCTTAATTCCCCTTAGCCACCGCCTCCCCCGTAATTTGATTCACCACCTCCACCTCCAGCTTATCCACATTATTTTGGTCATCAATTAAATTAATTACCTTCCCATTAAGTACCTTAAGTACCACAAAATCAATTCAATCAACCTTAACTTAATCCTCATTAGCAATAACATTAAGTAATTCCAAACTAATAACATTAACGACAATACTCATAATAACTATAGTAACCATAGTAACCTTAATATCCACAATAATCACATTAGCCTTAATATCCATAATAATCATAATAACCTCCCTTACTACCTCATCCACCTTAATCAAGACCTGCTCCGTTCATTCCAGAATAATATTATAGAGACTAAATTGAAGATGAATAAGATCAACACTATTACGATAGGCCTCAAAGAAAACATCCAAATCACCCTGATTTTTAATAGACAAAGCATGCCTCAGTGACCGATACTCCAAATTATCATATTCCAAATTATGATAGTGAAAATGTATAAAATTCTATCAATAAAACTCTTAGATGAGAGATAAGCAATCGGAGCCCATTCAATATCCAAAAAGAGCACCCTTTATTCCGAGATCTTATGACCCTGATTTGCACTATGAGAGACCAGAATAGTTTGATGTACCATCCAAGGATCATTAAAAAAGAGGAATTCAAAGGTCAGTGTATGAAAAACGACCACAAAATGGGCAATAAACCCTGAGAAGCAAGGAAAACTACTTTAAAGACTCTATATTCTAATGACATACCACATTATATTAATATTTATTTTTATTAATTATATGAGAACTTAAGACAAGCCAAGCAAGTAAGGAGGGTTGTACAGTTTGAATCTGGGATAGAATAATGGCCCTTACCTTCCAAAAGACATAATGCTCACTAATTAGAAATCTCTAAAGGTTTGATAATGTAACAGCTTAGCTCCTCCAAGGAGATGAAGTCAGCAAGTCAGTGTCTCATGTCCTTGCTAGAGCTGGGATGGGATAGCTGTATGAACCTCCAGACATCTATGATGAGAAATCGAAATAGTTTGTAAACTTAGATGAGAAATACAAAACCAGAATGAGTGCAAGTGATAATGTAGCAGCCATGAGTACACTGTATACAACATCGATCAAATAGCTCCAAGATTCATTGGCTGAGTATAAGGAATTAATAAAGAAGACTGAAGTAATCAATATACTCAAAATCTAGGAAGAACTGAAAGCAATGAATGAAAAAATTAACAATGACAACATTACCAATATAAGAGAGCTGTAGCCTATGCTCAAGGTATTTCATGGTAAATTGAAGGAGAAATTGCACGAAGAAAAAAATGAGAATTACAAACTCATGAGAGAGATCGAAGCATTAAATAGAGAGAAGTTGCAGATACAGTATTCAATCAAATTAAATTAGATAATCTATTCTATTTTCTCATAAGAGAATTATGGATTTAGAAAAACTTGTTGGCATATAGCACAAAACAGAATCACTTTATGCAGAGAAAATTCATGAGGAAGAGGATATTAATGATGATGAAGATGAATAGCATTCAGACAAAGATTTAGATTCTTAAATGTCAGAATCTTAAGACTGATTTTTGCAATCAAATTAATGAATATAAATTTTTAAAATAACACTACGAGTAATTATGTTAAATTAAATAATTATTCGTTTTCATAAACGAAAAATAAGAAATGTTGATCTATCGACCTATATTTGAAAAATAAACTTTGTTCTAGATTGAATCAGAAAAAATTATTATATTAATTATGAAATTAATCAATAAGAATATTTTTTTGAATTCAAGAATATAATCTTTTTGAATCTTGCACTATGACTGAAAAAATAGTTTCATTTCTTAATTAGAATTATGTAAATCTCTAATTCAGGTTTTTGATATTTGGAAAACAACAATATATGAAATATTTGAAAATCTATTGAAATAATGAAAATAACAATCAAGAATCCTAACAGAGGTTAGTGTTTTCTTCCTATGGGAATAAATATTGTTGAATTTTATTTGTTGAAATTTCTATTAATGATGGCTCCAAATCATGACAGCCACATTTAGTTGATATTTCTTTCTCTACCTTGTTTGATTTGTTTAATTCAATTTTCCAAAACTTTGATGCTGTTAGTGTGATTTAATTGAAATTGTGCAAATTCATTTAGATTTTTATTAATTAAAACCTTATATAGTATTTAAATGTATTTATGAATATTTGTATTAAATTAATTAGTAAATAGTCTCTAAGTAAAAAAACATGAATATAATTGACTTATAAAATAAATTAAAAAATCACACAAAGTTTGCATCAACTTAAATTTGTATAATGCATCTCAATTTACTGTTCCTGTGGTGGATTAGGCACTTAGGTTTAGTCTTCAAATTTAGTCCTTATTATTTAGAATAACATATACATCGATCTAAGATTTCTATATTTGATGATCAATAGGAATAATCCAGCTAATAAAACTGTAATCAAAATGATAAACATTCCCCTTGTAATTTCGTCAAAAAAATTATTTGTTATAGTTTTTTATTCCAATATATGTGTTTTATAGAAGTACGATAATTTTAATTTCTCATAATTTTTAGTTTTGACATTCACTAAAATAATAATGATATTGATATACCCGTAGCTTATATGGTAGCTAACACCTTTTGAATTTCAGTTCCTTGATAAATGCTTTGGGTCATAATAGATAAAGGGTTATGTTTACCTCTTCTGAGTGTGAACGAATAGTATTGTGCATTTTGATTGCATTTATCTAATTGTGTATTATCACTTAAATTCTGGTTTTAGTAGATGAAAGTGTAAGTAATGCTCTCTAATACATAATTTTAACTTGACTTTTCAGAAGATTAAATTGGAGTGAAATGGAAGTACAAATGATTATCTTTATAAGATAATTAAAACTCTCCACCATCTCCAGGATAGAAGTTATCCATAGGAATTTAAGTGTCATTTTTAATAATGTCCAATCTTAATATAAAAGAAACAACGTCCTTAGGAGTTGTGCTTTTGATAGTTTTAGCATTTATATAATAAATATTAGGATTGACAGATGGAATTGTTCCAATTAACTGTTTATTTTAAATGGATACTATTTTGTCTTGATAAAATCCTTAATTGAGATCATCTCTAGAGGAACTACCAAAAATGTTGACGATGCCCCCACACAATTAAGCTTGAATAAATAGTGTAGAGGCCTCATGAAGGTGAATTTCCCAGATTGACTATTCGCCAACTTTGGCTCTAACCAGCCTATATGATTTAGGTGTTAGGATATTGAATTCTTTGTTCCCCAACGTAATAGAGTAGGGGACATGAAAAACTTCCTATGGAGCTAAGCTCAGGAAATAGAGACCTGGTATACTAGGTATCTAGACGTAGGTAATTGTATCTAATTCTTGGAGGAGTGATATTTAAACATCAGCATAATCATGATAATCAGATCGAATGTCAGGATTATTGTATCTATCTTGTTTCAAGGTGATTCCAGGAGGATGAATAGTTTTATCATGCACAATAGTTGCAATCTCAATTATTATAGAATAGTAGTCGTCACTACGATTATCGATTTTATTTGGAATAATAAAGTACAATTGAGCCTATTGTTGTAAACTAATCCTAAATATTTAAGGTTGTCCAACTTTCAATTCAATGGCTTGATGTTAATCTATGATTTCAATTTAGTAAACTGTTTAAGAGGAGGAATTAGAATACACTTTAAATTCATAAACTGATAGATTATATTTTGGTTTCACATTGCTTATAAATAAGGAGCGATTGGCATGAATCCCTTCACGACTTGCTACTTAATTGTTCAAATAATCGATTGTTCCATCATTTTCTTCAAGAGATAGGCGATGTACAGAATAGTCTTTATCTAAATCAGTCTTTTTTTCAAACAAATAGATTTTGCCTTTAAAAACTGTCACATTCAAATAGAAATCGCCGTAATTCTAAGGAACATATAGGAACCTATCAAATTCTTCAGTTTTTAGTTAACTCTTGATCTCGAGATTATCTTGCACCTGAATTAAGCTATTCTTCCTTGCTATTGTAATGGTTAATTGGGTATCCTAAAAGTTATTTTCCAAATACATCAGATAAATGCATTTTTCACACTCATGTTCTGAAATACTTGGAATTTCCAAGAAATAGTCTTCTATTCTCCAATCATATCTGCATATATAATTATACATACTCCTATTTTATATCATTCATGACCCTTGATTATTCTTCCTTTTTAAATCGTTTGATGAGAATTTTCGGTTTTAGGTAATCAATTAGAGAATTTGAACTTATCATTATGCGAATAGAGTCATAGGGACTATAACTAAAAATTAAGTAGGTTTGCGAATTCAAAGGTAGATTTAAATTAAATGGCTTTTAAGTTAAAATGTTATATAGACGTGCATGTCCCGTTTTAATTTAAATGGACATAGTTAATTCTTAAAAAGCAGATAAACCTATGCTATGATAATTTAAATATTAAATACTAATAAGTTACGAGTTTATTTGAATTAGCTTTTGGAGGAATTAATACATAATCTCCATAATTGAAGCTCGAACTATAATCGTAAAGTTTCTCGGTTGGCATGTAATTAATGCCAACTAATATATTTAACACATTTATCTTATCTGTAGTGACAAAAATTTGCAAACCATTTGATTCTCTGAAGTCTACTACTTTAAAATATTTGATTTGCTTTTTATTAATCAACTTACCAGAATAGATAAATCTTTCATATAGTTTAACAGCACCAGACGATCGCATAATGGTATACTCGTGATTTTCTTTATTTTATGGATCTGCATGAGTGCAAGTGACTGCAGCATAGCATAAAATATTATTGCAATTAGACCTTTCTATGTCCTCAATTGAAATAAAAACGGAACTTTCAATATCGATATTATCATTTAAGGACTGAAACTCGGAATTGTAATCATCGGTGGGAAAATCCTTTAGAGTTGGTGGATTTAGCGGAATGATATTGACTAAAATTCGAATATTAGCTGTTAGAGAGTATAATATTATTTCTGTTTCTTCAGTTATTAGAAATGTGAAAAAATCCAATTAATTTGCAATTGTTTTTGTGATGTGTTCTTCATTATACAGATTAATGATTTAGGATTCTTTAGAGACCAAAAAAGAATAATAGGTATCTTCTTTTGATTACACTTCGATAGAAATTGAACATGAAACAATCTCTTCAGTTCTCTTGCAATTTTCATATTTCATTTAATTAGCATTCAGTATCATACTTGAGTCCTTCATATCAATAATATCATCTTAGATTTTAATGGTGGCTGACAGAATGGATTCATCAGTATTATGAGCATGAAGATTGAAATATAAATCTTCCTTTTTGTAGAAGTTTAAGAAAAACAATTATTTATCAGAATTCTCTATGAACCCTTAATAACTATCTCCAATTACTAATTCAATAGGTTAGGAACTGGCTTTAAAGTTAATTTTATATGAGTATAGTGGATAAGTATAAGAATGATGAATCTGAACTCTAATGAATAAATATTATGGATAGGCTGCCTTAGTGAATGTTAGTTAGTTGGATCCAGTTAGATTCGTTGTGCTAATATCAGTTTCTGGATGATCAAATCCATACATCATGAATTGCCCAGAATTGATTCTTAAAAACACTTTCATCTGAATTTGAGATGCTGAATTTTTAGCATTAAACCCACTTAGATCGACTTTGAATAGTTAAACATCAGTTGAATACACAGTAACTATTTCTTATGGTTAGCCTTCAATCAATTATATGTATTAATGGGCATATTTACCAATCGTCCCCCAGTCTTCTTATTTTCTATATACTATAGCAGTAATAATATATTAACTAGCGGTCTCTCCATAGACTCCAATGTATATAGTTCCATTAATGATTTCTGTACCATTGTTTTCTCCATAGAGGACTAAATTGTGAACACCTTGACGTTCATTTTGTTCTTTTGTTGGTTACATTTCAGTTCTGGATGTAAATAGCTTTGGTTATCCCTAAATAGGTGTTAATTAGATGAACAATCTCTTAATGTAATCGCCATCATTCACGGTGAATTTGTAATAGTTATAGAATTCATGGAATACGAATTGTTTAAGGGGGGTGTTTTCTTTTAAAAGAATGTTATCTTGCTTAGTTGTTATTAGAATTGAATAGGTTAATTCATCCTCAACATTATGCTCGCCTGGGATGATCAATATTGCATAGAAACACAGATGTACATTCTCATAGAATCTGCAATTGACTGGTAGATAATCGAAAATGATGATGTCATTCCCAGGACTATAATGATAAGTTCCAATTTTACTTGAATGAATAATAATATTAATTCTCAGTGTTGTTATTTTTGAAATTCTGAGAATTGATAAATTAATGTTCCTCCTCACTAAATATACATGTCCAAAATTCATTGCATGGTTTTAGGACTATGTCAGCATCTCCTCTTATATTTTTTAGACTAACACTAACACTTTGTTATTTATTGCTTTTGATAAAGAATTTATATTGATGAAATTTGGACTTGCTCATCTTGCTAATAGCTGGCTTGTTTAATTCCATTACCATTAGATCAGGGTTCAACATTTGTGATTTCAATTCAAATGTCGCAACAGACTCTTTGGCTTAAATGGCTATATAAGCATAAAATCCTTTGGCTTTCAAACGACTCAAGTCTTCATTGGTAATAATCAAATCATCAGTCACTCCATCATTCAATTTCCAATAATAGTCCTCCAAAGATACTGGATTTTCATCAAGATTAACATACATTGTGGGATAACCTTTGAAGGATATTAATTGGATATTCAAAATGAGTTATCCTGAATAGAACAACTCATGATCAGCAGTAACATTCAGAATATAGAATGCATATTCATTTTCTTAAATAACATCTTCAATGGATTCTCCCACATTGATATACCTTGTGGATCCATATGTCCTTGTCTTTATGTACACAATTGCTCCTTATTAGGCTTCTACTAAAAGTGTATATGTTTGATTTTCCTTTATGTCGTTAATCTTAAATTTCTAAATCCCTGAGAATGTATCCAATCCCTTAAAATCATGTTTTTAGAGGGATGGCCTTTGCAATCCAAAATTCATAAAAGATTGGAAAGATTCCTGCAGGATTTCAACATTTTTGACTTGAACTGCCACTTCTAAATTTTAATTCTATTTAACAGGGTATTATTTTAACTCATTTATATTGATTCTAATTATTTCAGTCCAACTTGTATTATTCAACTTAAACTCCAAGTCATCGGCTATAATTCATGAATGATTAATACAATTTGTCATCATTAATTCATCTTAATAAACAGCTTTTAAATTATATCTACAATAATCTTCACAATAAACTGCCAAATAATAAGTCTTGTTTTGAGGTTATGGTATCACACAGATGTCTACAATAATTCATCAATTGAATTACCCATTCCTTGAGAATTGCATTGAAATTCTGAATAAGTTTTATTAGGCGTTTGATTCAAAGATGAAATGTAAATATCAGGATTTCCTAATGTGGATTGCTGTTTCACAACTATTATTAGATCTCTATCTTTAATTGCTTTCTTTATATCGATTTGGTAATATTTGTAATTTTTGTCACCTTGCCAGGGTACAATAGCACTATTTATATGGTATAGGATACTCATTATATGTTTGACCTAATTCTAAACTCAAATAGGCTTAGCCTTGAAATGCCAAACAAAAAAAGGCAAATATCATAATTAAATTATTACTTAATAATATTAAATAAATTTCAAAAATGAGTCTTGTTTCTGCTCCAAAAAACCTGAAAACTCACATTTTTAATTTAATTGAATAGAACAAGACTTAAGAGTTAATATAATTCATTGAGAATCATCGAGATTACATATAAAATCTGGTGGCTCCAAATTATTGGACACTTGGAATGTATGCAGTCAGATATAGTAATCATGATCTAATGAAATATCTACATAAAAAGGATCTATTGATTGAACATCCATTATCTCAATATACTTTACTGTCAAATGCCTTTTAAAACAACGATCTTGAGAGTTTTAAATTATTATGCGACGAATTGGGAAAAGTAATTTGACTTCTAATTCTTTAGGACATCAACAAACCTGTGCATCAGTTCTAAGAATAAACATTTTTACAATACGCCATCAAATACAATTTTAATGACTTGATCGAAATACTATGCTCCAGAGGAGCCTACTTCATAATTGAAAGGACATCCTCGTCTCTAATTGATTGCTATGCCAACAATCTCAAAGTGGAACACGATCAGACAGGCATTAAATTTAGAAGCTACAACAACAACAAAGAAGTAGCCCAGAACTCTATCATCCAATTGAAAAGAGACAAACTTACTCCTACTCATTATTTTAGATTCAAAAATATCTTATTACTATAATATCTATTGTAGATCAAATACTTGTAAGCTCCTGAAGGATACGGAGACTTTTTGTTGAACTTTAATCGAATATTGGAGTACACAGCTCCCAGCAATATATTAGATTGAATTAATAATATTTAGATATCTATAAATTATAAGGTATTTTCAGTCATTCAATCCATTTTAATCTTATAAAACTCACTTGGCTTGCGATTTTCAATCATTTTTATCATCAAATAAGTGTTCGACAAGAAGAATATAACACATTAAACAAAGATCATTGTAAATACATCCTATCCCTGTATCTCAAGATAATAAGATCCAATATTCCATTGCACTTCCAAAATCAACCAAATAACTGACAACACCAATATCTCCTTATTCTTCATCTTGGTATGTTGGAGTGCCAATGGAATCAATGCAATCCACCACACAAAATATTGGGCTGTCTGCACCTTATTAAACACTACAAACCCAAGAGTTTGAATCAACATGGCAAACGGTAAGTCTCTATAGTATTTCAAGCCTGCCAAGACTACTATCAAAAATTAGGGTAGGAATGTCAATGTTGCTTGGGTCCTAGTGATGGATTCAAAGCTTAAATATATCTGGTAGAAATAGGGAGAAAAATTATGTCTATTGTCCTTTCGTGTAAAATGATATAGATATGTTTGGAAAAGGAAATCCTCATAGATAAAGTGGAAAAATATCAATAAGGCTATGAATAATCCACCTGAAATCAAGGCAAACTTCACTTTATTCTTACTAATTACACCCAAATAACTTAATATATCATTTATCTTACATCCTTTCCGGCTGATGAGAATCTATAAAGAAGTATAATGGAATTGCATATATTATTGGATATATACGCAAATGAACCATAAATCCATATATAAGGGCAGCCCATGTATATTTCTCTTTCTTAAGTAAATAGAGCATGACATAAATTAAAAGCACAATTAAGGTATCCGATGACCCTCTAGTCGAGACTTAGATTGTCAGAGGGTTGAAAATCCACAAATTCAATAGAAATGTAGATTTGACCATTTTTTACATAAAAACACATGCTAACATATCTACAAAACTGAACAGAATCTTTCCAAATGATGAAATCCACACATTTGGTATTAGGATGTAAGCTAAAATAGGTGAATATCTATAGGTGTGTCTATCATAAGGTGAACCACCATCAACCACATATTATGCTCCATCAGAGTACACCTACATATTACTTCTATAGATACTGAATAATCTATGTCCGTGTATTTGAGATTGAAATATTTATCCTAGATCTCAGCATAAGCAATCAATCCTAGCCTTATTAGAAGACCTATGATTATTGCAATTTTTGGACTCATAAATTAATTAATGTTTAAATTAAGAACCCATACTGTCAAACAGTGGCTACTCTAAAGATTTCGTAAATCCGTCAATAGTTAATACATTACAGATCCATACGAAGAAGTATTTTAATATTATATATGCAGGAATACAAACAAGAATTGGCGGAACTCTTTGCTAAATTTGATCACCTAGGCAAAGGGTAGATTTAAAAATACGAATTGCTTACTCTTCTCAACAAATATGGAATCAGTATCAATGAACAGGAATTAACGTGTTATATAAAGCAAGCAAATTCAAAAAGTGGTCGTTTTATAACAACCGAATAATTCAAATAGTGTGTTTTATCCGAAAAATCAAAACTCTTCCTCAAAAGGCTTATCCATAAATCAAATGAAAGAAACCCCCAAAATTACTTTCCCACTGAAATCACCAAAGTTTTAGATTAAGTCCACTATTTAAGTGAGAGGGGCAGGCTCTTATCATAAATTGAAGACAAATAAATTCCTGTTGAACAGAAACTACAGCCTCTCAGTAAATTAATGAACCTCAGTCGTGAGATCACAATAACTGAACATAGACCATAATAAAAATGTCCTTTGAGATTACCAAGAGCTCGATCAACCTGTACTACAAATTATAACAGTTTATCTACTGCAATTACTGTGCCTTCTACATCCAATTCGAGATTTGGAGATAATCGTTTATCCTTTAGAAAGTATCCTACGTAATATTGCGAATGATCTTAATTAATTAACTTTATTTTAGTGAAAATTCTATTTATATTAGGTACTAAAATTGATTATATTGTTCTACTATATTGTTATAAATCATAAAATAATGAATAGAAGAGCTTATTTAAATGAAATACGATGTTAATTATTGAAATTGAGATCTCATTTGCTCAAATAGAAAAAAGAGAAAATTGGATTCTTAATTTTATAAAAAATCAAGTATTAATACTTGGATTCAATTTTATTTGATATTTATTTTATTTTATATGAGTTTACCTATTCAGTCCAAAAAGCCTGACAGATTGATGAAAACATTGTTTATATCTTAGCCTATCATTTTTTAATCAAAAGGTTTGAGCAAAAGCGAAATGGTGACAGAGGTTGTTCAAGAACCAATTCCTCAAAAACCTTATGGCTTTTAGACACTTTAAAGTTAGAATTTATAAAAGTAAATGTATGGGATTGGATTAAACACAGGAAGATTTTTAGATAATCAAGAATAATTAAGATAAGATAAAAATAAGAAAAGAGTTATGAAGCCTGGATAAATAACTACATTAGAATCTCTGACTTAGAAATCGTCTACTAAGAATATATTTTAAGGTACAATTCAAGCATTTTCTTAGAGGCTGATAATGAGGAAAGAAAAAAGTTCATTGATTATACAGGTGGTCCCAGATTTGAAAATGAAAAATAAGACAAATTGATCAAGTACTCAGTGGTGGGATATTAACAATTTTTGAAGATCCATTAAGAAAAGCTAAAATTAGAAGAAAAAAAAAAGAAGAAAACCTAATAAACCAATTAAGGAACTACTGATGAAACTATAATAGAGGAGTAATAACCTTTGAAGACAAGCTAGTTCAGTGAGAAAATGATATAATAAAGGAAGACACCAAAAAAGAATAGAGGAGATTAAAAGTTTTTGAATAAGAGAGATTTAGTTTAGATAATGAGAGAGACTGAGAATAGAATCAAAGAAGCATAGAAAGAGATGGAGGAATAGGAGAGAAAACTACCTTAAAACACAAGAAATGCAATTACAAGGGAAGAGAGGGCAATAAAAAAACATGAAAATGTGAAGGCTTAATGGGAAAATGTTAATATTTAAGTGGCTTCCAATTGTTTTCGTCAGCCTGAGGAAACAATTATGTCTAGATCAGATTAGTTTAGGGAGAAAAATCAAATGGTATCAGCTTTAGAATTATGTAAAGGGGATGATGAGAAGAACAATAGTCGCTACTGGTATTTGAGATTAAGATGGTATGATCACAAAGATTCAAGACCTCCCTTTACTTTATTAACATAAAAGAATCAATAATAGAGTGAGCGGAAATTTGAAAATAGACTCACTAATAGGTTTGTGACAGATGTTGAAGCAGAACGATTGTATCAATAGCAGCAATTTGTATTATCTGATATTTAATCTAATTTCAATGCAAAATTAATAGAAAACCCTTTTAAATAAGTTGAAACTGTTATTTCAGAGTAAAAATTAAAATCACAAGAGAAGTCAGTGTCAAATTATTCTAATCTTCAGGATTCACCAAAATCTAAATTATATTCAATCAAATTAGAAACTATGTATCATTAGAAATTGAAGGAGAAACCAAAAAAAAAGTTTGTTGATTGTTAAGATTTTTTAAGTTTAATAGGAGAAAGCTAATATCAAAGAGAGTTGAAAATGTTGAAAAGAGAGTAAATGCAAGAATTCAAATTAGCAGAAATTCCACTTGAAGAATAAGAAGTGATGATTAATACCTGGAACTCTAAGAATTTGGCAAAATCTGGTGAACGCATATTGTTTTGATTTTAATATTTATTTTAACGAATTTATATATGTCTTCTATAGAAACATAATAGGAACTGAGCAAGTTTTTTATATTAGTAGTAAATGGAATGAGGTATATAAATTAATATAGATAGAGACGATTAGAAAAGTGTTTAGAATTCATTTAAGAAATCACAGATCATAAATATATACCTCCATTTTTCAAAAATGCTGTTTGTAGAATTGAGTAACTTTAAGTTTATTTACAATCCTTTGGAATAGACACATAAATTTATGAATTGAAAGACCTGATTGGAAGACTAGGAGGATTTGAAGATAGATTATTATTCAGTCAATTTCAGGATAGATATCTAAGATACCCAGGTAATGTAGAGAAAAAAGAAGCAGAAATCTCATTTTTGAGATTACTATATGAAGAGATTTAATTGGAGAGGTAGTTGGATGAACAAAGAGTAAGGATTTTTAAAAGATGGGATTACAATTTAGATATACTTTTTAGTAAATTATCATCTGGAAGCAATGCTGTGGATTTTAATAAGATGAAAAAGTTTTTTGTGCGTATTAGATAGAATCTGGTTGATGAAGAAATCAGATTATTATTAAAAAGAGTAGGCAATGGAGATGGCACTATAATGAGTTTGGATGATTTTAGATAGGCTCTCAAAACACAAAAATAAAGAGCTTTGGATAAGAATTAAATTCCTATGATGAAAACTAGTATTGTTTTCAATAAACAAATCAATAATACGAATTATATGGATAGATTAAGAAGAAGATATAAACCAATTTAAGCATAACAATCTTTCATATAGAAAGATGGTTGTTAAACTCCAAGAGCTAAAACTCCAACTCCTTGTCGTGATACTGAGATAAAACAAACAAGAACTAAAACCCCGAATTAATTAACAGAATAAAAAGTATATGTCAATAATGAAAGCAAAGAAATCAATACACTCATGTCCATTTATTTAAATTAATAAAGATGCTTATAGAATGTATTGTTGTAACTGGATGAAGTTGCTTTATTAAAGTCTTTGCATTCAACTGATTGGCACAAAGAATGGTAAACCTTTAGCGTGAACTCTTAAGGGATATCTTATGAATATTTTATTAATGTTCTGACATATTATGATTAGAGAAAGCCTTTCAATGACAAAATTAGCATCATAGATCTACCCACTTCTGCTCTTACTGTGGCAGATAATCTCTTCTAATTATTACGAGATTAGGAACATCAGATTCAAAAGTCAAGACTTTAGTATTCAAAATAAGACTAAATTAATTCATTAGACAAATATTTTGCAAAAGGATTTATGGATGTATTAGATGTTTTATAGATTTTACAAAAGTGCACAATAACTAATGTCAGTTTATAAGATGCAGAGTTGATAATTGCAAGGTTTAATCAATTTAATGGAAAGAAACAAATCACAAAAGAAGTATTTTTTAATGAAATTACTTGATAAATAAAATATTTATGGCTTAATACTTACAGTGTTTAATTTAAATGCAATCTTTAGATTCTTATTCAATATATAATCACAACTTAAATCACAGAAATTGTAGTAAATTAATATTCTAGAATAAGTGGATAGTTTAAAATCTGTATATAATTCTTCAATTTGTTAAGTACCTTCTTCTCAAATAAACTAATTAATATAAAAATAAATTATTATTTTAATGGAATCTAACTCCTTAGATTTTAAAATAAATATATAACCCAAGATTATAACTGAGCATGTAGAGCCTGATGTTGATTTGACTGTCGACAAATATGATGCTGTCTATCAAAATACTTAATAGGAAGAGGAGGTGGAAACAGCTCATGTATAGATATTAAATATTTTGATTAGAAAGACTTACTAATATAGGAGTATGATATCACTTAAGCTGGTCATCCATTCTACTGTGTTGCTGCCTTATTGTTAACTTCTATTCCAGGATTAACTTTTATTTTGTTGCAAGATGTTATACATGCTTATCCCTTAGTTATCATACTTTAGTTGGCTTAATTTCTGGCACTAAAGAACTACTTGGGTTTAAAATTGATTGGGTTACGTTGGTGGATTGAGATGAATATCAAGGGAGAATAGAAATGGATGTTCTAGACTCAATCATAAGAATAATCAAATAAAGTGGATAAGTACTTCTTTTGGGCCTGTCTCATATATGGTACACTCTTTTGGTGCATAATGTGTCTTGGAGACTTCTTTGGATTCAAAATATTCTGGGTATGATTGTAAATAGATTATAGTTACCATTGCCAATCATATGTTTTGTTTTGTCTTTAACTAATTTATAAGGATTTTACAAATGCAGAGGAGAGCACAAGCAGAAATTATAATAATTGAAAAGAGAAATGGCCAAGGGAGGAATGAATATAGTGGGAATGATTATGAAGTGATATGAAATTGTTATTTTTAATATTATTCGATTTAAATTGGTTTAGTGTGTTTAGAAATAGAGAAAATAAATTATATAGTTAGATTATTACAATAATAATTAAAATATGGGTGTCAGATTGCATGTCCTGAGCATACCCAATTCTATGGAGCAGCTATTGATTCAAGGGCATTTGCACTAGTGCATTGGCAATTGTATGCATTATATTGGTTGTCCTAAGTTAGATACTTAGATAGGATCGACATATTATTAAAATAGTTTCTGAATATCAAATAATCTGCATCTTTGTTCCATTTTTAGTTGATATGACATTGAACTTGGAGATCACATTTTAGACATCTGAGATTTGTGCATATGCGATATTATTATTGATTTCCTATTTGCGGTGATAAACATTTTCTTTTTTATTATTAACTTTGATTTGGTTATGTTTATGTTTGTGGCTAATAGTTTTACTATGAAATTGGTTTGCTTTGTGGGTTGTCCATAACTGAGTTGATGTCATTTATTAAGTCGTCCAGATCATCATCGAATTTATTATTTATCATCTTGATTTTGTTTATAATAAATATTATATTTTTTTATTTGATAACCATAATGAGATAACGAAGTGGTTAGATATTGTCACCAGCCAAAGTAATTCAAAACTTTTAAATGAGTACTAAGAATTACACTAGTAAAAATGCTTCCTAATCTCCTTTAAAATTTATGCAAAGGAATTTATCACAAATTATATTGAAGGACTTGGCAAAACATGATTCAAGTCGTAAAGTCAATCATGGGAGTATTACTGATAGAGTGCATAGTCAATAGCGATCCAACTCAAGAGATAAAGTTAAACCACAAACGAAATAAGCAAAAGTTCCAACCGAAACCAACCTTCCTTTTTAATAACTATCCAAAGGAATCAATTTAATTTTGAACCAAAAACTAACAAACAAAAATAAATTGATTTTAGAAAAAGGATCTATGACTCGTAGAAATAGCGCTGAAGATTTGTTAACCAATTCAGTTTAGATAGGAGGTAAATCTTCATCCATAGACAAACTACCAAAATAAGAAATTTAGATTTATGTTCATTATTCATCAGAACTCACTCAAAATTTTAAATTCTGTGCTAGCGTAACTACAGACAAAGTTTTAAATGCTCTAAAAAATAAGACTGGAAACTATTAGGTTGTGGGATTCGCAACTTTAGATGAGAATATTGGATTTGATTATTATCTTACAATTCCTTTTTTGCCATTGACTCATATGGTAGGCAAAACCATTCGTCTGAAACCTATAATGGGAATATCGCCTCCAAAACAATTGAATTTAAGTTGCTTCTAATTTCTGCATGTCATAGGGAAAGGGGGATTCTCAACAGTTATATTGTCTCGATCCCTACTTGATGGCAATTTTATTGCACTCAAGTTAATTAGCAAAACATTTGTAGTACAAAATGAAAAACAGGACTTGGTCTAGAATGAAAGAGACATATTAATAGAAACCACTAATAAAGGTTCTTTATTTACATCCAAAATTGAATTTGCATTTGAAACTAAAAATTGGATCATATTTGGTATAGAATTCTGTCCAGGAGGAGAAATGTTTAGTTATATGAAAAGAGTCTAAAAGATGACTGAGTCCTAAGCTAGATTCTACATCACAGAAGTTTGCCTTGCTTTGGGATTCTTACATCATCAATAAATTATTTATAGGGATCTAAAACCAGAAAATGTTCTAATTGATATTACAGGGCATATTCAATTGGCTGATTTCGGACTCGCTAGACCAAACATGCAACCTGAATAAAATGCATACTCATTTTGTGGCTCTCCAGAATATATGGCTCCAGAAATGTTTCATAATGATGGTCACAATAATATGGTTGACTACTATTGCTTAGGAGCATTGCTCTATGAATTTGTTACAGGACTCCCTCCATTCTATTGTGAGGACAAGAACATCATTTATACAAGATTGCTTAACGAATAAGTCTAATTTCCTAAGAAATTAAGTCCAGAAGTCAAAGATCTAATTAAATTGCTTATGATTAAGGATCCGAATAAAAGATTAGGATCAAAAAATGGAGTTGATGACATTTTAGCACATCCTTGGTTTTAGGATATAGATATTGCAAAATACATTCAAAAATAAATTGATCCTCCTTATATTCCTGATCTAACGAAATTATAATTCAAATCACCAACCACAAATGATAGAATTCTATTCGAACAATTAAATCGAGAACAAAAATTAATCAATCAATTTAAACCAATGTTTGACACTGCATTCTTTTATCAATTGAAAAGATATCAATGTTATGAATTTGATAAAAATTCATCAACGTAGGTGACAAAGGACACTATTGATTCTATGGTGAGAAAAAGAACTAAAAATTCTCAGAATAGTTAATAATCCTTGTTATCCCAACAATCACAGTCATAGTTATCCTCAGTATTATGTTCTAATGAAACCCTTAGAAATACTAAAAGCGTAACAAATCTAAAATTTTATTAAAATTTATTAACTGAACCATCTAGGAAATGAGTTTATATTTATTGTAATATTTTCTCATCATCCAAAAATATTATATTGATTCTTATTTCTTATTCTATTATAAGTAAGATTAATTTAATAGTAATCAAATTTAATTGTTTCCCAAACCTTGTAGGTAATTAATATTTCCAATTGATTTTTTCTGAAATTCTTTAATCATCTGTCTTATCATCGGCAATTTTAATCAATCTCTTAAATAAGTTAAGAGCGCGAATAAGATATTCTGTTAAATCAAATTATAATAGTATAATTTAAACACATTCTATGTAATCAATTTTAAGTCACAAAAAATTAAACTTATACAAGATATCATTCGTCAATAGGTCATTTTTACGCTTGTAAAGACAATCGTATAAGGATTTTCTCACTCCATCTTTTTTGTTATATTTTGGATATGATTGTATTTCATATTATATTTTATTAATTTAGAAATAAACTCATTATGTCGTGCAGTCTAAGTCAGAATCAAGATTCCTTTAGTAACCAAGACACAATTGAAAAAGTAAGCCAAAGAATTTCTAAGAAAGAATAAATGGAAATGAAAAGATAATTGGGAGTAATGGTTAATAGAGTTAAAATGCTGGAAGTGTTTCGATAAAGATTGTAACTTTTCTGAGTATCTAGATAAGGGAAACAGTTATAAACAGAATTGAAGAATGAATAGGTAAATAGTATTAGGAATGAATATAGTGAATACTTGAAGTAGGTATTTTATAAGTTATCTATTTAGTAAAGTAAACATAAAGAATCTAGAGAATAATCTCTTGAACTTTTTAGGGTAAAAACAAAGCTTTTAAAACAATAACAACTAAATCTTAAAGTTTAAATTCGTCAAAGTGTGCAGCAATAGAAGAAGGAATAATTTGAGTTAATGAAGAAGCAATCCTTAAATCACGATAAAGTTATCATCCTCCAGAAGGAAAGATCGAAATCCTACAATCTAGAGAAAAAACAAAGGGTTCAACAATATGAATAGTAACAACAATTAAACTTAGCTATGTACAAATAATAAAAATAAGATTAATTCAAATCTTAACACAAGAAGGCAGTCCTCAATAGCTATAAGTAAAAGGCTTAGGACTTCATGAAAATACAATTATTGTGGGAGAAAGAATAAGATCTCCTAGATTAATTAAATGATTCTTATCATTCAAGATTGACTTCTTCAATGATAAAGAACTGAATATTGCTTGTATTTGTAAATTTTATTTATAATATTATTATTAATGGAAGAAATTCTTGAAATTGTTCCAAATACGATACAATTCGATTATTAAAGTAGAGAATAAACAATCTCTATCTAAAATTTGACCCTTCATTATATACAAGTTAGAATTGTTTCCCCCAATCCTACTTTATTTGCTATAATTCCTAATATTTGTAAATATATATATCATATCATATAATAGTTTCAATAGAACCTTGTACAACTACAGAAGTGGTTGTCAAATTAAATTTAGATTTTAAAATGAACTTTTACTCACTTATAATGAATAGAAAGTTAACTATTTTTTATTATGATGTTGACGATGTTGAAGAGTTAGGTAAAAATGATATGGATTGGCAAAAATTACCATTTAATTTTTTGGGGAGAAGTGAAATTAATGTTGACTATGATACGAAAAGTGACAAATATCAAATACTCAAGTCGGAGAAGTCAAAAAAATTTATGGAAAGTGTTTAAATATTTTAGGCTTTGTTTATAAAATAAAAAAACATATCTTTGAATGATGAATACAAAAAGATTTTAATTAATAAATATCTAGAATTACATAACAAATATCAAACTTATAAAATTATGGAAGATAGCATAATTTTTATTGGTAATAATTTAGATTTTGAAAACGAAATCTATTGTATTGAAAATCAATCCTAAATTTATTATGTTTCCTCATACAAACCAACCTATTTATATAATGCTTTTCCACAACATCCCATTGAACCACTAAGCCCATAAAGCCCAAGAAAGAAAAGCTCATAATAACCTCTATAACCATAAGAACCAATAAAATTAGTCAAAACCGAAAGCGAGTAACTTAATCAACATTCCTTAATTGATTTATCTCCCGTCAAGTAATTTTTCTCTGTGTTCACATCATCCAAATAAAAACATGATGAGACTATTGACTAATAAGTTTAGGTTGAATAACCAATTATTTAGCCCTAACTTATAGATCAATAAAAAATCTAGTAATAATAATAATAATATGAAATTAGGGAGTAATAATAGGTTACAAGATAAAATGATACAAGGACAATATAAGATGATAAGTAATAGTAATAATAATAGCAATAATAATTATAATAACAATCATAGTAATAATAATAATAATAATAACAATCATAATAGTAATAATAACAATAATAATAGTAATAATAACAATAATAATAGTAGTAGTAACAATAATAATAGTAGTAGTAATAGCAATAATAGTAGTAATAATAATAATCATAAAAATAATAACCATAATAACCTAAAGTTTAATAAAAGTTTTACAATCAAGAGGCAAGCGTACCTGAATCAAATAGAATGAATAAAAGATTACTTAATGAATAAAATACGAATAATGGATAAAAGACTGAATAAAAAGCATAATCTATTGATGGGAGGAGAAGCCTGTAGATAATTGATTAGAAAAATTAGTAGAGATTAAATGAAACTGCTGACTTGTCATGGGATCAAAAGGCCAAAATTTAATAACAATAAATGACTGCTCCTCCTGTAGAATTCAAGGGAATAGATAATATGTATTGATAATCTTATAATAGTAAGTTAGAATTAATAAGCATGCTACAAAATCAATGAATTAGCATAACTAAAGACCTATCAGCAGATCACTGATGTTTTACTATTCAGAGATGGCAAATATTTAATCACAGTCGGCGAAAAGAATGATATAAAAGTAACACTAGTTAAAATAACAAAAGGTTTGGCAACTATCCATTAGAGGTCTTGTAGGAACTATAAAAGAACTAGAAAATAAAAAGGAGAGAAAGATCTTACTCATAAAAGAATGGAGGTATGTAGATCCATCTGCAGATGAGAATTATGAGTTTGAGTTGAAGGATCCTAAGAATGAATGCAAAGTAATTCTGGAAATTATAAATTTAGAGTTAAGAATTATTCACTCCATACGAAACTGCTTATAGATTTGTTACTGGTTCAGAAGATTAGATTTTCAGGATATTTAATTTGACAACTATGACTTTAGAGCAATCATTTAATTCTAGATTATAGATACCAACAGCAATCACATTTATGCCAGATAGAGGACTATTCTGTATAGGCGGTTAACCCTATAAAACAATATTTGGATAAACCAGAAAGTATAGATCAATTAGATTCTTTTTGATGAAGAATTTATAGGAGAAGCCAAAATATAAGATATTTTGTAAGTCAGAAGACGAATATCTAAATCAGGTTATCTATAGTGAAAACCCTATCAACAGGCAAAAAGATTAATATCATGCAAGAATTAATAATATATTAGCAATACAAATCATCAGAAGAAATAGCTAGGGAAAATAGATTCTCCAAAGCGATAGAGTTTTGTTTGTATTTATGGATAGAATGAATTAATGCACAGTTTTATTGACTTTGGAATGTGAATCCCTTAAAATAAGAGGAATTAATGATTTGAAGTATCTTTATAAAGAAGGTGTTTTTGCTGTTATTGAGGCTAATGATGTGGTTAGTGCAAAAAACACAAAAGTAGAATAGAATACATAAAGAGTAGTTTTAATCAATTTAAAATAATTATAAACCTCATAAGGAAGAGAAAGTGGAATTGAATGCAATTTAATCTAAGAGTAAAGATCTAAAGTAAGCTTTTTTATATTTATTTAAGTTATCTGTATAAATCCTAGTAAATCCTATTTTGTTGGTCATTCCATAACCAAAGCAGATCATATTTTAGAATTTTAATGGAGAAGACTAGATTATTCATCCCTTAGAAATTAAAGATTCTAAATAGTAGCTTAATTTTAATTATCTAAATACTCTAAATAATTATGTAATATCAATAGTAGATGATATAATTTAAGTTATATCAATTATTTGAGAATAATTATTCATATTTATCACAAATATAGCATAAGTCTGATCCGATCAAAATAATTAATTAATTATTTAATAAAAGTTTCTTTGATTGTTCTTCTAAAATTCTCCATAGATTCCAAGCATAATTTTAGTTACTTTTAAGTCCCTTTTATAATTAATATTTTTATACTTCATCTAATTTTCTAATCAAATCTTGATAGTATTAGGTGAAATTATTGGAATCCCTCAATCGTTAGCTTATTATTTTTCTTTAATGTCCCCAAGTTATCTTTAATTACAGCAATTATTGTTCTGCTTAGTGAGAGAGGAAGAATTTATCTTACTTTTATTTAGTAAATAAATTGTTATGCATGCAAAACAATCCAAACTAATAAAAGTTAAGTCCATTTTCATTTTAACACTATATTTAAAATAATTTTTTGTATTTGAGCATGTTTTTATTATCCTCTATTAAAGTATAGAGAATCTTAAACTCATCTTCGCTTATTTTTTGGTTATCATCAACATCTATGGCTAAAAATAATTGATGAAAATTATCATTTTAGACCTTCCTAACGAATTGAAATTATTCTAATGCTTCTAAATAGTATTAATCTAAATCTAAATAACTTTCTCCTTTTATGTTTTTGCAATGAATGGCAAATTTGTCTATCAACTCTTTGCCAGTGTTATTAAAACTCTATAGTTATTATTTAACCTTCTGAAATAGTACCATAACACAATCATGCGAAGGAGTACACTATATCAAATTCTGAGCATTCTAATATTCATCCAATTAACTCAAAGATTATATGTAAAATTCAAAATCTTCATTTGAAATATTATCAAATAAGTGTAAAAATCGAGCAAATAACTTGATTCTGTAATTCTATTGATAAACAATTAGACTTTAACAAAATTGAGTCATTTTTTATTCGGCTACATTTTTTAAACCATACTAGTTCATGTAATACTCATAGCAGATGGCATAAAGAGGATATTTAGAATCCAATTTCTCTTTATAAAATAATGATATTTATTTTAAAGAATTTTAAATAGTTAAGGTATTTTCTACTTAATTCGGATTCATTTAGAAGTCTTAATGTAATTGATTGATGAAAGCTAGAGCAACGTCAACATAAATGTTTTCTTTTTTATCCTTTAACAATCTCTATAATATTTGCTCTATCAATTTTATCAAAATATTTACATTATTTCTCTTATTAAATGAGAATATAATTTTATTATTGAGTTTGTCTTCGTTATTATACGATGCTAAGCCTTTGGTTTGAGTTTTGCGTTATTTTAAGTTAACGTCCATCTTTAGTTAATTCTTCTAAAGCTCTACTTAAGAAGTCTTCATTGGAGTTTGCATTAGTATCATTATCTTAACTATTATTAATATTATGGACAGAATCTTAAGAAGTTTTTCGAGGAATGAGTTAAGAGTTTTTGATTATCTTAACTTATTTTTTTTAATCTTTAACATCAACAGATTTAACTTTATTAAAACCATTATTATTGGTTTATTTCATTGTTTACTATTATTATTACTATTATTACTATTACTACTATTATTATTTCTATGTTTACTTTACTTAATCTTGAGTGACTTACTTTTTTGATTATGAATTATTTTATTTTATTTCTGGAAGATTCTCTTAAGTCTTATGTTAGGTATCTTGTTTTTATTGAGTTTTCATTGTAGAAGATGTAAATTAGGGAGCAAGTGTCATCTATTAATCCGTATTCTTTTAATCAATACTAACAACTGTAATTTCTTTTTATTTGGAATCCTACTTATTCTCAATTTGAGTTTATAAATTATCTAAATCTATTTATAATTGTGTGATAGTATTTTCCAGATTCGCTATTTTTATTTTTTATTAGTCACTCTCCCTTTGAACTTATTATCTCTACTTTCTTAACTCATTTTGAGCTTAAATTTCCATTCTTATTTTTTCTTCTAATGCAAAGTTTTACTCTTTTAATTTTCTGACCTCTTCCATTTAGACATGGTTATTTCTAGATATAAAAAAATTTACTTTTCATTTTAATGGTTGGATTAGGGACGCTATTCTTCAACGATCAATTCTGAACATTAAACACCAACTTATTTGAAATATTTAAAATCTGTTTGAGCTTCAGAAGAGCGTAATTCAGTTAATTGAATTGTTTGACAAGCCTAACTTACGTGTATCTCCATCGTAGTGTATAGATCATAGCAACTAGTGGATTTGTGATCAGGATATAATGCATCAGTATCTGAGAATATATAGGATTATCTTTTAGATTTTTAAAAAGAGTAATTGATTCTATCATTTAATGATTTTAAAGTCTTTTGGTTTTCTATTTATAACGCATTGATTTATTAGGTTAATTAGTCGATGTCATTCATAGCAATCGAATAATCATTTTTTAATTCTTAGTCCTCTGATTTTAGTTCCTTGTACTAGTTGACCAAGTAATCATATTTTTGCAACAAATTATCATAATCAACTACTTTTTCATTGTGTTTATATTGCAGTTATTGTAATTACGTTTCTAATAACTTAATTTTATCTTCTTGAACCTTAACGGACATTTGATAGGTTTAATGAATCTAAATAGTATGATGAAGATTACTTGTTTCAAATCATTTAAATACTCATTCTCTGAATTGATTTTCTCCTGCTGAATCGCCTGAATTACAATACTATTAAAATTAACGTATTGATTCCAAATCTTCTCCAATAGTACTCTAATTGATTATTAAATTTTACCCTTTTTCTATACAATCAATTGAGATTTCTCTTACTAACTCTTTGAGACTTTAGTTAAAGACTTGCTCAACTTGATGAAGCATCTAATCTTCTTTTAGTTTGGTGTCTTCGACAATAGTTTTCATTTGATAATCAATCCATTGAGCTAATTTGATCACGTCCTGTCTTTGCACTATAACATTAGCAGGTTTTTATTGCGGATTATGCTGAGAGAGTTTATCTGAAAATTCGCTAGTTTCTTATAGGAGTTGAGTTAATTTCTCTTTGTCCTTCAAATCAAATAGATTAACATGAATAGAAGATACTTCTAGAGAAATAATCGATTTTCAATAATTACTTCTAGGATGTTCTAATGTGATTTCCTCTTAGGAATCATTAAATTTAAAAGGATTCTCGCTCAGCATTTAGGAATACATATCATTCCTTCTTTATTTGCTTTGCCTCTCAATTTCAAGCAATTATGTCTTGTTAAGCAATGGAGATGTATAATATTGCTATATTAAATAATGTATTAATACATCTTATTTGACATCATGCTTTTCATTTCGAATAAACGAGACATTATTTAAGTTATGAAGGGATTTCACTGAATGATCATTTAATTGTCTCGGTTATTTTAAGGAAGTATTAAATATATGTTCTAAAGTCTACTAGCTTTTTGCTTGTGGTGTCTTTGAGATGTTAGGCAATTGTTTCTGAAATTGGTTTTCAAATATGTTCACTTTCATTATGTTAAAATGAAAATTGAAAGACTTTAAAATCAATTAATTGTTATAAACAATAAATGAGATTAAATGCATAACATTATAAATACATGACCATCTAAATAAATAAAGAAAACAAGGATACCCTAGTAATCTAATAAATAGGATTTACTTATTATCTTTGGAGGTAAACGGAATGAAGTAATAAAATCTCTTCATTTAGATCTTAGGTCTTTCATTTTTGTAATTTTAATATATTTTAAGAAAGTATGGAACTATTTAATCTGCAGAACTAAAAAAATCAAAGAAGCTTACAATCTAAAAATGATATCCTAACTTATATTTTATCTTTATGAATTGTCTTAATAATTTCAATATGAAAGAGCTATTAGCTGGAATTCACCCTTCCAAAGACTCTCTATCAGCTATTGATTTTTCTAAATTTATAATGTTAATTAAGTCAAAATAGAATAGATTTATCAGAATTCAATCAATAAAGTAACATAAATAATTCATCGGAGTAACCTTATTGTACTACTTTATAAAAAAGCTTAATCCAAAGTAGTTTTAGATTTGATAAACATTAAAGAAATAAAATATCAAAATTAGAAGAAAGATTCAATTTAATAAATGAATAATGAAAAATAAAGAGTGAAGCTTAGATATATACTAATGATGTTTAATAATTTCCTATTGAATTTTTTCAGCAAATTATTATTACTTATAATTTTATATATTTTGAATAATTATTATGATTCATCATTTATTTTAGTTTTCTTGTGATTATAATGTATATTATTCTAATGCTTTTTTCTGTGCCTTTTCATAATTATCTCTTTCTTGTTATTCTCTTCTTAATCTCTCCATGACAAATTTATCATCCTCAATTTATAAATTTTAGATTGGTTTTACAATCTAAGCATTAGTGATAAAAGCAACCTAAAGTAATAAATTAATAAGTATACTCTTTATTCTGTAGTTCTTTTTTCATTTTAACTATCTTATTGCAATATTTCAGTGTTCTTTTCCAAGCCTAAATCTTTTCTATATTTATCATATTATTATTGAATGAAGCTCTCTTTGTGTTCAAATTTTTAGGGACAATCTGAGGTTGGATGAGAGAATTCATGACAGATTTCACATTTCACTCTTGCTTTTTCAAATGGAATTTTAGTAGGACAAGCATAAGTTCTATGACCCTTTTCATGACAATACTCACAAAAGTCATCTCTTAATACTGTAGCTATAACTTATCCTTATAATCTAGCATTTCTTGCTTATTCATCTTCTTAATTTCCTGATAATATTTTCTCAATTTCTATAACACCTTATTGAAGTTACTCATCATTATCTGCTTAGATTAGGACATGTAACTTGTCATCCATGTCCCAATCCACCTTCTTTGTGTTTGAACTTCCTTTGCCTCTGACTGATATTTTGCAACCAGTTTTTCCCTCCAAGAATTTTTAAGTGTTACCTCCTGGTCCCAAGATAAGACCAATATAATTTGTATCAGGAGCATTTAAAGTATCAGTTAAATATATTTTTTGAGATTTCTTCAAAGGTTTAAAATCGTGAGGAGGAACAAAGTTTTTATTAATCTTGATACATTCTTCAGTCAAAGAGCATTTAATTCTTTGAAAATTCTCTTTTCTTCTAACTTCCCTTGTGTTAACTCTCTTTCCATGTTGATCATAGACTGGTTCAGGAGAAGGAGACCTTAAATCAGGATCATCCATTTTACTATCTATTGGTTGTTGTAATTTTTAATTGATATCATCAAGACAATACAATCTGATGATATATTCTAAGTCATCAATGCTGAGATCAGGAGGAATACAATTTAAAGAGGGAGGCTGAAAGGTTTTTTCATAATCAGGACCCCATCGAGTATGCTAAATTATTAAAAAAATCCCAATACAGAAGTATCTGTTCGCACAAAATTGTAGCCATATGACTGAGACATCACAGGCATCACTGGCATTGGTTACATTCCCCATGGTAAAGCCATACCAATAGGTACAGGAGGGGCTAAACTTTGGGCTCCTACAGGTAAGATGCATTTTCTATTCATCATAGCCTCTAAAGGATTGAATTGCAAGTGTTTTTACTCAGGTCTAGCACACTTCCTATCAGGCCTTCCTCCCCATCTAGATTTGCGTGTACGTTTTTAGGGCTCTTCAAACATCTTTTCAGCTGAAATCGTGAGAATATGTTGCTCATCAATGATAATTTCATCAGCAAAATTCATCCTTGAATCTACATTGAATACTGATTTTATACCTTATTTATTTTCTTCAATTATTATCCCTTCTTCCTATTCTATTCCAGCCATTTTAATTAATTAATTAATTATTTAGGATAAACCTAAGAATAAAAGTTATTATCAAAGTTCTATTGCATATAAGCGCATATTAACTTAATTACATAATATATTAATTCCTTGATTTTAATTAAAAGCCAACGAGCATCATTTTAATTGTTAATATTTTGATTTTGGCCTCCTTCTCGTTGCATGCACTCATTTCCTTTTTCAATAATTATGAAAATATAAATATAGATATTATATCATGCATATTGATCCATTTTTAATCACAAGAATAATTATTTTATGTTGATTGATAATTAATTACTACATAATCATAATCATGTGCTAATAAAACAAAAACGCTAAGCCCCAAAAACAGAAAGACTATCCTTAAAGTTGACGAATGTGTCTCCTGTTCGCAGTTATCATTAAACATAAAGGGATCAATTAGAATAGCTTATTAAGCAGAGCATTTAGAATCCAAAAAACATAAATGTAAAGTAGAATAAATTATTTAATACAGACACTTTTGAATGAATTTTTATCTCGAAAACAAGAAGAAAGCAGAGCTAGAGTTTTTTCATAACCTTAGATCCAAGCTGGTGAATGCTCCCCCTATAAAAGAATTATTAAGTAGAAAGCAACCAGCAGACCGAACAGCAAAGAAAAACGTATAGACACAACCCCCATTTCCCCTAATAATTCACTTCCTTTTAAAAAGCAAGTTACTCTTCACATTGAATCAACATATTCATAAAAAAAGTAAACAACTATATCTAAACTATCCACAAATGATTTGATTTAATATCATAAGTAATTGATACAAAAGGCTTAAAAAATGTTACTTTATGCATAATTTAAGCGATCAACAAAATGAAGAATATATATTTTTATATATTTCCTAATAAACTCATAAATCTATTATAATCTGAATCTCAATAAATGCTCCAAGTTCGTCAACTTATCAATCTCCTTAGCCAAATCTCCTATTCATTGTCTCTTCTTCTTCTCCAAACTCATTAATTCTAAAAACTGAAAATATATAAATTCACATAATGTAGGAAGAAATTCAATCTGAAGAATTATTAGATTCAATTAAATAATGTAATTAACCCATTTATACACTATAATAATAAATATTCATTTTTTAAATTGTCTATAAAAGGTATTTATTAAGCCAAATTACGCCCTAGCTTACATTAATTATTGCAATTTAAATTCGTATTCATATTATCCATCCAAGTATTTGGGTAGTAGTTTTGATTAAATTTTGAAAATCATTTTTTGAAATAATTCGTAAGTCTCATTTAAAGTGATATTTTTTTATTCACTTTCTTTATCATCAAGCAATAAACAGGAATGCAAAAGATCTATCAACTTAAAAAAGATTTTTTGAATGTATTGATATTGAGATTTGTCAAAATTCTCTAAAGTGTATTCATATAACTTTATTAAAGCATAACAACAATCGAAAATATCAGCTTAATTTTATAAAGTTACATTATGCTCTTAGATTTCTAAAATACGATTCACTAACTCATCATGATATTTCTCTGTCTCTTATTAATTACTCATACACAAATAACAAATTAAAAAAACAGTCTAACTTTAATTTTAGGTTTAAGCAATATGATTTTAAATAAGAATTTAAAATTCTTACTTGAAAAGCAAATCTGTATACAAAGATATGCTTCTACAGATTTTTCTTACCTTTTTGATCAAATAATTCATCTCTATACACTTCAAACAAATGATGAAAATCTATTTGAAAAATATCAAAATTATTACTTCGTACATTAATTGCGGCATTTCATCAGCGATAAATTCGTATTGCTCCTTATTAAAGGCTGCCAAGAATTTTATATATGGAGCCTGTTACAAGTACATTTTTAATGAATAGATGACAAATTGTATGACAAATTCGTATTGACTTTTATCTTCTAAAATTTTATTAGATCAATAATCTTACAATAATATTTAAGAAAGATTTTTGAAATTTCAACAAGTTCTTCATCAAATGAATTTCTTTTCGATTGAGGTAAATATGCTATTAACTTCCAAACATCCAATTGAGAATTATATGTTTCCTCTTAGGGCCATATTTTATAAATTGCTCTAAATGTTTATAACATCTTAATAACAGCATGGTTATTTTAATTGTTTATTTCAATTATTATTCTCTATTACAAAATAATCAAGTAACTCTCAGAATAATTATGAAAAAATTTCTTATGCACTTTTGCTAAATTTATCAGTGATTCAAAAAAATCAATATCTGTAGTTTTAGTAATGATATTCTATATATATGGATTCAAGTGTTGTATCGTATTTTCCAAAAGAGTGTAATTAGAAGAAGATTTTGTCATCATCTAAAAAACTTAGATAGCAGTTGCTGTTTCAACATTCTCAGTTGTAATTTACTATAAAATATATTTTAAATATTAAATGTTGAAATCATCATCTTGATCCTATTTAAATATCTTTTTTTAATATTTTTGCAAAAAGAGCATAAAGATAATTTTAAAGCTGGAGTTACCCATCTATGAAGTTAAATTATTTAAATGAATCCTTAGCAAGTTTTCTAGTTTTTTTTTAGTAAATTCTTGATCAACTATAAATATTTTCATAGAAGTAAGCAAAATCAAAGATGCTTATAATTATGTAATAGGTAATGTTTGATTTACTTTGATGATCTAATTTATATTGTTGATTTCCTGAGGGTCATAATAGAATGCAACTTAGTTCTTTACAATGTTTATCTGTTGCAATTCAACTTAGAATATAGTATTTAACACTTAAGCGCAAAGAAGATATCCGATATATGTAAATTAACGAACGTAGGAACACATAGCCACAAATAATCTGACTATCGAACATAAATAAGTGTCGCTTTCTTGCTTACTAATGAGATCTATCAGTTCATTGGGTGTGTCCTCATTTTACACTTGATTATATAATTCGATATAGTTTGATAATTAAGTGTAAATTAAGTGCAAGAGTTTTTCTTTATTATTTTTAAATAATCTTAGAGAATAGTGATTTTAACACAATTTAGTTAACAACTTAAAGTTTTCTTTTTAATTCTCTTTATTTATACTTTAATGATTATAAATTTACCAATTTATGTGTTCAATTTAATTTAGCAAATATTAGAATAAATATTGTGTAAATTATTCATATTGTTTAGAATCACATTATACTAAATGCTAATGCTCAAAAAAAGAATCTATTAATCCGATCACATAATAAATCGATTTAATTGATTCTTTATGAATAATATCACTTGCTAAAATTGTAGTCATATAATTTAATAAATTCGATGATATTATTTGATATGGATTTCTTTCTAAGACAACCTGCAATGAGGATATGATTACTTTATGAATTTTAGAGTTAGTAATTGGTTTTTCGATTTCTATTTTGATCTTTAAAATTAATATGTCTAAAAATTCATTTCTTTATGCTTACGAAATCACTAAGTGTTTTAATAACTCTAATTGATTGATATTATTTGAGGCATTTCTGAATTACCATGCTAGAAATATCCAAAATTGATCATCTACTCTATCAATGAATTCATAATACGCTGTTAAAATGTTTTCAATATATTCAGAAGTAATATGAATGTTCAATATTTGAATAATTAAAACAAAAGTGTTTATAGCACATCTATTATATTATTCGATGCTCATTTAATTTCTCTAATTCAGCATCTATCTCAATAGCAATCCAAAATAAATCCAACATTTTTAATCATTCTTTTCAGAGATCAAAATGGACAATTATTGTAAATATTGCTCAATTTGACTGAAATTCAATTACTCAATCTATTCAGGAAACTAAAGAGCTTAAATAAATTATATCATCAGAATATCTGGAAGTGGTTTCTTTTGAAGCTCATTAATAAAAAATTATTACATTAATTACATAAATATAATAATTATTTAGTCAACTATAAAATGACTAATATTTTTGAGTGAAATTCAATGTTAAATTCCTGTCTTCTATAGACATCTAAATAGCATAAGCATAATTGAATAAAAATTAATTAATAAGTAAATGTTTACAAATAAAAATGATGAAGATCAATGAAATATCCTGCTAAATTCATTAAAATTAAGTAAGTTATTTTTGCTAACATTGTACTTATAAAAGATTCCTTTCTAAATATTTATCTCCATTTGTTTGTCGACATACAGTAATAATGCCTAAAATTCTTCGAAGGTCAGCTTCTTATCGCCATCCATATCTAGATTTGTGAATAATTATTCTACCGGAGTCCCTCTTTTTTTCTGGACCTATCTTATTTCATCGATTGCTAACTAAAATTTACTTATGATAATACTTAGAGTTGTTCGATTTTTATTTAATTCTTTTGTATTACATATTTCGTTTTAAATATTTTATGATCTAATAAATCATCCCAATTGTATCGATCTTTTTCTTCAAATTGTAAACAATTTATTATAAATTCTTTGAATTCTTACGATATTTAGATTTGTAAAGGGAAAGATAATTTTTACGATTTTATGGATTTCAAAAGTTGAGTTGGATCATCACCCATCCAAGGATAATCCCCAGTTATCAATTGATAAGTCATAATTCCTATGGACCAGATGTCACATTTCGTCGAATAGTGTTTATTTTCTAGTATTTATGGAGCCATATATAATGGTGTGCCTACATTTTCTCTAAAAAGTTGATTCCCAGAATAATCTGCCTTCACAGAGAATCCAAAGTCTGCTAATTTCAAAGTCCTTTAGTGAATCAAGATGTTCTCTGGTTTGATGTCTCTATGCAAGTACTCCTTCTTTATTAGTTCATTGAGGGCAGTCAACAATTACTACAAGACTATTTTGGTTACGTTTTCGCTTAGAACTCCTCCAGATTGAAAAAGGAAGTACTTGAGATTTTGACTATCGCAATATTCCATTATGAGATATTCTCTATTCTAACCGGCATCGTGGAACATCTCAATGATTTTAACTATGTTTTAATGGTCTAAATCTCTTAGTATTCGAACCTCCCTCTAAAACCCAGACACATAGTATTTATCCTAAACCTTACTCCAATCAATTACTAGGATGATGTTAAATTTAAACCTTTTATAGCAACGAACTCTTAGGTCTTGTCAATTAAACCCTTATAAACCTTAGAATAGGCTCCTTCCCCGATGAGATCGTCTTCTGAGTAGCTATACTTGTTTTGTATTTTTATCATTAAATCCAAAACGAACAATTATGCAGCATATCAATTAATCAGCAATCATAACCCCCCAATTAATTCAATAAATTGCTTTTTATAAATTAAGTGTCAGAAAACATCAACAATCTTTAGGAAGAATTCAAATCTTACTAAATTAAGTGTCATTAAAAACACGTTATAATTGATTCAGACATAAACTCTTAATCAAAATTAAATTATTTAATTTAATTCTAAAATACTTTTTAGATGAAAATTAAGCTCAAAATCGTTTTACAGATTATCATAGCATTAATACAATAATTATAACTCATAAAATGTTTTACACATTTTTGTGATCAGCTCAAAATTAAAATTATGTTTTATTGATTATAAATTGGAGAATATATATCTAAAATCATTACACAATAAAATTTTATACAACCTTGTGAGGCTTAACTAAAATCTCATATTGCAGTATTTTCATATGAATTCTTACAATTTAGCTAAACTACTTTTTGATTACATAACTTGATAATATTTGATATATATGTATGTGAAGATTAGATATTTTAATGTTTTTAATTCTTCTTCTTTTTATACAAAACATAAGTAGAGATTTTCATTTGATTGGAGGAATTTAATGTAAATTTGTTAATAAATTTACCATTTTTAATAGATATAGTTTTGATGATTTTTTAAAGATTATAAACACATGAGTAATATCCTAATAGATATCTTAAATAAATATCTTGTTGTGAAAACGCTTAGATAAATAAATTGCAAATCATTTTGATATTAGCAATCTATATTTGTAATTGATTAGCTTTTAATACTAAAACTTGATTTTTCGGAAGGAAAAACGATCCCAAGAGAGTAGTATAGAGAATGAAATTATTATAATAATTTAATATTTATATTTACTTAAAATGGGTAATTGTAATATCAATGAAAAAAAAGAAGATCTAATGGAAAATAATGGTATATAGAATTAATAGGTAGTGGTTTCTGTTTAAAATTTTCAATTTATTGATGCAATAGGAAGAGGGGGATTTGGTAAAGTGTGGAAAGTCCGACAAAAGAAGAATAAATAATTTTATGCCTTGAAAGTGATGTCGAAACCCAAGTATGTTATACTGAGTTATGTAGGATTATAACAAAGAAATCGGTGTAATCAGTGATGAATGAAAAAGCACTACTATGTGGATTAAAACACAAGTAAGAAGAGAAAATAATATAAGTTTTCTGATCAACATGTAGTACTCATTTCAGGATCGAGAATATTTGTATTTAGTTATGGATTTACTTTCAGGAGGAGATCTGAGATATCACATAGGAAGGCTTCGGAGATTTAATGAGGAACAAACAAGTATTTGCAATTGATTCTAAAATCTAGAGTTTTTCAGTGCATGTATAATGGTAGCATTGGAATATTTACATCAACAAGGGATATTACATAGAGACCTAAAGCCAGAGAATTTGGTGTTTGATAGCAATGGTATTGAAAGGTCATTCTTCAGTTAGGATACTTGAGATTGACAGATCTTGGTATAGCAAGAATTTGGAAACCAGAAAACTCTCAAGACACCAGTGGAACTCCAGGATACATGGCCCCAGAAGTGATGTGTCGTATGATATTGTCAATTTCTAATTTAATAGGACACAATCATGGAGTGGCAGTTGATTATTTTGCCTTGGGAGTGATAGTATATGAGTGTATGTTGGGAAGAAGACCATATTTGGGAAGAAGTCGTTAAGAAATAAGGGAATAAATGTTAGCAAAGTAGGCAGCTATAAAGAGGTAGGAAGTACCTCCTGGATGGAGTTTAGAGGCAGCCGATTTTGCGAACAGAGTATGTCTTTATGATAAATGGGGTAGTTACTTTAAAGAAAGCCGTAAAATAGATTGGGGAATAACGGACCTGATGAAGTGAAGGAACATCCTTGGTTTAAGGACTTCAGTTGGGAGAAGTTGATGAGTAAAGAGATGATAGCTCCCTTTATACCGAATGTAAGGATAGTTAGATAGTGATCATTAGGGGAATGAAGACAATTATTTGCCATCGGACAGTAGGAGAGATTCGGATGATACTATTAACGAGGATCAATAGATGATGTTAAGAAGAAATTCGATACAAAGTAAGAGGAGTGATTTATTGTTAGATTTATTCAATGGATACGATTTTGACAATAATGCCAGTGTTCCAAGCAGTTAAATTGCCATTTCGAGTACTTCTTCATCTCGAGTCACGAAACAACCGACAACTACTACGACACCGAAGTCAGCCAAGTTGGCCTAAAAGCTTAAAAATTGATAATCATTTTTGCCTTATAAATATTATGGATCAAAATTTTATAAATACATATATATTGCCTTTTCTATAGATCCAACCTGGATCACCATCTAATAAGAAACCTTGTGGTTTTATTGATAGAACATAGATTAGACAATCGAGAATCATACATCAATCGGTTCGATTGGAACCACAGATTTAAGGCAGTGTTGTTGATGAGATTATTAAAAGGTGTGAGATCCCTTCATCTTATATCTTGTACAAAAGGAATAAGGACTTCATTCCTAAACAACTCAACCCCATTTCGAAGTCTGTGAATGTACGAAGCAATCATAGCAGTCTAAAGGCCTATCATGAAAATCAAAAAATCTAAAAAGTACATCAAAAATCCAAGAAGCAATAATCTTTCATCCAAAGACAATCGTACTCCTTTGAAGAAAAAGAAGAGAGCAGAAACACTTATAATAATGAATTCAAACAAAAGGAAGCATTCAACTTTGACATGTTTGAAACGAAGGATTTATTTGCGACTAAATTAGATTTCGGTTCAAAGTGCACTTTAGAATCAGACAGAGAAAAGTAGAGTTCTTTCTATACACCAAGAATTAGTGAGATTTTGTATTAAAGAGCCAAAAATGATATTCCACATTAGAATATGAAGGCAATAAAGTTGTCCAATGAATGGTAAAATCAATAAATTCAAAGTGATATGAGATTTTATCAAGATCAAAAGAAATTTCAAAATGCTCGAGTTCAGTTAGATATACATAGATACGAACATTAGAGACAGCAAAATAAAATAAAAATAAATAGATTATTGCTTAAAAGACTTTGATTATAATAATATACTCTTTTATTTTATTATTAAAAAAGTAAAATAATTTCAAAATTATTTATACATGGTATCCTGTGCATAATATTGCATGTTTATTTCAGCTCCTGGTTGTGTGTTTATGACCTATTTGGGATTTATGATTGCAATAGGATCTGAAACTGTTTATGTTGTCCCTCACAGCAGAATCGAGGGAGCCTTTGCATTGTTTATAACAGCAGTGGTACCTAATCATCCATAACAAAAAGCTATATGCGATTTTCTTTGCTATCAGTTATAATAGTGAATACTCTCAAGTTCAAAGATAACAGAATGTTGATGAATGGATTAACTCACAGGAAATCAGAGAAGCAGAAATGGAGTTGTAAAACCTTCCAAAACAAAAACCTACAGAATAATAATCAGAAGATTTATAATGATATGTTAATTTATCAAAAATCAAAATTATTATCATTATGATTTAGCTTCATCTTCTGAAGATTCTGATTAATTGTTTTGGCTATTCTCTCCCAAGATATTCATGAAATCATTTGCTCTGTCATCTCTCTCACAAATTACTCTTGTGTAATCTTAGCCAATAAGTGTGCTTGATAAATGAGCATTCAAATTATTTGTTACACTTCCTTAAGCATCTAAACCATCCATCATTCTAGTTAATTCGTTCATCATGTATTCTATTCTATTCAACATATCCTCTTATTCGACTTCATGTGCTGGAGGATGCTAATTGTTATTATCTGATAAATTTAAGAAGTTCATTGTCTATTATTATTACTATTGTTATTATTATTATTACTATTAGGGTTGTGGTTGTTTAGTTTGCAGTTGAAATCTAAGATATTACACTTCCTATTTAAGTAATTAAATAATTTATTATTGTTTCTTCACTTTTATTTGCAATCTAATGCAATCCATGCATCCAGAGTCATTATTCTTATAGCCAGACTTAAACTTTAATTGATCTTGTCGTCCAGATATAGACATCTGTTTAGTCAGATTGTTGGGTTCGAAGACTCCAAATGACATAACTGGACTTTCTTGATCAGATATGACAGATAAAAGGTTCTAAGGAATGGCAGAAACATTCACTAAAATATTCTCATTTTCCTCCTCTATTCTTTGTTCATGCAAATCATTCTTAGTGTTTTTGTTTCTAATTAGTTTTCTAAGAATTTCCTTCTAGAATTATTGCGTAGTTCCTAGATTTCTTCGAGTATCTAAACTAGTTATGGTGGTATTTTTGTCTAGCAATTGTATTAAGAGTTCAAAGCCATCCTTTTAAATAGCATTATATTTCAAATTTATTGATTTAATCCATCTGTCTCTTTCCAAATACGGCACTACATCCTTAACAAATTGATCATTCAATTTATTGTATGATAAATCCAATTCTCCTATTCCAATCTTAGATATGTCTTCTTCAGGACACTCACCTTTTGTTCTATACAAGTAATCGACACTGTCTCTCCTCTTACTATGTTCTTGTAGCAATTAGCCCAACATTACCCCAATTTGATGTGTAAGATAATTATGAGAAAAATCTATAACGTGAAGAGACGAATTCTAAATTAGAGATGGTTACAGTATACTGAAATGATTTGAGGTCATCAGACACTATATAATCCGTAGCTCCTTTAATGACTACACTACTGCTATGCCTTAAGAAATTATTTGCATATGCTCACTGCTCATCCTTATGTCTCGAATTACAAATGATATCACATCCAAACTCTTGGTAAATAACTTAGTAATCACTCTCAAGATCTCTAGCAATTCATTTTTATAATTGTCATGTGCCATGGATTTGTTTAATTTTAAGTTCTTCTACATACTTTTCAGAATGATTGATTTAAATTTACATTATGCCAACAGCAATTGAAGTGGTTCGATATCTATTAATTTTTCATTTTCATACCCTATAACCCTATTTGTTCTAAAATTAAAACTATTTCTGTCTCTTAAATGCCATTCAGTAATCCAGACGAACAAGGCACATTCAAATGTTTACAAATTTGTTTGTATAGGTAAGTGTGAGATTTCTAACGCTGTCTCATCTATTTAATAAATTCTAAGAAAACCAATTAAATAAACTTATTAATAATTATCTACTCTAGATCAAAATAGTAGGGGATTGGCAACGCAATTCTATAAATTAAGAGATATTTTAGGGTTGTCAGAGAAGGTGAAATGAAAGAGACACAAGAATTTAGTAGAATTTCACATAAGCATCAAGGTGAACAGCTAATTTCAATTTATACATTTAAGTTATATATTATTTTAATTTAAATACTCGTATGACAGAGGAGTAAACTATAACCATAGAACTAGTTATGGCCAAATTGGATGATGGAGGGAAGACTCTCAGATTAAACATATTAGGTAATTAAGGGGTGGCTAATTTAGGTATGACGGAAATCAATTAATGCATTAAAGACCATATGAAATTGGTTTAGACTTTGGAATTGCATCATAATTTACTAAAAAGAGTATGTTGATATTATAATTCTTTGATTGATAATATAGATTCTGCCATTCTGGAGAATTTGGGGGTCTCCAATAATGAATTGGAAGGAGTGCATAAAATTCAATTACAAAAATTATTAAAATTGGATCTATCCTTTAATAGGGTAACAGGTCTAATATTGGGAAGCAAATAAATTTAGCATTTGAATTTAGAAAACAATAGATTGCATAAAGTAGTAAATATTTTATCATATTAGATTGATTTCCTCAATAACCTAAAAGACCTGAGATATTTGAATTTAGGAGGAAATCTAATAGAGAAAATAGACTTTTTGGTTTTCAATGTTTAAGTAAGATTTTTGTAATTACTTCATTAGTTGGAGGAATTGAATATTAGAAGGAATAAAATTAGTACCTTAAAGGGATCATTTAGTAATACAAAAAAATTAAAGATTCTTGATGCTAGTAATAATCTAATTAGTGATACTCAATTTATTGATACAATAACTGAATTGGAAGAATTGAATCTATCTTACAATTAGATTAGTGTGTTGAAAATTGAAAACTAGAATGAAAATCTAAATATTCTGGATCTTAGTTATAATCAGTTAGATGATTTAAGAGTGTTAGAATTTAAGTTCCCATATTTGACTAATCTATATGTGTAATCAAATTAGATCTATGCAGAGAACTGTGTTGATTTTTTAAAATTGATGTCGAATTTGATCGATATCTAGTTCCAAGGAAACCCATTTTCGAGTCGTGAATACGAAGATAAATTCATAGTTGATTGTCCTTGGTTGGAATTGATTAATGGTAGAGAAGTAGGCAAACCTGGATAATATTTGAAATAAGAGGTGATAGCTTTGAAGGAGAAATTGTAGGAATTGGATATAGATGTAAATAATTATCATATGTCTGATTTGGATAATGAAGAGGGCATTGTAACTGATGAGAGGCTAAAAGCCATACTTAGAGTTTAGGGATTCTAGGATGACGAGGATGAGATTGTAAACAAAATAAGTGAAGAGGACTAGAAGGATGAAAATATTATGGCTGAAAACGAATTCATCAAATTTGTTACAGAATAAAATGAATAGATGGACAATATAAGAGCTTAGTATTTGAGAAGACTATTGAAAACCTAATAATCAGAGTGCTCTACTCAAAGAGGTAATTAGGAGGAGCAGTCTCTCTAAGATTCCTAAATAAAGTAATAGATTGTTGAGGATTCAAATGAGTAGGCAGTTGTTGAAGTGAACCAAGGGAACAAGGAGACAATCGCAAGATAGAAACTATTGATAAGATCATTACCTAAGCCATAAAAGAAGCAGTCTATTCTTTCTGAGATTAGTTAATTAAAACAAAACATGAAATCAAAAGAATTTTATTAATCCTTAGGTTTTAATTAACCACAAAATAGAAATCGCGGTTCTTAGCAGAGAATGAATCTGTCTTCTGAAAATTTTAATAAATCATCGGAGATTAGAAGCAGTTCGAGTCGTCCTCAGATGTCTAATTCATAATTGAAGTTACCTAAAATTTGATTTAAATACTATACAGTTATTAATAAAAATAAAAAAAATAAAAAATGGAATTTGAAAGTCGGTAATTCATTTCTTAAAGTGAATTCAATCGCAGTGAAAAGTTGACATTAACCACAATACAATAATATGTTTCTATAATTGTATTATTGTTGGCCCTGGGAGATGCAATCATGTTATTTGTTATCAATGGATTCGTGTTAAATTACATCACTTTAAGCTTTGCTATCATAAATGCGCTAATAGTTTTGATCTGCATCGCAACTCTAGTTTGGAATAACTAGCAAAAAACCTATCTAGCATCAACTGAAGATGAATGGGGAGAATTGACAGATAACTTTAACGGGAGGTAAATACAATTAATTATGAAGATTGTTATTCTTTTTGACTATTCTCATGGCAGTTGCAGAGTTCGTTTTCTTCATCCTGATAATATTGTCGAGTGATTATATCTAAGGGTTGTACTAATCAGAGAAAATTGGAAACGATTATCAGAAATTCGATAAAGTTGTATCTGTCATGAAACCCATAATATTGATATTTTCAATCTTAATTGTAGTTGGATTAACATACACAATACACAACTTTTATCAGATGACAATATCCTCAATTACAAGTCGATTCAATATATACCTCCTCTGTATAGCTGTATCCTTGACTTGCTGGGGATCTGTATACTTGTTGAAAGGAATGAACATCTATCCTATCAGTGCTATTTTAAACTTAATCATATTGGGATTAATATTACTAGCAGTAATTTCAAACACTTGGAAAATCAAAGGTTTGCTTATGATATTGGCAGCACTTCAAATCCTTATAATTCCAGTTCTTTTGGGATTCCAAGCTGAATACATAAGAGACTTTTAAGAACAGCAAGAAAGTAACATTGCAAATTGTTAATAACAAATGAATAATTTATCTGAATCTTATCTATCCGAACACTCATGTGCTTCAAAATATATTAAAGACATTTAAACTTAAAATTGTCCAGATGGGTAAAAAGAATGTTCAATTTATTCTACTACATGTGATCGTGATGCTCAAGTCTAGAGATGGGAAGAATAAACAACAGATCCTGCAGATCATCCATTAGGATGCTTGAATTTGAATTGTTGCAAAACAGTCAGTAATATTTTCACAAAGGATTTGTTAATTCTAATTATGCTATCTTTGGCGACTCCATTATTTTTATTTGCTTTAATTTTATTCGAATTCCACCTTTCAAGAAGAACACGATCTGATAAAACATTAGGTAGAAATATAGAAACATTATTCCTTTTGTTATTCATTGGCACAATAGTTTTTGGAGTACTTCTGTTAGTCAATAATTATACACCTATTCCATTGAAAAAAGAGATTAATTTTGATCAACCTGCCAAGGCTGTGAAAGCAAAGGAGTTTGCAAAGATCCAAACCAGAATGTGCCAATCAATTACATAATTGGTTGGTAACAGGGTTGAATTGAGTAGTGAATGTAAATCGACAACTAATTGTCCTTTGAATAAAGTGGAAACAGGAAAGAAGGAGACAAGTATGATTCTCATATAATTATTTAGATATCTTATTTGGATTGTGGGTTAAAGGAGTTTAACAATTTAAGAGGAAGGAAGCAACGACATACTAAACTTTGGCTGCTGCTAAATTCTTATGGCCTAATTATGATGGTAATGAGTTAGATTTCTTTGCTATAATTGGTAAGTTAGAGTATGTCTAGTAGTATTTGGATGATGTTTAGGTTTGCTATCAAGTGGGCTTGAAAGATCTTACAATTAATTTATATCAAAATGTTGTCGATATTCCAATTGAAGAAAAGAACAGCAAGGTTTATCATTATTCAATGTTCTCTCATTTTGCAGATACTGCAGCTAAACCAACAGAACCAAGTAAGGGAAGTCCTACTACTTCTGATAAGGGTAGTACTGATCCAAAATCATAGGCAACTTCAACTTAACCAAAATGTGAAATTCCTAATTGTTAGGAATGTAAAGATTAACAGTGTACAACTTGTAAGACAGGTTTTGATAAAGATGATGAAAGAGGGTGTAAATATACTGGAAAATTAGGACTCAGTGAATCAATCTAAGTTTAATTATTCAAGGAAATGAAATCAAAAGTGAGTGGATTTGTAGTAGGTGAAATAAAAAAAGAAGAAGATATAATTTACACTCAATATCCAATATAGGAAGCTAAGATTTGTTGGAGTCAAGAGGGATTAGATAAACCAATTTGTGATGTAGCCACTCCTAAGGGAGAATATAAATTACAGATATCAACTTTTGATGTAGCTGATTATAGCACTCAAATCTTTTAACCAACAACTGGATTGATAACTGTGGCTGCCATTGGTTATGATGACTATGTTTAACCTTAGGTGGTTCAATTCTAAGAAGAGATTAATTTTGGCACTATTTTAATGAGATCAAATGTGACAATACCTAAAGTTTAAACAACAACTACACCCCCACCAAAGTCATATTTACATTAAGCTGAGACCACTACTACTACTACAAAACCTACAACAACTACCACGACTACAGAACCAGCCAAGCCTACATCAACTACTACTACTACAACTAGTGGTACAACCTCAAAAGAACCAGCAAAAGAATAACCTAAGGAGCCAGCAAAAGAATAACCTAAAGAACCTGCAAAAGAATAACCTAAAGAACCTGCAAAAGAATAATCTAAAGAAGCTGCAAAGACTGAAGGTGGATGTAAAAGTGGCGAATATTTGGATGCCAGAAAGAAATGCTAATCAACTGGATGCACTAATGTTCCATTTTGTAAATTCTGCGATAAGAATAATAAATGTATTAGTTGCTAAGCAGAATATTAATTATAAGCAGATAAATCCTGTTTGCCAGAGAATGGATGTTCTAAGCCTTACTCTTAAAATCAATGTCTGAAATGCTCAAAAGAAAAGGAAAAGTGTGATTAAAATTATTGTGATGCTTTCTCCACTTTTGATAATGGCTAATGCAAATAAGCATATAAAATATGCACTACTAAAATCTAGAATTGTGCTGTTTGTACTAAAGAAAATAAATGTGCTGTGTGTGAATAGGGTTATAAAGTTGTGAATGGAGAATGCAAATTAGGAGATTTCTCTTAGATATTTTAGATAAATTATTATTAAACTGATGTTTATGTTGTTGATGTTATGAATTGGAATAATTTAGAAGCTGCCAAGGTTGATTTGAGAGTCGGTAGTTGTGGATCATTTTAAGTATATGGAACTGCTAAGACTGATTCTAATGGAAAAGTTACATTTACTCGACTAGTTAAGGGATCTCAATACAATTTTATTGTTACTCATCCAGATTATTCATAAAACTGCTATGAGTTCTCAGATAAGGAAGTTACTATTGTGCCATTGTCTAAGAAATTAAAATCTGGATAAGTTAGGATAGTATTAGAATGGTATAACCCAGATATTAATTTGGATCTTCAATTGTCCTTTAATCCAACAGATGCCTCAAATTGTTTGGTCGGATATTTAGATAACGAATGTACTGGAGCCAAGTTTGGTAAATCCTCTGATGAAGAATATAGTTTTGAGGCTATTGAAATTAATGCCCTTGTACTTAGTAAATATTTAATTTTTGTTCAAAATTTTGGTGATAAAGAAAACTATTAAGAAAAATTGATATCATCAAATGCTCATATCAAATATTATGTGGCTGATAAAGATGACCCAGCTGTCACTTTTGTAGTACCAAATGATAAATAATCTGAAATCGTGGGAACTACAGAGGCCCTTAAAACTGAATGGTTAGCATGGTTAGTAGGATGCATAGATGCAAATGAATCTGAAATCCCTGAATCCTTATTTTCTTAAAATGGTGTATGGTAATGCAACACATTTATATAAATAGGTGGACAGCTAGTTTAAATAAGTGGTATCCTGAAATTCCTTAAAAAACTTCTCAAAACTATTTCCCATCACCGAAAATTTGTGACGTTTGATAAGATACAATAATATATATATATTTGTATTTCTTGGATATTTTAGTCATTATACTTTCAAGTTATTTAATTTTTTGTCATTAGAATAAAAGTGATTATTTATTATTATTAATGATTGCAGAGAATAGAGATCATTATGGGTTCCCGAAACAAAACACTCAACAGCCAAGCAAAGAAGAAATGCTCAAGATTAATGCAAGGATTGAGAAGTGGAGAAAAATGATACCTAAGATCCCTCAATTAATGGCCAATAATGATTCTAAACTCAAATCTCGTTTAAGAAAAGGAATACCAGAAGGGATCAGAATGCTCATCTGGCCTTGTTTGGCTGAAATAGATTAAATGAAAATATAAGCAAAGGTAAAACATTGAATAGTATTCTTGAAGAGAACCTATAAGGAGCTCATTGAATCTCAAGAAATCTCACCTCACGATAGTCAAATCACCTTGGATGTTATGCGTACATTTTAATCGAATGATCTTATCAAAATGGACACTATCACAAGTCAATCTCTCTTCACAGTTCTAAGAGCAATCAGCCTAACCTTCTAAGACATGGGCTATTGTCAAGGATTGAATTATTTGGCTGGCTCATTTTTATTATTGATGAATGATGAATTAGTCTATTGGCATTTGTATAGTTTGCTTACCAAATATGGTTGTCTTGATACTTATATAAATCCAACTAATACATTAAAATATTTTTATGCATTGGATATTTTAATCAAGCAATTCTTACCTGATGTACATGCAAGATTTGCCAAATTTAATATTGTCCCCTTTTATTATGCAGCAGAATGGTAATAATTACTATACAATTTTAGGTTTATCACTCTCTTTAGCTCAATTCTCCCAATGTAAATCTTTCTAAGAGTCACTGACATATTTTGGTATGAACATCACAAAACTACTTTCAGAGCATCTTTGGCCATACTCAAAATAAGAAAGGAAGAAATTTTGACAGTAATACACATAATTAATATTATCTATAGGCAAAATCCATGGAATAAGTAATTGCCATTCTGAAAGACCAGAAATTTTTTAATAATTTTGATCCAGAAAAATTCATTAAAATTGCTATGAAGGATTTTATCTTTTCAAAAAAAGATCTTCGTAAATACTATGATCAATTTGCTGCTGCCCAAAAGAAATGATTATATTCAAATAATAATTGCCAACAAGATCCTTAAGTATAATTTTTTATCTTCTTTTAAATTAATAGAGTCTCAAATCAGCAAGAATTATTGACTAATAATGACATTTTTATATGATGTATTATTATTATTCCCAAAAGTTAATTCTAGTTACAAGCCCTACTAAATTTATTTTGAAAAATTTCATTATTACTTACGACTTCAACTCTAAAATTTAGGTTTCTTCAATTGCTTCTTTACTTAATAAGAAGGTTCTAGAAGAAGGAATTTAATAGAGATTAGTATAATCAATCAATTTACCCTTAGAATTTCAAAATACATTAATTCTTGTTAATCGAAGGATCAAAAAAGATTAAAGAATTGAGTAAACTTTTTAAGATAATCTTAATAGAAGTTTTGAACTAAATCATTCAAATATATATCTGTAGAATATTTTTTATTTATTGTTTATTAATTCGAAAAAGTGGTTGTTCCTTTATTTAATATTTTATATATTTAATTGAATGGAGTAAATCGAATAATTTTTAGGAAGTTAGAAATGTTAAAGACATCATCAACAATTAAGATAAATAGTTTTGCAAAATTCATAAGAAATAACATTGGAATAGTGTGTTCGATGTGAAAATTGTGAAAATGGAGGTTCTGATTCATAAAGTTATAGTTTGTAACGGTTTATGAACAGGTGTAGAAGTTATGACTAAAATTATATACCTATTGAAGTTTGTAACAGAAGATTTTACAAAATGTTTTAATTATTAGATGAGCTCTAATAAAAATTTCAAAATTATATCTAAGGTGTTAAAAAATGTATAGAATAAGAATAAAGAGCCCTATATTAAATGACTTTGGAAAATCAAATCAAACAAATCATAAGGGAAGAAAACCCTTAAAGTTAAATCATTAACAATGAAATTAACAAAATCAATACAAATTTTACAAACAAGATTATTTAGAAATTAGATAATTTATAAAATTTGGAAGAAATAAGAAAATGCAAACAAGAAATTGAAATGTTGAAAAGAGATTTTGATTAATAATAATAAATTCCGTAATAATAATAATAATAATAATAATAATAATCATAATAATAATAATAATAATAATAATAATAATAATAATAATAATAATAATAATAATAATAATAATAATAATAATAATAATAATAATAATAATAATAATAATAATAATAATAATAATAATAATAATAATAATAATAATAATAATAATAATAATAATAATAATAATAATAATAATAATAATAATAATAATAATAATAATAATAATAATAATAATAATAATAATAATAATAATAATAATAATAATAATAATAATAATAATAATAATAATAATAATAATAATAATAATAATAATAATAATAATAATAATAATAATAATAATAATAATAATAATAATAATAATAATAATAATAATAATAATAATAATAATAATAATAATAATAATAATAATAATAATAATAATAATAATAATAATAATAATAATAATAATAATAATAATAATAATAATAATAATAATAATAATAATAATAATAATAATAATAATAATAATAATAATAATAATAATAATAATAATAATAATAATAATAATAATAATAATAATAATAATAATAATAATAATAATAATAATAATAATAATAATAATAATAATAATAATAATAATAATAATAATAATAATAATAATAATAATAATAATAATAATAATAATAATAATAATAATAATAATAATAATAATAATAATAATAATAATAATAATAATAATAATAATAATAATAATAATAATAATAATAATAATAATCATAATAATAATCATAATAATAATAATAAAAAGGTTTTGTATACTTAAATGGTAGTAATTAATAATCAGAAACATGCTATTCAATTTCATTTAATCATAATAATTCACTTATGATTTCTGGATGTAGTAATTTTATTAAATTATGGGAATTTAAAGCAGGATAATTAAATCTGATCAGAAATTTAGAAGGACATCAAGACATTGTTACCTATTTGTTATTCAGTAGTAATTCAAATAATTTTATTTCTGGTTCATTAGATGGTCACTTAAAATGTTGGTCTTATCTTTAGCAAAATTAATTAAAATAATCAAAAACTTATGAATTCCATGAAAAAGGAATAAGCTGTATAATTATGAATAAAAAAGAAAATTTAGTATTTACAAGTGATATGGAAAAATAAATTATAATATGGGAGGCAGATTTGAGTAGCAATTATTTATCTATTCATCAAGTATTAGATAATCATAATAAATAAGTTAATGCACTCAGTCTCAATGAATCTGAAACTATATTGGTTTCTTGTGGTTTAGATAAGTTAATTATAATATGGTAAAAAGTATAAGATCAATGGACATATAAAAGAAATGTTAATTTATAAGCTTATGATTTTGGAACCAGAATTAAATTTATCAATAATGATAGATTTATATGGGTTTCAGGATTAGTGAATGGATAAGATTTTGTATTCGACTATTAATTTAATCTTTAGAATGATACTATACAGAAAAGGAATAAGTCAATCTTGTCAGAAAAAGATTTGAAGGATAGCCTTTTCTTCCCTATTTTCTTAAATAAAGAAAAAAATATTGTTGTAGTAAAACACAAAATTTATATTTATTTATATTAAAAAGATCATCAAGGTTTATTGAATTCACTACATCTAAAGAAACTAAATACTAATGAAACATATGGAGCAATAACAAGTGATGGCTAATATTTAGTCACTTGGGATTAATCAAAATTAAGATATGAAGTTTCTAAAATTATAATTTGAATTATTAAAAAAATCTTATCAATTTCATTAACATTATATATCTAATTCTCATTTATAAATCTTTATTATTACAAATAATTACAATAGTTTATGAAAATAAAATAATCTTAAACAAATTAGAAATTTTTAAAATACATAAAAATCAATCCTCGTTAAAGTGATGTATCAATATTATTTATTTTCTTATCAACGTAGTCCTTTAATTTTGTTCTTACATAACTCTTGTCTTAGATATATTAGCTAATTATTTGTGTCATTTATAAATACTAATGATTTGATTGATTCCTTAATAATTGGTAAATAAATTTATTTTATTTCGAAGAGAGTAACAAATCTAGAGTGGATATTTAATAAATAAATAATGTATATTATTTTTTTAACTCTATTAACTTTGTATTTTAAGTTGAGTTATGAAATTACAACCAATGACTCTCCAAAAGATGAAAATTGCATTACATATGAGAAAGGAATATGCTAAAGATGCAAATAAGGATACTTTTTGTTTTAATTGCCAGAAGATCATATCGATTTAAATCTAAAAGCAGGTGCAAATTTTTGCGTAGAATGGTATAATTGATTGAAAATAGAATAGTCCATATGAAAAATTCAATGAAGAAAATAATTACTATTGTGGAGATTGTTTGGACAATAGTCAAAGATGGTAATTATGATAAGTAAGTTAGGGATAAATCTCGAATTTGCAGTTATGACTATAAGACGAAATCAACAACCTCTGATTCTGCATTTCACAAAATTGAAAGACCTACTATGCAATTATTTTATGTAATAAAGAGCGGACCTTTCAATGTAAATTGAATAAGTTAATGATTAGTTTGTTACNATAAGTTAATGCACTCAGTCTCAATGAATCTGAAACTATATTGGTTTCTTGTGGTTTAGATAAGTTAATTATAATATGGTAAAAAGTATAAGATCAATGGACATATAAAAGAAATGTTAATTTATAAGCTTATGATTTTGGAACCAGAATTAAATTTATCAATAATGATAGATTTATATGGGTTTCAGGATTAGTGAATGGATAAGATTTTGTATTCGACTATTAATTTAATCTTTAGAATGATACTATACAGAAAAGGAATAAGTCAATCTTGTCAGAAAAAGATTTGAAGGATAGCCTTTTCTTCCCTATTTTCTTAAATAAAGAAAAAAATATTGTTGTAGTAAAACACAAAATTTATATTTATTTATATTAAAAAGATCATCAAGGTTTATTGAATTCACTACATCTAAAGAAACTAAATACTAATGAAACATATGGAGCAATAACAAGTGATGGCTAATATTTAGTCACTTGGGATTAATCAAAATTAAGATATGAAGTTTCTAAAATTATAATTTGAATTATTAAAAAAATCTTATCATTAACATTAACATTAACAATAGTTTATGAATAATCTTAAACAAATTAGAAATTTTTAAAATACATTAAAATCAATCCTCATTAAAGTGATGTATCAATATTATTTATTTTCTCAGTAATTCTACTTCCACATTTATTAAAAAATGATCAATCTATTCCTTTATTTTTTGTTTTTCCATAACATTTTTCATCTTAGTACTAATCAAAGAATTAAACATCTGAAAGGTTTTTTCTAAGTTTTCTAAAAACTATTTAATAAAAATTTACAATTGTAGATTTCATCTAGAGCTGATTGTAATTCATTAATCTTAGTTTTACTCCAATTTAATATTTCATCTATTTATTTTTTATACAATGCAGCCTCCTTTTTATAATTCACTTATTAATTTTACTTTTGATTTTAATCTAAAATTCCATTATTCATTTAACCGTAATTTTAAATGATGTTATTTAGTTAAACATTACTATTCTTTATTTCTTTAATCTGATCTTAAAGTGATTAATTTATTAAAAGCAAATTCTCTCTCTCTTTTTCTTTTTCGAATAATTCTCTTTGCAGATTTTAAATTAAATTATCTTGTTTTTTTTTGCAAATCTAAGAATCATCCATTTATGTCTAAAACTCTCCTAAAGTTTATATAAAGGTCTACTTTTCCTTACAATAGGTCATTTATTTTTTGTCGAGTTCGAAAATTTTTTTTTTCAAATTCTAAATCTCTTATAGTTATTTTATATCCTTTTATTCTAGTTAAGTTGTGTAATTTTTTTAAATAATGTTTGCTTGCTCATATTGTTTTACTTGTTGTTATAATTTTTGATTCTCTTCTCCATTCTAAATTAGTAATAATTTTTAATCTTGAGTTTCTTTTAATTCATCTTATAATTTTTAATTTTCCATTTTTAGATCATTCATTTCCTGTCTCTTGATATTCATTTCGTTGTTAATTTCTTCTAGTTTTTGCTATTACCCAATCAGTTTATATTATTGTTATTGATGCAGTTCCTCTATAAATTTTTTTGTTTTATTTTATGTTTCTTAATATTCGGATTCAGTTAAACCTATTTATATTGATAAATTTTGTATTTCTAATTACATTTATTCTAATTATTATTAAAGATTTTCTTTTTCCTTCCTTTATATTCCATTCTCATTAATTAGATTCTTTATATAATTATAATAATACCAGAATTTTCTCATTTTATTATTTATTTTCATTCTCCAATTATATCAGCTATTCTTTTATTTATATTGAAATGGATTGTTCTTATCCAATTCGTTTTTTTGCCTCTTCTAATTAGATTTTCATCTATTCCTGATTTTCCTTATGCATTTCCTCTTTTTCTAGAATCTATTGTGACAATAAATGAGTTTATTATTTAAGTTCCTAAATTAACTTTTCTTTCTCCTTTGTATTTTTTTATTCCTACAACTATTGTTCAAGCTAGAGGATATAAGCTCTTTGTTTATCTGCTTTCTTTTGGACATCTTTTAATGTAATCTCGTATTACATATTTAACATTTCTGAACGTTTAAAATTAGTTTCTAATTGAGCTTCTAAGACTAGTATAAAGAATTACTCCAATTTTTGAGCTCCACTTATTTAATCACCTTATCGGATTCAAGATTCTTAAACTTGAGATTAAGTTGTTCTATTTCCTTTTAGAGTTACTTCTCAACTAAATTAAGTCTCTATTTAATATTACTGAATTATTGTTACTTTGTTTTCAATTTGCAAACTTCCTATTAATTTATTTTGTCTTTGAAATTCTTCCTCTGATCGAATAATTTCTATTTCATCATCGCTCATTTCTGTAATAAATATTAAAAAAAGAATTATAAAGGTTAATAAAGAATGAATACTGATGTAAATTTATAATAATGCATGTTTAAGCAACATTTAAAAGATTATTCTATTATATTTAATTCTGAACCAATTAATATAAAATTATTTATACATTTCAAATAAATCATCACAACATCACTTTCAGTTATATTCGTCTTACGGAACTAGATTTTAACTGTGCCATTATTTAATTTTTAAAATTGGAGATTCACTAATTCTCTTTTCCTTTATTGCCTCTTTTACGGCACAAATAGCTATTTTCCAGAGTGCTGCAGATTTACTTTTAGTCTCTTCAGAATTTCTTAACAATAATTGTATCCAATTATATTTAGAAACAATATTGCAACAATTACAAATATTTTTCGTTCGAAGAAGCCCTGGAAACTATTAATTAATTCTTCTTCTACAAGGATTTATGATGTGAGAGTTTTCTTCCAAAATAATGAAAAAAAAGTAAATGAAAAAAAGAATCATAAAAGTATTAATAAATATCTATCCAGCCAATGTTAATTAAGGATTTTCACTTTCAGGATTTGAATTCACAGCAGCTTTAATTATATAAGAAATTGAGAGCATTACAAAGGAGCCCTAATCCAATTTATTAAGTCTTCTATTTTAATATGGTTAAAAGTATTAGGACAATGAAAGATAAAACAGAACCAAAAGCAAGGATGAAAGACCCTAAATGAGATAGATAATATTTTACCATATATAAGACCTCTTGAGCAAATAAGCAATAGAGCAAACATACTCCAGCTCTTATATACATTTTAATGAACTCCCAATAAAATTTTATCTCATTTTTAACCGAAATGAATTCATAATAAACATATCCCCATATACGTTGGTACCTATTTTAATGAAGTCTACCCAAAAAAAAATCATAAAATAATTTTCTTAACATTAAGAGAGGTAAAATTAATAATAATAGGAAAAATGCTGGATAAATAAACCATTTCAACATGATTGTATGATTATCCGAGTCATATTTATAGGATACATTAGCTTAAATATAAGAATCATCAGAGATATCTCTCCTAATAATAAGGTTTAAAAATTCTATCAAATAAACAGGCTAAAAATATATAAACATAAAAATAAACATTGTTCGAAGGTATACTTTTGAAAGCCAATAATTTACAATAAAGATAGTTCCTATAGAACAAATCATTGTTAAAGTCAAGGACCAAATTAGCCTTATATAAATAACATCTGGTTCACTCACTCCAACTAACAAACAATCCAAAGCATTATTAAAAATGAAAGCTGGCATAGCGAATGCATTGATTATATCTAAGCTACTTTGAGATATTATTTATCTCTACCCTTCTATGAGAGAAATTATTTAGAAGAAATTCATAAATATTTTAATTAAAACAGCCGTTTCATTCTAGCGGTCTCCAAAATATTACAATTTGATTGCTTTCAAAATCTTTATCCAAAAAAGGTTTTGTATTCTTTTTCCATGTCCATATACTGAAAGAGAAGTGGTTAAAATTATGATGAGGCAGGTAATCACTATAACCGCTTTATTATTTGATCTTTCTGAGCATTTTTTACATTCAAATTTAGCAGAATTGTAATAAGATTCTTCCCAAAATATAGCATAGATATCACACTCTTCACAAAGTGCTCCTATTAGTCCATTTTGACACATGTCATTTCCCACATAAAATCCTCCTTTGCAATTCTCGACTTTATTTATACACTTTTCAATTTTGTCAGTTTCATAATTTGGTCTCCAGAATTATTCTTAGACCTTAATTCTATTCATATATGTATAGTTCATAGTTTTATAATTAATAATTTAGCATACTGGATCCTTATAAACCAAAGAATATGTTCCAACACTACAAGGAGTACATGTTCCACTTATATTATCATATTTTTCACCTATTTAACATTCCACTGATCTGATTCTAACTTGTAAAGTATACTGAGTATCAAAGCCGATGCACTAATAAGGGTATTAATTATGATATATAGGAATATTCACATGATCACTATTAAAAACTGCATCTAAAGTAATATTATTATAAGGGTCATAATTAATAATCTGGTCTGAATAGTCAAATCCCTATGTGCTATTTTAAATGAAATTTCTATTAGTATTTCCTGAGAGAGGTTCAATTATTTCTGCTAAGGATTTATCATATTGAGCTGATAATTTGCATTATTCATTGAATTAATATCCCATAAAGTGATTAGTTTTATCTAGAAATACAACCACAATAGTTTAATTTTCAAATTCAGACATTTTTTGACCACTCCTTATATTAATTGGATAGAATACCCAGCCAGTGCGAGAATCTATATTAGCTTATTTTTATATCTAATTATTAACTCGAATTCCCAATTAAGTAGGATATTGAGCAACATCATTGCCAAATAATGTGGCATAACATTATAGAAAAGAAACACTCATCAATTCATAATTATTGATTCCACTCTCTACCACGGCAATAGCCCCTCCAATACTTGCATTATTCTTATAAAAGAAGCTGTCCTCAACATTAAATGGTTGTTAAATTTGACCTCCATTTTTTGGATAGGATTCAAAATAGAAGCACCCTCCTCTGCCAGTAACTACTGCTTAAGTACAATAAGTCTCGGATGCATTAACAGTTAACCCATAGAAAGAAATACCTCCACCATGAACAGCCTTGACATCATAGATATTTAGTAATTTTACGATTACATTTGATAAATATGGTGGGTTAGGAATAACATAAGTAAAGTTATAATTATTTTGAGTTTGGTTAGTTGTTTCATCTTTCAAAATTCTTCTAGAAGACTAACTGAAATTAGCATATTGAGTAATTTTATAGGCTGTTAAGTTGGAGTTTAAAGTTACGTTAATTAATGAGTCTATTTGAACCTATTCTCTGAAATACTAATCACTAGAGATAGCGAAGCATCCGTAATATGATGATTCTGAGTTAGAACATCTACAGGAGATCAGTTCAACCAAAGGAATTAGTCTTGCATTTGAGACCCTCATGATTTGTACAAAACCACCATGACATTCCTTACAGACTACGTTAATGATAGCAACATTTTATAATTTTAAGGGCGTAGCCTCCTGAATCAAATCAAATAACATCAAAGCTGGATTGATTCTAAATTCTGAGAATTCTAATCTGATTTGAAGTATCGTACACAATCCATTGTTAGTAATACTGGAGCAATTTAAATCAGCTATTGAAATAGATGATATATTTCTGAATTATACAGTATCAATCGATATAGGATTTGTTTATGGTTCTAATATTTCAATGTAGGGTCTGAATGATAGAACACCATGTTAAGATTAGATATTATTCAAAATGATAAAGTTTGCTTGCCATATTGAAATAAATCCATAATAATATAGACCTTCTGATTCACACCTGAAGATTTCAATTGAACCATAATCTTATTCAACAGCAGCAATTCTCTTAATAAACAAAAACATTTCTATTTGTTACAAAGAACCTAATTATTAAAAGTAAGACAATGAAGATGACTAATTCCCAGACACCTTTACTTATTGAAGTATCATCTTTTATTCTGTTTAGGTTCTTGAATAAAACACAGTTTTAATAGCCAAACCACTTAAAGCATAACAGTTTTTAAGTTCTGAATCTTCAACTGTAAATTGCTGATGTTTATCATAACTGATCAAATATATCCCACCTCCTTCTCCTCTTGTAAAACAATCACTAAATTCTGAACTCTAAATCTTCATATCTAACTAAGATGCCATTGAATCAATATATAAGCATCCTCCACTTGATTATACTGCTCCATTCAAGGGAGTATAGGCATATCTAATTGTAACATTCGTTAAGGTAGCTATTCCTTCCTTCAAAGTTCTTAAAAACATCGCACCACCCAATTTAGAAGTCGAATTAGAAAAACTGCAATTACTCATATTAAGATTGAAAGCAGATATATATATATGTCCTCCTTCTGTTATCTCATTTATAGAAGGAACTGAAGATTTTTCTAGTTAACCAAAGTTACTATTGTTCATTTAAATGTTTGTAATGATCTAGGTTCCAACTTCTAAATAGAGGACTGCTCCAAAACCTTAAACAGAGTTGGATTTCCAAGTACTATCTGACAAAACCAAAGTTCCAACTAAACTTCTCATCAAGAAGGTAGGATTGCTTGGTCTCAATGATCCATCGATTTCCATCAAATGACGGTTGTTGAAGAAATTCATAAAACTAATTTTGACAACTTACATTTGAGTGGAATCTATCAAAATTGCAGATGAAGGAACAGCTAAAACAGTTGTAACAATTGTGCATTAAGTCACTGATGCCCCATTAATAGTGATGGTTTCTTAATAATCAGCTGTCGAAGTATTATAAACTAGATTGCTCCAAGAAGATATTCCTACAAAAGAATTGTCTATTCCAATCAGATTTAGTAATTATATGTTGAGTAATAATACTTCTTTGTAAGGATTGTTTATGAATAGACAATAATTATTTCTAATTGTTAATCCTTCTTTTTAAATACAATTAAGGTTGATAAACTTAGTCGTCCAAACTTGCTCAACATAAAAGATTGTTAAATCTGCATTTTGGACGCTCTTAAAATCTGAGACCATTAGTGTATTACTCTTCTCAACTCTTACTGCAGCGCTTGTTGCTGCTTCCAAGATTGTTTAATCAAACCCTGAAGTATTAATCTCTTTAATAATCAATCCTTTCATTGTAATATTTATAGGTATATCGTATTCATTTTGAATTTCTGTAATTAGAAATAGACATGCAGGAGTTAGACAAATTACTTAATCAAATTCTAGATTGGTAAATTGCATCTTTAAACCTGAAAAATCAGGGTCATTCAACTTAATGGTTTTAAGTTCATATTAAGTTTATATCAATCTACCTGAATTATTGAATAAGGTCTTATGCAAGTAGACTGCACTTAATTCAATAGTTGTTATATGGAATAAAGCAGTAGAATTAACCTTAGAATCATACATCTAAAAATTAAACACTTTGATCTATTACATTGTAGAGAAATCAACAATTCCTCTTGAATTATTGTATTCAGTTTTTCTCAGAATTAATGAATGAATATTGATGATACCCATAGGTTAATTAAAGGTATTTGTACTAAGAAATGCACCATCATTGACGAAGTAACAATCTACAAATTGAACTAGTTCTAGCAAAATTTTGTTATTCCATAAGGGTTAAGTAGAAAAATTAGAAGGCTATATCTCAAAAAGTGCTTGGCTTTCAACAGCAATATCAGAAAAAGTAACGTTTTTTAAGTTAATTATTAAATATGGCAATATTACGTTAGAATCGTAAACGAAGCCAAATGGCTTTGCTTGAAATGAAATATCTTCACTAAGTAAATAGCTTTGAGATTGAATAACAACATTTTTGAAATTAATTTCATACGTATTCAAAAGTGATGTAAAGAACGGCTTTTACTTCTTCAAAGCAATTGACTATTCGCTATAAGGTGTAGTGTAATAATCCAACTATTTATAATGATCTTCAGCAAGTATATTTCCAATTTTTACATTCTCTAGATAGAACTTCGATCCGGTGTTGTTTAGAAATTATAATCCGAAAGGTTCTTCAGGCCTGTATTAATCGCTTGAGGACTTGGGTAGATCAGATGCTTGATATATTTCTATTCCATTTAAAGAGACAGTTGTAAAATAAACAAAATATATTGACTTTTGGATGTACCATTTTATCCTTTCATTTTCCTATGAGGAAGTGGTTTTGATTTAAAGTTCTACTTCCTAAACAGAGAAAATATTTTTTTTGATATTGGTGGTAAAATAAGTGTCTTTCTTGAACTCGCAAGTAGAGCTATCTTTGCCATATTAAAATTCCAGTATAATTGTTATTTTTCTAATGGCCTACATATTCCAATCATTAAATTTCAAATTCTTTGCATCTTTTAATTAATCTTCCAAAACAAAGTCTGCAGTTTTGGATGTTATATTATTAAATAAGGAGTTAATATTCAATACATTTAAATTTACATTCTATTATTATGAGCAATCAACCTATATTTTGATCTCATCGGAATCGCATATACCCGCCGATGAAGAACATAAAGTATTTATTTCAATGCATCTGCCAGTTTTAGTATCAAATAAAATGGTATTATCATTTTTACATTTGAATGATATTGTTGAATATTTTTCATAATCCTTTAGGATGGGATCATAAAATGGATTACTAAAAGCCTTTTCTTCTTCAGTTCTTTGTCTACAACCAATAGTGTTTTCTGGACACTTAATGCAATCTTAACCATCACTAGAAGCACTACGTGATATTTCATTATCATTAAAATTACATTAATCACAATAGCCCTTCTATCCTACTGGTTAAAAGGTTTTACAATAATCTCCTCCCATCTCACATTATCCAAGATCTTCATTTTTATAAGGTCCCCTCGTTGAGTCTAGAGAGAAACAATCCTCGCAAATCGGACCTATGATTTCATGTTCTCCATCAAATTCATACTCAAAGTATTAAGGGTATTGAATAGATATTTTGGAAATAGTATAACAAGTCTTACACTTTCCATTCTATGAACAAGGTTTACAATCTCCATTTTCCATATCAACATAGTAGCCATCAATGCATCTTTAACAACGAATAGTTATTTTTGTATCTTTTTGAATTTAGATAAATGATTAGCATAAGTAATCATTTATGCCTGATAGATCGGAGGTGCATTCCCATGTATTTGAATTTGAATTAAAGTAAAGCTTGTACCCAATATTACATTACAAACACTTTTATGTAGTAGATGAAACTTTTTGATAGGTCAAACAAGCCACATCAGGCTTACTTGATTAATCAATTTAAGTACATAAACTATTATCTTCAGACAAGAAAAATTTGTCCTCACATAACGCACACTTCAACTAAGAGTCACCTATTATTAAACTTATTATAAATACTCTTTGTTGGGAATTTAAAAATAGGATTGATAGTCGCAATACCATTTTAATCAAAAAAGGTGCACAATTTACAATTTGCAATTGAACAATCAGCGCATCCAACTCCATCAATTTAAAATGATTAGCTAAATTTTTAACATTATCGACACTTCAACAAATATTGAATTTCAATAGCTTCGATATCTGATTCTGTTGCTTCTGAATTTTCAGGCTCAACAACTTTCTCTTTATCTCTTGTTGGGCTACAAGTTTAAAAATATAAGATACAAATCTAAGTTATTCATGTACTCGCATCGCTTGCAATTTGTGCCACATCTTACACAAGTCTTTCTATTCAAAGATGGAATAGAAGTACTCTAAGCAGTACTTGTACAGTCCTCACATCTTTATGCTATCCTTGTCAATTTAAACAAGTCTTCAAAAAATTAGGTTTCATTTGCCTCTAATCTTCTTGTTAGCAGCTCAGGTTTATTATTAAAGCTATCCCAAGATTTTGTATTAAGATTCATTTAATTAAAACCAAAATAACAAGTTTCACAACCCGAAAAGCATGCTACACATGTACTAGTGGTTTCTTTTTAATCAATTGCATTTCGAGTGGTTAACATACTAAATCCTTTATTACAAATCAAACAATCTTTTTTAGTTTCTATAACTGTCTTTCCTGCATCCGTTTTGATGTTTGTAACTATTAAACAAGACTTACAATTATCAGGGCAAGAATCGCATCCTCCAATTGCATCGCTATATTAATACTCCTCTGCACAACTGATGTACAAATTATTCAAATCATAAGAATATTGTTTTGACACCGGAAAACATGTTGAATTTTAAGATTTACAAAAGTGCTCACATCCATCACAACTTGATGTAACAAACTAATCATTAACTTATTCAATTTACATTGAAAGGTCCGCTCTTTATTACATAAAATAATTGCATAGTAGGTCTTTCAATTTTGTGAAATGCAGAATCAGAGGTTGTTGATTTCGTCTTATAGTCATAACTGCAAATTCGAGATTTATCCCTAACTTACTTATCATAATTACCATCTTTGACTATTGTCCAAACAATCTCCACAATAGTAATTATTTTCTTCATTGAATTTTTCATATGGACTATTCTATTTTCAATCAATTATACCATTCTACGCAAAAATTTGCACCTGCTTTTAGATTTAAATCGATATGATCTTCTGGCAATTAAAACAAAAAGTATCCTTATTTGCATCTTTAGCATATTCCTTTCTCATATGTAATGCAATTTTCATCTTTTGGAGAGTCATTGGTTGTAATTTCATAACTCAACTTAAAATACAAAGTTAATAGAGTTAAAAAAATAATATACATTATTTATTTATTAAATATCCACTCTAGATTTGTTACTCTCTTCGAAATAAAATAAATTTATTTACCAATTATTAAGGAATCAATCAAATCATTAGTATTTATAAATGACACAAATAATTAGCTAATATATCTAAGACAAGAGTTATGTAAGAACAAAATTAAAGGACTACGTTGATAAGAAAATAAATAATATTGATACATCACTTTAACGAGGATTGATTTTTATGTATTTTAAAAATTTCTAATTTGTTTAAGATTATTTTATTTTCATAAACTATTGTAATTATTTGTAATAATAAAGATTTATAAATGAGAATTAGATATATAATGTTAATGAAATTGATAAGATTTTTTTAATAATTCAAATTATAATTTTAGAAACTTCATATCTTAATTTTGATTAATCCCAAGTGACTAAATATTAGCCATCACTTGTTATTGCTCCATATGTTTCATTAGTATTTAGTTTCTTTAGATGTAGTGAATTCAATAAACCTTGATCATCTTTTTAATATAAATAAATATAAATTTTGTGTTTTATTACAACAATATTTTTTTCTTTATTTAAGAAAATAGGGAAGAAAAGGCTATCCTTCAAATCTTTTTCTGACAAGATTGACTTATTCCTTTTCTGTATAGTATCATTCTAAAGATTAAATTAATAGTCGAATACAAAATCTTATCCATTCACTAATCCTGAAACCCATATAAATCTATCATTATTGATAAATTTAATTCTGGTTCCAAAATCATAAGCTTATAAATTAACATTTCTTTTATATGTCCATTGATCTTATACTTTTTACCATATTATAATTAACTTATCTAAACCACAAGAAACCAATATAGTTTCAGATTCATTGAGACTGAGTGCATTAACTTATTTATTATGATTATCTAATACTTGATGAATAGATAAATAATTGCTACTCAAATCTGCCTCCCATATTATAATTTATTTTTCCATATCACTTGTAAATACTAAATTTTCTTTTTTATTCATAATTATACAGCTTATTCCTTTTTCATGGAATTCATAAGTTTTTGATTATTTTAATTAATTTTGCTAAAGATAAGACCAACATTTTAAGTGACCATCTAATGAACCAGAAACAAAATTATTTGAATTACTACTGAATAACAAATAGGTAACAATGTCTTGATGTCCTTCTAAATTTCTGATCAGATTTAATTATCCAGCTTTAAATTCCCATAATTTAATAAAATTACTACATCCAGAAATCATAAGTGAATTATTATGATTAAATGAAATTGAATAGCATGTTTCTGATTATTAATTACTACTATTTAAGTATACAAAACCTTTTTATTATTATTATTATGATTATTATTAT